GCGAACCGCATGTCAAATATGCACAAGGGCTCGGAGAGAATACCTTGTGCCACCAGCAGCACATTCTTGTACGCCAACGTGAGGCAGGCCCTGTCAGGTTCCGACACCACACCTGAGGGAGGGGTTTTGTTGAGCAGAAGCAATTTGTTGTCTGTGCATATGCGGGCGATCGGACCATTACGGTGTATCAAGCATAGGTGGCCTATTGTTAGGGGGGGGGGGTCAAGGTCACATCTGCGCTCCGTATCCAGGGCTTAATCCCGAGTCCCCAGTACTTCGACCCAAGGCGCTGGATCGAGCTAGCGACGACATGCCGAGCCCGCCTTTAATGGTCTTTGTTATGGACAGGGTCTGTTATACACTCGTCTCGACCAACCACTTCCGGCTGACCACCCCCCACAGGTGTAATCCCGACCTCAGACCAGCGTCACCACTAGCGATCAGTGCCAAAACCCGTCGAGAGGGCGGCAGACGTTTTTTCCCCCTTTCTGTCTCTCTTTTTCGAAAAGTCACCTTTGGTCTTCCCCCTGCGCGCTTTGCGGCTTGTCCCCCAGCCAACCTTTCCCTCCTCCCCCCATGAGACCAGCGCCAGAGATTCGTGCAAAAGGTGAATGATGGAATGATCATCACCTGCGCAAGAAATATGCTGAGACGGACTCATCCTAGTTGGCATAATGCTTGCTCAGGACGGTGCACGAACCCCTCATCTGGTGATCAGGAGCCAAGTGGAAGGCTTTCCGGCGCAGACTTGCCCGTCTTGAGCGTGATATCCAGATAGTCGGGTCCGTGGTGGGAACTCCCAAGCGTTGGCCTATTTCTGGCCTTTGCGAGATCCGTGGCACCGGGGGGGGGGGGCGTGTCATGGCACTAATCTTGACGGCTTTCTCCTTTGGTCTGTCTGTCTCGGGCAGCTGTTGCGTCCAGGTATATTCTTCCAATAGTCTCTGGGGATGATGACGTTTGTTCATCTCATCAGACGGCAACAGCAGCTGGCTGCTAGCCTATGGAGATGACGGATGGAGCAGCAGCACTTGACGATCGAACGCAAACCATTTGAAATTTCGTGGGGTCTGGTTTCCTCCATCGACTAAACGTAAACCTCGGCGCGGGGTATCTAGGCAGCTGCTTAAAGGGTTCTGACGCTCTCCCGCCTCATGGACCACGCCAAAGCAGGGAGTCCTGAACCTAACATGACTCCGTCAGCGCCTAAGGCTCTTCTAGCTTGAGGGTGGCCGGGATCATGCTAAGCTTTAATGAAGCCCAAGAAAGGAAGGGGGGGGGGGGGAAGCAGTGATCGGCCGGATGAAACCGTTGGTTGGAGATGAGAAAAGAAAACAAGAGGGAAAAAAGGGCGAAAATAATGCCAGGTCCAGTCCACGAGTTCGCGCATCGTTCTCTATTCACATTTGCGCGAGGACGTTCATCCCCATACCAGACAGTCTAAAGTGGGGACATACGGTCCAACACACATTGAAGGACGGTTGTTGGATTATCGACTGGTCGGCCTGGACATGCCGAGAGGAGTCTGCGCTTGTCCTCCTCATCTAACAGATGAACGAGTTATCCCAAGCTCTCCAACGCACAACGGATAGCCCGGATTCCAGACCCCACAAATGACGGCGAACCGTTCTTTCGGCACATGAGATGCCGTGTATAGCAGAGCGACGGTGGCCTGTGGCTGTTTAAGGTATGCCGGGCGGGCCCTCCCAGCTGCCCGTTTAGCTTGTAATGCGTCGTCTTGGGCGCGCTGGTGCGAAAAAGAAGGGAGGGAGGAAAAGAAAAAGGATCACCAGATGCTGTTGTTAAAACTCAGTGACTTGGCACACACACGCACACACACACACACGGATCCCGATCCTTGAGGTTAGACCGCAAAAACCCACTGGGGCCAGACCCAAGGCCTTGCCAGGCCCAGGGCATCTCAGGCTCGGCTCCAGTCTGTGCACTGGGCAGATCCACCGGTTGTCGACAACTTGACACTTCACGTTTACCATATTGGTAATGGTCCGTCCCCAAATGACCCCCTCCCCCAATTCCGGCTATCGCTGAGCTTGGCTTTTGGGGCTCTTCAATTGGCGTGGCGAACGGCGCCGAAGATCTCTGGTACAGGACCACACAGCCTCGGTTGTCGCCATCGTCAGACTCTTTTGTTTTTCTGTCTTTTCAAAGGCCTCACTCATTTCTTTGGCAGGGGGAGGATGATGATGATGATGAGAAAACAACCCGAGCCACTGCAGCAGCAGGGCGGATCTCCAGCCTTGCGAGAGCTCTTCCAGACGATGACGACGGCGCAGAGCCTCGTCTTGAGGAGGGGGGGGGTTTTTTTCTCTCGAGCCGCAGTGGGTCTTGTTCTGGACCTTATTGACGCCCTGCGCCTCAAAATCCGGAGGACATTGTACTTCTGTACCCTCCTTCCTGTCGGCGACAAGCCTCAAAATCCCAGGGAAAAACAGAAAAGAAAAAAGAAGACGGGGGGGGGGGGGGAAAGTCCCCTTCCCCCCTGTTTTCTGGGTCGGCTTTGCTTGCAGGCAGAAGAATAAGACCAGGGCCCAGGCCGCCCGGCACTTCTCGGTACGTCAATACATGTACAGGCGGTTCTGGAGCTTCAAGCCCGCAGGCGGCAAGGGTTTACAAGTGCACCATGCAGGCGGACCCGGTCTGGATCCTTCGCCTGGGGGAGGGAAGATGGCAAATCTTCACTTTGCATCTGTTGGTTCCCGTCCTTCTCAAGGATTGCCGCCCTGTCTCAATACCAGCCCCAGAGAGAGAGAGAGAGAGAGAGAGTGTGTGTGTGTGTGTCTCGAAAAGCTGCGTCGCCTGCGAAAGGGGACGGAGGAGAGGAAGAGAAGAAAAAAAGAAGATGAGAAGGAAGCAGAAAAAGAATGTAAGACTGCTGGTTCATCTTCCCAGGCTTTGCGCGGCGCCCACTAGGGGCGAATCCTTTCGCCGCATCTCGGTGTCAGCTCGCTTGGCTCGACATGGAAGTGTCCTTTCTCATTCACCCACACCCACACACACACACACACACACTATCACTTGCTCTCTCTCTCTCTCTCTCTCTCTCTCTCTCTCTCTCTCTCTCTCCTCTTGCTCTTCAAGGCAATTTTGTCTACAGACATGAGGCCTGCCTTCGTAGAGCCCCCCCCCCCTTTTTTTTTTTTTCTCTTTCTTTCTTTCTTTCTTTCTTTCTGAACCATGGCTTCGGGTCCATGATCCCACCAAGCCACCAGGGCCGGCAGGACTTGCCAATCGGCCCCCCTCCTCGCCAAGAGGACTACCAGTGGAGCATCTAGTGGCTCCAATACAGAAAGAGGGTTTCTCAGGGACAAAAGATTCCATTACAAGGAAGACACGAAGACAGATATGGGCTTCCAAGGCAATAGCGATTAGTACTACCGGCTTGACACCAGTCTCGAACCCACTTCCAATCTCAAATGGTGAAGCAGGGCCTCCACGAGCTCACGGATCCGGGTGGGACCACCGGCTCTCGTCCGCACGTGCACACCCGTACACACTGCAAAAGGCCCTTGGGGCAGGGGAAGGGAGGGATGGCTGACTACCGGGACAAGAATACTACCCAAAGGGGTTCGCTGGCCGTCCAAGACTGTCGAGGTTACCGGGGCATTGGGACGACACGCCCACTGTAAAAGGTAATCTCACACCACTGCTCCCCGACCCAAGTCTTTTTTGAGATGTCGTCTCGCCCCCAGGCTTGGAAGGGAGCCGGGGTGGGGCTGCTGCTGTTTTCAAGGGAGGGTGGTAGTACTATGGTACTTCGGTTGACATGGCCCAAGTCCAAGTCCAAGTCCCTCGCTTTTTCCCCCCTCCTTGTGCGGACCAATACCGCTTCCCACTATCGAGGCAACATTTCACGGTCAACGTCAGCCGCGATCCTTGTTCGATACCATGTGGACCCCATCCTGATAGCGTCGGGTACCTCAGCTTCCAGGGTGCTTTTGTCTCTCTTGTCTCTCTCTCTCTCTGCGTGTGTGTGTGTGTGTGTGTGTGTGTGTGTGTGTGTCATGGTACAAGGTACAGTCGCAACCGAGGGAGGGTGCGAGGAAGTGAAAGGCCTGGAGGAGAGCCCTAATGTCCATGGACTTTCTCAGCAGCCAGGCTGGCTGGCCAACAAAAGCTTATCTCCTTGGGCAGCTCGGCAGAGTGGTGGTGACATACCATGGACCAAAACATTGGCCCATCGCAAGCCACATACAACACACACACACACACACACACACACACACACACACTCTCACTCACACACCACACCACTCTCGTTCTTACACACACACACGCACACCACATGGAAGGGAACCTCGTGTCGTTGATTTTCCAGCCCTAAGCTACTGTTACACTCGTCTTCTCCTCTGAAGGGTACTTACCACCACGGCTCTTCAAAACCCTCCAAGAGAAACATAAACTTTAACGAGCCTGTTGCATATTCCAAGACAAGGACAAGGGGAAGAATCACTACACAAAGTCAGAAGAGCCAGAACCGGCTCTTTTTATCTGTCCGCCTACATTTACCTGAACCAGCAGCCCCGGTCTGGAGTTTTATAATTTTTATTTTATTTTTTACAAGGTCTCGGTCCTTCCTGGCTGGGCTGAAGGGTGGGTGTGCAAGTCTTGCATGCTCGTCTATGTTGGATGTGCCAGGTGAGCACGCTAGAAGAAAGACAGGAGGCTACCTTATTTACCCGGCGGACCTCACTCCTACCACGGCCATCCTGCCTCAATCAACATATATTTCTGGCTGCCCCCCCCCCTGCTGGACTGTGGCTTGCCTGTTAGCAAAGACCCTACAATATCTGGCAAAATTCCCCCCTTGACGGCCTTTTATTAAAAACAACTCCTCCAAGACAGAGAGAGAGAGAGAGATGCGAGAAACAAAGTAAACACTTGACCCGCCGGCCCCTCTGGATCCTTTTCTCCTCCTACCCTCCTCACCTGGGAACACACCACCATTTTCCTTTCCCAACAGCACATGATCATCATTGGGGATGTTGTCCAACTACCGATGCCAGCAGCAACGTGCCGCCCCTTCCCACTACCTCCCCCAGACGCCGCCGGAACTGGTGAGCCCCAGTTCGTCAACATATTCGTCGATATCCTCCGAGGGTCATTCGGCCTGGCTATCGAGGCCGAGCGGCCCTCCCTCGCCGCCCATGGCCAGCTATGACCATCCTCACTTCTCTAGCGGCACCACCGATGACTCGGGCAGGAAGCGCTCTGTGGGGAGTCCGCGGAAGAAGACGAAGCCCTCCTTTGCTGAGCTGACGGGCGCAGCTCCTCCTGCACGGCCAACCCTCCCTCCTCTGAGCAGCCTCTTCCCTCAGGGCGTACGATCCCTCCCCACCTCGCGCTCGGATCAGCAGCAGCAACAGCAGCAGCAACAACAGCAGCAACAACAACAGCAGCAGGCCTACCATGCTGCAACCTCGCCAGTGGATCCACCCCGGAGTGCCGGTGGCTATCTGGAGAGGCCCAGCTGTTCCTCACCATTCTTTGGAATCCCAATGTCGAATGCGCCACAGCTCAAGAAGTCTACATTTGAGCCGAGGCTCCCTGACAGAACACTCCCATCGCTCACAGGAGATCACAGGAGCCTCTTCCCAGACTCGCTCTCGCCTAGCACGAGAGGGGAGCCGCGGGGCCGAGCAGACCCCAGCCACAGATGGTCTTTCCACCAGGACATGGTCGAACGCCGCTATCAGACACAACCGCTGGCTGGCCAGAAACACCCCCACGAGAGCTATCACTATGAAGAGGCACGAGGTTCCCAGCAGCAGCAACAACAACAACCGCAGCAGAAGCACCACTATCCGACGTCACAGCAACCCAACCCATATGTCCTCCAGCCTCTGCTTCCAGACATGCTTCCAGAGAAGGACGAGACGCTGCCAACCAAGGACGGGCTGGGCCCCAAGATCTGGACGGGGACACACTTCCTGCCCCGTTTTGTCAAGTCGGAGAATGTGCCCGGCGAAGGCCTGTGCTACTTTTACGATGATGGCTCCCACTGCAAGACGGTCATCGACGGGGAGGCGGTGAATGCGCACTGGGGCGTGACCAAGGCCGGCAAGCCCCGCAAGAGGCTGGCGATTGCATGTCTGACGTGCAGGGAGAAGAAGATCAAGTGTGATCCCGACTATCCTCGGTGTGTGCAGTGTGAGAAGTTTGGACGGATCTGCAGGTTCAAGAATGCGTGAGTTCCTTATTGTTCTTCTCTTCTTCTTGTTGTTGTTGTTGTTGTTGTTGTGACAGAGCGTGCTCGCTAACAGGAAAGAGAAAAGGCCCCGAGGCGGTGGTCATCACAATGCCATGTCAACAATAGTCATTGATGAGCGTGACGATGCGCCCGCCCATCATATACGGCCCTTTGGATACAGGCCAAAACATACACCTCCCATCTCGCCCAAGACAACTGACTATCCGTCGATGGAGGGTCACCACGATGCACCACCGAAAAGACCTCGAAATGAATCAGATAGTAGTCTGCATGCTATATCTGACAGACAGCAGGGCCATGAACAAACTGCTGTATCCCCTTCCTCCCGAGGTCTAAACTACACATAGACACACACAGACGAAAACGATGAGCACCATTCGCCAGTGGCATTACCCCTCCTCGTGTGTGTGTATGTTTGCTTGTGTAGGAGTCTCACATTTCGGCGATATACTTTTGGCCGCTACTCTGCAAACTCTCCCGCATGTCGAACCCGGTCTCAGCTGTGGCGTCGTCGGGACGTCTTTGGCAACCGCCACGCGCCGGCAGTTGTCTCAGGCGGGACGAGCGTTTCCGGGATGGGGGCTGATGCTGGTCATGGGAGAGGGGCAGGTGGAAGAGAAAGAGAGAAAGAAAGAAAGGAGATAAGAGGGAGGGAGGGAAGAAAGAAAGAAAGAAAGAAGAAAGAAGAAAAAAAAAGGGGGGGGGGGGCACGTTCTCACTTTCTCTCCCGGTGGCCCCCCAAGTCCTACACCACGCCATCGGAAAAGTTGAGGGACACGCATGCGAGACGAAATACCTCCGGTATCATGGAGTGGCGGTCTGCAGTGCAACGTTGACCGGTCATCCAGGGCTGAATAATCCTCCACGCCCTGTTTCCTTGCAGGGAGGAAAGAAACACAAAACAGAAGAAGGATAATTTCTACCCGATGGGCGATCCTGACGAATGGGGCTGAGCCTGTCTCTTGTCGTCGTCCAATTTACTGCCGCGTCATCATACGCCCTGGCACTATCGACGCCCGGCTTTTTTTTTTATTTTTTTTTTTTATTCTTCTCACCGACCCGCACCCGATCCCAATCCGATACCTTTTTTGCAACTCCACATCTACCCACGGTTTCCCTTGATGGTTCTACACCGGTAACCCAAAAAGGCCCCCCCCCCTCTCCCCAACACTCATCGGGAATCCTGGACTTGGGGGGCCTGTTTCTCAGTGGCGACAAAGGCTCCCGACCTTCAGAATGAGGGGGCTATGGGGGCAGGTCTGTGTAGCCTCTGGACGAATTCTACCGACAAACAATATACACCCCCCCTCTGGCGTTCCGAGTCGATCTATTCGAATCAATACACCGAAGTTCGACACATGGAGAGGCCAAGCTAAGCCAAACTCTTTTCTCTATTTCGTCTGGCCTAGCCAATGCTTTCCTCAACTGTATCACTATACTTTTCTCTGTCTCAGCGTTGTTAATTGTTTACTTTCTCGTTATCGCATACAGCCGGCGTTTTGTTTGTCCATCTTGACGGGAAAGGCTTGATACGCTCAGCCCCGTTGCTTTTGTGTCTTGTCGTCGTCGTTGTTGATTTTGTTGTACTGGAAAGAGAAACATCATAAGGGCAACCTGATTTTATATGGGAAAGCAATTGATATTTTTTCCCCTGCTGTTCTTTTCTTTCTTTTCTTTTTTCTTCTGTTTTTCTGTAAACATCACAAGGGAGTTTTTGGGAAAGGAGCATTTTTGTGATACAACATATGTGCTACAACCATGCACACTTAAAAAGGAAAAGAAATGGCAATACAGCTTCTCGCTGTAGAGGTGATAAATCTGTTGGGGACTCACAGAACCTAGTATATCATATGACAGATTTGTTATAATGCATATAAATGTTGGTATATTTGATAAGGCTTGATGAATGCATTTCCTCGTGAAAAAAAAAAAAAAAAAAAAGTAAAGGCAAACTATAAGACATGAGAAATGATGTCGTAGATGTTTTGTCATTGTTGTATTTCTACACTTGTTTGGGATGCTATTAATAATGCTCATCTCTCAACAATGCTCACAGTTTTCAATTCCCCTATCGCCGCACCTTGTAACGGAAAATTACTCTTGTGCTTTACTTCCAGATAAACCAAACATGTAGAGGATAAAAAGACGTACGCCATACGAGTGCCAATAACCGTCTATGCCTATTAACTTACTCCGCTGTTTTCACAACATCTCGCAAAAACTCTACAATATCATCAATCTCCTCTGGGACTTTATACCAATGTCCTTCATCGTAGTCTCTCCAGCGGACCTTGCAGCCAAGTCCTTCCAGCACATGTCTCGCCTGCTCCCCCAGCTTGACCGAGACCTTTTCGTCATTTCTTCCGTGTCCTAGGAACACAGGCGTGTTCGGAAACATGACTTGTTGGGCGGCAGACCGGGCCGGCAGAGAGGCTATATCGCGAGCCGTGTCTGCCGCTGTCCTCTGGCGGTTTTGAAGAGGTGGGATGGCTTCTTGGCGCTGGCCCATATCCTCCTCCTCTTCCTCCTCCTCGCCCCCATCTTTGGTTATTTTCATCCCCTCCTCGTCGTCGTCATCTGAGCCAAAAATATCATCCTCTTCTTCATCATCATCATCATCATCATCATCATCATCATCATCATCATCATCATCATCATCCCCCTTTCCGTCCTCCTTGCCAGCCGCCGTCGTCGGATCCAATGTCTCAGCAAACGGCAACCAGCCACTCATCCCAATAAATCCAGCCAACGCCGTCGCCTCCCCTCCTCCTTCTCCTTCTCCTCCTCCTCCTCCTCCTCCTCTTCCCACCGCCGAGTCATTCAACAAGACATGCAAAGCAGCCGCACAGCCCTGGCTCAACCCCCCCACCACAACACGCCCCACCCTGCCGCCGAGCACCTCCGCTTCCCGGTTCACCAAGCCCGCCACAAATGCGCTCGTCTCCCGGAGGCCATCATACTGCAGGTGCTGGCGCTGCGCCGGGTCCTCGAGGCTGAAGTTGTCGAACCACTGGTTGATGGGGACGCGCCGCAGCACCGTGGACCGGCGCTTCTAGGCCGTGGGGAAGATGAAGCGCGCCGAGGGGAAGTGCTGCGCCAGGGTCTTGCCGGCCGAGGACCGCGCCGCGAGGAGCTCGAGGCCGAAGCGCGAGGCGTTGCTGCCGCGGCCGTGGAGGAGGATGATGATGTGCGTGTGCGGTGGTGTCGTGGGCTCGACGACTAGTGGGTCGGGCCAGATGGTTTGCTTGCGCTTGGTCTTGCTCATTGGGGGTGGGGATGTTTCGCCCTCTGGGGGGACAGTTGTGTCCATTATGGTTGATTTTGGTTTTTTATTTTATTTGAATTTTAGACTTTTTCTCTTTCTTCTTTTTCTTTTTTGTTTCCTGTTTCTCTCTTTCCTTTTCCTCCTCTTGGTCAGGGCGAGAGCAATGAGACTGGAGGCCATACTTGAACTTGTTTGTTTATATCAGGGTTGGGGTTGGGGTTAGGGATATCCTTTGTACCGTTAGCATATTACATAAGTAGGCACTGTTCGGCCATGCTCAAATACTGGTCTCACTCAAGGACGAGCAACTTCATTTTCAAAGGACTGGCAACTTACAAGAATGGCACCCTGAGGATCGACGACCACCCTCCCTTAGCGTCCCAGTTCCACGAGGTCATGTCATGGCGACCTCGGACTCTCATTTAAAATGGCTTTCCCATACAAGCCCATAGCCTTTTTGACGGGCGCAAATGGTGAGTGAGATGAAATTGCAAGACAGACATGAACGCATCAACATTCTACTCTTCATTTTATATATAAAGGCTGGACTACGACTGACCACTCGTCCAGGACCAATACACGCCCTCGCCTATTCTGCCTCGCCCGGCACATACATCCTCACCGGCAGCGCAGACCGCTCCATCCGCCTCTACAACCCCACCCCAAGCACCACCAACAGCACCACCACCACCACCACCACCACCACCACCAACTCCTCTAGCACCCCAGCCCTGCCCGAAGGCCGCCTGATCCAGACCTACCAGGCCCACTCCCACTCCGTCCTCTCCCTAGCCGTCGCCACCGACAACGCCCGCTTCGCCTCAGCCGGCGGCGACCGCACCGTATTCCTCTGGGACGTATCGACAGCCCAGACCCTCCGACGCCTCACGCACGCCGCCGAGGGCCACGTGGGGCGCGTCAACTGCGTGGCCATGGCAGGCGCAGGCGACTCCCTGGTAGTCTCGGGCGGGTTCGACACCACGGTGCGGATCTGGGACACAAAGTCTGGCGGCGGTGGAGGCGGAGGAGCAAGGCCCATCATGGTGCTGAGCGAGGCCCGAGACGCCATCTCGGCGGTCGTGGTGCGCGGGGCCGAGATCATCAGCGGGTCGGTGGACGGGCGCGTGCGGGCATATGATGTGCGCATGGGCAGGGTGACGACGGACGTGGTGGGCGCGAGCGTGTCGAGCTTGTGTCTCACGCAGGACGGGCGGGCCGTGCTGGTGGGGAGCCTGGACAGCAGGGTGAGGCTGATGGATCGGGATGCGGGCACGTGTCTGCGGACGTATGGCGGCGATGGCGACGGCGGCGAGGAGGAGCGGGCCGGCGGGCGGTGGAAGAACGAGGACCTCAGGGTGCAGAGCCTGCTGGGCGGCAGGGAGAGGTATGTCGTTGCAGGGGATGAGATGACGGGCGAGGGAGCGGCGGCGGCGGCTGAAGGAGGGGGCAGGCTGTGGGTGTGGGATCTGATGACGGGCAAGCTGGTCTCGAGGGTTGCCGTGCCTTGGGGCCCCGCCGGGACCGAGGAGAAGCTGAAGCGGGTGGTCGGGAGGGATGGGAGGGAGAAGGAGCGCAGGTTTGTCGTGAGCTGTCTGGCCTGGCGAGAGGCGGGCTTTGGCGACCAGTTCTGTGCTGGGGGCACCTCGGGGGCCGTGACCGTCTTTGGTCCTGCTTGAGAGGATATCATCGAGACAACGAGGTCTTTCGAGATATGATTTGATGAGCATCATCCACCATCACCTGGGTCAGCACTTCATGCGTCGCAAGTTTCAGTCTAAACCGCGTTCGATTTGACGAGACCAATCATCAATCACATTGAAGCAATGGCTAGCAGGGCCATTCTTGCGCGTTCGTCCTCCTCGAACTAGCAGCCCTGCTCCACAGTCTATATCATAAGAAACAAAGAGCCCTACTGCATAGATCGCTACGCAAATGAATGCGAAAAATGAAAAGAAGAAATTGCCCGCCTAGGCGCCAAACACCAGTGTTCCACCTTGTGTCCCACCCCCCCCCCCCCGCCCTCTCCTGAAATGCAATCAATCTCGCAACTATCCACGAGATTTGCGACGCGTGATGGAGGGATATATATATATATATATATACACACGCGTATCGTCACAATCAGAAAAAAAACAACATTTTCTTGTGTGTTTATCGTCCACTCGTTCCCCCCATGAAAGACAAGCCTTGGGTTTGATTTTGTTGATTTTGGGCGTTCAAGGATTTTTTGATTTTTTTTTTGGAGTTTCCTGACAGGGCCGTCCACCGACTTCAGCCCGCGTGTGCAAACTTGAACCAGTTTGGCCGGCAATCCTCCTTGTTCAACCATGATTCTCCATCGGTGAAACGGCCGGTGACGCAGCCCTTGCACTTTGGTGAGTTGGGGCAGTTAAAGAAGGGGATGTGCTGATATCCAATGTCTCGGAACCTGCCAGCATGTTGGTCAGCTAAAATTCCCGGTAAAAATGGTTCCTCCAAAAATGCGACAACACCAAACGTACCAGTGAATCCGATTCCTGTCTTCAAACAGGCCCAGAGCAATACTGTGCACGGGCGCATCTCCCCACCGCTCATAAAAGAACCCACCAGCCCTGTCCAGGTGGTTGAAGTAGTCCTCATATGGCTGGCTCCTCCAGAAGTTCATGTCGCCAATCTCAAAGTTGCTCCAGAAGTGGCATGTCGAATAGCCATTGGCCTTGTCGTTGTGATCGGGTCTCCGCGCCTTGTCCACCAGCCAGTTCAGGGCATTGTTGTCGTGCAGGTAATCGCTGTGGGCGGCGAGGAACTTGGTCGTCTCGGGCCACAGCGTGGGGATGGACTCTGGAGCATCGTACAGGTTGATGGTGAATCCGTACGTCTTGTTGTGGTCCTGCATATAGCGGAAGACGTCGTAGTCGATATCGCAGAAGAAGTGCACCTTGGGCTCGACCCGCCAGTAGTACTGCGTGTCCTTGAGGGCCGGGTGCTTGTAGAAGAGGCCACTGTTCCAGCGGCACATCTGGTGGTACGAGACCTTGTCGGCGTACTGAATCTCGTGCTCCTGCAGGATCTTGACGGATTCTTGGAACAAGTCCATGTTGATCCAAGACGGCATCTCCCAGTGCTCTTTCGGTATGACCTCTATAGGAAAAATGGTATTTCATCAGCGACTCATCCTGTCCGGCAGGGCAGCATCACACTTAGGCTTCGTTTCTTACCATATCTTGTCTCTGCCTTTGTCACCTCTGATGTCTTCTTCTTGAATTCCTCCGAGAACGGGACATCGTTGAAAAACGTCCATGGGTAGTTGAACTTGTTGTTCCACGTCCTCTCCAGATCTTTCATCGCCTGGAGCATGCCCTGCAGCTCCTCGTTTCGTACAAGCGCCAGCAGGGTAGCGTTGATGCGCTCTGAGTTCTTCGCGTCGGGCGCATAGCCGGGACCTGCGCGCCGCAGTATGCCTTCTGGTTCGCCGGTTGCTATATGAGGGGAGAGAGAGAAGCAGTGTCAGATATGAAGATGCTTGTGTCGCCAGCAAAGTATCGCGGGCAGGAGCAGGAACAGGAGGAGAAGGAGAAGGAGGCAAGAGCTGCTCACGATCTAATAACGGATCCCTCTCGTTGTTGGGTATGCCGAGGGATGGCTTGATCCCAGACCCAGGCCTGAAGATCTGGTAGAGGAAGAAACACCACATGAAGATGGCGGCGAGTCCGAGGACTCTGACCGGCCGAGCGATAGCCATGGCTGCGGCAGACTTGGTTCAAGAGGAATTGGGTCGCAGGTTGCAGTTGTGGGCCTTTTCTTTTCTTTATCGTAGCATGGCCTCGTTCGAAGCGATATGACAGTGGTCAGGGCGCTCAAGTGACCGTGTTATCGGCTGGCGTTGGTGGTTGTCGAGACAAAAGGGGGACGGATATAAAAAGTTCGAGACAAGCTTAAAAGAGGTGGCAGTTGAAACTCGCAAGCCAGGCGGCGCGTTGTCGAGCGTAGATGACAGCAGGTAGATTGGACTATCGATAAATAGGGGCTAGAGTAAGCAGAAAGCGCCCCAAGTAACTGGCACAAGTGCAACGGCCAGGCCTTAGCGCCAGGTACATTGAAAATCTATGTAATCTACCAGCGAAACGAAGGTGCTTATCGATAGTATCAGTCTAGCCTTCACCTGAGCTACCACTGCCGCCTTCCAGAGAGGCTGGACGACGACAACGACGACGACCAAGAGTCGGTGCAATTATCCTCAACGTGTCAACCATGAGCAAGATATGACATTCCCCTTCTCATGACAGTCGCCATGAAACGGACTGCCCCTATTGCCGTTGTCAGACCTCCTGAAAAATGGCTTACCTTGCCGAGTTAGGGGCCTTGACCGATGAGCTCGTCACTATCATCACGACCACCTCGCCTACAGTGAGTGTATCTACGAATGACCTGCACAAGGGACATCTACTTACTTTTTTTCCAGTCTCAGCCGCGACTGTTCAGATCCTATCGTGAGAGTGCCTTGCGTGGGATCCGAAACCGCGAATATCTCCAGACAAATCAATTTGCCGTCGAGGAGCAGCTCCGTGGCCTCGTCGAAAGGTTTTCAGTCGTTGGCCGAGATGGTCTGGCAGAGGCGTTGAGACAGAGGCTCGACTTGCTGTCCAGGCAGAAACAATCGACAAAATGGACGCCTGAGGTATTGCATCTCCTGCTGGAGCTCTCCGACCAGCCTGTCAAGAAGTCCAATCTCGACACCCTCGTGCGATTACGTGAGGCGAATCAGGACCCGGGATTGGATCTCAAATGGGAGCACATTGCCAGAGAGGACGGTTGGGCTCAAGATCGTGACCTGTGGAAGAATGTCGACTTCGCAGACAGCTCAGAAGATGAGGCGATGCCAGACTCTCAGTCACCTGTCGCAGGCTCAGATGATACGTCCATGTCAAGCGCCACGGCTCTGGTCAGGAGGAGGACGGTCGGTAGTCTGCTTCTACCTGCAACAGAAGAGTCGCCGCTCCAGGAGATCGAGAAGGCCCAGGAATGGCGTCACGGTGCACAGCCCAGAGACGCGTCCGGCCGACCGATGAAGGTGCCCATCTCCGAGTATCAGATCCTGCGAGAAGTCTTGTTTCTGTTGAACGGCTTGCCGACCAGCCTGTTCGGGCCTGATTGCACACCAGTTTCCAGGTATCAGCTTTCAGATGTGTCATGGGATACATACCGAGCTCTCGTCAACTCCTTTGCTGAGTATGGGCGAACGCTGCTGCCTCTCCGCAAATTCTCCGAGACTACACAAGACGTGCCGCTGGTGCAGGCCTTCCAGGACTCGGTGTGCCAGTGCCTCAGGGCCTTCGATAAGCAGATCGCATCGGTCCAAGGGCGCTATGTCGAGATCAAGGAGGACACGGTCGTGAGCTTGATAGCTCTGCAGCAGGAGCTCAAACCATATCTCGTCCCTCTGGCCGGCCTGTCGAATGTTGTTCGCCAGCTCCAGGAAGAGCGGTACGCTCACTCTTTCCGCTTTTTGGAGCTGCTGTATGATGCGACCTGCATAGCTCAGCTGAGCGGTGATGACCGGTCCTACCATTACCTCGGCGAGATCTTCTTCGACTGCTTCAGAGTCTACATCAGACCCATACGGCAATGGATGGAAGGAGGGGAACTCACACCAGGAGACAAGACTTTTTTCGTTGCTGAGGCCTCGGCTTCGGTACCACCGAGTCAGATATGGAGTGACAAGTTCAACCTTCGCAGGTCCCAGGAAGGCCAGCTACATGCGCCTAGGTTTCTACATCCCGCGGTCCAGAAGATTTTCAACACTGGCAAGAGCGTCGTTGTACTCAAGCATCTCGGACGCTTTCAGCTTCTCGCCAGTGACAACGAATTTCGCTTACCAGACCCGCCACTAGACTTCGCATCGGCCTGCGGCTCTCCAGATCTCGCGCTCGCGCCATTCTCAGAGCTCTTCGATGCTGCCTTTGACCGCTGGGTGCAGAGCAAGCACCTCTCAACATCCTCAAATCTGTCAGCCATACTTTTCGAGTCCTGCGGTCTTTGGGATAGCCTCGACACTCTGCAACACATCTACTTTATGTCCGACGGCTCGCTGGTCGACACCTTTACGTCTTCCGTATTCGCAAGTCTGGACGCTCTGAGTACTACGTGGACAGACCGGTTCACGCTAACCGAGCTTGCCCAAGAAGCATGGTCGCCGTGCCCAGTCCTTGAGAGCTATCGCCTCTCAGCCTCATTTGACCCAGAACACATCTTCCGCGGTCATCCCGACCAGGCTCGGAGTAGTGTTCGGAACAGTCTGCCCGGTATACGCCTCTCCTACAAGCTCGCCTGGCCCGTGCGGCTTGTCATCACGAGAGAAGCCATCACGAAGTACGAACTCATCTTCACCCTCCTCCTCCAACTCCGGCGTGCAGCCACGATTGTCACCGCCTCATCTGCCCTCCTCAAGGCACAGGCCGACATACAGGCAGACGACCACCAACAAGCCTACTACGCCCTCCGCGCCCGCCTCCTCTGGTTCGCAACGACCCTCCACTCTTACCTCACCACAATTGTCCTGGTACCCGAAACCAGCAAGATGCGCACCAGCCTGCAGGACGCAGAGGACATCGACGCCATGATCGAGATCCACGCCCTGTTCGCGAGGCGCGTCGTGGAGGAGGCGTGTCTGGGCGCAAAGCTGGCGCCGATCAGGGACTGCGTGCTGGACGTGCTCGATTTGGCCATCAGGCTGGAGGACGGGCGCCGTGCGCACGAACACGACAACGTTAGTCGCGGGGGTGAGGTAGCCCGTTCTGCAGCGCACCAGCATGAGCAGCAGCAGCGACAGTACGGCACACCTCGGCGGTCCGGCGTCGGGGGTGGAGAAGAACAGCAGCAGTCGCAGCCCCCGCCAAGCGCGTTGCGGGGCGTGTACGTCAGCCCGAGGGAAAAGGAGCGGGAGGAGGACGAGACAATTCTGTTTGGGAAAGACGGCGACGAGAACGATGATGATGATGACTATTTCACAGGTGGCCAGAACGGCGACGGGACATCTGTGATGCAGCGAGGGCGGCGGCAGCAGCATCATCAACAACAACATTATCACCACCAGACGTACGCTGAGATCCTGGCGGGTATCAGAGCGGATTTTGACAGGCACCTGCGGTTCATCACGGGCGGTCTGCGCGGTGTGGCGCGCGCATCGACGGATACTGCGGCTGCGAAGTGGGATCTGCTGGCGGAGATGCTTGAGATGGGATTCAGAGGAGGGACGAGATAGCTCTGTAAGAAGCATATGTACGACTCTTCATAATGTACGTAATTCTTTTGTGAAGTAAAGAATGTTTCTTTTTAAGAGGCAATCAACCCTATGTGTTAAGGACACCCGAGACGCAAGATTGGAATACGCAAAGGGGACAGCGTCTCTTTCTTTTTAGACTCTAAAATCTATATTTGTCGACTTCAAGACGTGTGAACATCAGCCTTTGCAATCGCCTCTGTGACCTGCTCTATCGCCGGGTCCGCAACCTCCCTCTTCTCCTCCGCCTCAACACCCGCGCCCGCCTCAGTTGTTGCCGTCGTCGTCGTCGCCGCCCCCGCCGCCTTCTTCGCCTTCTTTCTCTCCTTTTCCTTGAGCTTCTTGAGCCGCTTCTCCTCCGCTGCCTTGGCGAGAGCCTCCTTCTCCTTGCGCGCCTCCTCACCACCATATGCCTCGCGCCACTCGTCGACCTTGGCGGCGGGGATCTGCGTGAACAGCAGCTCTGGCGTGCCGAGCTTGTGGCCGGGCTTGAGCGTGCCTGCGGCCCACTCGTCGGGGATGGTAGGCTGGGGCGCGATGCCGAGCTGCTCGAACATGGCCCTGCTTGTCGCGGGCATGTAAGGAGCCACAATGGACGCGAGAAGGTGAAGGTGGTTGAGGGCGTAGCCGATGACGGCGGCGCACCGGTCGGGCTCTTCGGTGAGCAGGCGGTTGTCGAGCTTGTTGTCCTGCAGGAGCTTGTTGCCCACCGCAGAGATGGCGAGGATGATCCGCAGCCCGTCGCGCAGCCTGGTGCCCTCCATGTAGTCATTGAACTCCTTGAGCAGGGCATTGACCTCCTTCACATAGGCGTCAAGACTCTCCGAGGTGTACTTGGTGTAGTCTGGAACGGTGGACTCGTACTTGGCCTGGCAGAACTTCTGCACCCGCTGGTTGAAGTTACCGAGGTTCTTGAGAAGGTCGTTGTTGTTGCCGTCGACGAACTCATTCCAGCTGAACTTGCTGTCGCTCGTCTCTGGGCGCCGCGACAGCAAATAGTATCTCCAGATGTCGGGCTTGATACCGGTGTCCTTGGCGTTGTTGCCGAAAACGCCGATGCCCTTGGACTTGCTGAACTTGACATCCTCGTACTGGAGCCACTCCGTCGTGGACAGCTTGTGTACCTTGGTCCATGTGTCTCTGGTGCCGATCTGCGAACTTGGGAACATGACAGAGTGAAACCTAGGGGAGATAGGGGCGTCAGCTCCAGGGGTTGTTTGGCAGGATATGTGCATATAAATATGCATCGTACTCACTGAACATTGTCCTTGCCCATGAACTGAACCAGTTCCACGTCATCAGACTTCCACCACTTCTCCCACAGCTTTCCCTCCAGGTTCTCGCCGTCGGTGTAATTTGCGGTTATGGAGACGTAGCCGATGCAGGCGTCGAACCAAACATAAAAGACCTTGCTGGCGTAGATATCTTGATCCAGGCCCGTGATGTCCTTGTTGATGGGCGTTCCCCATCTCAAATCGCGAGTGATGGCTCGGGGGTTCAGTCCCCTGTTGATCCAAGAGTCTGTGATTTCGATGCTGTTGGCGCTCCAGATACCCTCCTTGCTGGCCTTGTGGAACCATTTCTTGAGCTCCCCTTCCAGCAGGTCCAGGCGCAGGTACATGTGCTTTGTCTTTCTCCTCTCGGGGACGGTGTTGTCGACCTTGCAGTGGGGGTTGATGAGCCAGCCCACGCCCTTGGAAAGACCTCCATCGGTAGCTCCGGCCTCAGACTCGGGCTGGTAGGGGTCCATCAGCCTGCCGCAGTCGTCACACTGGTCACCTCGGGCGCCTGGCTTGTGGCAGATGGAGCACTCTCCCTCGATGAACCTGTCGGCTAGGAAAGACTGGTGGTCCGGGTGCGGGCAGAAGGGCTGGACCTCCTCGCGCTCCATGATGAAGCCATTCTCCCAGAGTTTGCGGAAGATCTCCTGAGTAATTCGGGTCTGGTGCTCGGTGGGCGTGCGGCCAAAGATATCAAAGTTGATGTCAAACCAGTCGTAAATGCCCTTGTGGACTGCGTGGTACTTCTTGCAGAGCTCCTCAGGGCTGACGCCCTCAGCGAGGGCCTTGGTCTCGGTAGCGGTACCGTACTCATCAGAGCCACAGACAAAAAGGGTCTGAAAGCCACGAGCCTTACACCAGCGCGAGTAGACATCTGCGGACAGAACGCTGCCGATGACGTTGCCAAGATGAGGGACGTTATTGACATAGGGCAGGGCACTGGTGATGAGGACGTTTCTTTTGCCTTGGACTGGCAGGATGGGGCCGTCAGAAGCCATGTTGAGGAGATGAAGGCCTGAGAGCTCAGAACAAGGTTGAAATATATTGGGCTGGGTTGCACACCCTCTTGAAGGTGGAGGGGAACAGTTCAAAAGAAGCTGAGATCCACCTCAGAAAAGAAGTAAGGTGGGGGGGGGCACTCGAGGTCAAGCCACAAATTGATCGTTCCTGGTTCACAAAATCTTGAACCCTGAGATTTTTCTCTGCAGGCTTCAAACATAAATACTGAAAAGTCTTCCTCTCAAGCAGTGTCTCGTGGTGGTAAGGCGAATTGGAGCAGGTGAATGTATGGGTAGTCTTGTACAAGAGGAAGATGAGTCAACTCGAGGAAGCACTTTTTATGTCGCGGGATGGAGGGGCAGAATGGCCATGTACAGCCACAAGGGTCGCATGCGGGAGCTGCGATAAGATAGAGGTCCAAGCTACAGCAGAAGTACACATGTACCACAGTATACTCCTTACAGCAGTATGGACAAGGTATGTACATAGTATGATTTTGCTGCTAGCCAATAATACTGTAGATACAATGTATATACCATAGAAGTTTGTCCCTGTTCATTGTACTATGTAGCTGATCAGGTCAAGATGTCAAAGGGTATTGTTCATGCTGCACAGGTACTTTCTGACTGGCATAGCAAGGCATGATATGACATGACTAGGAAAAGAGCCCCACTGTGCTCCAAGCACCCGTCAGGCACAGCCAGAACTGCTTTACCGTACAGTACTAGCAGCAAGAACGGACATGCTGTGGGGAAGAAGCTACAGCAGCCCGATCGCCTTACCACAATGCCTGCAGCACGCTAGGCTGCACTGTACTGGCCCTGCCCTGCAACTCCCCTGCCTGCTGCTCCAGTGTGCCACCAGCACGGCAGGGTCAGTGCAGCCACTGGAAGAGACTTTTCTCTCAACGCTGTCACATTTTGATGCTAGGTTCATCCACCACCTCAACTCCAACAGACCTCTCGCCATCATCGTCGTCACACCTTGCGCCGCCTCTTGTCACACAAACAACAACTCCGCCCCTAGGTTCAATTTCAACATTATCAATCAGACAAACTTATTTAGCATCTCCCTGAAGCATTCCAGCAGCCCTTTCAACCATCTGCACCTGAATTGCCCACCCACCTACGCGTCTGGAATTCCATCCCACCGCCACCACTTCACCCCACCACTTTGATCGTCAACGCCACATCTTTCTGCAACCAACCCCCAAACAATCGCATTTGCTCAAGAATAGACCCAATCTCTCGAGACACCTAGAGCACACAGCATCCATCCTGGTACAGGATATTACTGTTCTGGGCACCGAGCAATTGATCTGCTGGGAGCAGCTGCAAGTTTCTTGATCAGGAACTGACTCTGCATCTGTTGCAGTCTGCTTTGTATCTGACGTCGCCCTTGAACCGCATCTGCCCCTTGGCACCACCAGATCAAGCTCGATCTCGGTACAAACCTCTCCCACAATCTGGCCTCTGTCCCAGTACAGCGCGACTCTTGTGTGCATACTTGGGAAAAATTCAAATACTGCTGCTGGTGACCCAGTCTTGAAAAAGCTGGTTCCCCCCCACAGTTCTTTTGAGCATTTGCCTTGGGTACTTAGTCTTGGATTCTGAAGAGCCTGGAACACTGCTTTCAGAACCATCCCTTCCTCCCCCATCGCATCTTCAAAGGCAATCTGCCTCGTCATTCATTCAGCAGTGGTTATGGACAGCAATCTATGGAGTCGCCGCACCAAGTAAGTCATCTCAAGTTTCTGCTCCCTTCTGGCGCTGCAGTAACAGGGACTCATATTTTTCTTGATGCTTAGCACCAACAAACTCTCCCTCTCCACCACCTCAGGCTCCGGCCAAGGTGACCGAAATGTTTCCTTCTCCAAGCGATTCGGCGGTGACAGCTCGTCGCACGGGGGCAAAAACCCTTTCAACTCCATACCAACCTCAGCAGGTGGTGGCCTGGCATCACCTGGTGGTGCATCATTTGGACTAGGCACTGGAGCTTTCTCGGCCTTTGGGTCCTCCAAGACCCCCAAGTCGCCTGGAAACCCTTTTGACATGGCCTTGAAGACACCAGGCGCTGACAAGATGCCAAGGGACAGCGCCAATGGAGGCACATCCAAGCCTGGTGCAGACGGTGGCGGTGGCGGTGACAGAGCAGCTGCTGACTCCAGCGCTGGCAAGAGTGGGAACAATGGTGATCCGGCTGTCCAGCACCCACTACGGAGCAGCTGGTCTTTCTGGTTCCGGCCGCCAATCCCCAAGAATGTGTCGATCCCCTACGAGGATACCGTCCATGGTATGGCCGAGGTCGCCACCGCCGAGCAATTCTGGGCCGTCTATCAACACCTGGGCCGTCCCTCGACCCTGTCTCCGGTCTCTGACTACCACATCTTCAAAAAGGGCATCCGTCCCATATGGGAGGACGAGGAGAACAGGAAGGGGGGCAAGTGGGTTGTGCGCCTAAAGAAGGGAGTCGCTGATCGGTATTGGGAGAAGCTGATGATGGCCCTGATTGGAGACCAGTTCGGCGATGCTGGCGAGGAGATCTGTGGTGCTGTCGTGAGTATCCGGAACGGTGAAGATATCATCAGCATCTGGACGGCTACCAGTGAGGGCAAGGTCCTTCGAATCAGGTAAGTTCTAGAGGGATGATGGCTTTCATTGGGGAAGAAAAGCGAGGAAAGATGACGAGTCAAATACTAAAATCTGTTGTCTTGTTTCTAGGGAGACCTTCAAGCGCGTCATGGAGTTCCCGTCCAACACCAAGATCGAGTGGAAGGTGCATGAGGACAGCATCCAGCAGCGCATCACAATCGAGGAGTCTCGTAAGGAGAAAGCCAACCAGCACCGGAAGCCCCAGAACCAACGACAGCACCCAGGACACAGCAGTGATGCGGCTCAGGCCTCGCAGGTATCATAGCGTGGACCTGTCCGAGAGTCAACTCCGCCACCCTTGTCACCTTGGGCTGTTTGGTCTCGCCCTGGACGTCTGCAAGGATTGAGAAGTATCGACGAGACTCCAAAGAACTTCTCTTGACTATTTAAGTAAAGGATGTTGCGAGAGAGATAAAAAAAAAAAAAAAAGAACAAGAAAACCCCCTCAGAAGAGCTAAAATCTGAACAAACGCCACTTGCCTGTAGTCCGAATACTCGGGCGGCGAAAGACGTCAGGGACCCTTGGGACTTAGGATAATCAAGATGGATCCAAACTGGACGTACAACTATGAGGCCGTGGATGGATGCCTGCTCCTCTGAGACTGGTAGTATGTTGGGAACATTCTGATGAGCAGATGTCTCGCTACTATCTGTCGTGGCGTGCGGCCAAAGCGATAGCACAACAGCTATATTTGATCGGTCTGAATGTGTCGGATTGCAATCAATACTGAATTTCCAAGCGAACCCCTCAGGCAATGGAGCGTTGATCAGGGTTTAATATGGATCATGTGCTGCGACTGCCTTCACACATGCATGCGTAATTCCCCTGTCTGAGATTCTCTGGCACTTGGTAACTTATGAATGATTTCACAAAGCGTAATTCGGTTTCATTTCTTTCTTTCTTTTCATTTCATAATATTGACGGTAACTTGAGTGAATGCCACCACCAAGATCACGCCCTGCTGCTGCCCTGTTTTGCCTTCCCGCCGGGCTCCCTCCTCCTCTCCCATACCTGCAGATAGGACTCGCCCATGCACAGCAGCTCCCGCTGTATCTTGTCGACGAATAAGTCCTGGCAGACAACCCACTCGCCCCTGGCCTTGTCGAGCAGCTGGACCTTCCACGTCTTGCGCTCCTCGCCGGTATCCGCAACGTCCTCCCTCAGGCGTACAGCCTCGTGCACCACGTTGGCCACGAGGTCGTACCAGATGGGCTCGCCCGACGGGTGGACGGCCGGGTCGGGCTCGACATACGGGGATACGTCGAGGTCGCGGGCGTTAAAGGTCACGATGGTCGGGTTGCGCTCGGACACGAACTTGTTCTGGCTGAAGCGCTTGATGTGGAGGATCAGGTAGGGGGGCAGCGGGTGCATGAGGCGGTAGCGGCGCCTGTGGGCGAGGTGCTCCTGGGCAGAACGGCCGTCGTACTTGGAGAGGATGGTGGTCAGCGGGACCTGGGGGATGATGTTGCGCTGCTGCTCGTCCTGGAAGAGGGGCGCGGCGGGCAGGTCGAGGGTGAGCAGGAGGAAGCGGCTGGCATCGACCTTGACCTCGGCGGCCTCCTCGAAGCGCAGGCGGTCGCCGACGTCGGCCTTGGCGGTGATGGCCTGCGACTCGACCTTGAGCCTGCCCTGGAAGACGCGCTGCACCATGCTGGAGCCGGGCTTGGTCTTGCTGCCGCCGAGGCTGAGGTGGAGATTGTTGAGGAACCACGACAGGAACTCGACGGGGTCTGACTGCTGCGTCAGGGTGAAGCGCTTGCTGGAGCGCAGCGAGACCTCCTGGAGCAGCTCGTGGGGGCTGACGTGCGACTTGAAGGCGCGCGGGTTCCAGATCTTCCTGAAGAGGATGCTCGTCCTCTTGGCCAGCTCCGACTTGCTCCCGCTGAAGTCCTCAAGCAAGAAAAAGTTGCGCAGCGGGGCCACGTGTGACAGCGCCTGCACAACGACGTTGAGGTAATCGTTCTCCTTGATGTTGTTCATGCCCACAAACCCGGGCACGTACTCGCGCCCGCCGATGGTCAAGCTCGTCCTAGGCCTGCGGTCGATGCCCGCCACCTCCGCCTTTGTGTACCGCGGGTCCGACACGTACTTGATATCGTCCAAGCTCCTGCTCTTAACCTCGTAGCCCTCAGGGAGCACGTATACCTTCTGCGTCTCCATGTTGATGAGCACGTGGTGGTTCTCTTCGAGCGCGTGGAAGTACGCGTGCGACTTTGGGCCCCGCCCCTGGAAGTACTTGCCGCACACCAGGCACGCGTACACGTTGATATTGGACAGCGAGATGCTGCACAGCTTCTCAAAGTCAAAGTCCAGCGCGCCGCGGTCTATCGTGTCCAGGTATAGGTCGTCGTACCCTGCCGTCGGCGCCGACTGGCGGATCGGTGCCTTCTCCTCTGGAAGGTCGTCGAGGTCCGAGTCCACTATTTCCTCTCCGTCGCCGTCGTCGCCGTCATCGTCGTTGTCGTGTCGCCCGTTTGTCCCTGCACCTCCAGTGCCATTCTCTCGTGGTGTGTCTGCATCAGGGCTATCACCGTTCTGCTCTTGGTCGGCAGCGGGGCTGCTGTCGGGCTCGCCTAGTCTTGATTTCTTGGAGGCCGGCGAGTCTGCATTGAGGGCTTCTTCGAGAGCCTCCGAGGCTAGTCGCTTGGACATTTGTGGACTGTGGTAGGTTGTCGGTGTAGGCGTAAATGAAAGTCGGCAGGTTCGCAGTGTAGGGTATCGGTATTCAGGAAGTAAGAGTGTAGCAGGGTGTAGCGTTTGGTTGTAGTTGTGGTAGAGGTCGTGGTCAAAAATCATTTGGTTATTGTTGGACGGACTTTCTGCATGTCAAGCTCATGGATGCATAGACGCCCCCACTTTTTGCCATTCTCACAACCGCTGTAGCTTCCCGCAGTCATACTTTGAGCAAGTACTGAAAAGATATATTCCTGATATTGAACTCATCCGAAATCATTTACCTCGCCTTTCCTTTATTTGTCTTTTTTATTTGACTCTAGATTCATCTTCTTTCCTTCCCTTTCCCTTTTTTCTTTCTTCTCTTCTCTCGCCCTCTGGCTTCCACTATAGTCACTATAAATGGCACAGCACGAAAGAGGAACCACAGAATGGAACCGAATGTGCTTGTCTCTCAGGAGTAAAGAAAAACAGACACTCAATTCTAGTGTGGTATAAATTGCAGCTCATCTAATCCTGTTTGCCTTCATCTCTCAAGATGCTGCGTCCAGCATCAAGACATCTGCAGTCTCGCCGTTTATCCCCACCGACCCCTCAAGTGTCGGTGCTGCCAGGTTCTCCATCTCCTGCAATGTGTACTCCACCAGATAGCTCTCATCTACCAGCTCCTCTATGCGCCTGTAGTGCCTCTCTGTGTACACCTTCAGGGCATTGAGCACCTCCTTCAAGCTCTTTTGGCCTCTTGCACCCTTGACTGACAAATTTGAGAACTTGGACGCCGGATAACTTCTGATGAGCGCCCATAGGATCCGTTGTGCCACAGGCGCCGTCCTTGCGTTCGTGTTCCAGTCGCGCAGGCGCAGAAGAAGGAGGAATATTTGCTCGTCGGAGAGCGTTGCGAGGACCTCGTCTACTGCCTTCAGCCCGCACAGGCTACCCTCGTCTGGCTTTTTGCTGGTCACTACAGAGGTAAACAGGTTGAGAAGTCTACCTGGGTGGTTCAGCTGCAGCGCGAGGGCAATGGCGTCGCGGTATGCACCCGTGTGCATGTAGTTCTCGAGCTCCTGCTCCTGCTCGACCAGTCTGGTGGCCGCCTCAGCTGCCGCAGCCTGCGTCTCGGAAGATGTGTCCTTCCAGAAAGTCACTGTCGAGTCTGCACTGCCTGAGACGACCATGTTGGTCGCAGGATTGACGGCTAGTGCCCACACTCGATCTTCGTGATTGTCCAGTGTGGTCTCTGTCTCGCCGCTGTTTGCATCCCAGACCTTGACAAGGCCGTCGCCCGCCGCGCTGGCAAATTGCACCCTCTTCGACTTGTCGCCTTCTGCATGCTGCTTGAGCCATGCTACTTTGAGAATGCTGTTTGAATGTCCTTCGAAGGTCCTAAGGCAGGTGTAGTCTGAGAGACTCCATATTTTGACCGTCTTGTCACCAGAACCGGTCAAAATCAGGCCCTTTCCTGCCACGGCTCCCTTGTCGCCGTGGATCACAGGTGTGTTGGCGGGGGCAAATTTGACTGACCACACGCCCCGCTTGTGACCACGCAGGATTCCTTGCACCTCGCCTTCCGCTACAGACCAGACCTTCACCGTCTTGTCCTGGGAGGCCGATGCGAAGAGCTGGCCCGTAGGGTTCACATCCACCGCATTGATATCCTTCTCGTGTGCTTTTCTGGTAAAGACTGCCTTTGCTTTCTTCTGGGCCTGACGAGGTATCTCCCACTTCTTCACGGTCAAGTCCTGGGATCCAGTCACCAGAAAAGGTGGTGGGTTATTAACCGGATCTTGGTATGCTGCGGATGATTCTTGAGGGACAGTTTTTGGCAGGCCGATGGCCCCCAGCGTCTCCGCATGGCCCGTAAATACGGCCCAGCAGGTGAAGCTGTTGTTCTCCGGATCGATCCGCCACAGGCGGGCTGTGTTGTCCTTGGCTCCTGTTGCGATCCAGTGTCCAGACCAGTCGACGTCAAGGGTGATCACAGTATCCTCGTGACCCTTGAGAAGGCCAATATCCTGACCAAAATATATTTCTGTGGCCGTCGTCCCGTTTGTTCCACCTGCTGACTCCGTCACAGACACTAATCGAACTTCTTCCAAATTCGTAGCTAGTGCCATTATCGAGCGGTCTGGCGATAGGTATGCGAGGTCGATAATCTCATCGTGGGTGCCGGATATCCTCCTGGTAGGCTCGAGTGGCGACATCTCCGGTACTGTGAGTGAGTCGCGCATGGAAGGCATCTGATAAAAAACGAGGGTGTGGTCCATCTGGACGGTGAGCAATAGGTTCTTATCAGAACATAAGCAGGCGCCCAATATTGAGTCCGTTTCGGCCTTCGCATCCTGCTCCGCGGTGACCTCACGGCCTGTGTCTGTCTCCCACAGCCTCACACAGCCATTGACGCCGGCCGTGTACGTCAGTCTGCCATCTTCCAGAAAGCCTGCCGCCTCTATCGTCTCAAGGGTCGGTATGACTTTTCTAGGGGTCCATGACTTGGCGTCCCACCAGATCATAGTCTTGTCTCGGCTCGCCGTAACCAAGGCATGTTCCGAGGGGGAGTAGTCCAGCCCTTGAACATCCGAGACGTGAGACTCGAGGTCCGCAACCACAGCGCGCTTGTGGAGGTCCCACACCCTGACCTTTCCGTCTTGACTCCCAGAAGCCAAGCGGAACCTGATCGTCGCATCCTCTTTGGCGTCATTGGCATCACTGGTCACGTCGCTCTTTCTCTTGGCCTTCTTGCTCTTCTTGCTGGTCGTCTGTTCTTCGCCCAGTCGCCCCGAGGCAATCTCAAAGAAGTGCAGGGCTGATACGAGGACGCTGGGGCCTCGAAAGGTATGCGTAACATAGCCTCCGAGTATATCCCACACTTTGATGTTGCCATCGGCGGCACCAGTCGCGAGAAGGGTACCAGTACGATCGACGGCCAGCACAACCACCGGAGTACCGTGGGGCTTGAGTGTGCGCAGTAGGGTGGTCTCGATTGTATCTTGTTGGTCTGAGAGCTTGAGGGAGTAGATGCGCATGGAGAGAGACCGAGAGCAGACGATGAGATGAGAAGCGGAGGGGGTCACTAAGGTCTTGTTAGCCGTCAATTGCGCCACCTCGGAGAGCCATAAGAGGAGGGAACGCATACAGGTCAATGTTGAGATAGACTCGTCATCCTATATAATGGGTGCCGCGTTAGCATTTCTCCTCTCGCCGGCACAGAGAGCATTAGGGTCGACGAACGCCTTCAATCTTTGCAAACTGCCTCCCCGTCGCCAAATCCGTCAAGACGGCGTCCTCCCCTAATGTTGTGGCCAAGATCCTTGCTCCATTGTCAAGCGCCACTGAGCCGCCCGTGAAGATGGGCTGGATCACCCGTTCAGGTTCGAATGTCGTCTTGAAGGGCGATCTGGTGGTCATATTTGCAGGCGCGCAGGAGAAGGCTTGGAGAGGTTGTTAGGAAAGGACAGTGTCGACCTTGTCAAGTCAAGACCAATACAACTTTTCTGCAGTGATAAGAATAAGGTTATCTTAGCGTCGATCTACAGGTAGGGGTCTTCCACATGCAGCTTCCCAGTCGGGTCAGCCAGCTAGCACTACTTTGTATGTTACTATCTGACGGTCTGTATGCTCTTTCCCAAATCTTCATTGCCATTCTGACCTGTCAATACCCCTACTTACTTAAGTAATCAGCAGCATGACTACTGTGCAAAGTGGAGCTTGGCATGACACCTTCCATATAAAGTCCCAAGTCTAACAGAAATTCCCAAAGCTAGGTACTTCTTATTCTTTGCTATTTCTTTTTCCTACCCAAGGAACCATATTCTGCAAACAATTTTTCAAATTGAGATCACTGCAGCTATAAAAGCGTGAGACTTTCATATGTCAGTACTGCATAGAACTGACAGATGAATCTGTCCCTGCCATAGCTCTTCACCACGACAGCAGAAGCAGCCTCCCACGGACGACCTCAGGTCTCCTCTGAACACATGACCCGACCCCAGAAGCTCCGACATGCTGGTCCTGACAGAACTTGCATTCAAACACGTCATCCTTCTTCTCAGGCAGGAGACGAAGCAAGTAGGCTATCAGCACCCAGTTGTTCCATGTACCAGGCCAGCGAAGTCGAGGTTGAAGTTCAAGACGAAGCTTTGCATCTCAAGACTGGGAAAAGCCCGCTCTAACAAATCCATGACGATGTAGCGTAGGGTCTACAACTGGGCTGATGGTCGAGGAGAGAGCGGAGAGCTGAGAGGGTATGTGTTTTCACGTGCTTTGGTGCCTCTTGTCTGTATTGACATACAAGTTGGCAGCTGGCTGACGTTTGTTGCTCGAGGATCTGCCGCTCGGAGAGGATAGATGTTTTTCTGCGAGTGCGGGCCGCAGGTTTCTTTGTAGTCTCGTCGACGGGCGGCAAGAGTCTTCGGATTTAGGGCGTTTTGGTGCCCGCGGCATTGCTCGAGGTCGTCGTCGAATGCCATCTCGGAGAGATCTGGTCATCTCTTTCCAGAAAAAAGTCCGATGATCCAATGATTGGTCCATCCTGCTCGAACAGAACAGATCACCTTCTCCTTATGACCGTGTCCCCAGTATCTGCGTCCAGTCGCCCGCCTTCTCGCTCGTCACCTCCCACTTTTTGTTTACTGTAATCTCAGGCCCGCTGTTCCCCTTGCCCCGCTTCAGCTCGAACAAGCTATCCTCCGTGTCCACCTCCTGAGACGTCGCCGCGCCGCTGCCGCTGCCGCTGCCATTTTCACCAGGCGCAGGCGCCGATACTCTCGCTGTGTGCAAAACGTTGTCGGCGCGCAGCCTGAGCCGCTGGGCGTGGTCGGGGTCGTACTGGTGCGTCCGCAGTTGGTTGGCCCACGCAAACCGGACCCGCGAGGTGGCCCTCCTCCTTTTTCTCTTCTTCATCTCTCTCAGCCCGAGGCACTGGCGCCTACCGAAGCCGAGCAGGGGCTTGAGGAGTGGTACACAAGCCAGGGTTACGGCCATGCTCGGTTCGATGCCGGTGAGGATGTTTGGGATGCTGATGGTCCAGGTGAGGTCGGTCCACACCATGCTCATTAAAGTTGGGAGGCGGATGATACTGACGATGCAAGTTCTGTTGAGTGGCGGAAAGGAAGCGGGGGGAGAGACCCATGGTGAGTTATATATACAAATATTTATATGTATGCATAGCATGATGGGGAACTTACAGGAAACCTAGGCCGAATACGATCATCAGGCCAATTCTAGACTCCTTAGGCAGCCGGAGACGGTATAAATGCAGCAGCGGGAGACCCACGACGATAAAGTCGGTTGCCAGGTTAATCACGCCGCTGATGAAATAAAACGCGACTTGGTCGCCGCAGTGGCTGCCCTTGACATTCTTCCAGTTGGCTGCGAGCGGTCTGCAGATGAGCAGGGCGCCGAGGACGGTGGCGATGGGCCAGAGGATCACGATGACAATGGTGATCTTGGAGGCGAAGGCCACGTATGAGTCTCGGAAGACCTTGATATAGAGCAGCAGGATGGACGTCTTGGACAGGCTCATGCTGATCGACCAGAGCAGCTCGAACGAGAAGACGACCTGGAGCAGGTGGGTGACAGGGCCATCACCGTACTTGGCGACGATGTCCTCCTCGTGCCCGTAACCCGTCCCGCCGTGGGCAACGGCCGTGAGCGAGGCCGCCTGGTAGCCGATGCTGGACAAAAGCACCGAAAGTCAGCCATCAAAGCAATCTGATGAGTATGTTCCTTTATTTCTTCTTTTTTTTTTTTTTTCGAGGATAACACAGGTCACGGAAAGTTCTCTCCACTCTCTTTTGGCAAAGCACCAAAAAATTGAGACATGAAAAAGATGAGCCCCGTCATCCAATCAAGCAATGAATAGTTCTTGAGCATGAGCATTGGGCAAAAATGCCAGCAGCAGAACAACCCACAAGAAAGGCATAAGACCCCGCCCCCGGAACAACTCAAAGGGGTGAGGCTGAGACATATAGCACTTTTGAGAGACAAAAAGAAAAAGGGGGGGAGGGGTGGCAGATTAAAGACTTCAAAATGAGGCAGAACACGTACGCGAACACGGCCGCCGCGATCACGCAGTAGTCACTGCCGCTCAGAGAGCGGTGTGCAAGGCGGTGCGAGATGATGCGGAGGGCGACAGCGACGGCGGGCAAGACGCTGAAGATGATGGAGGTGGCGACGAGAGTCTTCTGGCGGCCAGTGACTATGGGGAACGTAACCTGCATCATTTTTGGCTGTTCAGGCCGCTCATGAGGACAGGGCAGACGAGCCACACACACACACAACGTTGGGGTGGCAGCAAGTTACACAGCAAAGGTAACAGTGCAGAACAGTAGTATGTATTGTATTGTGAAATCGTCGCGCCGCTGGGTCACAATATCGGAGAGGACGCCTTCGTGCACGACCTGAACTCCCGCCTCATTCTTGGCGCGCATTTGGACTTGGGCACGTGCAGCGATCTCTCATTGGGGGGCGCTTCACGGGTACGACAAATACTCTTTCCCTTCGAGAATCTTAGGAATCATCCGCAGCGATGGCGACGCACCGCCAGCCATTTTTCTAGGGACACGCATGGTGGAGTTGAGTGGAAGGGGGGCGAGCACGGGTCATGACTTAGGTTTGACTGGGGGTTCTGCTGCGCTCGCCTCGTCGAGTTGGGAACCCCGAGAGCCATAAACTTTTGTCCCAAGGTTGTTTACAAGGAAAATCAACAAGGCTTCCTAATCGCTTCCTGAATCGGTTTAGTGGTGGATCCCTCCAGGGAGAAGATGATGGGTGCCGAGACGGAGCAAGTCCTTGGGTCATGCATGTCTGGCCAGGGACCACGGAGAGGAGATGGGGAGGGGGAAAGATTACAGACCCCTGGTTCTCCTTTCTCCTCATCCGCCCTGCGATACAAAAGTAGGCAAAGGGGTCTTGTGTCCATCTCGCAGGCGACTGCCGGCAGCACTGGGCGTGCTAGGGTCCCATCAACCCATGTTGCATGTCTAGGGAATGTCACTCTCACGTTTCGCTCATTATGGGCCAGACGGTTCGCTTGTCGTTGATGACGGATGATAATGATGATGATGTGTGCCAGGAAGTTGAGTCAGTGTTGCGATGCAACTGTGGGAATCCGTCTGGTCTTGACATTCGAGACATTGATATAAAACATAAACAACATAGATGTTGATCATGATGGACGAGAGAGAGAGAGAGAAAAAGACAAACACAACAGTACAATCTTCATATGAGAGATCTTGAAAAGCACGTCTCGCTTTTCAACTGCATAAAACCATAACTTCCTCCGGCGCTATGTGAATGAATGAAACCCCTGACGACCAACTCCTGCGCCATGCTCAATTTCCATCCCCCATCGTCGAGACACCATGTGCCCTGACCCCGGCCCCCATTAACGGCTCTCTCCGTCTGCCCTGTCCGCGTGACTCAAGACGTTGAGAGGTGAGTGGACACAATAGCTTTTACTCTGTACATCCAGTAGAGTCCCACAACGCATCTCGGCACGGAGGGAGGGGCAAGTCTTGTTGTGGCGCTGCAGCCGTCGGAGCTGATGAGCTATGGGGCCCTCATCTTTTTCCTCTCTGTCTGTCTCTCACATATCACCTAAGCTACTCACTTAGACCACACTCACTACTTTTCAGCTACAGACCCATGGTTCACCGAGCCATGATGGGGACCTTTTCTGTCTGTAAACCCTCGTCAGTCAGTCAGTCAGCCGACCAAGATATCTAATAATAAAAAAATAATAAAAAAAATAAACAAACATATCATGCAGAACCGGGAAGAGGAGGGTGTGAGAGCCAGGGAAGAAAAAGAGGGCCGATCCCACAAGGGCGGGGTGGGCAAAAACCCATGGAGAAAGACTTCTTTCATGCCCTTGTCCAGGAATGCCATGCCCCAGATCGAAGGTAAGTAAGGGGTTGGGGGGGAATAATGAGAGGAAAAGAGAAGGAAGAGAAGGGAAGAGAAAAAGAAAAAAATATTCTCATACCAAGTCCACCACCCACCATGTTCGGCGGCGAGTAAGGCGTGATGCGGCCCCGCGAGAGACAAAAGTAGCACACCCCCGCAGGCAGCGCAAGAAACACCGCCATCATCACAGGGAAAAACACGGCGTAAAACATGAAGCTTTGCGGGACGGTGCCATCGTACGTCCGCCAGTTGGTCGTTGCGGCTTCTTCGGCGGCTGCTGCGGCGGACATCTTTGTTTGGAGCAGGCGGGGACGAAGAGGGAACGGATTTGGTTTTCTTGGCTATTTATTTTGCTTTGACCGAGATTCCCCTTTTCTTCCTGAAAGGGTTCGTTGTTCGTCTTCTTTTCTTGGTGTGCTTCGGCGATCCTTTCAATTTTTTTTTTTTTTTTTTGGGAGGCAGAGTCCGACAAAAAAAGAGGTGCGCTAGTAGGGAAGTGAGCTGGTTATTGGTTTCGTTGTCGGTGTCGCTTGGCAAAGGTGAGGCTGATGATGGATGAGGTGAGATGTCTTGCTCCCAGGAAAGGTGAGAATGAGTGAGTGAGTAGTCGAATGGCAAAAAGACAGTGATCAACGCTGTCGTATTGTTGTTGCTGAGAAAGAGATGAGAAGGAAACTTGGTACACGGCGAAACGAAGTGAAATGAAGTCGCGATGCAAAAGATGGCGAGAGTGGGCGAAGCTGCCAAAGAAAGATAAAAGCAACAGATAAACCAGAGCAGAGATCAAACATGCCACCCCACACATAACAGGGTCAAACAAAACAGCATGTTCCCCATCAAAAAATCAATTCCAGGCCCTGTGCAGCAGCAACAGTCCCTCAATCAGCGAACAAAGTCTGCGCATACGCCCCCACCGTATGACCAGGAGGAACCAACATAAAAGGCGCAGAGAACAAAAGAAATAGGTGTTGGTTGCAATTGATTGGTTGCCACGTAGCCCAGTGGTACGGTTCACATTGTGTGCCACCCCCCCCCCCCCCTTAGTTGGACAGGGCATAAACAAGCGGAGGGAGGTAACAGTAGGATGGAGCCGAGAAGCCGAGCTGGCAATTTCAAACCACACCATAGTTGATTAAATGGGTCGTTATCTGGGGTCATGTCGTTTCAGGAGGCGCAGGCGTGCTGCAGGAGGAATGGCCCTGCGGGAAGCAACGCCACAAGAGCGGTATCGTGATGATAAAATAGTGACTTGTAAGCGACACATTCCAAGTCCTCTCATTGTGGAAGCGCTGAGGAACAAGACAGACTGGGGCCGAATGCTGATTGATCATGGAATGTTGAGTTCAACGGGGTTGAGGATCCACTATTGTATAAGACGAGGCGGGCCCTTCAGCGGATTGGTGATGAGAGCATGTGTACGTGTGTGTACGTGTGTAAGTGTAAGTGTATGTATGAGAGAGAGAGAGAGAGAGAGAGAGAGAAAGCATCTCAAACCTCACCTCATCATGAGACATGTACCTTTTTCATTTTGCCTAAGCTATGGTGGTCCAACGCGCGCAAACCGCAGCTAGAAGGGTGATCATTGCTTTTTCTCCTTCTTCTCCTCTTTCCTTTTTTGTGCAACCCAGCTCGACTGATCCCTCCTATGCGCTCTTCAAGAAATCCCACAGTGCATCCTTGTCCACATACTCGTGATGGATGATGTTGACCAACCACAGCTTGCCCTTCAACTGCTCCAGCAGCGCTGTGCTGTCGGAACCCTTGCCGTACACCTGCGCCCACTCGCCCCAGATGCCAAAGGCCTCCTCCGCCCATGCGCGGAAGCTGACCTCCTCGATGATGGTTGGCGTGATGATCTCCTTGCCGGGGAACACGCCCCACGTCACAGCATTGGTGCTGGCCTCCTTAACCTCGACATTGAGCCCACCGCTGCCGTCAGAGGAGACAAAGTCGCCTTCGGCGTTAGCCGCGTAGAACCACACATTGTCCTTCATCTCGGGCTGGCAGAGTTTCTCGTGCAGGCGCTTCCAGTCGTCGGTCGGTATGAAGAACTCGACAAAGGCCTTCTGGAAGACAAACCCGTTTGCTGGGCCCCAGCCAAACGTCGGATCACTGGAACGCAGGCCGTTCACGGCGGGCTGGGAAGCTACGGTCCACCATCCACGCGAGTTGAGGGTGAGCAGCTGATCCTTGATCGTCCCCGTTTCGGCGTTGAATTCTTCCTCGCTCCATGGGATGGCCGACAGCTCGCTCTTCAGATGTCGGATGAACAAGCTGCTTATATCCTCGGGCGTCTTGGGCTCGCCCCACAGCGTCTTGGCCTGCATGACACTCATGTGCAGGCTCACACCGTACCCGTCGATCTCGCCGTAGGCAGGTGAGCGTGCATCTCCCCATCGACCGTTGGGGAAGTCGTCCCACGTAGCCTCACGGCCTAGCACACCCTCTCCTTCCGAGATAGCCAGCGTGTTAGCCCGGCTCTGAACGGGTTCGTAGGGCCGGGACGCCTCCAGTTGCGTGGCCTCGTATTCTGGGTTGGAAGGCGTGCGCTGACCAGAGACGATGACGCGGTTTCGGGGCTCAGAAGATACGTGTGACTGTCTGCGGGACGATGGCCCTCCGGCAGGGGCGAGGTGGTGGTCTTGTGAATGACTGGAGACGGACCCGTTGATGGCAATCCTGGGGGCCGCAAGAGGGAGACCAAGATCGTCAGCCACGGCCTCCTCGTCGTCGTCAGAGTCAGCCGGTAGCAGGCCTGTGCGCTCGAGTATGAAGGAGACGGCCTTCTCCAGGTTTAGGGTGTAGAAATGGAACCCCTTGGGTCCTGGCGTCCTGCTCTTGATCTCGCGGACCTGCTCAACCAGCTCGCTGAGAATGTCGACACCGACCTGCTTGACTTTCTCGTCGTCCTTCCTCACCTCGTCCAGCCGCGCCATCAAATCCTCTGGTATCCTGGCATGGCTCAGCTTTGTCGTCCGCTTGATCATCTGATAGTTCTGAATGGGCATCAGGCCAGGGATGATGATGATGTTCTTGAACGCGCCGCTGGGATGCTCTCGCAGTGTCCTCTCGAAGTCGTCGTAGGCCTTGATGTCGAAGAAGAGTTGCGTCATAATAAAATCTGCCCCGGCCTGAGCCTTCTCCACGAGGTAGGGTAGGTCGTGGTCCATGCTCTGGCCCAGGGGATGGCTCTCGTCCGCATGCCCCTCAGGGTACGCAGCCACACCGATGCAGAAGTAATCGCCATGATTTCGCCGTATGTACTTGACCAGGTCTGCCGCCCAGTTGAACTCCTCAGACCCGTCCAGGTCCGCCTCTTCGTTCTCGTCCTTGTACTCGGCCCTGCGCGGGGGGTCACCTCGCAGCGCCAGTATGTTCCTGATGCCCAGTGCCTTGGCATCCTCGAGAGCCTTGTCGATCTGGCGGCGGCTCATGTTGGTGCAAGTCAGGTGCAGGCATGTCGTCAGGCCCAGCTCGCGCTGGCAGATCTCGGCGAGCTCGAGGGACTTGTCTTCGGTGGAGCCGCCGGCGCCCCAGGTGACGTTGACGAAGGTGGGTTTGAGGGCGCGTGCCATGCGTTCAAGACGCGATCGCAGGTTGGCAAAGCCCATGGCCGTCTTCGGGGGGAAAAACTCGAGCGAGAAGTAGCTGGCGTCGGGCGGCAGAGCCGCGATCTTGTCGGTGATTTTGTCCATCCTGAGCGAGCGGGCTGCAGCGGTGCACCTAACGATCGGAGGGGGTCAACGCCAGCGAAAGCAGTGGCAACAAAGGTCGTACGTAGAGGTTCGCAACGCTCAGCCAAGAGACCACCAGTGGTGGGAAATCTCGACAAAACTGGGAGGGCTTGACAAGAGCTGCTGATCCACTGGTGGAATTTGTTGGGCGGTTCAAAGACGAGCGGCGTAGAAGAAAGAAGCAGAGAAAATTGTTGAGCGCAAACTGTGCATGTGGTGTTTGTACACTCAGTTACGCCTTGGCCAAGAACTCAGCATGAGAAGATAAGGAAAGGTAGTTGATAAAAGTACAGTAGATCAGAAAGCACGAGGTCAATTGCCGTTTGCAAGACGTGCTTTCTAACTGCTTGTGTCCAGAGAGTCATGAACTGCTGTCCGCCCCGCCGTCCCGCGATGTCGGGAACGAGGTGGGGGGGGGGGGGGTAAAATCTACTTGCAAATCATGACATGGGGATTATCATTATACCGGCCTAAATCATTTTGATGATTTGCAGGTAAATATATATTTTTCTGGTTTTCCAGAAGAAACCATGTCATAAAAGTCACGTCTACAATCGAGACTTGAGGCAGTCCACGAAGTTGTCTGGATCTTAGGTAGAAATCTCAGGGATTGCTTATATTTGAGCTCTGCAAGTGACGCCCATAAGAACGTGGTAGACGATCGTCAAAGCTAATCAGAGGAAGCTTACGAACGAGGGGAAACTATCCATTATAATTAGCCTCCATCTTGCTGGAGGTGATATGGAAGTTGGCGGATCCAGAGATGGTGGTCCTGCTCAGAAAAGTGTTGATTGCCAAAAGATTGTCTCGTCAAGCCCAACCACGTCTGTCCCACATGGAACAGACAGGCTGGGCGCTTCAGCTTACCAGATGATGGAATGGTACATCATGGCAGGTTTTCCCCCATTGCACGAAGGAAAAAAGAAGAGGCAGCATCACTTACACCTTGCTACCCTCCAACCTTGACGCAGATATCATCCTCACCAATCCAGCAGAACAGCTCACTCAGCAGACGAGGCACGTAATGTCGTAATGTCTGTGTCATCAGGTCGTCATCGCATCCTGGGAATGCCACGCAAATTAGGGGCCCTCGTGATGACGGTTTTAGGACACTTTTCTTGTTTTACTCTCGACCACGGATTCGGAACTGCCAGTAATGTGGAGGTGGTTGCAATGCTGGCGGTGATTTGAGTATGTGGTCTGAAATGTTTGAAGAGAAGAGGAAGAAAACAAGGAAGCGATATCGCGCGATGGGGAAATTTTGAAGCTAGGAATAATTCTGCCACTCTCATCCAGATCTTGACCGCCTTTCTTATCGCTTCCTGCTTATCGCCTCAATCATCGTGACCCTTGGGCTAGGGACGTCACCCCTGCCCAGTGCACCCGCGCTAGTTTCCCTCCAGACTACCAAAGATCACTCACGGACTCAGTACCGTAGAAGGCAGACGACTTCACGTCTGCTCCCGTTCTCCCGCATTCAAGAATCTACATCAGTCGCCACCCACGCCCCGTCTTACAACTTGTGCAACCTCCACCTTGCCGCCCCTCACACCACAAAGGCAACAAGTTCATATCTACTACCTCCGCCGTTCCTCACCCACCAACCACTTCTACCACAACTACATCCCCCTCCTCCTCCTCCTCCTCCTCCTCCGCCACCTCCCCTCCCACTTCGTTCTCTCACTCCACCCCTCATAGACCGTCAAGATGTCCGAACGCAAGGTCCTTACCAAATACTACCCGCCCGACTTCGACCCGGCGCAGCTTACGCGCAAGAAGAAAGGCCCCAAGCCCACAGGCCCCCGCGTCCAACCGGTGCGGCTCATGGCGCCCTTCTCGATGAAGTGCACCTCGTGCGGCGAGTATATCTACAAGGGCCGCAAGTTCAACGCGCGCAAGGAGACGCCTGAGGACGAGCGGTATCTGGGCGTGCAGATCTACCGCTTCTACATCCGCTGCACGCGCTGCTCGAGCGAGATCACTTTCAAGACGGACCCTAAGAACCAGGACTACACATGCGAGCGCGGCGCCAAGCGAAGCACCGAGCCGTGGCGTCGCGGCGTCGACGAAGATGAGACGGACGAGCAGCGTCTCGACCGCCTGGAGCGCGAGGAGGAGGAGGCCGAGGAGCGCAGCGCCATGGAGCAGCTTGAGGCCAAGACCGTCGACGCTAAGAGGGAGATGGCCGTCGCCGATGCCCTGGATGAGATTCGCACAAGGAATGCCCGGCTCGAGAGGGCCCACGGTGATGGCCTGCTGGGCCCAGAGGCTGTCGTGAAGGACGAGCAGAAAACCAAGGAGGATGAGGAGGATGCCGCTGCGTGGGCCAGGGCACAAGGCCTGCTGGAGGAGGCCATCACCGAGGAGGTGCTCGAGGACGGAGACGAGGACGGCACCACGCCTTCGAGCAGTGGTTCGGTGAGGACGTCGATGCCTCCACCACCGCCGCCGCCGCCGCCGCCGAGAAAACAGGTGGTGGAGGAGATAGCCCCAGCCCCCAGTGTCAAGAGGAAAGCAGAAGAGGACAACACTACGCCTGCGCCCACCTTCAAGCGCCAGGTGAAAAAGAAGAAGGAAGTTCTGCTCCCCGGCATCAAGAAGAAATAGGTTCACTTTCCAGAAGTTCGAAACTTTCTCCGCAGACCATGCATGCGCAATGTGTTGAGACAGCCGTCCATTGCGCAGCGATAGAGAGACATTTTCACCACTGATTCTCGAAATATAGATATAGCAGACCATGATCAATATGACATAGCATTTTCGCACTCATACATGAACCCGTTGAGGTCGCAGGGCTGGTCCAACATTTCTCTGTTCCCATCTTGTTCCTTCACCCGCCAAGCCACGTTACTAGGCAACATCTTGGACGAGTTAAGCTGGTGGCTTGTTCTCCACCCCTGCCTTGAGAGGTTGGATGTGATACATCCAGGCGGGCCGGGAGGGGCGGAGCGTCCAGACATCAGATCTCACCTCGGAAAATCAATTCTCATGCCAAAGACGGGACCGCGCTGGGCAGTCTCAAACCACTACTCATCACATACAGTAAGTGAAGAAAGACTCGATAAGCGCCTTATACTTATATGTATAAGAGACATCTATGGATTTCAAACAAAGTGACATGGCAGGCCTTCTCACAGGTGATTTACTGTACCTACTTATCGTAGTACTACATACCACCCGCTCACGCAATCCCTGCGTAGTCCCGCTGCTACTGTACAGTACTATGGTACCAAGAGTACGTCTCTTGAGGTAGCTACACAAAACCTGTTGGGTGACAACCATGGCAGTGGTCCCGCGCCCAACTGTCCCACCACAAAATCCTGCTTTCGTCGCCCCCCTCCCTCCCTGTCTCCTGGCCTGACTCAGTTCTTCCAAGGACTCGTTGCTGTCGTTACATCCTTTCCAACAGGTCTCAAGTCACGAAAGCTTCACTTCCCCCCAGACCTCGCAAGTGCTCCCGAAGAAGCTGGTTGAGAGGACCTCTCCAATGTTGTGTATGTTGGATTTGTGTAGTGTCATACATCACATATGCAGTATACACGAAAGTATATTTGATCCAATCCTATATCACCGTGAACAGATCCACAACCAAAACATATCACAAGCATAGTGAGGAACGTTCATTGAAAGTGATACAGAAGTAAATTCGTCACGAAAAGCGTGTAGATACGCTTCCACATCTGTAACCGTATATGTATCCAGATGCCATGCCCCAACTAATTTCACAAGCCTAGACTCCTTCCTCGCAATGATAGAAACACTTCGTAACCATGATTTTTCGCTTCTCTCTTAAAAAGTACACATCATGAGTCAACCCTGCTTGCACCCTCTACACCTACTTCCCCAGCGCTGTGGAGAGGAGCCTCTCTTGGGCCCCTGTCGTAGTCAGGGGAGCGATAGTGAATAGTAGTAGTAGCACCACTGCCGAGCATGAAGCAGAAGCAGCTTACCCCACTCGTTGCCCCATCGGAGGGCTTGATGGTGTGGGATGTTCATATGCTTTCCCAAACTCTGAAAATGATGGGCAGGCGGGGTTGGCGGTATCCCGTCTACCTTTCATCATGCGTATGCTTCATGTGTGTGGATTTGTTGTTTTCATGTTCCGAGTTGGTGTAGAGGTGTTGTTGTTACAGTGCCGCCGTTGCCGGCCGAAGCCGTAACAAATAAATGATTTGTTTGATACACTTGGTGGGCTGATTGAGTTCAAGAGTGCAGGTACTCGTCCGTGTTGGAGGAACTCGAGTGACCCACACCGTTGGGCATTGATGGGGTTCCGCGAGAGCCCGTGTTGCGTGATCGGCGCTCTTGAGAGCGCGACATGGCTTCAATTTGTCTCTTGGTGTGCTGGTGCATGGAGCGCATGTAGGAACCAAGGTCTGATGGTGGTGGTGGCGAGTGAGAGATGGAAAAAGAATCCTGAGAGGACGACATGCTGTCGGCGAAGAGAGGCATATAGATTTTGTGGCGTGTGTTGTGGGAAAGTGTGTTGGGAAAGTGTCGAGGGATTTGTCAGTCGAGAACAGACAAATTGGTTGTGAAGGAGAAAAAGGTTGAAGTAGTTTGATGAGGTTTTGGATGCAAGGCTGTTTGCTGAGGTGTTGTGATTCCGATGAAGATGAAGAGCAAACTCCAGAACAGGAAAGATGTTGTGGACTTCCTGGGTCTTTATAAACTTAAAATGAGCAGGCTGACTTCTGCCAGAGGTATGAAAGGCAGAGGTGACGCGAGAGAGAGCTGGGTAGAACCTTGTGTGACGACTGTACGTCCTGGACCCTGAGAACCCTTCATCATGGTTGTGGGCCAAGACCTGTTAGCGCTCCTACCTCTCCCGTCACCCGCCTCTGGTCTGCAGGTTGCCTACAGGATCCTCGCCTCAGTTTTGCCGTATGCGTGAAGGTGCCTCACGCACTAGGGGCAGGGTATGGCGTAAAGGTGCGGCGGGTGGGATGGTGATCGCCGCCACCCTGCAGGACTGGGTGATGTAGCCGTGTCCGCTCCCGGCTCGAGAGTGGTCGGCGTGATGCAGCTTTGGCAAAGCGTACATGGGCTGGGCCAACATCCTCGCAGCAACGCTAGGACGGCAAAGGGTCTGATGTGCACGGCCGTTCCAAGGGTCTTGCTGGGAAAAGGACAATGGCCACCGGGGGGATGAGAGAGAGGGGACCCTGAAAATCAGTGATGAGGGCCCTGGGTCATGGTCTCATGTCCATCTATTGGCCACAGCTGCGGAAGGCCCCCCCCGTCGCCTCCCCAAGGGTCCTTTGTACCCCCCTTCCAACAATCAATGGCACAAAATCTTTTTGTGTCGTGCCGCCACACAAGTGAGAGAGACCTTTTCAGCTCATGTTAACCCAGGGATCGAATGTGAGAGAAGGGCGAGGACATCTCAGCGTCCCACAACCAGGCCTCGTAGTTCTTCTCCCCTCCTGAGGATATATCTTTTCGGTGAGTGATACGTGAAGGGGAAGGGCACAAAGGCAAAACGGCACCAGCCCCATCACTACCACCCACGCCCAAAATGCCTCGAGATCGACATGGCCACCCGCAGAAACGATTCTCGTTTTCACATGATGTCATTGGCTGGACGCTTCTTGTCGACAAGGAACGGCCTTCCGCATTGGTGCAGACGAGCTACTGCTCGAGCACACCCCCGCTTGTCGGTAGTACTGTACTAGAGTGTAATTCCCCTCTTGGATCGTCGTCTGCCTCGACCCTGAATGGCCAACGTAGGTTGATACCCGCATGAGGTGTTGAGAGAACTCTGTATCATAACACTCGGGAACACCTCTCTCCGTGGTCAACACCACAAGCAGCGCGCCTCATGAGAGAAAGAGTCAACTCTCGGGGTGGGTGATGTTCCCATCTGCTTGTTGTGCGCCCTGTAACGACCAAAACTTGGCAGACTTGGCAGTGGGGGATACTGGATGGGTGATGGAAATCTCCTTGGATTTCCATACCGACAACGAACTTTCTGGTAAGAACTGCCCAAGATTGAGGCCCCAGTGAACTGACTCGGCAGTCTGGATCCAAAAAGATCTAGACCGCGAAGGTATCGTGAAGATCGTCGGAAATATACAGACGCTATACCCATACCCGTAGATCCCCTATGGACACACACTCATGTCCAGGGGTGCGAGACAAGGGCGAGCGAGCGAACCGCTCCCAAAAAGAGCATCCCTCCCCTTTGTCAGACATGACGAGACTGGCACTTGCATAACTGAGCCAAACATGCACGACACATTGTACATAGTACACTTGGGGTGGATACCTGACTACCTCTGACGAGGTATCAAAATCCGCTTGGATAGAAAAATGGGGCTTAGGCGATGTGTAACAAAAGAATGAAGACAGACATGTAATGTTCGCTTAGCTGTACCAGGCACAAGTGAGGTCAGAAACTAAACGACAGACGTCAATCGGGCGCCACCGTTTTGGCTCCAGGGTAGTTCGTTACGTCATACTGGAGCTTCCTGTCTGTACTTCTGCTGATTCGCTAATTATAGTGGGTCGGATGTTATAATCCGGGGGGGGGGGGATGGGGCCAGAGGAAGGCGCCCCCTTGCCCTGGCCTCGTCTGCACGTAGGGTCCCTTCCAGCCAGGGGTTTCTGTTTTCGCCTCAATCCTTCCCTTCCCCATCCCACTCATGATACCTGCGTAAGTGCTCGCTTCTTCTCCCCCCTGTGGCCAAATACCCAAAAACAATACCTCCCCGTTGTCCCATCCCCCGGCTTAGAAGACGTCAGGCCTGACGTCGAGCAGCCCTTCAGGGTATCAGTTTCTGACCCTACCGCAGTGGTTTTGACGTCGTCGTCGCTACAATACATCACGACAGTGGAAGGAGTGACGGAGTTCGAACTGGCACCCACTGGCACCCTGTGCTACTGAAACTACGCATGCTCATGACGATTTTGACCAGGTCCGTGAGATGATTATCAACAAGCTTGTCGATAGTATGAAGCTGCGCAGATCCTGCCTGACATTAGACACACAATTACATCGGGGGTCTTGAACCCACTAGATGCACGAAGGACCCTGCAGGAGAGACCCAAAGGTAAGCTTCATCCCACAGTCGCATCGGTTCCAATGTCTTACCAGGGCCATAGTCCATATGAATCAAATGCTAGCGGTCGAAGCGCGGCAAGCCCTGACGAGGTGTGTGTTGACACAAACACACCGTCATCTATGTATCTGAGCCGTCCCGTGCCACACACACTGCACAATCCAACACCACCGAGGCCCCCCCCCCCAGGAGAAATCATCGCTCTTCCAAAGACGACTCTTTTGCTCCTCTCTCCGTGGTCCACAAGGCTGAAAGGGCTGGGTTGTCCCCTACTAGGCGATGACGTTGCTAGAACTCTCGATCTCTGGCTTATGGGTCTATTCTCGAGATCGCAGCCTCGCCAGTGGTGTGCCATCTTGTAGCAGGCTTGCTCGTTTCAAAGACCATCTACACAGTCTGGCTAAGCAGCTGAAGGCTCCTGAAACACCTTGATTCAAACCCCGCCTGCGCCCCTCGATAAATCTTGGATGCCGCCGCCATCTCTCAAGTGAGGCAATTGATGATGGGATTTCTGAAAATCCCATGTTCGCCACCCGGATCCTCTCCCCTCCGCCGCATCATTCCCCGCCATGGCTTTTCGGGCTATTGACAAATCGGGCGGTTCTGGGGGCAATTCTCTAGCTTGAGAGATTAATCCCCTCAGAGTCTGTTTTCCCCGCTTGAGACCAGTCTTTGGGCGACGCAAACCTCTAACCATTATTTTACGTGGCAACGTTGCTCTTTAGAGGTTGCCATCTGGCAATCAGCTCTCATTGGTATGGATGCGCCTTTCGCGAATGATATGCTGTATGAACCATACCATTCGATTTGGCTTCAGCCCAGTAGGAAGCCCTCGTATTTACTAGGGGCGTTTTTGCTATGGACAAGACGTTTGATCAAAAGGTCAGCAATAAAAAAACACGAACCCGTGCCTCCAACCCCTGACCCCTTTCTTTCCTTCCTCCTTTTCTGGTTTTTTTTTTTTTTTTTTTTTTTTTTTGTTTCTCTTTCTATTTCGTCCTACATTCTAGGTCTCTTCAAATCCTTGTGAGTAATGACGTCCACCTCCTTTGCTTTCGATCTTCCGCCAGAAGTCGTAGCGGGAGATAGATCATCGAGGTTAAGGCAGGATGACGACGGTCGAGAGTGCGTTCTCGGACAAATGTGCTGTCGCAGTTAGTAGCGAAACCTCAACCCCGGCGTCTGACGTCGTCTCAGAATATCCACCATTTTCTGTCCTTTTGGTTCTTGTGCGCAAGCGCATGCACAACCTTTTTGAGAGTTGGCCTATATCCAGATGACATTTGACAGATACTTTCAAAATACTATCAGAGGGTTGGCGAGAGAACATCAGAAAATCGACCATTTCTTGCCCCCAGAGCCGTAGCGTACAATTTATTATACTTTTCATGCTATATTACTCGCTCAAAGGCCTTGCGGCATCTTTACGAATGGCAAATCAAAGATGTCTGTGTACCTTCTACCCAACTCGTACTGTGGAAACTCTCTCCGTAAAATGAACCTTGTGGTGCTTCTTCTGCCTACGGACAATGTGTACTGACGTAGTTGCATGAGGATGATCTTCCTTCGTGGTGGTCGCCTAATACGGAGTCTCCGTTCACCTGCATCACTAGGAAACCATCCAACGGCATCAGACCTATCGTCTATGAACACTGTCCACGTCAGAATAAAAGTCGGTCGAAATAGCCACAGCTCTCGCGGCCTACGTCATTCGCCCCCCTCCCCTCCCCTTCTTCTCTTCCTTCCTTCTCTTTTTCCCCGCTACTGACTGTCGATACGAAGTACGCACAAGAGGGAAGAGAAGCCAGCATGCGAAAAAAGCAGAGTGAGGAAATGGTTCTCAATGGCATACTGGCTAGTGAAGTGCCGGTCACCTCATCGAGTCGTCTTTCCTGGTACATCCGGGGTCTTTGGCTTTTTAGGTGGTTGTTATTATTAGTTTTCTGTACAGGAGGTTGGGCTACTTTCTTCTGGACGACCGGGAAAGAGGCTGTGGAAAGGGGAGGGAAAAGGGGGAGGGCAAGGCATTTTTGCCTTGGCGGCTTTTTCTCCCACTCCGAAAAATGGCTTATGATTGTAGCAAAGTGATGAGGATAACTGAATCCAACCAGCCCTTTTGGTGTGCCTCTCTCAAGTTGCTTCTCTCCTTTCTCAGGCTAGTCACCTACATCGCTTGTAGGTTTGTGTCAGGAGTTGGAGCATGGAGATCGAGGCAATCAATGTCCATATACTGATATAAGAAGAGGTGGGAGCAATGCCATATTCGCTCTATCACTACGGATCGCTCATGTTGCTACCAAACACTGTTGATAGCACGTCGTTGACATCTAATGGAGCAATAATCACTGTGAGCAGCCTTCCACAAAGTGAAGTCAACTCGATTCTGCCCAGCCTGTCAGTCCACCACACTTCACGATGCTAGTACTTTCGATACCTGCTTTAACCTTTCCTTTTCCCTGTCTAGACATGGTTCATGTAGACAGCTAACAGCATGATGATCTTCAACTACCTGTTGATACCTCGAGCTGCTTGCCATATTCCGACAGACCCCAAATACAATCTCGTTTGCATGGAGAGGGGAGAGCTCTGATTGTTCACTTACATACCTGTCATACTACTGTCACTTAAGCTTTGCATACCGACCTACAACTTGCCCACATCTACCTTGAGCAACCGGGCGGCATTCTTCCAGCGAATGCCCTCCAGCTCTTCCTCGCTGACCATACCGCTCTCTTCCAGCTCCTGCAACCACTTCAGCCCATCCGGGCTCCTGGCAAAAGGGTAGTCCACGCTATACATGATCCGATCGCGCTTCGTATTCCGCAGGATACACGCCAGCGGGTCCAGCGCCCAGTTCCCGCTCGTCGTCAGCCAGAGGTTGCTATCCCAGACCTCGCGGAACGACCTCGCCCGGCCCCACCGCGCCGACGTGCGCTGGATGCGCTGCAGCATAAAGGGGATCATCTCGCCCATGTGGCCGATGACGATCTTGAGCCCGGGAAACCGGTCAAAGACGCCCGCTGCGTACAGGCGCAACACGTGCACGGCGACGTCGCTGTGCCAGCCGAAGCCGAACGCCAGGATGGACGTGGTGACGGCGTCGGGCAGGGCCGGGGAGCGGTAGGCCTCTGTGAGCTGCGCCGACGGCCACGTCGGGTGGAGGTAGATGGGGACGTCGAGCTCCGCGGCGGCGGCCCACAGGACGTCGAAGGCAGGGCCGTCGTAGTAGAGCCCGGACTCGGTGTGGCTGTCCACCAGGGCGCCCACGAACCGCACCCCGGCGTCGGGCCCGCACGTCCGCCGGAGCTCCCGCGCCGCCTCGTCGGGCTCGTCCATCGGCAGCTCGGCGAACCCTGCGAACCGGCCCGGGTGTGCGCGGACGGCCTCGGCCAGCTGGTCGTTGCACGCTCGGCACTGTGCCGCGGTGAGGTCGCCCGGCCCGTGCGAGATGACCTGCATCGTGACCTGGCCTTGGTCCATGTCCTGGAGGCGCTTGGGGCCCAGCTCGGTGAAGCGGTCAAACAGGTCGGGCATGGCTTTGAAGTCGGCGTTGCGAGGGTGCGGGTGTTTGGTCGCTGCTTTGGAGAGGAAGTGTTCCTCGAGGGTGATGATGGGGCGTTGGGTGGGGCTGGTGGTGGTGGTGGTGGTGGACGACATTGTCTTGATCTTGTTGCCGAGTGCTTGTTGTTGTTGTAATTGATGATGGGAAAAGGTCAATGGTGCTCTTGGACGGAAGAGCTTTGGAGGGAGGAGCCTTCGCAGCATTTGTTCTTTTGTTTGGAGCGTTGAAGAGAAGAGTGAATAGCATGTCTTGAAAGCCTGGGACGTATTTATATAATGCATATATCCTCAACCTACGTCGTTGATTTCCCTCGTTTGCTCCGAACTGACCGTGTCTTAGCTCCGTGCACGGGTTGTCCTCCGGCCCGGATTACTACCGTAATAGGCAATTTCTGGCATGTTTCTGCCCCGGATCCTATAAGGCCTGTTCCGGCCATGATTATATCCATTGTCCGACGAGGTGGGTCTCAACGCTTTGAAAAGCATGCAGCAATTTAGCAGAGTAAGCAAATCAGCACGGCAATTAGATGAATCCTCTCGAAGAATCAACCTGAAATTAGTCCAAGTAATTATCTCAGTCAAAACATAGCTCCCATTCATTATTGCAATCATGTAGAAACTATGCTTCTTCTTAGTCATATTAGTAGACGATGATGTCTTTTGACAGAAGCAGGACAAGACACAGCTGCCACGTACAAATTATCAAAAAGTAAAGGGTAAAAACAAATCATATTCCAGAATCATTCTGTTTCACCTTCCAGGTAGAATTGAGCTGCCTAGGTCAGAGATGTGCTTCTGCAAGGACCAAGTAAGTTCTATTACGACTTCGAAAAGAGCATGACGTCGGGAACTGGCGCAAACAGGGAACTCTCAAACCAGGAGCATCCAAACCGGATATTCTAAGACTGGGCACAAAGTCGTAATATTAGTAGAGCAGGTGGTGGCATTTTCTATCAACTGACTCGAGGGATTATTTATGTTTGGGGTCTTGGAACACAATTAGATAACTAGATACCAGAACCCACCAACTACGAGATCATCATTCACAAAGGCACCCCGCTGTGTGCAGTCTTCATGTACTTATCACATCCACAACGAACTCAGATCTATACTGGCTGAAGCACGCACGCCCGCATGCCGTCTTCCCAAAGAATTTTCCCTCCCAGTTCTGGTCATGTCCTGCATCCATGTACTCTTTCCACAGTGCCCCATCTCGGACTGACCATGAGCCGGCAGCCACTAGACCCCTCGTCCACACACCAAATCATTGCTTTTCTTTCTCTCCTGAGGTGGAAGGTGCTACGGCACAATGACGATGATGACGACGACAACGAGGATGATGATGGTCATCACAGGGAATAACTATGAAACAGAGCGGAGCCAGGCCGCCTTCCACCCCTCCCTCCCCCCAGCTCGCCTCCACCCGAAATCGCAGAGCTGAAAAAGGAAGCGAGAAGGCGAGATTTGGTTTTTTTTTCTTCTTTCTTTGCCCCTTCTCCCGGTAAATTATTCATAATTTTCCTTCTCAGTTTTGGTGGTTTTGCCTCCTTTTAGCTTGTGAAGAGGTGGTTGCTTGTGCACATAAATGGTATAATGGGGCCTGGGGAGATTTAAGAAGAAGAAAGGTACATCAAGGAATAATTTGAAATATCAGCAAGCTATGTGCCACGAATATGAATGACGACAGGGGATAGGGTGTAGATGGGAAGATGAAAGCAGGACCGGGGGCCTGCTTGAGTGGGAGGCGGGGCGTATGCTTTGCTGGCAGCTTCATTTGTGAAGACAACAGAGTCTCCATCGCCTCGGCCTGCTGCATCAGTCAACCGCGGGTTGGCATGAGTACCTTATGCACACATCTCATCGTTTGAGACCTCAGGTCGACGCCAACAGCCCGGAGAAGCTCTACCAATGCACTTCAAGTAAAAAGATAAGAGGAAGAGAGACACGCATTGTTCAAGGCTGACAGGCGATTAGAATATCATTACCATGTATCCAGCTGAAAAGGGAACCCTGAGCACTGCTCGCCCAGTCAGTACATGCATTCATTTCCTTGCCCACCCCCCTCGCTTGCCTCTTTGCATTCTAAAGACCGACGGCCTCTTGCTCCAGCCTGTTCCTCGCAGAGAAAGTCAGACTATTTCCCTCGACCCCAAAAACCAGCCAGGCTGCGTGCGCGCGCGCATGATTGGCATACAAATCTTGTAAAGCGAGTGGTCCCAAACCTTCCTGGAATATGCCCACGATTTAAAGTCTTTTCCCATGCCACATTGATTCCCAAAATTCTCCGTTTTAGATATATGTATAATATCCCCCCCCCCCCCCCCTCACCCCGTGACTGGGGTATACCTTGAAAGAAGACGTGGTACCTAGTGTGTTTGCCCACACAAGGGAAAAAGAGAGAGGGAGAGAGGAAGAAAGAAAAGAAACATGAAGACACAAGCCAGGTGGAGGTCCAGTGATCACCATGTGATTTGCGTCACACGGGTCTTCAGATCCGGGGTTCCGGCAGTGATGCCTCTACTTCCGCACTGCAGAACTGCGTTATGCTCCCGCAGGTTGAACTCGACCGCCATGACCATGACCCGCTTGTCGTGGGGGACAACCTTTTGCTGTACTCTATTGGCCTGGCTGACGGTGGATCCTCGTCGGGCATCCCACTTCGCATTGCCACCGGGCCCTAGGTTGTTGCCGAATTCGACGGAGCCGTTTGAATAACTAGAATGGGGCCGAGGGCTGCCACCGCTCGTATAAGCAGTGAGCGGAGACCGGCCGCTCGCATCTGAGAATGAGCCTAGCGAGCTGCGGCCTGGAGTCAATGCCTCCAGGTCTTCTTCTTCCTCGATGTCCATAATCCAGGAGCCGATGCGCGCTGTGAGCTCGCTATCCCACATGGCCTCCCTCCTCGAGCTGCTCCTGAGCAGCTGGATCGCCTGTCGCCTGATGAGCGGGTTGCGGCATTTTGTCGCCACGACGTAGAGTGGCGGGACGATCCCCATATCTGCGCTGAAGCTGGGCTTGATGTGAGTTGCCGTATACTCATGTCCACCAAAGATATCTGCCACATGCTTCGTGAAATGTCGGCATGTTCGGGGATCAGGACACCGTTTTTCAGCCGCCCGACGTTCTTGATCGCCCACAACCTCGCGTCCAAGGTCAACGATCTTCTGGAACTGAGGCTCAAACTTGTCGAAATGGCCTTCGCTGTCGCTGAACGTCATCGAGAAGAGCACTTGTCCCATCAGCTGGGACATCTTGAGGACCGCTATCGCGGCCTTCTCTTGGCTGATCACGCCAGGTGCAGACCTCGTGGTGAGGATGTGGTCAAACGCCTGGGACCAGGACTCAATCTGGCCCCGAAATCCTAGACCGTACTGGTGCAAAGTAGCGGGCAAGATGCCCATGGGTCCGTTTTGGCTTGCGGTGGAGAAGAGGGTTTCGGTGAATCTGAACATCCTCTCACAGAGCGTGTCCCAGGCGATTCGCGCCTCGTGCAGGGATGCGAAGCGATCAGGAATCGGGTCTTGATGCAGGGACACAGGGGACCCTCCATCGGACTGGGGGGAAGACGGGTCCGTCGATGGCTGGATCAGCCGTACGACATATGGCTTAGGAAAGTGGAAGGCCATATCATACGACTTTGCCTGGATCGCCAGTCGTGTGAACATCTGGATAATCTCGTCTTCCACGGGCTCTTCTGGATGTGCCATGAATGCGCGGCGTCTCTGTGCGCGCAACTGTTCCAGAAGGCTCAGGCCGGTCTGAATCTGCTTGATCGCCTGCTTGTGGTCACCAATAAACGAGTCAAAACAGGCCAGCAAGACACTGGCCATGAGCCGCGTCCTGTTTGCGCTGTTGTCTGAACCGGCGACACCGACCAGTGATGTGCACGCGCTGGAATATGATCTTACCGCCACCTCCCAATGACGATATGCACTGTCAACATAGTCGACACCAGGCCGTGGCGAAGTGGGAGGTGATTCGGAATTCTTTTCTAGAGTCTTGTATAGCGCGCCCAGTGCCACCACGGCATGACGGATTGCTACTGCAGAATGGCATTCCTGCAGGACCAGGCGTGACCAGAATACCGAGTCAAAGTAGCCCGACAGCTCGCTCGCAGTGTGGGACTGAAACAACTGAAAATAGAGGCCTTCCTGTTGAGCGAAGGGGAATGTCGTCGGTCTGTAGAGGGTAATGGCATTTTGCTGTTGCTGCTGTTGCTGGTGGTGCTGGTGGTGCTGCTGTTGTTGCTGCTGGTGATGCAGCTGGTGCTGCTGCTGCGCGAAAGGCCTTTCCTGAGGTGGCGTGTTCCGTCGCTGTTGTTTGGCGACACGTCGGGGGGGAAGCTGTATGGACTGGGTAGGCCGAATAGTTTGTGGGGCGGTTGCTGCCGAGCCGTCCGTAGGTCTCGGTCTGGGGAGGATTGGTATTTCCTCGAACGGCCGTGCGCTTCTTGATGGAGGTGGATAGCCGGAGCAGTTCTTCTTTGAACGCACACAGTTCGAGCAGGCCGGCCGTTTCTCGTCGCATTTGATCCTCCGCTGCCTATGAGCAAATCAAAAAAAAAAAAATACATATATCAGCGCTGTCTGTCTGCGGTATGTATGGTAACAACTACGACACGTGTGAAGAAGGACGCCGGGAAGCTACTAACTTGCAGTTACTGCAACCTGTCTTGACCTTTGGCTTGCTTGTCCTGGGTCGTCTCTGCCTCTGAGCATCGTGTGATAGGGTGGAAGATGAGGTCGAGGAGTCAACGGTTGGCGCAGGGGACGGCGCGCCGGTCCGCCGATGACTTGTTAGTTCGGGTGCCATGGTGAAAGGGATGAGTCGGGAAACGACGAGGCACTACGGCGCGCAATTGCCATTCCAGCCAGGCTGCAGCGTCAGGTCAGCAGGCCAAAGCAGGAGGGAAGGCTGACAAGAGCCCTCAGGACGATAGGACGTCGGTAAGGTCGGGGATTGTGGTCGTAAAGTTTGTAAGAAAAGGCACCCGAGAGAAGATTAGGGCGGTCCCCTCCTCAAAAGGGACGGATCGATATTTTTGAAGGCTTGCTAGGGCTGCAACCAAATCAAAACCCTCGTCGAGCCGGTGGGGACGCGGCGCTGGGATGCGAAGCGATGCAATGACCAGCAGCACACAGATATGTGGAGACGGCGGAGAGTTCCCACGAGCGAGGCTCTTTGGTCCAGATGCCGGGGGAGGACCAGGGGTTTAATAAAGTACTGCCTCGAGAGGGGGGAGCAGCTGCAGCAAATTTTAGGCAGCCTGCTGTGTGCAAGCCGGTGCAACACAGGCTGGCCGTAGGCGGCTAGAGACGTAACACTCAGGACGGCAGTTGTATCCGGAATCTGCTTGTAAGTCCGGTTGGTCGGCCTGTGCCGTTATGTCATGGCAATACCATAGTACTGACAAAAGAGGAGGACAAAGATTCAAGAGCTTCCCCCCCGTATAAACACACCCTCGCTGAAGATGACCGACGCAAGCGGGTGGAGAGAAAGCGAGAGGGAGAGAGATCGATGGTGGGGGTGGCAAGGCCGGTGGAGTGTGACGGTCCTCGAGAGAACAGACAAAAGCTGGCGTGACGCCCCCTTGTGGTTGGTCGACACGAGGTAACGCCGAGTAGGAGGAGATGGACCGGCCAGACAAAAGAATAGGCAAGACTTGTGGGCCCCCGTTGTTGAAGCTCGGACGGGAGGGAGACGCGGAAGAGAAGAGCCGTCGCGGGTATCAAAAGCTAGAGCTTCTGGGTGCCAGGTACCAGGGTCGTCGGTGTGGCTGGATACAGCTTAGCTGCGTTGTGATCAAAAGCGTCTGAGCGTTCAACTACCGGCGACACGAAGAGTGATAGGCGCTATGCTTTAATATGGGTGGTGGGGGGAAAGCGGCAGAGTCTGTGTCGAAGGTGACCGAAGAGGAAATGATCGAGACAACGCGGACGGGGCGAGCCGTATAGGAACGAATAGCGAATCTAGGACCTGAATCAAATGTCGAGTAGAGGCGGCAGAGAAATCAGAACCAATAACTCTTTTTTTGCAAGGGAGGACAGAATTGGAGAGGCAGAAGGATAGATGTCTCGGCCCGTTGGAACGAAGACGAAGAACTGCGGGCTGTAGATACCTAGATAGACATAGTTAGGCGGGGCTAAGGAAGAGGGCAGATGGGTTCAAGAAGCCGGAACCTACCTATAGGCGTGCTAGGGCAACTCTGCTGTCTGGCAAGTCCAGGTAGAGGCACCTGACACGCGACGGCAGGAGAGGGGTACAGGGGGCTCTCAGGCCCTGTGAGGCTGTACTATGCAGTAGTACGGTTCAGGATATGGAGTACAGTTACCAGACTGTGGTACTACTGCACCCGCTCCGCCCGTCGAGTGAATGTCTCAAACCCTTTTGTGGTAGTCTCGGGAGAAGAGGCACATGCTGGCGATGATCCCTACTTCGCCCTGCATGCGGATGTATGATCACAATATAAATCGAAGCAGGTGATGTCGTAGTTAATATACTGCCAGGCTCTGACCGCGAGATGCTTGTGCTAATGCCTCTCTCAGTCCCTCCCAGTCTCTCTCCCACTCTCTCATTCAAGAGGCCACCTATCCTTGACCGTCGTCTCTGGGTGAGGAAGGTGGGGGAAGGGGGGCGTAGTAAGCACCATAGTACATGATGATAGCTTGTACCATGGTAAATGCAGAATAAAGTTTCTGGTGGAAAAGGGTCTAAGATGCTCTTTGGATTTTGTTTTCTGGGCTGCTTGGTGATGGGCTGGGCGTGGATGGGCGTGGAGTGAAGGTGGAGGAGGGAGTTCAAGGGAGGCCCTGTCCCTGGATTTTCCAATATCCTATGGTACTCCATACTGTGATAGCATGGAAGGCCCGTCTCACTCATGGGCTGCGCCTACCATGCTACTTGTAGCATGCCATAGTATGGAACTCTAGCATCCTAGCTGCCTTAGAACCCTTGTATCCTAGTACACCAAAGCTACCCTTGTGACGCCTGATCATCTCTCGCTCATTCTCTCATATTTGTCTTTCCTCCCCACCTGTCAAAAGAACCCCGGCCACACACCACCCAGAACAATGTCCTCTACCCTTTTTCACCGCAACAGTGACTTTGCCGAGTTCTGACATTGTCGAAGCCCACTTCTCCCACTTGGTATCTCTCCTCCTGTCAACCAGGAATGGATCCACCGCTTTCTGAGGCAGGACAGAAAACTAAAGGACTGCACACACGCAAAGCCTCGGTGAAGAGACACCTAAGGGTGGTTGTTCTCCCCACCGCTGGAAAAACGGGCCGTTTCTTATGTGCAATGCGCTTTGTAAGCTGCTTTGTAAACTAGTGCACCAGAGGACAGCGACAACGCGCCACAGGTCTATTTTCTGTTGCGTGAGACAACCGTTGAGGATGGTGGCATAGCATAAGACATGATGGATGCAATATTTTCCACCAAGCCACAGTCAGAACCATGTAACGGGACACCTCGACGCGGCTCTCTTTCTAGGCATTCGAGAGAAAGAGAGAGGAGGGGAGGATGGCTTGAAGAAGGGGTGAACACCCTTTTCGAGATCGTGCTGAGGACCCTTATGGCGTTGGAAACACGATCCTGACTGATCTCCTGTGCAGATACTACAGTAGAAGGATGCCATGAACCATGCAACGAAAGCCAGGGCCCCAGGTCTGTTATGACAGTACCCACCATCTCAGCCCTATGAATTTCGGGACCAGTATTGATCCTACGGGGAATCGACAAATCATCTTTCAATTCACTTACCTCTATCTCTCACGTCAGCGTACGACTTGTTCTCTCCCCCCCTCTCTCTCCCTCTCTCTCCCCCTCTTGTCGGCTCCCGGTTCACAGGCGACTGAGGCTGATTGATACACTCTCCTCTGGGTTCGATTCTGCGAGTCAATGGTAGCATGACATTCTGCAGCAGCAGGCCTGGGACGATGGCGAACCCCTTTGGCCGGAAACAGGAAGAGAGCCTGTTTCCGACGCCATTTCCAGGGTCACATCTGCAGCCCACCCCCATCTCTTGTACGCACAAGCCGTCAGCCCTAATCCGCGACAGGGTATCGCCGGGACTCTGCGATCCCGATCAAGCGAGATTGTCTGTACGGCCGGTTCCTCACCAATCAGGGCCAACAAGCACTCATTTACTGGTTGGCTTGTCCCTTGTCTCCTCCCTCCAATCTACCTTCGCCTTCCGTGGGAGCAGGAACAAATTGCACTGCAACACTGCATTCGGGAATAGCCTCGAGGATCGATCATGGCGACACTGGCCTTCTTGGATTCTACTTTACCCCAGAGTCTCTACATATACCACCACGCCAGCGTTTCGCTAACCTCGACTGACTGACCGTCTCGTTAGCATTTCGGGACCTGATATGCCAATGATGCCGACAGTCTAGGCGAGCAGTGGTTCCTTGAACTGTTTTTGTTGAGCAAGAGCAGCTCGAGAATCTGTTGTCATCGACTATGCTAGCACCCCAAAGGACGAGCCAGCCAAGCCTCAAGCACCTGACGGTACAATGCACCGAAGACACCAAGTTGACGACCCAAGACGTGCCAGAGACGCTAAGTATGCACTCGAAGACAACCTATGTATGACTCTTTACTGGCCTACGTCAATCATCTCGTCTCGTGCTCTCCGCAAGATTGTCATCGTCACGTCACCTCTTGGCCCCGACAGAGCTCTCCACAATAGATATGCGAGGACTTCGCCACGATCCGCCTCGGCGATGACAGGCGCACAACCGAAAAGCCGCGGCCAACACCGACTTGGATCACTCCTTGACTGCTGAGAAGAGATCACCATCAGGACAATAAAGTGCCGGCCATCCCACACGTCACCACACCATCTTCTCTCGATTGTGACCGCTTTTTGGAGGAAGCCTTCGATCTATCTTTCCCATCCCAATGCCTCGGGTCCATGGGTGTCACTGGGATCTTCCCCCGGGACGGATCTCATCCTTGCCCACCCCCCTCCCCTTCTTGACCCCCGGCGCCGGGGCGCCTGGCCCACTGAGGCTGTGTGCAGCAGTATCCGGGGTCCTGTTCATCTCATCATCGCACGTCGGTCATAGCCGTGGCATTTCGACGCCATAGCTAAGACCTGATGGTTTCTTGCAACGTCAGCCAACCAAACAGAAGCTACCATGACACTAACTCATCCACTTTGCTTGCGCTTGTGTCGTCGGCCGACCGCGGACAATGTCTTTGGGTGTGGCTTGAATGTGCGTCGCCCACTAAGACCAAACAGAACTTGCGATCAGGCATTCAAACATTTCTCGTCTAAACTTTTGCTTGGGACTATTACGGCACTTTGATGATGGGAGGTCAGATGGAATGTCATGATGCGTGCGGTCAATGTTCCAAAAAAAAAAAACCAAACCGTCGAGACCATGTGAACGTTACCTTGTGATGCACCCTTTGCTCCGGCCTTGCTCATTCAGCCCCGACAAGTCTTGGAAAGTGATCACAATTACAGTACTACATCTTTTCTTCTTTTTTCCGTCTCCCACCCACCTTCTCATCACCTCGGCTCCTGACCTTGTAATATCTCGACAGCCTCGGGGAGTATACTGTTCCTCTAGATCTTCAGCTTGTCCAGAGCATCGACCACCATTCCCCTGCTGCTTCTGAGCTTTGCCCCGAATGAGGGAGGCTCGAGCCTGACCACTCGATATCATTGCATATACAAACCTGGAAGGGAAGTGAAAGAAGAAGAAGAAGAGAAGGAGAGGCCCAGTGCTCGGATGGCGGCTGCTTTCCGCACTTTCCGCAGTGCAACATCCATTTACTGGCATTAGGCTGCACATTTTGCTTGCTTCGGAGTAATGTTTGTTGGATAAGACGAAAGTAGCCTTCAGTAGTGTTTGTCCTGTGAAACATGACCAACAAGTGACTGTTATAGACCTGAAACTAGTTCCCTTGGGGTTGTTGCTGAACTTGATACGAATTATACAATTTTTTCATGGCATGTTGGAACATGATGATCGATGTTGATGACGCGAGAGCATTGGTGCGGTTATTTGTCTTGTTTTTTTTTTCCCTTTCTTTTTTGAGGTGCAAGATATTGATGACAATGAGGAAATGTCTGGATGGTTGAGCAACCTTCCTCACCATGGTTATCTAACCTTGACCTTTCAAGAATAAAAAATGGAAGAAATGAAAGCCTATGCAGAAAATTCAAAGGGGTATCCTCCTGCCACAGACAGTGGCTCCTGTCGTCTTCATCTCGACTGTGTAATGCATGCACTCATATGCCTGGCTGATTGATCCCTCTTTCAAGCCCTCCAAGGCCCTAGCTTCAAGAGCTCCTCCAGCAGACCTCCCCTTGGCGGCTCACTCCGCCTACGCCGGTCTCGATCTCGGTCCCGGTCCCGGCTAGGACTGCGGTGGCGGCCTCCCCCTCGATCCCCTTCACGTTCACGTTCACGTTCATGCTCGCGCTCCCGGCGCGGCGGCTTGTCGTCGGCGTGTCTGCTGCTGTCCCGGCTTCGTTCTGAGTCTCGCCGCCGCGGCTGCTTGTGCTGCCGCTGCCGCTGTTGTTGTTGTTGTTCTTCCTCCTCCTGCTGAGGTACGGGTGGGCGGTTCGCTCTCGCACGTGGTGGGTAGCTGGTTTCGCTGCGGGAGCCGCGGGTGGTGGTCTGCGACCGCTGGGAGGATGCACGCGAGTCGACAGACCTTGTACTGTGCCTGTCTTCGGAGTGCGTCCTCGTCCTGCTGCTGCTGCTGCTGCTGCTACCTCTACCGCCGCCCGCGTCACGGCCCGGGCCGGGGGGAGTTTGCCTGGTGGGCTTCGGGAGGTCTCGTGCCTCGGGCCCGAAGCTGCCGACCGTGGGAGACACCCAGGAGTATGAGAGGCCCGAGCTGCGCTCTCTGGGCACGGCCGTCTGCAAGTCCAGCTTGGCCTGCTCCTGCTTCTTCCTCGCCCGCTCCTCCTCCTCCCGCCGGGTCTCTTCGGCCGTCGGGCCGTCGGGTGCTGCTGCTGCTGGCTGGGGGTGCAGCTGGGCCATCAGCACATCCCTGCGCCTCTGCAGCTCTGCTATGATCTGCGCCCTTCTCTGCTGCTCGTCCTCGCCCTTTGCTGTCGGAGTCGTGGGCTCCTTTTCTCTTCGGGGGGTCTCTCGCTCTGCCTGGGGTTGATTGTGGCTGGGAGTTTCCTTCCTAGGCGGCTCTCCTGCCGACACCTGATTGGCTTTTTCACTGCGGTAGTGTAAAGCGCGCCATCAGCGAGACTGTTGTATGGCACAATCACTTGAACCTGCGTGGGAATCTGCTCTGAGATATCATGAGAGCAACACACTTACATCACGTCCCATATCTTGCTCTTCGACATTGCACGCGGTCTCTGTGGCGTGGCACGCGGACGTTCTCGTTGTGGCTGGTCATTCTCAAGCTGGCCCAGGCGTTCTCGATCAGCCTCGATGCTGTTGAGATGGGTCAGCCCTTTTTTCGTCGTTTTTTGCCCACAATCTGCAAGATGGTTGATGAGTGTAACTCACGCGGCCTTCATCCTTTCCCTCGTGGCTGCATTTTCCTCTCTGCCAAGGAGATTGAGGCCATACTCGATCCTCTTCCTCAGAGCCTCGACATCTGACCCTTCACCGGGAAGCGCCATTGTGAGATGCAGGGCAGGACGATATGAGGAGAAATCGTCAAGTGTGTCAAGACATTAAAAGATAATAGAAAGAGAGAGAGAGAGAAAGAAAAAAAAGGAACACGATGCTTGATACTCAATGCTGCCGCCGTGAAAGGCAGCAACGTTGAAGCCACGAAGATACTTGAAAGATTGATCAAGCGTCCTAGAGGGGGAGGAGGAGGGAGGAGGCGATGGGCGCAGCCTGGCCGGATGAGACCAAGGCTGAGCCTAAATACTGCAGAGAATGTATGTTCTTTAGAGCGCTTCAATGTTTGCCAGAAAGTGAAAAGACCCAAGTTCCGCGGGAACCAGCCTCCGAATACCATCCAGCTCTGCCTGTTGAGGTGGCCGTGACACAAAAAGTCGTCTCAGCCAGGTGGACTGCATAAGCTTACAGGAGTTCGCGGGGGAAAGAATTGCACCCTGGTGGTGGTGAAGGTGTGTGTTTTGCTCTGCAGTGGGCTGGCAGTTTTGGTGGCCAGAATCGAGGCCCAACCAAAGAAGTTGGTACGGCCCAAAGGGGAGACCAAAATGATAAGGCTGCCAATCAAAGACCCCTGGTCAGGCAGTGTGGTAGTCCTTTCCTGGCCCCCTCCCTGCGTCCCCCTTTTCCTAAACAGCACAACCTGCAGTGGATGCTGTTATGGACGACTAGCAGCTCATTACTGTGGTGGTGTGTTTATCTGCCTGGTGGTCAGAAGGAAAGGAAGAAAGAAGAGGAAAATGCAGGTTGCGCGCGTGACGCAGAGCCGGCCCTGATGACACCTCTGTCTGGTGGACACGTCTTCCTCAGCTTCTCCAGGCTCTGTTCTACGTGGTTGTCCCCCCAGCCTGTCGTGGTCGACTTGAGCGAGCATGTCTCTGACACTGTTCAGTCACTGGCATCCAAACCCTTTCTGTAAGACGGCGTCAACATCTGACGCCAACACACAAATCCTCCTCGTCCTCTCCCACATCATTGCTTGTTGATGGTTCATGCATTGTTTCCGGCAGCCACCCGTGGCCCAGGGGTCAAAGCCGTGTGCGTCCCCGTTGCACGAGGCCCGCCATCATCTTGAGACCTGTGAGCTGGACCGTCTCTGATGGCGGGTCCCGAGTCGCCTCTGGATAAACATATGGCCCCTTATGCAGGCCACTTTGGTCTCCCTCCAGCTTGGTGATTTGTCTGCTGGCTCTTCAAGGTTTTAAGCTGCATCTTGATGCAAAACAAGCGAGACAACGAGGGGTGAATAGTGTATGCGAGTTCACGGATGGGATTGTTGCTGTATTGTCCTTCTAGTTCCTCTCTTTAGGGGGCCCGTTTCATCTACCTAAGCTTTTGTAGAACCCTCTAAAGTGCTAGTGCTCCGTGAGTGCTCAGGCGCTTGTCCACTAACTTCATTAAGGGTTTTCTCACTAGCGAATCAGTGGAACCCTGCTGCTGCTGGTCAAAATTGAACCCTTCTCCAGCGGACGACACCTCTAAGAAAAAACAGAGGGAAGGGAAAGGAAGGGAAAAAAAAAAACTGGCAGAGAATGACCATCCTCACGCCCTCGGTCTCACGAGGTGCTACCTCTTTGGATTAACCCTTCAAAATCTGCGCCCACACAGCTCCATTTCATAATATACACACCCTACATACAAATACCACCATGACATCCCTTTCCGACATCCTCTTCCCCTCCCAAGCCGCCGACGCCGCCGGCAACCACAATATCAACCGCATCCTGGGCGACCTGAAGCGCTCCAACCTGTCCATCACAAACCGCCTCCGCTCGGTCCAACAAGATGCAGACTTTGTAGACGAGGTGGCGGCCGCGTTCGGGGGCGGACGGCGGCCCCTTATCGCTAACGAGAGATGTGGTAGCTGGTACATCCGCCCCGGGGCCAAGGGCGGGAGTGCCTATTTCAAGAGCACCGACGGGCACACAGGCCAGTGGAGGTTCTCCACGAGGAGGCTGAATCTGCATCTTCTACCAATCATTGAGAGGTGTGATGGGTAAGTCGCCATGTATTGGGGGGCAGAGGAAATGAAGAAGAAAAAGAACCCCCCCCCTCCTCTCTTTGGTATGCTCGGTCCATGATGAGCTGGACTGACCTAGTTGAGATGATATGAAAAGGATTATAATCGTCGATTCGACCCGAAGAGGAAAGAGTAGGTGATCAGACGTAATGTACTAGAGAAGTAAAGACTGAAAAAAATTCACCACATCAGCATCTCATTCAGTCTTACTGACACGTAAACCCCCAAAACAAAGGAATGCCAGATGCCCTGAGCAAGACCATCCCAATATGGTGCTGCGTGCTCAACCGGGCCCTATTCCCAGACCAGCCTGAATTTCATAACCTCTACGTTCCGCCCAATGCAGTCTCGGACTCTGAAAAGAGCCAAGCGCTGGCACGGATCCCCGAAGGCCTGGCCGCGTTCAAAGAGCTCAACCTCGACCTAGACAGCCTCTGCGCACAGATTTCAAAACCCTTGCGCCCGACCTGGGTGACTCAGGAGACGGCCCTCGGCCACTTGCAGACCGGAGAGGACGATGGCGATGGCGGTGGCGATGGCGGCGCAGAGCACATTTTTGACGACTTTCGTCCCGTCATCTGCTGCACCTCCTCGAGGCGCGTGGCCGGCGGCGAGATGAGCGGACATACAGGGTACATCCAGGGCGCCGGTGATGACACCGAGAACTGGGCCCACGGCCTCGAGCCTCCCGTGTTCTGGGCAAACGCAGACGAGCTCTTGTCCACGCCCGAAGCCGACCTGCCCGACCTCATCAGGTCCCTCGTGGCGTCTGCGAAGCGACATCCCCTGGAGGAGGAGAACACCACCACCGAGGACGGCAGCGGCGGCATCGCCAGCAGCACTGCGGACCTCCCACCAGCCGCACGACAGCTCACACCCCAGCTACACGTCTCGCCGCTCCCCATACCACAACGCCTCATGGGTGACCCTACCTGGTTCACCGTCGCCCTCCTCCCAAGTCCCACGCCTGCAGAGACGTGGCCGAGGTCACCAACCCATATGGAGGTCGGACTAGGGAAGCACAAGGTAGCCAGCCGCAATCTGCGCGCCGCATTGCCAAGCATCTGCGATTCCGCATTGCGATTCCTGCATAGCGATGACGACAACAGCAGAAATCCAGCCGAGGAGGAGGGCGACCAGCACGACGAGCACGACAACCCGCCACCGCTGAGGCGGAGGAGGATTCTCGTCGCCTGCGATACGGGCGGGAGGGACCTTTCGGTCGGCGTCGCGCTCGCGCTGCTGTGCTGGTGCTTCGAGGACGATGTAGGCGAGGTTGTGAGGGAGCGAAGACCCCAGGGCGGCGGTGACATTACCGATGACGACGGTGTTCAGAGCAGTGGCGCAGCAGCAGCAGCAGCAGGAGGAGGAGGAGGAGGAGGGGGGACGGTATCCTTCAACAAGAGCCTCATCAAGATCAGGCTGGGCCGGATCATGACCACCATGCCTGATGCGAACCCGAACCGCGCGACGCTGCAGAGCGTAAATAGTTTCCTCATGGACTGGCGGAAATGATGTATTCAGGCAGTGATAAGGGAGGTGACCGTCTTCTGCTTGCTTGACTCGAAAGCAACAGACAGCCTTTCCCAACTCTGCATTGCGGATGAAGGGGGGTGGGGGAGGGGCGATAACCCACCAGGTAATTGCCCCAGATCTACAGAAAGGATATAGTTAGCCAGCTATCACAGCCTCTGTGTGAAGAAGACCAAAACCTGCTCCAATTCCATGCATTGTGGTGAATCACAAGGTTCGCCCAAGGTTTAGGACAGGAGTCATGGAGCCATAGTGATTGAATAATTACTGGGGCATTTCCTCTTGTTCTGGTGCCCATTGTACAAAAGTTGGCATTTTGGACAATCACGGACGTTTAGCTGCAAGCACAGGAATTAGTAGCTCTTTGCAAGATGTTTAGCCATAGCTGCTCTGATAAGCAGCCTGACATAAAGGATAAGCAGAAAGAATAGTATGTGTGCATATGTGTGGTGACCATGTGGTGACCTCATGTCTTCATTGCATTTGTATGTAACTGACTTAGGCCCCGTCGTTCCATGTCCACCATGAAAATCCCAGCAAAAGAAAAACCCTTTTGATATGATCCCGCTCGCTCAACACCTGGAGTAGAAGGAAAAAAGAAAGGAAAAAAGCACGCATGGCTGATGACGAGGACGATGATGATGACCATGTCACCAGCTTATTTGGAGTGCAGGCCCTCTCCCTAAACCTCGCCAGATTCGACCTGCTCGAGCTTGGAGGGGAACTCATCCCAGTCCTCCATGATGACACAGCAGCCAGCGTCACTCAGGACCTTCTTCATCTCCTCCTTCTTGTCATCAGTGTAGGGGCCCACATAGCCAATGACCTTGATGCCAGCACGGCTGCCAGACAGGGAGCCAGACTTGGAATCCTCGATGGCGACACACTCCTCAGGGTTGACACCAAGGGTCTTGCAGGCATGCAGGTAGATGGCAGGGTCAGGCTTGCTGGTAGGCTTGGGCAGAGACGTGGCGGCAGAAAAGATGTCCTGGCCAAAGTATTTGTCCTGACCAACCTTTTCGACCGAGGCCTTGACGCGACGCAGGGCAGAGGAAGAGACCACAGCCAACTTGTACTTGCCAGAGGCGGCCAGCTTCTCAAGCTGGGCATCAACACCCTTGCAAGGCTGAGCCTTCTCCTTGAGCTTGGCGATGACAATGTTCTCCTCCTCCTTGACGTAGGCCTCCTCCTCCTCAGGAGTGACCTCGAAGTTGTAGCGCTCCTGCAGGGTCTTGAGCATGCCACGGAAGTTCTGGCCCACAAACTCAATGATAAGGGTGTCGCCAGTGAAGGGCTTCTCGAGTTTGATGCCGCGCTTCTCACAGATCTGGTTGATCAGGTCGGCACAGCCCTCAAAGGCGAGCTCCTCAGAGAGGACAAGAGTGTTGTCGCAGTCAAAGAGGAGGGTAGTGATCTTGCGGGCAGGCATGATGAATGTAGTAGTAGTGGTTGGTGATTGACTGGGTTGTTTTTGTTTTTGTTGTTGTTTGTGGATTGGTTGTTGGGGGGATGAGGGCAGAAATGACCAGAGGCAGACGTTCTAGATGGTCTAGATGGCTCTTTGTCTAGTCTGGTGTAGAAAAAGAAATCAAAGATGCTCTAGTCAAGAGACGTTGACGAAAACAGGAGATGGCTTCGTGAAGAATGCGGGAGATGGTTGTCAGCTCGAGGCAAAGAAAAAGAGATGAGGGTGGAAAGACCAGGTAGGTTAGGAGGGTTGGCTCTTGCTGGGAATGTTGATCGTTTTTACGTGGACAGAAAGGCGGGCAGGGGCAGAGCGGGGGAGGGGTAGCTGCAGCTTGCAGCTGCAAAATGTAGCTCCTGCCCGCCCTAGCCTTACGTCATGAAGACTCCACGGGTTAGGCTCCATAGGCTTCCTGTGGGCAGGAAATGGAGACGGAGAGCCAGCAGAAGCAACTGCATACCACCCTTGGCAGTCCACAATTGGCTGGGAATAGTGACACGAGCACCTTTTCGCGCCGCCATCACGGGAAGGAATTGTTTCAATAAGCAGACCTTGCGCTATTTCCGTCTTTTAGAGGGCTGTTGGCGTGGTGGCCTGCCGCGTGAGTGTACTTCAGTACTTAAGGGAGGGCCCGCCATAACAGGGGAGGCCTTGCACTTCCAGGATGACTTACTTTGGTGTTGAGTACCACGGTACTATGGCTAGAATGAGGAGAAACTCTGTCCTGTGTGCCCGCCCGACCAAGAAGGAATAGCCTTTATGCAAAGAATCGACGGTCCGACCATGAGAGCGCAGAAACGAAAGGAGAGCATTGTTCCTTCTCTTCTCTCTCGCAATAGACGGGCGTACACACCTGGTGCCACAGTAAGCCCTCCGTGCTCACTCAGCCCACCGAGTGGCATCCTGAGGGAAGCGGGGATATGTACACACCACATTGGCACGGCTTGGGCAACAGCACGACCCGATGTCGCAGCTGCCGTAACCATATGACGAGATCTGGTGAACAAGTTGCACTCGTTGCATGTTACCAGTCGGTGAGTGATGCAGGAATTGAGTTTGCGAGTCTGTGGATCAAAAGTTTGCCAGTACTAGCATTACTAGTCTATCGGGTTCAATCAGATGTATGTGCTCATCACTGCCAGATACTTCAGGATTCTCCCATAGTAGAGAGAACCTTGATGCTGTCGGAGCCCGGTGATTCATCCATCATTCATGACAGCACGCCGCTTCCTTTCCTGAAGCTGAAGCGGGCGAGCGTCCAGCCCAATGAATTAGCAGAAAACTTCCGCCGAATGAGGTAAAAAAAGACAAATAGATAAAGCAGGAACATCATTCCCCCCTGAACTCCGTGCGATTCATGATACATCATTATTCCTCTCATGCAACTTCTCCTGGCTGTCAAACCTGCTCGGAGTGACGGACCGGCAGGCTTCCACCCGTAAGCACTGATACCAGGTGCTTGTCCCCCTTTTGTCGCTATGTAAACAGCGTGTACGCGAAGCAAACGCGCCGCGCGATGGTGGCTGTAGCTCAAGGTCGAGAGGCCGTCGTAAGGCAAAAGGTTGTCGGCCATCTTCGCCCAAGAAGTAGCTCTTCAAAATAAAATATAAAAAAGAGACAAGGACCTGTCATCCGCTCAAGCGGCTGAGTTCATGTTGGATTCTTCTGCACCATGTCTAGCAGTCCATCTCAAATCCACCGTTCCCGAAAGCAACGCTGCGGCTTCATGCCTTAGCACCCATGTATCTGTCTGTTGTTCGTCCAGATCGCTGAGGCACTGCATTTACAGAATCTCTTTGAGCTGCTGCTTCTGCTGTGCCGTCAGAGATGTGGGGAACTTGACGTTGTACTTGATGATGAAATTACCCCGCTGGCCAGGCTTCTTCGAAATGGGCATGCCTTGGTTAGGGTAGACGTCTTGCGAGCCGGGCTGCGTAGGGCCGGCCTTCTCGAGGGCGATCTGCTTGCCGTCGATGGTGCTGACCGTGCGCTTCCAGCCAGTCAGAGCCTCCTTGAGGTCGAGGTCGACAGTCATGCTCAGATCATCGCCGTCGCGGGTGTAGAGGATGTGGGGTTTCTGTACGCGTCAGTCAGCAACTCTTTCATCTCGTCTGTATTGGTGTCGGCCAAAGATAATTGTATGGCGTGGAAACTTACCTCCTCGACAACGAAGCACAAATCCTGCTGTCCTCCCTCCTCCTGGTCGCCCACGCCCTTGAAGCGGATCTTACTGCCCTTCTTCAGGCCTGCCTTGATGGGCACGTCCAGCACTTTCTCCGTCGTCGTGCGCTTGCCGTTCTCGTCAAACAGCTTGCATTTGATTTTCATCTTCTTCTGAGCCCCTTGGAACATGTCCTCCAGCGACACAGGCAGCGGGCGCTCGACCGTCGTCACCTCAGGTGTGTGCTGCCGCGCGCTGCGGCCCGCAGGATCGCCGAAGCCAGTCCTCACACGCGTGCGAGGCCGGCCTCCACCGCCGGCGCCGCCGCCAAACTGGGCAAAAAGGTCGGCCATGTCGTCATCATCGTCCCCGCCCATGCCCGCGCCGCCCGAGCGCATAAATGTCTCGAAGATGGACTGTGGATTCGAGGGGTTGAAGCCGCTGGGACCGCCGCCGCCGGTGCTGAAGTGAAAGGTTCGAGCTCCTCCAGGACCGCCACCCATGTTGCCAAAGTCGAAGCCACTAAAGCCGCCTGGCATGCCACCTGCGCCGGCGAAGGGATTGCCGCCTGCAGCGCCCGCACCGCCCTCTGGTGGTGGGGCGCCGCCTCGAAGGAGGAATTCAAGGCCGAACTGATCGTAAATCTTGCGCTTCTCGGGATCGGAGAGGATCTCGTAGGCTTGTGAGCATTCCTTGAACTTCTCGGCGGCGTCGGGGTTGTCCTTGTTTTTGTCGGGGTGCCACTTCAGCGCGCATTTCCTGTTGAGATTGCGTAATTAGTTTGCCGTTTTCCAATGGGATAGAAATGAGAGTAAAATCAACGGGATGGGAAAGGGATAAGCGGGAAGCAAAACTTGTGGTGGTGACAGAGGCACTTACCGGTAGCCTTTCTTGATCGCGTCCTGAGAGGCATCGGTGCTGACGCCGAGTAGGTCGTACAGCTTCGTTTCTTTGACCATATTGGCAGTCTGTACTGCTTGGTGATTACAGCAGGTATGGATTCCGTATCAAGTGGGATATTTTTGGTGGAAGATCAGGCACGAGGCCTTATGTATGGGAAGGGGAGAAAACAATCAGGAGACAAGCAAGGTTGGGGTTGATCGTGTGATATTTGTGATGTGGAGAGACGAGGTTGGTGTTGTCTCAAATTGAGTGGGGGTCGTCTATGTATGTCGTGTTGACTAGAAAGCAATGTTTGGGAGAAATGAATTTCAGCACGATCTTGCTGAAATGACAAGAGTCTGCCAAATTATAGGTTGTCAAGATTTGAGAATTCACGTGTTGTTGGAAGAGGAGAAAGAGAAAGAAAGAGTCCAGACCCTGGAGGCTGTGAACAGAGTTGGCACAGGCTATCACAGGCCAGCCAGCCCCCTTCATAGCTAGCACGGAAAAGCGGGCTCTATTTGGAGGAGCGAACTTCAAGAACATTCGATGGGCTCTACCATAGTACAAGGCACACTAGGCTAGTGACGCAGTCCTGCAGGGAACCCTTCGAAACCCTCTTTGTAGAAGACAAGCCTGCCGCCTTTGACACGGCCAATAGCTTCGACTCGAAGTATTCAGTCAACGAGCAGGGCACTCTGAACAACTAAAATCTCTTCATATTCATACCGTTTATCTCCCAGCCTTGATGTCAATTTTTCCCTGCGACTATTCACACGTAGTGTATGATTCTGAACAAAGTACATGGGTCGAGGGGCCTCCCAGGCCTATGGAAGCTACTAGCATGTTCTAGTGGATCCAGGCACCTGGGCGCGGGGTAGGGTAAAGCAGAGACAAGGGTCCTGCTTATATGGTGTCGCGCCCGACACTGGCCAGAGCCTCTCCCGGTGATGGCCTCATAGCCTTATCGAGAGAGCGAGAGGGAAACTCTGCTTCGAGAGACCATTCATGGATAGCAGTGCGCATGGTGTCTAGCAGCAAGCTTCCAAACCACAATTGGGCAAATACTTGTAGGTACAATGTATATTTACAATATTTTTTTTTCCTATCTTGTGACTGTTACAGAGGAGGTAGTTCCTCCCTGCATATCGGACACTGCAGTCTGTATCGAAGCCATCCCTCAAGACAAGCGCTGTGGAAGATATGCCTACACGGAGTCACCATATATTTCCTTCTTTCCAGCAGGCCTGCAACTCCTCCGCCAGTTGGGTCGGCCTCCTGGCCCGCCTTGACGACGGGAACCTCCAGTACCTCGCAGCAAATGGCACAGTCGATGGCCCGCGTGTGCGTGCGGCTACCTCCCTTGGCACCCACGCTCGAGCTGGAGCCCTTCTCCCGAACCGCACGATCTACCTCGCCGCTGCTGAGCGACATGCTGCGGGTTCTCTCGAGACTGGGAGACGACGGGGCAGAGGAGGACGGTGCGAGGCCGATGGGGAGACCGCCCGCCTCGAGGTTATCTTCGCGGAGGACGGGGTGGTAATCCCATGCCTCAGGCATCCAGCCCTTGGGCATGCCGAATCGTGGGCCGAGGACGTCCTGGAAGAACAAAACCCAGAGCTGCATCCAAAGCCAGCCAGCTAATACAGCAAAGGCTGTCCAGTCCGATTCCGAGAAAATCAGGTTGTTCGGGTGCAGGTAAAAGTACGAGATGGGCAGGATCCGCAACACCGACTGGCCCACCATGAACTGCCACGAGAAAGCTCGGCGGCTGTTGCGCTGCGTGTTGCGGATGATCTGTGGGACCCAGAGAGACAGGTAGGCGAACAGCGTCGCATTGATGAAAGAGTTTCGCACTGGTTTCCACCACGACCGTGCAGCCAGTGAAAGGAAGCCAATGACCGAGCCAAGGAAGATGAGTCGGCCGACAATTGTAGAGAACGGAATGACATCTGACCGCTGAGTGCCACCGCCACCACCAGCAGCAGGCACGGCTGCGGTAGGGACACCAGCAGCACCAGCAGTTAAGTTCTCGACGATGTCCGCGTCGACATCCTGATCCGAGGGCACTATGACTGGTACATCGGTTGGGTTGGTGCCCCCGCCTGCTGTGACTGGGCGTGGCAGGGACTCATTCGCAGGGGGGGCCGGCGTCGATGGCGGTCTTGGTGTGCTATTATTGGGAGTATGTTCACGCTCGCGAGGACGCCATTCGGGCTCCTGGATCCGATATACCTCACCCAAGAAGCTGCCGCCAATCATCATGGACATAAACAGAGCGAATGTCAACATGAGAGCCCGGAGATAAAAGTGCGTAGAGTCAAGAGCCAGCGCAGCCGAAAGCGCAAACATCATGCCATCTGCCAGTGCCATCACCAGAAGTGTCCAGAAACTCACTCGACCCATTGTAGAGGGCGTACAGGACTCTCTCATCTGGGACTTGAGCAGGTACACCTGCCCAAAAGCGATAGCGGCCGTCACCAGCATATAGAAGTTGACATCGTAGATCCAGATCTCCTCTTTGAAGCCGGCCAGGTGATTGAAGCCCTGGGATTCTGGGAAATCCGGAGGACCCTTAGACTCCAGGAAGTAAGCGCAGTCAGGTGAGTATATAATGGCAGACATCTGCAACTCTGGGATATGTTGTACCGGCGCTCCAGTAGGATATCGCAGTTCGTCCTCGATTTCCTTGACCACGTCACGCATACCATCAATGGATGTCTCCTGGCCCTCAGTCGGCAGCGGCCCGCCCTGACGAAAAGGATGCACCTGCAAGTACACCACATACTCGCAGTGCGGGCTCGGATTGAACACATCCTCGGCACCGCCGACATTCGAAGTCCAAGGATTACTCTGGTCCGTGAAGGCCGACTTCTCCTTCTTGGCAAGAACCTCATCGATCGTCTGATTGAGCAACTTCTGACTCGACTGGAAGAAGTTCTGATCCGGCGCGAGATGTGGCAGCCCAAAAATGCCCGCGAACTTCTCGGATGTCGTGGTGAGGAGCATGTTGCCCTGACGCGGCCAGTGTACCCCGTGCAGCCGCATCTCATACGCGCCACCGCCACCCAACGGGCCCGCGTCCTCGATGGTCAGGGTCGCGGCGACCTCGCGCACAGAGCCGCCCGTGCTCAACCGTCCGTGGTCGATGTCGACAACCTCATCGTCGTATTCGACGTACCGCCGCTTGTCCTCCACGCGCAGCTGCATATCGCCTTCAATGCCCGTAGCGTTGCGATTCCACTCGCCATGTGTGCCAATCCAGTTGATGCTTGGCGTCATAGCCGTGAAATTATAGTCAGCCCACGAGCGGCTCACGCTCGCCTCTTGACGGACCCATGATCCCTTCACAATGCCTGTTGCGTTTTGCCAGACTGCGCTGCCCGACCCCAGGTCCCACGCACTCCTCCCCTCTCTTCCGTCGTCTTCTACTTGCACCCCTTCTATCTCGGCCCCCGCCGGCAGCAAGGGGCTTGTGCTCCGGCTCCATTGTAGACACCTATCTTTGAACCGTCCCAAGTCCTCCCAGGCAAAATAATCCGCCTGCCTGAATCCCGTGATATTGAGATATCGTGTAGCCTCCGTACCGTTGGGAGGATCTGCCGTCTGCCGTGGGTTGAAGTCGCCCCAGGCCGTGGAATTGAGGACACCAAACGAGTGTTGCTGCCGAGCGAGCCGCTCTCGTACAAGAAAGGGCGTAGCGAAGTAACCGGCCTGGCCCCCGCCGCCTGAGCTCATCATCCATATGAATATTATGATGACACCCAGGAAGCGGGCGCTCTCTTGTTGGGGAGGAGGCATCGTCGTGGTCGGTCGGTTCCGTGAGTGTTGGTGGGAGGATTTGCGGCGTGAAGCCCAAGTCAGAACGGGATCACCGAGATATCATGTCTGAATTGTAGCGGATGCGTGCTGCTGCTGCTGCTGCTGCTGCTGCTGGGTGTCCTGCCACTTGTCACAAACGCTTTATGCGAGCACCGCCGTCGACCATGCGCTGAAGCTGGTGGTTGTAGCGCGAGACGAGGTTATGCCGGCGACAGAGAGATGCTCTGTGCAGGCAGGTACATAGTAGATGTTAGGTCGAGGTTCCACTTGTACTTGGTTGGTGACGTTGTACAGCACTCTTCCATAGTACGGTACTATGTGCATGGTGCCTTATTAGCTTACTGGGGAAGGCCCGGAAAGGGAACCCCCCCCCCCCCTTGGTAAGGTCTTTGCCGCTAACGCAACCCCAACACACCTCCAGCACTGCGCCTCTGCAGACCGGGGCGTTAACACGTTCTTATGATTATTAACATCGAATCAACCCCCTTTCTTTCCCACAAGACGACTCCATTCACAATCATTACCACCAAGGCGCAAAGCTGTTCTTAAAAACAGACACCATAAAGAAGGAAGAGACAAAGAAAGCGCCAGAGCGCGCACCTCGGGACGGTCAAGATGTCTTCCAACAACAGCGAGTCTAATTCACAAACAACCTCTGCTGTACGCCTGCTGTCCACTCCCGTCTCCCTCTTATCGATCATCTTTCTAAGAGTGTTCACCAAACTGACCGCCCCTGGCCTGTAAAAGCCGCCAGATGATGCTCGCGCCGAGCTGACACAGCAACTGGATGACCTCCTGAACACCTTGTCCAACAAGTTTGCCGGTGTATCCAGCGAGATCTTTGCAAAGAGTGAGTCAATGAGTGCGCGAGCTCACGAGACAGTGACCGGTGAGTGGCTAACGCTCTGGTGAAGTGGATGAGATGTCACGGAGAATCGACAGCTTGGAGGCGACGCTGGCTGCGAATAACGACCGGGACGCAAGCTCGAAACCGTCGTAACCCAGGGGATGAAGGGGAATTGTCACGAGACCTGATACTATTAACACCAGTATAGTTTGACGGATGAGACCCAGTACATAGATTCCAGTCGGCTATGAGCACTCGACACTGATAAAACGCTCAGCCCGGTCACATATCACGAAGTCACGAAACATAGCAAGTGTTCCCATGCAAAATCTCATTCATGCTTCTCCTATGTATCTTACACGCTTCCAACCAAAGTCCCATTCATGATTGTCAGAAATCGATTTCCGTGCGATTTTCCATCCTATGCAGCTATTTGTGACACCTCACTATCCCGGATTTGCCCCAGCTTCATTTACAGCTCGTCCTTGACCTCCTTGACCTTCTCGACAAACCGGCGCAGGATGTTCGACTTGACAGTGAACTCATCCAGCTTGGACGGCGCCAGGCCGCCCTTCTTCAGAATGCCGTCAAGACGCGCCAGCTCCTTAGAAGCATAGTCGTCGTTCTTGCTCAGCTTGTCGAAGACCTTGACGTAGTACTCGGCGTACTTAGCCTGGGCGCCCTCCTTCAAGACCGCAGCCTCCTTGCTGACCTCGGCAGCGGCATCGGCCAGGACGGCCTGGCCCGCGCTGAACTTGTCAACCACGACGTTCAGGGCATCAATCAGCCCGGCAGTGGCATCGAGACCACCACCCACAGCACGGTGTGTGCCGGCCTTCTCATTCAGGAACGCAACAAAGTCCTTCTCGGAGCGGCCACCGTTGTAGGGCTCGGCCTCCTTGCTACCGGCGGGGAAGAACTTGATGGTTGGGTATGAGGTGACGCCCTGTGCCTGAGCGGTCGCCTTGCTGCCGTCGGAGTCGGCGTCGACCTTGGCGATCAGCACTTCGGACTCGTTCTCGAAGTCGTTGGCGAGCTGCTCCCACGTAGGAGCCAAGTTCTTGCAGTCTGATTGATGGTGAGCACATTAGCTTTATTAGATCAAGAGAATGCAGTGTGGCGGCGAGGAGAGAAATCGACTTACGTCCGCACCATGGAGCAGTGAACGCAACAAAGACATGCTTGTCGCCACCGATCTCCTTGGCAAAGTTGGCATCCGTCAACCAAGTCACAGTCGATGGCTTCTCGACCTTCTTCTTCGGCTTGACGCCCGTCTTGTCGGCGATGAAGTTCTGCAGGGACTCGAGATCACGACCGCCACTGTAGTCCACTGGGTCCTTGCTCTTGCCGTCAAAGAACTTGAGCGTGGGGAAGCCCTGCACGCCGTACTTGCGGCCGAGGTCCTTCTCGGCGTCGGCATCGACCTTGGCGATCTGGACCTTGCTCTTTGCGAACTCGAGGGTGGAGGCAAGCTCCTCGTAGACGGGAGCCAGGTTCTTGCAGTGGCCGCACCACGGTGCGTAGAACTCAACGAGCGTGGGCACGCCGCTGTCGAGAACATTCTTGTCGAAGTTGGAGGGGATCAGATCCATGACCGCCGACTTGGCGGCCACGACGGCCGTCAGGCCGGTGAGCACGAGGCTCTTGAGGAGGACCATTGTTACGAAGGGATGTCAGGTCGAGGGAAGTTTGGATGCGAATAGTATTGATCGATGATTGTTTGACCCGAAAGGAGAAAGACGGGTAAGGCAAAAAAATTTAATACTCCAGCTACAATTAAGTACGGAGAGAGACAATGTTGCTTTGAAATCAGCCGGGTGTTTGATGTGAAGCAAAAGAGGACACACTGGCTGAACGCCAATTCAATGCTTAGAAGGGACAGCTTCAGCCAACTACAAAGCTCCGTCACCTTGTGGCAGACGTGGTTAGCCAGGCATGTGGCAATGCAGCCCCTTGAGAACTTCAAAGATGACGCTAAGATAAGAGATAAGAAGTCTTGGTAAGAGGAGCCAGGGGAGTGAGTTGAGTTTACTGGCCTGCCGGGGCTTTTGCTTACCTAAGAAACCCACGGTTTCCCAATTTGCGAGGAAAAAGACTTCCGCAGCGCCAGTCGCCAAACTCCACCCTACCACACCTCTCGCCAGCCAGACGAACGATCCGACCACGACAATTCCCACAACCTCTCTCTCCTGACAAGTCAACCTTCGACAGTTCATCAGGTCGATCGACAATTCCTACTGCCCAGCATGTCTCACGAATCCGTCTGGAACTCTCGCCCCCGTGGCTACGGCAAGGGCGCCCGCCAGTGGTACGAATCATCCACACCCCACAGCATGAGGAGCAGGACTGTCAGAGAAAGAAGGAGCTTTGGAATCTGAGGTGCAATCAGGCGGAGAATGAAATGCTGACCTGTTGTTGTTCTCGTCTAACAGCCGTGTCTGCACTCACCGTGCCGGTCTGATCCGCAAGTACGGCCTCAACATCTGCCGTCAGTGCTTCCGTGAGAAGAGCGCCGACATTGGCTTCCAGAAGGTGCGCAGACGAACCCTCCGTCCAGTCGAACCCTTGTACTCGAATATGACCCAGCGAGTGGAATTCCCCCGACACAAACGATACTAACATGTGTGAGTTTATAGCTCAAGTAAATGCACCCTTGGAGCGAGGTGGGAACAGGGGACGAAAAGAGGATGCGCGTTTTCCAGTCGACACGAAATAAAGTGGCCATCATCCTCGACAATCCTCACGCGATGGACACACCATCCAACCAGCTGAGGTCTTCTTTGCGCTTTGCATTTGGAGTTGGTGGGACATTCGGACATGGGAAACCACCAGGAATGGAGCAAAAAGTCGAGGGAGGGAAGGACCGTGTGATGACTATAGAACCGAGTATCCTACATCGGAATACACACGAGTGAAATGAGCAAAGCAACTCTTATTACGGTGCTCGCCACGTCTTCACCAGGTTTTGTGCACCAGCTTGACTCTCGGAGCTGCGTGGATTTCTATTGACTGCCAATGCTTTATCTGTGGAACACTTCTCTCTGATTCCAACCTCGTACTGTCCATCAGAGTAGGGCTACTCTGACCATGTAGAGCTGTATCAATTTGCGCTTCCCCGTCTAAAATTACAGGACCATGACAGTCATGAAAAATGTGAGAGGGGAGAAGATCCGTAGTTTCCAACCAAATGTACAGCGCTGTCTCTATAATATACGTACACTCAAGCCATTGCACGCCATTTGCGAACTCCTTCCATTTTCCCTTGACCTAGACCTGAAAGTGATGCAAATGCAGTGTACCTTCCAACTAGGGGTGTGTACCTCTCGAGAACCAATTTTTTGGTCAAAATCCCCAAGACTGTTCATCCATGTTCTTTTTCGTTTCTTTCGAAATGGTCTCTACTTGACGATGCGGGTGACCAGACCAGTTGCAACAGTCCTGCCGCCCTCACGAATGTTGATACGCTGGCCAGCCTCAACAGCCACAGGGTGAACCAGGGTAGCAACCATCTCGACGTTGTCACCAGGCATCACCATCTTGGAGTGCGCTTCCTCGGTACCCTCGGGGAAGAAGAGGGCACAGGACTCATCGGCAGTTCGGATGTACATCTGAGGGCGGTAGTTCTCCATGAAGCCGGTGTGACGGCCACCTTCCTCCTTGGTGAGAACATACAAGGAGACCATGAACTGGGTGTGAGACTTGACGGTGCCTGGCTTGGCGATGACCATGCCGCGCTTGATGTCCTCGCGGCGGACACCACGCAGAAGCAGACCAGAGTTGTCACCGGCGCGGGATTCGTCGCAGGACTTCTTGAAAGTCTCGATGTCGGTAACCTTGGTCTTGAGGGTCTCGCCGCCCTTGCCGACCAGCTCAACCTCGGAGTCCTTCTTCAGCACACCACGCTCGACGCGGCCTGAGGCGACAGTGCCACGACCAGCAATGGAGAAGACATCCTCCACAGACATGAGGAATGGCTTGTCCAGGTCACGCTCAGGCGTGGGGATCCACTCGTCGACGGCCTTGAGCAGCTCGTCAATCTTCTGCTCGCCAATCTCGGGCCGACGGCTCTCAAGGGCGCAGAGCGCAGAGCCCATGATGACGGGGGTCTCGTCGCCCTCGAAGCCGTAGGTGGTCAACAGCTCGCGCATCTCCATCTCGACGAGCTCCAACATCTCGGGGTCCTCCAGGGCGTCGACCTTGTTGACGAAGACGACGATCTTCTGAACACCGACCTGACGGGCCAGAAGCAAGTGCTCTCGGGTCTGGGGCATCTGACCGTCGGAGGCGGCCACGACAATGATAGCACCATCCATGTTGGCAGCACCCGTGATCATGTTCTTGATGTAATCGGCGTGACCAGGGCAGTCGACGTGGGAGTAGTGGCGGTTGTCGGTAGAGTATTCGATGTGGGCGGTGGCGATGGTAATACCTCGTTTGCGCTCCTCGGGAGCCTTGTCTATGGAGCCATAATCGAGGAAGTTTGCGTAGCCCTTCTCGGCTTGCCTCTTTGTAATGGCGGCAGAGAGTGTGGTCTATTCGTAGGGAAGCTGCGGTTAGCTTGGTCGCGTGAGAGGAGAGCTTGTGGAGGAGGTCCTAAATATGTACCTTTCCGTGATCAACGTGACCAATTGTGCCTGTCAAATGGATTGTCAGTCTTAGAACATGGCGGTAGGAGACCTGCGCCTATAACTGACCAATGTTGACGTGAGGCTTGGTTCTCTCGTAGACAGCGTAACCACGGCGCAGGTTCAGGACGGGCGAGGTGGACTGTCGCTGCAGTGATATTAAAGGGTGGCCGGATCTGAAAGAGGTGCGGGCTGTCCGCAGAAACGGAGCCAACGTTCTCAACGACGACATTTTGAATAAGGGAAAAACGACAGAACCACAAACGCAAGGAGAGGAGATGAATGGGCCCAAGGTGGAAGAAAATCACGGTTGTTGAGCGTCGCGAGGTGCTGGTGAGAACTCGACTCGAGTTGCAGTAATTTTTTGAGCACGGGCCACACGCGCTGCCAATCAAGCTGCAATTGATTCGATTTACGACTACAGCACTAACATAGTATAGCAGGACGTGCAGGGGTCTGCGGCTGCCAGAGTGTAACCCTCATGGGGGGGGTTCCGTTATGTCCTAACCCTAGTGCAGCCAACTCTTCGTGCCTTATGGCACTACTAATTTCAAACATCGTGACATTCCAGAGATACTTGAAGGAACTTGGATCACAGAGTCGTATCTCATTACAATTAAACCAGGCGTGCGCTGAAGAGAGGGAAAATAATACTACAACAATTCAAGACTAACAAAACGAATTGAAACAACCAGCATGACATGTTCGTTCAATATTTCCAAACTGCTAAGAGGAAAGCACACGGGCGTGTTGTCTTCTTGTACATGATATACTGTACCATGAAACATGAATAGATATGAGGAACCCTACAACGAATTTACTTGCTAAATCTGAGCCTGACGTACCGGACCACCCACTTACAACAATAAGTAAGTACTTACTGAGCAAAACATTTTCACGGACTGCCGCTGCTTATTGGACCTGTAACTACAGCCCTGTCGAGATTTTGGAGGCACTCCCCAACTCATGACTCTTCCCACTCGGGCACAAAAACTATTCAAGTGGTTAAAATTGTAACGAACCAGATCTTGAAAACAAAAAGAAAAAGGAGGGAGGTAGTGAAACGGCTTTTACACAACATAAAGTGTAAATGCAAGAGGAAGTGAGAAAGAGAACATGAAAAGGGGAAAAATAAAAAATAGATCGTAGACGGGAATTGAGCCCGACGTGGGGGTCGAACTGGATACATTGTTAAAACGAAATTTTGAGCACGAGATGATTTTGACCATTCACATACCCCACAACCTTGAGATTTCAGAATCGGAAACTCTGTAAGAGTCTCACGCTCTACCGATTGAGCTAGCCGGGCAGCTTTTCTTGAGGTTCCCGCCGATTTTCGTGCCGTTATATACAAAATCATCTGAGCCAGTCATACAACATCCCTATTGAGAATGATGACAGAAGGCGATCAGCTTCATAAGTCTATGTTGGTGTGACAGGCTTGCAGCCAAAACTTGGCCTTTCATGCACGGATCCAAGCCAAGATCCCCTGCCCACAGCATTTTGGCAGGGCTGGTGATATCAGGTCTTGTCAACTGAGAGCCTGACCAGTGTCTGCGCAATCCACCTGTCTATCTCCGACGCGATTTCATCACTGTTCTTCTCCATAAACATCATATGACCATTCCCCAGAATGCCTCGTTCCGCCAGCTGGAGATGCTCGGTCTCCACGCCAGCCTGCCGCAGATACTCCACAGTGCACCAGTCGTACTCAGCATGGTAGGAGGCCTGCCCCGTGACCACAAGCACCGGAATGTGTGTCAAGTTGACCAGTTTTCGAGGGGGCGGAGAGTCGGCCTGCAGTATCGCGTCACGCAGGGCCGGAGATGCAGCACTTCTGGTTATCTTGACCAAATCCTTCTTGGGATCCACCACCGGTGGCTCATATGTGATAGGTGTCTGGCACACACCATACTGGCTCCCCGCACCCGGCAGCATCCCGATGCCTCCAAACGGCGGGCCTTTTGGCTCGACAGAGACAATCAGCTTGACCAGCCGAGGCCGGACGTCCGCCACCAGGTACGGCGTACCGCCGCCGTTCGAGTGCGACAGGAAGAGCACCGGCCTCCCGATACGGTCCAGCAGCTCGGCGAGGGCGGCCTGCGAGGCCAGTTCCTGCTTCTCCTGGCTGCGTATCATCTGGACGCCCGAGGCGAAGAAGCGGTCGAAGACCGGGTCGCCCTGGAGGCCCGAGCCGGGCCACTGAGTGTGCAGTTTGGCCTGGGGCCATGTGCCGTGTTGGGCGCACGCAGTGAACCTCTCCTGTATTGTTTCGGCCGCGAAAGTGATGACGTCCTCGACGCTGGGGTTCCAGGGGCTCCGCCCGCGGTAAGGGACGTCCACGAGATAGATCTCGTAGCCGCGAGAGAGGAAGTAGTCAGCCCAGCCCGGATTGCCATCAGGCTTGGTGAGCCAGTCCTGCAGTGCTTTTGCTTCAGCCTGGCAGACTTTGTTGAAGATTGGTTTGATCACATCTCTAAGAAACGTCCTTCAGCTGACTTGACGTAAGTACATACCGCACCGGTCCGCGTGCCACCATGGATGAAGACTACTGGATATGGTTGTTCTTGTTGTTGCCCAGTTCCTGACAAGGGCTTGAGATGCTCGACATACATCTGCCCCTGCATGAGTTGACCACGAGCTCCATGATGAACATATCTGCCGCCAACATAAAACATCTCGCGAGTATTGGCCATGAAGTGCACAAAGTAGGTGAGCTCATAGATATCAGAAGGTGTTGTGCCAGCACATTACTCCAAGCGCTGGTGTGCTATTGAGCAGTTGAAGTAAGACCATGCCAGTGCTGTATGTAGTAGGAAGTTGTGCTGAGCTGATGGTGATACTGAGCCGCCAGGTGTTGTATCTAAATCGGGCTGGCAAGTAATATTGATTAGTGATAGTCTCGTAGGAAGGCTTAGTGTAGTGCTACGGCATGGCGTTACTGTACTATTAATTAGGGGTATTGCAACAGTAGTATGCACTATGAGAGAGCTATGACATCGGCAGTTCAGGGAAGCAGTACCCCGCTACCTCCGACAGTCGCTGCTGCTCTACTAGGATGCCGCTTTACCGCCTGAATGCATCCCATCTCCATCACTCGAGCTCCCTGGATCTTGGTTTGACCAAGAACAGGGCCTTCCTTTCATTGATTGGCCAACAACAACAAATACTCACACATATACATGATCATGGGCACTGAGGATAGGCACGTGTCCTTTGAGGACCCGCACTCCAGTGCCAGCGATGAGGATGCGAAGGCTGTGGAGGTAACAATGCCCTGGTCGCTGCCTTATCCTCTCTGCTTTCCCCCTTGCTTTCTTCCTGTCTGTTTGTCTTCTCTGTTCGTTTCCTCCTGACAACTTCTCCAGGTCACATTCGATGCTGCCAATGTCCACCGTCGCAAGAGCTCCCTCGTCCCCTCCGAGTCCCAGCGACCCCGGCCCCGCGAGGACGACAAGACGCAATGCCTCGTCCACCAGTTCCTCGAGTCCCAGCGCCGCGCCCGCCACGCCCAGCAACAGCAACAGCAACAGCATGGTACCAGCAACAGCAACAGTAGCGACAAAACCTCTGCTGATCACCACGACCAGCCGCCACCGCCGCCCCAGGTCCACGCGAACACGGTGATCAATGGCAGCTCAGCACACGAGAACGGTCTCGGCGACCGCCTGGTCGAGCCCAAGGGCAAGTGCGCGATTCTGTCCCGAGGAAATGGCAACGGTAGTGATGCCAGCAGCGACGTGGGCCAGACGGACGAGCACAACTGGGCCAAGCAGATGGCCAAGGCGACACCCTCCGAGGTTGACCAGGCCGGCCTGGATCCCGACGTGCTGCATAGCAGGCTGTTGACCAAGAAGCAGCTGAGCGAGATGGCGTGGGGCGTGCGGGAGCTGAGCCGGCGGCTGGGGAGCATGAGGCTGAAGTTTCGGGTGCGCAACATTTTCATATTGACCAAGATCTACGACCGCGATCTTGTTCCCAAGACAAGGGAGTTGGTCAGGTGGCTGTTGGACAAGGACAGGGACGTCAGGTATACAGTCTACCTGGAAAGAGAGCTCAAGACCAACAAACAATTTGATGCGCCCGGCTTGGTCGAGGAGATACGGAAGGACTACGTGCAGGCTGGAGAGCTGGAGGAAGAGAACAGCGAGAGTATCTCCAGGCGGCTGAGATGGTGGGACGAGCGTATGTGCCATACCAGGCCACACACATTTGACTTTGCCATCACTCTCGGCGGTGACGGAACCGTCTTGTACGCCAGCTGGCTCTTCCAGAGGATCGTGCCTCCTGTGCTCAGCTTTGCGCTGGGGAGCCTGGGCTTCTTGACCAAATTCGACTTCGAGGACTACCGCAACACACTTACCGGGGCTTTTAAGGAGGGCGTGACGGTGAGCTTACGGCTGCGGTTCGAGGGTACTATTATGAGGAGCCAGAAGAGGAGAAGAAAGCAGGCCATGATCACAGATGGCAAGACAGTCGGTGAAGCCGATGGCCAGACACAAGCAGACGAGGAAGTGCCACAGGCTGAGCGCGACCTGGTGGAAGAACTCATCGGCGAAGAGAGGGAAAACGAGCACACTCACAAGCCAGATGGGACGTATGAAATACTCAACGAGATCGTGGTGGACCGCGGGCCGAACCCTAGTAAGCTTCTTTTTTTCTTCTCTTTTCTTCCTTTGACCGTACCTTTCATTCTTTTCTGGAGACTCTTACTGAGAGAGGCGGCCAGCAATGTCTTTCTGCGAGATATTCGGTGATGACGAGCATTTCACCTCCGTCCTTGCCGATGGTGTCTGCGTTTCCACACCCACCGGCTCGACCGCGTACAATCTTGCGGCCGGCGGATCCCTCTGCCATCCAGAGAATCCCGTGATGCTCGTGACGGCCATCTGCGCCCACACCCTCAACTTCCGGCCCATCATCCTGCCCGACACTATCGTCCTGCGCGTCGGCGTCCCCTACAGCGCGCGGACCAGCTCGTGGGCCTCGTTTGACGGCCGCGAGCGGCTTGAGCTGTTGCCCGGCGACTACGTCACCATCTCAGCAAGCCGGTACCCGTTTGCGAGCGTACAGGCGCAGGGACGGCGCAGCGAGGACTGGGTGAACAGTATCAGCGGCAAGCTAGGCTGGAACACCAGACAGAAGCAGAAGGCCTTCCGGGAGTGGGATCACTGATGAGATCAATCCCCCAGCAGGACCAGGCTGTTCATCATTTTGCTCCTTTTTCCTTCTCCCTGCTGCGGTGCATCGTTATGAGAAGGTTATGCATCAGTTTTTGGGAACGACGGTTAAGATATTGGATACATATGCCTAAGAGCACGATATACACACGGCCGGTAGATTTATAGAGTGAGAAACCCTTGGATTCACGGGCGATCACGCCTGCCAATTCGATCGACAAAGCTCGACGGGATTCTCATTCTTTTCACTTGCCACCGTCCGTCACAACCTCCGACCCCAGTCTCAGCGATACTAGAAAACACGACATCGGACCTGGAAATACATAAAACCCACAGCCTTCTCTGCTCAGCGTCCCGTCGGAAATAGCTACAGGGCTGATTCGATCCGAACTCAAGAGATGTGTTCCTGAAACAAGCTCAGCCCTTCAAGCTGGGATGTCTCTTGCGCCTCTCGCGGCATCTTTGCGGCCTTGCCTGGCGCTTCCTGAAACGTGTCGAGCCGCCGGACCCCAGACCACACACGCACAATGACCACTACAGCTCCCAGGGCCACTGCTGACAGTCTGGGAGAACTTGTCACAGATTCTCCGACCGAATTGTTGTCACGAACGGTGTAATTTTGCCTCTCAAAGTCAAATGCTGGTCCTTTTCTCATCACTGTGATTGGGGGAATCTCATACACCCGTCAGCCGATTACTATCTACTCAAGTGGGTATTCCGTGATGGTGCCCATGCAAACTCCACGGACACGATGTAAAATTACATATAGTACCAGAAAGGGCCCTCTCTCCCTCTCTCCCTCCCCGCTCCGGTCTTACAATTTAATCGACATAATACCCCTTCCTTGCATTTCATGCGTCCTCGCCATCCTCGACAGTCTCCACAAATGTCATGGTCACGCCCTGGTCACCATTGACATTCAGGTTCACGGCGTCGATGGCATTGGGGTTGTGGTTCGCCTCCCTCTTGTTGGGTGCGATCTGTATCGTCTCGTAACGCGGCACGGCGTTGTCGTTCACGTTGTCAAGGTCGCGGGCGGTCATCTGCTCACCGCTCTGAAGGGCTGAAGAGAGAGAAAGACACGGGATATGTTAGTCCGAGGGACGAAAAAGGAGAAGAAGAAGCAGAACAAAAAACAAAGGTTCTGAATTCTCGTTCATCTGTTGAAACACAGTGTGGGAGCCCGGAGCCAGAGACAAGGAAAGGACACATCGCTATTCATACTCACAGGAAGGGATGCCAGAGCGCACGTACATGGTGGTGACCTTGACCTTGGGGCCCGCGGCGGCAGCACCAGGCAGGTCCCGTTTGGCGGCTGTCGTGCCCGTGCCTGCGCGTGCGGCGGCCTCCTGGTTGTTGTCCACGATGATGCCGACGCCGGAGCCGTCGCTGCCGGTTCCCAGCTGGACTTTAGGGCCCTTCTGCAGTGCGGCCTCGGCGAATTTGAGCGCCCGGTCGAAGCTGGCGAAGTCGCGCTTGGCGATGCTGGAGCTCTCCTCGTCATCGTTGGCGTCGACGTCGACGTCGTCGTCAATGGCCTCTGCATCGCCCCGAGGTAGGACTACCTTGCCCATTCCCTGGAGAGCAGCGATCTGTTGGGCCTGTTGAGGAGGTAAGGGAGAGCGAGGGTTAGTGATCTGTCAACCCTCGTTGTGCAGAGGTGGTAGGATGTGCCGAATGGCAGAAGCTTAAAGAGAGGGGTGATATCGTTTCGCACCTCAAGACTCACCTGCTCCGCGATAGTTGCGTCCTTGGTGGCCTCGGATACAGGGACAGCAGAAGGCTCAGCCACACTATTCTGCTCGATTGCCTGGGTCTCGACTGCAGCAGTCGATGGGCTCGCGGCAGCCGCTGGTGCTGCTGGTGCTGCTGCTGCTGGTTGAGCGGCGGCGGCGGTTGTTGCCCCATTCGCCGCCGTCACTGCGGCCCCCTCGAGTGTGCTCATGAGCGCGGACACATCCTGGTTGCCTCCGAAGCTGATCTCACCATCACCTGTGGGCAGCAACAATCTGTGGTCAGTGAAACCGAACATTGATCTCGCGAGGACAATTGCCTCAGGGGCAGTGATTAGGTTGGGGTCTGCTTGCTTACCGACTACCAATGCTGGCGAGTAGGCTCCGAGGTTGATGTTCAGTGGCAGGGCGGCGGCGGCGCCGGCCAGGAGCACAATGCGATAAGCAACCATTTTCGATGAGGGTTATATTACACGACCTCCTGGGCTCGACGACTTGATTAATGGAGTGATGATAATTGCAACACACAAGAGAAGACAAGGGGAGGGGCGACGATAGAACCAGCTCGACCAGCGGGCGCCGTGGGAAGGGGGGAGATGTGATTAGAGTGATGATTCGTTCGAGCACAGCTGAGGAGAGGGAAAGAACATCTCAAACTGTTCACTATGGCGAGTGGGAGGGATGAGGCATATATGTGAAGCACGGAAATGGGGAAGACCAAGGGTGTGCGAGCGAGCATGCATCCAGACTCTGAAGTGGCAATTCTTCTGTCTCTCACACCAGACGTTCTTCCCCCCTCAACAGTGACGATCCACTTGATGCGTCCGCCAAGCAGCTATCCGGGATGCCGTGGCATACCAGACATGGAGGCATCGTGATGATCCAGTCGACCCTCAACCCCAGAAAAAAGCAACAAGGCTATTATTTTGGTGGAGGAAGAGGGGGGAGCTAGAAGGATATTCTTTGGACCACACGGCGAGATCCACCACCACCAACCCGCCAAGAGACCTCCTCATACATGTCCTCTAGGATAAGACAGTCCAGACGGTGGAGACCTCGGCCAGTCATCTACCAGAAGAGAGGAGGAGGAGGGAGGAGATATGACAAGTCGATACCGTGGTGGAAACCTGTGCACGCTCCCAGTTGCTTTGGACACCTTTTAGTTGGTCGTCCGTCCCGTTTGAGGACCCAGATATGATTCACCTTGGCTGTTGTAGCCAAGAGAAGGTCAAAGCAGCCACGGCGGTGATCGGACGGTACGTGAATTGGGCCCTTACAATAAGTAGCATACATAGTACAAGCGATTAGGCTGGGCGGGTGGTTGCGTTGACCGCATTTGTGGGTCAGGCAGTCTTGAGACCTTGCCAAGGAAATCACAGAGCCAAGACGTCCAAGCAAGCCGAGAGATGTCAACAACATCTTGGTCCAGAAGAGCCTGCGAGGTGGTAACCCATTTTCCCTGCGTCCTGACACGTGCTGCAACCGACCTCGAGGTTCATGGTTGATTACTTCTTTTTTTTTTTATAGGGCTCTTGGGACTAATTTATTTGGGTAATGAGCGGAGGAGATGCGTGGATTGCTACGGTTGATCGAGTTGATATGCGGCGGTTGCACCTTGTCAAAGGCAATTTCTTCAAACGCATAGGCAAGAAAGAAACAGACAACTCAGTCCGTACAGCCTCAAGAGTAAATATTTCACAAGTTACCATAAGAAAGTAGTACTGAAGAGACGTATACGAGCAAAGTGTTCAGCCAGTCAATAATTGGGCCCTGCTCTGCAGCGCAGTGCAGTGCGCAGGGCTGCAGTAGCGCAGGCCCTTGAAACGAAACACTGGATCAAGCCCCTCTCCCCCAGACCTCTTTGAATCCCCCTCCCCCCCGTCCACCCCGGATGGTCACACTGCACCACACCCTTTCCTGCCATCTTCACTGCCGACTCCCAGTGTGGAACGTCCCCCAGGAAACGTCAGCCTCGCATAGTAGATGTGCTCCAAGGTGACACGAGTCGTTTCAAGAGAGACAACATAAAGTCAGATCGCAGACTTCTACTTCTCACCGACGTACATACCAGCCAGTTCACCTACCGCATGCAACCACCCGCCTTCCGCGCCCATATTCTTCCAAGTGGACAACTTCTTGAAGACGTATAAGTCGCCTTGGGTCTAGACCAATTGGCTATTTTATCATCCCGAGAGGAATCAAGAAGCGACCAGTGCATGAGGGAGACACTGCCAAGAGAGCCAAATTTAGAAAAGCTTTCTGCTTGCTCGTGGTCCTTTTTGGAATCTTCACCCTGGATTTCATCTCATGGTGTTTTGAATCTTGAACGTGTGCTTGGGGCGTGCGCTTTGTCGGAGCCAAGACTGCCGGACCAAGGAATTACCCGCCAAGGCCAGATTCGGCACAACATAGATGTGAGATCGTCTTCGAGGACAAATGATCACTTTTTATGGACATTTGAAGGATGTTGTTGATTATGTGTGTTATGCGTGTTGGTATGTCAACATGCTATTACCGAGATCTCGGAATACATTTAATTTCGAGTACATAGCAGTAGCGAACAGTCGACCTGGTAATGACCCTCGACAGCCTCAGCGATTCGATATTTGTTCCCCAACTGTATCAAATCACGACTAATAATGTCTGAGTGACCATCATCATGTAAGTAAATTATTACGATTGGCTGCACCTGAAACACATCGTCGTATATAAATACAGTCATCTACTGCATTAAGAAGGTAGCGTCCAAACAAACCACAGTGCCACGAAAGTCATCTTAGAAGATCATATAATATCCAATGCATCATTATGAGACATTCCAGCTATTATACAATAGAAATACATTCTAGAGGCTCGGTTTGTCAGTTGCGTTTTAGACAAGATATGCTTGGGGCATTTCGGTACTTGAATCTAATAGATTCATATGCTTTCTTGTCAGCAACTACTGCTGTCTTCTCTAATAGTGACTTCTGTCCATCTTCCTCCTGACGGATATCAAAGCATTGCATGGTCATGACGAGCAGTTGATGTGATATCACACACCCGGATCCTCACACAGGTTGAGAACCCGCATTGAGATGGAAGAGATTCACCACCTGCAGCTTCAAAGGTTTGTGCAGCCTAGGTAATAAAAACAAAGGACTGCGTTCGTTTAAAAAAGTCTTTGTGTGTCTTAACCGAATCGCCATGAAAGGAAGCACAGATTCATGAATCAAAGGGCATGCTCTTGGACGTAGAAAACACAAAGCTATTGTACAGACGAAAAGAAGATTGAGAATAGAACTCCTCACTTTACCTCTATTTTATATGTAAAGACAACAAACCCGCCAACTTTCGACACCGCAGTGGATGGTGACTGCCAGTTGATGAGACTGAATTGTTATCCGATGAACTGAGAGACTCGTCACTAAATGAACAGATGGTGTGTTAAGTGAGGTGCGTGAGGGCTGGAACCCAGATTGTTGATAAACAGGTAAGTTGTCAAAAGACCGCAGCTGGGTGACAGCATGCGAGATTCCCAAGCCTCTACCAATATAAACGAGAACCTCAAAGCTCGTTTCCTTTCCTGATCTGACCACGTAATTACTGACCTACCATACTGGGTCTTGGAGACTACACAAATCCCATCAATACTTGCACTGACCGACCAGAACAACAGTCCTCCTCGATGCCAGTATTTACACCCCAACCCCCCAACCCGGGCATCATGAAGACCAACTACCTGCCCCTCTACTCTCTAATTACCCTGATTCCCCTAGGCTTCGCCTTGACGGTCTACTACACCCGGCGCTTAGAGAAAATGGACAAGCACCGCCGCTCCACGTCCAAGATGGTGAAATACACCAATTCCATCGCAGCCTGGCTGACAAGCTGCCTAGGAACCCCTCGTCCCGTCGACGCCACATCCACCACCACCACCACCACCACCATCATTCCCAAAGACGTCAACGTCGACCTGGAAATGCAGCAGGACTTCACCATGGGCCGCTACGGCAACCTTCTCCCCACCCACAAGGCCGACCGGGCGCGGGCGCAGGACTTCGGCTTAGGTTGCAACGGCTCCCCTTACAACAACGTAGCCAACACCCTCACAGCCCCTACCCTGCCGGCCCCGTCCTTCTCTACCTCCTCGATCAGCCGCTGCTCCAGCGCTACCCCTGGCCCAGCGTCCTCGTCTCACCGTCTGAGCACCGCCTCCTCCGCCACCGTCTCCTCCACCGCAGCCGCCCTAGGCATCGGGACCCGGTCCGAAAACCCCACTGCCATCGTCGCCGGCCTATCCCTAGTCCCGAAGCCATGGTACGTCGTCCCGGACGAAGACATGGACGAGCAGTTTGACCCCGCCCCGGCCTTCATGCGGCAGACGGCGGTGCTGGGCAAGGCGAGCGTGTTCCGGCCGGAGGCGCAGCAGCAATACGAGTTGGACGAGAAGGCGAAGGCCGAGTTGCCCCAGGACGACGGGTTCGTGCGTGTTCCTCTCACTGGCGCGGGTGACACGTGCCTCCTGGCAGAGGTAAGTCGACGGCGGTTGTCCTGACCTCCCCTCTCCACTCTCACCTCTCCGTCTCTTTTCTTCTGCCCTTCTTGGCGCCCTTTGTTTCTGCTGCTGCTGCTGCGAAGAGAGGGGCCGCTTCTGATCTAGCTGAATGCTAGAGACATGATAGCGAGATGCGGTTGGCCTTTCTTCAGGGGCGGAGTACTGTACCTGCAGTCGGACGCTGCCACTTTTTCTTCTTCGTTTGATTTGATCATAGCATAGCGATGAAGAGCCAGATGAACATGCTGTCTCGAGGCATCAATAATACACTTCTGCATGTGACACCCCTCCACTTCCCTTGCCCAGTGCAATCTGAGACCGCATATGTGCCTTGTGTGGGTGACCTATGACTGCCTGCCTGTTTGTGATCAATTGTGAACCGCAGTGTGACCATTTTCGCCTGTCAAGCAAACCCTGCCTCGTGCTCTCGTGCGTCTCCAGGATTTGTGTGAGCTGCTGGGCCGTAAAGCGTGACTGAAGCATTGCAAGTGACCTGACCAGTACTAACTACGACACAAACATTGGAGAACGGTATCACATGGGCAAATAGCATAGAAGGAGAGGGTGTTGAAGATGAAGGACAATCGGTCGTAGAAGAGGGCCCTGCAAATAATGTAGGCCTCATCGTTTCTTTCAAATTGGGTATAAAACATCCTGATCGGGCCTAAGCTTCCCTAATGGTATGCGCAAGACAAGACAATTCGTCTGTATCGGGTCTTCTGTCCTCCGCGAATGGCGACATTCCTGTTTCACCCGCGCTAGCATAATAATAAATGTCAAACAAGGCTCGCGCTCGTCCGTTCTTCCGACTCCCTCTTACGGATATCCAGCACAACAGTAGCAAGATCCCAGGAGGGGGAAAAAAAGAAAAATTAGGATAAAAAAAAGAAAAAAAAGAAAAAAGCTGCCAACCAATAGGCGGGACAGACATGGATAGCTGGGCCCGTTAGGTCAGGCTCCGAGAACGCCAACGCCGAGTCGATCTTGTCGATTGTTCATTTGTGTTTGTTTTGACTCCAGAAACGCCGTACAAGTCTCAAAAGTGCTTGCAATGTCCAGTATCTTGCTTCTCGTAGTCGTAATTGGGGGCCCCAAAGTCAGGGTGAAAGCATGGGAGTCGGTGAATGTCCAGAGTATGTACAGAGGAGAGATACATTGCTTTGGTCGTCTGATATCGAGTGGTCCCAAGGATGGGGAGGGTGGTGGTGGTTGGGGTGGTATGATGGTCACGCGTGTTGTTTGTGGTCGGCGTGTCTGAACATGCCGGATGTGAGTAGCCAAACTGAATATGTCGGCACACCCCACAAACCACACTGATGGCGGGAGTCACACACAGCTGAGTGGCATCCAACGTCGCACTTCAGTTGCCCTTGGGGCTCCAAATTGCGGCACCAAGGGACTTGCTCACGCCCAGGCCGACGGCGAGGGCAATGGCCAGGATCAAGGCGATGATGGAGATCTTGGCTATTATCCTGTTGCGCTTGCTCATTTTGGCGAGCATCTGGCACGAGTGGCGGTTGACGCGGGCCGTCTTGGCCTTCTTCTTCCAGTGGTCCTTGCCAGGCCACACCTGGCAGTCTGGGCTACTGCCCTTGATGTTGACGTTGGTCGTGGACTTCATGCCGCATGAGTCGTCCCCAACTGTCAGCGTCCGCGAGGAGACCATGGCCTCCAGGTCGGTGTCGAACGGGTTCAGGCCGTCATTGTGGGCGGTAGTAGGGGTGGAGATGTCAGAGGGGCGGCGGAGCTCGATAGACTGCGAGGGCGTAGTGGAGGCAGCCCGCGATGGGGCGAGATTCGAGGTTGTTATCTTCGCAGGACTCTTGTTGTCGGCGAGTTCAGTAGTGGTCTTGGCGGTGGTGTCCGCCTTCTCAGTGGACGAGGCCATGGTGGAAGAGAGTGTGTGCGAGACAAGTGGCACGCCGTTGGGTTGACAAGTTGTCACGTTGAAGGCGACTGGTATGTCGTCTTCGGAGGGCGGGTTGGGTATATGTTGCAAGAAGAATAATTATGCCAGGTGACCAATTTGTCTGGCGGCTAGTGTCGATTGAACTGCCAGCTTGGAATACCAAATATTGGGAGTTAAAGAAGGTCGAGGATGATCGTGCGGGCGGTGTAGTAGACCTGGGGGGGGGGGGATTGTCAGAATCTGGCTAGCAAATTATAAGGAGAAGGGTCTTTTCTCTCTGCCCTGTGTCTCTCTCCCTCTCCATAGTATTTGTGAGGGGGAGTGGAAGGGGGAGGGACCAGGCGGTGGGCTGGTGGGACCCAGTGGCACATGCTTCTCTGTGACTTACAGTACGTAAAGTGTTTGTGCTTTCGAATGGTCTAGGCGATCAGATGGTTATGGTGCCAGCGCCAGGTTGGGATCAGACCGTCGAGATACCAGGAAGGCAGAGGACGCGGGAAGAAGAACAGAATAGCGTTCTGGAGGGGGGGGGGTGGCACAGCTGTTTACTGCCGGTCCATCTGTATCTCGAGAGATTGCGAGCGTCGCTAGCCAGGAAGGAGGATCAACAGGCTGTTTATTCACTGGAGAGGAAAGCTCCAGGGACGTGTGCAGGGGACCTGAGACGAAGGTAGTGTTGTTGCGATGTAGTGGTTGCGAAACAGATCTGAGGAACGCAACGCAGTACAGCTTGGGAGGTTGGCCTCGTTCGATTTCCTTGACTGGAGTTGACTAGGAGAGGGGCAGACAGAGTCACACCTGGACGAAGGCCAGTCACTCGAGTTTCGCTCTTTTGCCGTTGGCCAAGGAGTGGAGGGGGAGAATTCGGTAGTTCACTCGTATTGATCAACCCCCAAAAAATAAAAACACACACAAAACAACATAAACAACAAATAGACGAAACGACGAGAGAGAGCGGGACGGGAGAGGAGGACGATCTGTTTTGCCTTGGGGAGGCGCGCAAGATAGCAAATGGGAAATGAGATTTGAAGGGGAACAAGCACCCTGGAACATGTGAACCGTATCCTGGTCGACGAGTCTCATGCCAGAGGGTCAGAGACAGACAAGACGTAGTGGTGCGCTTGTGGCACAGAAGGGGGTTCGCTTAGCGGTCTCTAGCATGTCTACTAGCACCTGTGAGGCCCCCCACCCCTAGCACATAGCAGCTCAACCTCGCACGGACACAACAAGCTTCTGGCAATTGGAGGGCAGGAGGTCTCCCATAGCCAGCCAGCGAGCCTAGTGAACCCTCTAGTTCGCTCTCTTTTCCCTTGCCCCTGAGCCGTTATTGGGCCCACCCGCGGATATTCCCATGATGTTTTGCCGTCTGACTTTGAGTGTCCTCTTACTGTTTTAGGTAGTCGATAGCCTTGAGCGACATCGTCTATTGGCTCATGCCTGTATGCCAGGGTACGGGGTGCCACGACTCGCACTAGGCTGGTACTGGCAATAAACCTTCGAACCCTCAGGGATGAGAGCTGTACTGCCCTGGCTCCCTGTCCTGGCCTTGTTTCCTTGTTCTCTCGCTCTCTCCTGTCTCTTCGTTCACACTGTCGCTTTTCTCGATGGTATCATATTATCTCATTGAATGTGGAGCAGCAGGAACCTTATCCTTGGTGAGACGGATCCCCTTCTCTCTCTTTTTTTTCCTCTTTTTCCTTGCCCTGCTCGAGTCAATTGATTGTTCCCCTGGCACATATACAATGTTTTCATATCAGTAGTCACCGACGACCTGCAGGTTCGGGGACACAAAAGGACAGGCCAGGGGAAGCTCGCAGCTGGAACACGAGCGAAGGGGAACGACAAGGGGGAAGGGCTGGGAGCCAGTCATGACCCAGAATTGAGGCGCGTCTGCTACTGCTGCCCACTTGTTCTTTCTAAGTTTGTACTCGCCAGTTTCGAGACCTGTCGCGGGGACCACCATTAAAACATTCGATAGCGGTGACGATGACGAATTACTCGTATTCTGTGAATCACGCTTCTCACTCTTCCTGTCCCTCTCTCTTTTTTCCTCTTCTTCTTGCACGCCGACACACATGTTACATCATGTTACCAAGTTTGGCTCCTTTTTTCAAGCTGTGCTGGTCTGAGCGCTGCTGCCAAGATGTTGAGCCCTCAATATTGGCCACCGTCTCCAGCGATTTTGACGCGTGTTCCCCTCCAACCGTGCGATGTGTGGGTCGACCACAGCCAAGACAATTTCGCATGTTTTCTCTCTATTTTTTCTTCTCTTTCCTTTCCAAATAATGTTGCGCAAGGCTGTTCGCCACATGTGATCTGTATGTAATATTTGCGTGGTGTCTGAGCAGATCTCGACATGCCACCCATTATGACTCTTTGCCCCCTCTAAACAGGCCTAGCGACCTGAAAATGAGAAATTCTACCGAGAGTCGTACCGTGGCACACGATATCCTGCTCATTTTCCAAGAATCAATGGTTCAAGAATCGATCGACGATTTCACTGACGCTCAGGGTCCTGGTCCGCCGTGGCTTTACTTCGTAACTTGGATTCACAAAGCCTGATTCATGCGGTGCGGGTTGCATCCTGTGGCAGTTGAGATCGGATCATGTTGAGGTAAACTTTCATCAGCACTTGGCCGCTTTTGGCCACCAGGTTGCATGTCCATAGTAGCACGTAGTACATGGAACCCGGGCCAATTGACGAGGATGACCTGCCGTGATAGCCATGATACCCAGATACATAATAGGCTCCCGGCTCACGCACGGGTAAAGATAAGCAATCTGTGCAGCTGCTATATGTAACATACTTGCAGACATACCTTTTTCCTTCGGGAACCAGTACAATGGTACAGAGTAATACCAGGATACTGTGTTTTGTAGTATCGCTTTTACCCCACGAGCCACACCCCTTCAGACTTCGAGCCGCCGTCCCCCACACCCCGGGTGTCCAGACTGTTCCCTTCTAGGAAAACCCAGCCGCAGGTCCAACAGAGTCCAGAACCCATTGCGGCTTCAAGCTCCAGAAAAGACATCTCTTCTCCGCGATACCAAGCGTTACAAGCCCACCCAAACCTCTCCTAGAGCCTAAACGCCACCATCAGCACCAGCACCAGCACCAGCGCCAGCGCCAGCACGTTCTATGGTACCCATAATTCCAACTTTTGTAGAGTGGTAGTAACCACTGCTACCATCAGAAATAGATAGTTCTGCATACTACAGTAGTATTGCTGTAGTACCGGTGCACGCTTGCGTTATGGGCGCTAACATGCGCTGTTTCTCAAAGGGCAGGAGAATGAACATGACGAGACGAGGTCCAGAACTATCTTTCCTCCTCTCACTCTGTCGCCGCCCCGCCGCCCCCTGCATCAGACACACAAAGAAAAAGAAAAACCACAGCCTAGATAGTAGACGACGCACGTGGCCATCGGCGAGTCGCTAAATTCGTCTGCATGCGAGTCAGACCCCTCTTGCTTTACCTAGCTTCACCGACTTACCGACCGACAAAACACCTTAGATCAATCTTCCTCTCAACACACACCAAGGGTAGAGAGAGAGAGAGAGAGGGAAGCGGGTTTGCACCGCCGACGCTTGAGGAAAAAGGGTGCAATCGTGGAGCAGACAGGGTGGCGCTTAATGTGCCTGGTATCTCTCTACCTGCCCTGTTTACACTGTTTAACCTGCGGCCATTGCTTCCCCTTTCAGCGCTTTGCAGAAAGCAGAAGCACGTGCTTTCTTCAAGATCTCCAAAGAAAGAAACAAGACTAAAGACTCAAACGGCCCTTGCCGCATCAGTTTCCCCGACGTCTACCGAGAAGGGCTTTATCTTGACGAAACAAACAACCCCCCCTCTTCTTTTCAGACTACGCGCGTGTAGAAGGATGTCAACTTGCAAGACGAACAGAGGCCGCGAGATGGCGTCAGGAAAGGCCAGGCCTCTTTCCCCGCCCTGGCTCCGCACTGTCAATAAGGTGAGGTAACTCGGCGTGGTCAGGACGAGGCGGTGTCTCTGCATGACACGCACACATACACCCATGGTCTCAATCTGGTTCGAGTGAATTGAGAAGGGGCGCGCGGGTGGATAGCTGCCTCGTTACAGCCATGGGAGAGGCAGAGAGAGAGGGAGCATTGTGGCATCGGTCGTGGCAGATCATGGACGCAAATAATTCGACTACCCCTCGAAGTCGAGTGAGGAAAGACAAAAGGGTTTCGAAGCTAGTGGCCATCGCAAGGAAGGGTGCCTTCTGAAGCTATGACTGGAGGAAGAAGGAGGGGAGAAACGGGGAGACCCGAGGCGCCTGACAACCATTGTCGTCGGCACGTGCTGTGGCAGCACAGAGCCAAGGTGCCTCCCTTGCCAGAGTATCTCCAAGATGGCAGAGGTCAAAGTACTGCTCGAGAATATTTCACATTGCAAAGTTGCACGCGAGGGTTCTTGATGTCATAGAGATGGAGGGGATTTATACTGTTCCTCGGGATTTATGCGTTCTTGATGGCTCTTCATACAGTCCAGGATCGGGTTTCCGCTGAGCACCCTCTGTCTGTCTGTCTGTGTGTGTGTGTGTGCGCGCGCGCGTGCCTCGCTCTCTCTGACAAAGGCTCAATCACCAACTTAGTGTCCCATGCAAGGCCGCCGAGACTACCTGCCTCTCCTTCCCTTATCTATTCCTCTCCTCGATCCCAATTCGAGGCCTTCTTTGAACGTCATCATGGCAACATCCAGGACGGGTTACCTCACTCCCTACGCTCCGTGGCCTTGGGCACAACCCCCCAGAAGATGGTCGCCGCAATCAGCTGGGCCAGGATCATGGGCTGCAGGACCTGCACGCCCTCCCTCTCAGCGATCAGGCCCGTAATTGAGGGGAAGATGGCCGCCCCTGCTTGGGCAACAACAAATACGAAGCCTGTAAGGCGAGGAGGGGAGATCCCATTCTTCATTAGTGAGACGAAACCCCCGGAAAACTCTCGACGAATGAAAGAGAGAGAGAGAGAGAGAGAGAGAGAGAGAAAGAGAGAGAGACTGACTGAGGGCTGCTGCCTGTATCTTCCGTGGAAAGATCTTGGACGCAACAGAGACGCCCTGTCCATCTTTTAGTATGCATATTGTCGTTTCTGGCTCCGTACGCTGAGGCGCGTGTGTGGACTTGACTTACAGTCGCAAAAAAGGGGCCCAGGAAAAACCCTTGGACGCTCAGCGCCGTGGCATCCGCAATGACATTTGGCACCAGCCAAAAGACCAGCTGAAATCCAATCGCCATGGCGAAGAAGACCAAGAGCGCTCGCTTCTCGCCGAACCGGTATGTTGGCTCAGGAAGCAAAAGGCGACCGAGGAAGAGGCCTGCAGAGTAGCCTGTGGGCACATAGCCGACTTTCGAGAGCCTGCCGCCTCGGACATCGACGAGGTAGTCGACGACCCAGCCTGTGATGGGCACCCCGCACACGCAAACTATGGTCAGCACAAGCTTGGCTCTGAGAAGGAAAAAGAAGGAAAAAAAAAAGGGGGGGGGGGGGTATAAGCTGCTGCTGCAAGTACCGCTCGAGGTCATCGATGCCCCTAGGGCGAAGAAGAAGAAGAGGCTGATCAGCCAAACATCCTTCACCTTTAGCATTACGCCCATATCACGCAGGGCAGACCAAGCTGTCTGCTCTGCGTCATGCTGCTCCTGCTGCTGCTGAGTACCGTGGTTGTTGTTGTTGTTGTTGTCGTCGTCGTCGTCGTCTTCTCGCCTTTCCTCGTCGGCAACAGATCCGTCTGCCCGTCCCCTCGCCGTCTCCGAGTGGATCTTCCCCAGCGAGTCCCTAAACGCAACCATCACCCACGCCAGATTCACAAGGTTCACGCCCAACGTGACAAAATACGTCCGCCTCCACGACGATGACCCTCCCACCACCCCGCGTCCTGTGGCGCTCGGGTGGGCAGCGATGGACGTGGCCACCAGCGGACCCATGACGAGCGCGAGCGCATACATGGCGTGAATCAAGCCCAGCCACCGGTGCGCAAGCCGCACCCCGCTCACAAACGTGTTGCCGTGGGCATCCTGGTAGCCCGTGCCCAGGGCTTGCAGGGCAAAGGTCACGCAGAACAAGGGGAAGGGCGACCAGGGCCGGAGGCACTGCGCCACGAGCTGGACGGCGGCGCCGAGGCAGAGGAGCTGGCCAAGAGTCAGGTGAGGTGTGAGGAGTGGATTGGTGATGGCCGCCAGGAACCAGCCTATGAAGGAGGAGGCGTAACTGGTGGCAAGTCAGCTGGAGAAGAACAAAGGAGGGAGTTTTTCTAGACCATCGGCGCCAGTTCAGGTCGTGTTTTTTTTTTAATGTGGGGGCGGGTTTAAACAGGTGTGCGTGAATGTGGCGGCGGGAAGGCCTCACAGGATAGCAATCTGCCCCGTCCCGATCGAGAAAGAGGTGAGCATATACGGTACAAGCGGGCCCAGCGTGCTGTCGTTGATGCCGGCACAAAAGAAGGAGAATGCGACCCCAAAGATCTTGAGCCTGAGCCACGGCGGAGACGGAGGGCTTGTCGTTGTCGTCGTGGTCGTTGTTGGCACGGCAGGTTGCTGTGTTCCTGGACGTGCGCCCGCAGATGAAGGAGTTATGTCTTCTGCCGCCGAGTGTCTTGACCAGGTCGTCGCCGCAGCCGGCCTGCGGATCTGGCGAAGCTCGTGCTCTACGCTCGGGGCCATCTGATGTACGTCGAGCACCGCCGTCTGGGTCGTCGTAGCCATGCTGTGTGTGTGTGTGTGTGTGTGTGTGTGTGTGTGTGTGTTGGACGGGAGAAGCCGTTGGGGGACTCCGGCTACCCAGTCCTTGAATAAAAGTTCTTTTCGCTAGAGACAACGTCAAATCCAAAAAAATATTGTCTTGATATCTTGCATACGGCTTCTCCAGTGACCCGGCGGTAAATCTTCGGCGGTGAAAGTGAGGAACTGACCCCCCTTCCCCCCTGGTGCCGGGCCGTCACTCCGGTCGATACATGACTTCAGGGGCGGCTGATGACCGACTACTCTGATTGCCTCAGAGTAGCGAATGAGAACGATTGTGATGGAAGCATGAAGTTCTGTGCAGGAGCAGATATGGGTTAGAAGACTCGTTGAAATGGAGGGTGTTCACTGTATATTCCAAAGTCCACGAGCGTGCACGAAGCAAGACACAGACAGAAAGTCAACTACTATCTAATACTGACATTGAAAGTTGATGAAGAATATCTAAATGATGAAAGCTAGGTAATACCAGTCATATCGAGATACATACCCGGAGCCCAGCGCCATCAAAGGGACACCGTTGCGCCTACTAACTGAAATCAACAACACCACGTGGTCTTTTATACACCGAGTCTCGATCTTGCCCCCTGGACTCATCTGCACTGACCGTTCGCTCCCCAAGGCCAAATCGAGAAGTCCAATGGTATCGCTATGTGCCTTTTCCAAGAGCCCATGGAGCACAAGTTACTCATTACACCTTGCCGCCTTGAAGAGATTCTTCTACTTTGCGTTTCCAAGTCTATATGCATGCATGCATGTATAGTAGAATTCATATAGAATGCCAAGATCAAAAACTCAAAACAAGATTGACCCATCAAGCTTCAGCAACTGTTTACATTATTGCAAATATAGTATCAAGGCCACCCGTGCTCTTCTTATTATGAGCCTATCAGTTGCTTTAATGACGGAAGCCTCTGCGTAAGTGGTCTTGCTCATGGACATTGCCCATCCCCTCAACCCTCAGAATCAACATTTAGAGTGACTCCTCATCTCCCCGATCTTACTTGTCCCGGTGGGTGAAAGCGGCCTCTCCTCTCCCATTCTCCTAGACTCATCCTGATTTGCGGTGATAATGAGATCTTTACGAGGCCAGACGAGAGGGCTTACATCGAAAGGGTAGCCTCCTGGATGCTCTTGTCCAGGTTGATGCAGCGCGCCACGGCAAATTCACCCATGGTCCACTGAACTTGTTGCTTCCCCGCCAGTCATGACAATTCCATATTGGTCAGGATCCACATATTCGGCCTCAGCCTGGACGCACGCTCGACTTTTTTTCCTTTTTCTTTTCGTTCTTTTTGTCCCTTTTGCTGCCCGTACAACACATACACCAGGATCAAGGTGACACAAGCGCCGGCGCCCCAGGATTGAAGAAAAGAAAGGAGAAAAGAAAAAGAACACAGCTGGCACGCCGCTGGAAAAAGAAATTGTCCAGAAAGACGGTGTATATCCAGCCATGTGGGTTGGTTATGCCTCGTGTCTTACTCTGCCTCTTCCAAGGGCCGAGAAACAAAAGCAAGCCAGCCAGCCAGTCCCAAGGCTGCCTCCCCGGGGGGGGGGAGGGGGAGGTCTCTCCCGGTGGAAAAGGCCACCTGCGTATGTTGGGCAGCGCCTCGAGCTGTTTCTCATAGCGTCCTTACTGATGAGTACTCACTAGTCCAACATATTGGACATCAATGGGTCGTATTAGTTGCCATTGATCAGGGGGCGTCGAGAAGTAAAAAGCGTCTGCTAGAGCAGGCTTTGGTGGTGACTGGCACCTATGAGACTTATTTCTCGCCGTCTTACATACAACACACAGACGACGGAACCAAGAAGTTGCATTCGCAAATTATTCCGGTGGAAGCAATCATTTTAGTATATATAGTATACCTAATGAGTCCAATATGGTTCACAAGGACGGCTCTGAAAGGGAGGCTGCTTGCACACCTGAAACGAGAGAAAAAGATATTGTGAAGGGACATGCGAAGGAAGAAGGTTACCTGACTAGAAAATATCCTGCTTCACATACTAGCGACCGCGGCCATCGACACGAGACTTAACAAGCCAAGGTGCGGGACTTTGGTCCGGACAGCAAGGTGCATATGTTGTTATGTGGATAGCCACAGCATCACAGCCGACTTGTCGAAGGTTGATGTGCTACTTCGAGTTGTCTCGTTCGGCCTCGATGTATGATGTGCAATTTCATGTACAACTAGTCAGTTGTGAGGAGGCATGGCCTATGACGTAAGGTGCAGTGCTGTACGTAGACGAGCACATGTGCAGGCTAAACGACCCCTCCTAAAGAAACTCTCCTCTCAACGACGCAACAGCATCTGTCTGTCCCTACTCTCAGACACGCCACCGAACCAGCGAAAATCGCCCGTGCCATTCGTGAAATCCCCACAACTCAATCCCTCACTCGAGGATCACGATTTACGAATGGCCATAGGCCGGCAATAGGGGAAATAAACTGAAAGATCGCAGCCATGAAGCACTTGATCATGGTCGGGGCTTGTTACCTCGACACCATCCTCACGTGAGCAATAGTAAACAACAAACGGTCCACCTCAATTCGGTAGATCGAATAATAGAAAAAGAGAAGGGAAAACAAAAAAAGGAGAGGGGGGGGGGGGGAGGGAGAAGATCAAAGAGCCGTGCTAATTCACAGATCTCACAAGTGTCCCTCATTTCCCCGAAGAGGATGCCAAACTGCGAGCCACAAGCCTCAAGAAACGGCGTGGTGGGAACTGCGGCAACTCGCTCGAGGTTCTGCAACAGCTTGTCCCGCCCGACCTAGTAGCGCTTCATCTCGTCACCGTGCTGCCCAGCCGTCGATCCGCAGCTACGGAAACAGTGCTGTCCTCGTTCGGGGCCGGAAGGTCTGCTGCTGCTGTCGACTTTAGCCAGTGCATTCATCGCGAGGACCAGACCGAGGCAGCCAGTAGCTTCATCGTCCGCAGCCAGGCAACGGGTAGTCGGACGATTGTGAATCACAATGAGCTGGCTGAGATGACAGTCGACGAGTTTGTCCGTGTTGCAAAAGCTTTCGAGGACAATGCTGCCGATACGTGGTGGCATTTCGAGGTGTGTAAAGTCAATGAAAAAGAACACCCCCCCGACATCCATCACCTCGTTCCGCCGCAGGGCTGCCAGACTGCTGGTCACGTCCCCCATGGATGCTTTCTGTATCATCAAGTAGGCGCTCTACCAAAGCTCGTGTGCGTGCTCCTTCTTCCAAGTTGGGAGGTGTCGTTCCGTTGTCCTGGGTACAAGCACAAAATCGAATAGACACCCGTCCCAGCGAATACGAGATCACATGAGCCAGCTCGGAGGTTTGAAGCGCCGTCGTTAAGCAGAAGAGTCACAGGGTCGCATCCCAGAGACAACGGACAAGTGCATCCAGCACTTGCGCCACCACCTCCCGCAATCTCGCGTCAGCGTCGAGGTCGAGAGGCCCGGTAGAGAAGGGTTACGGAAATTGGCGATGGAGGCGGACGTCGTGTTCTATTCACGGACGTGGGCTGAGGTGAGTTGATTTCATGAGGAAAAAAGCAGGACTATGCAGGTACCACGCGCAGCAGGGTACCACAAGCCTGTTTGGTAGCAGCATAGATCACCAAAGCTGACGAGAAACGACGGCTGTGTGTTGTGTGTGCAGGGCGAAGGCTATGCGACCGCTGGGGATTGTCTGATGGGCGAGGTTGCACCGAAGGCGTAAGTCGGCATCAGGTCCCCGACGGCAATGGTGGTGGCCTGCACTGGCTGGCCAGTCTCAAGGGGGTGAGAGAGAGAGAGAGAGAGGGAGAGAGACGTCGCATCCAACTCATCCTAACGCACAATCCTTTCTGGCACCACAGATCCCTTCTCTTGAGCACTTGGGGCGCCCGCGGAGCCTGCGCCATCACACCACCAAGCCGCGAGGTCTTGCATGTCGAGCCAGTATCCGATCTAGCCGTACAAATTGTCGAGTATGGAGACACAAAACCCCCATCCACCCCCCCCCCCCTTTTTTTTTTCTTCTTCCCCGTTCGCTACAAATTTGGCTTGCTTCCTGCGGAGTTCCCACCACTGAGTGGGTATGACACGGATCTAGAACGCCTTACTGACCTGAATTATAAAAAAAATGGGTAGCGCCGTTGGAGCGGGTGATACCTTCATAGCGGGGGTAATGTATGGCCTGTTGTGTCGGTCGGGGGACTGGGATGTCGAGAATACGGTGAGGTTTGCTGTAGACCTTGCCACGACCAAGATCCAACAGGACGGCTTTGAAGGACTGGGTTCCAAGAGACCGCCTGCAGCAGTTTGACCAGAGTTGGGTTCAGATGGGGGGGGGGGGGGTTGAGTCAGAGCGCCGCTTGCATCAGGGACAGGGCCGAAGCCAGAGAGAAGAGAGAGAGGAAGGATGGACCATTCGCTTATGGGAAGAGAAAAGGGTGCATAGGCGATCCTTCCCTGGCGAGAGAAGAAAGGCAAGGACCCTGTGCTTTGCTGGCGGCCCGCATGATGACTTTTTGAGAGAAGAAGGAAGGGTGGGATCCATAAGGGAGGCGAGCCAGGATGAACAGGAGGAGCAGGGCGTAGATGCAGTGTTCCGCATCACGACGTGCAGGCAGATAGACTACTTCTGCCAATTCTCCGAGCATGGTGTGGTGGATCTGTGTGTGTTACCTTCGCTGGGTACTTGGCCATGATAAAGCGGCGGAAGATGTTGGTCGGGCAAAAGGTCACCCACCCGCTGAAACCAGCTAAGGTGTCATGGCTTTCAAGGTTGGGGTTGGAAGGGGACGGGGCAGAAATCAATGAAAAGGGCGGTGTACCACACTTGTTATGCAGGAGTGTGTGGACGGTGGGTTATAGAACCTCCGGAATGAGGTGGCCGGCCGCTCTGGTCCAGGCCGAGAAGGAGGAGGAGCACTCTTTGTTCATGCCCACCCCCCTTCCCCCCGCGCGCTGAGCGCCGCCGCCCGTTCCATGCCGGAAATAGCGTTTGAATCTGATTAGCCTTCTGCAGAGACATGCATGTGTTCCGATGACGCCGCACCAGGGGGGGGGGGGAAGAGAGGATGTGACAGATTACTACAAGTACAAAAGTAAAAATGGTGCCTCGCAGCCCTGCCCTGCCATCCATTTTACAGCGGGCATTGCGTGAGACGTGCTTGGGTCGGGGGACAACGCGGCCCCAAAGAAGGAGGGAAGGGAAGTGGGGGGGGGGGGGAGCGTAGAAAATTACGCCGTGGCCCAATCCAAACCCTAGCAAAAAGGATATGACTGGACAGTCGTACCGAACGACCGGTGATCCTTTGCTGCATGTTTGAACGGACAAGGCTGTCGGTCAGCAGAGCCATCCCATCCAATATTGAATAACCGCTGCTGCGACGCACACGCCTCGTCGTAGATCCACTAGTGTGCCACTCCTTGAGATGACGCAGACTTTTTTCTTTCTTTTTCTTTCCTTTCCTGGTACGCCTGGCCTTTTTTTCCTCTTCCTTTTCTCTTCTTTTGCCTCTGGGGTGTGTACTATGAAGATCGGCCCTTGGGATGTCTCAGTACCCCCCCATGACAGCGGCATCCTGTTGGTTTATACTGATAAGCTGCATGCGCCTGCCACGACCGGACGAAAGATTCGTCCGGTCGGTTCTACCAATACTGTGTGCTGAGTAGAGTTTTGGTGCATGACAGTCAGAGAGTGTGTGTGTGTGTGCGTGTGTGTGCGGCTCGCTGTCCGTGCGTGCTTCGCCTGACCAAAAGTGCCTGATGGCCTCGTGTGTGCCATGGTAACATCTGGGACTTGTTTCGGGACATGTACCATACTGCCCCAGTTCCTCGGTGATGGTGCTACAGGCATCGTGATGATCCATGCGACCATCCCTTGCGGAGAGAGATACATTACTTACTATTATAGCATGTACCATACTTAGCGTGGCAATGGAGAGAGAAGGATAGAGAGAGAGGCGGCAGGTGTGTGAGTCTTAGCACACATCGTCTCGTAGCTTCTGCGTCGTACGTGATCGGCAGGGCGTGGGCGCGGAATCATCCAGCAGGAAGCAGACCGCGATTCTCGCTTCGTTGTCGAAAACATGTTAAGACAGGGTTCTCCCACCAAGATGGGATACTCTGCCGCGGATGTCGTCCGATGTTCCAGCATGGAGGTTGCGCACACGCCCATGGACAAAAATACAGAGGCTGCGGCGACCCGAGGCCCAAAATCCATCCGCACCAGGCAAGGTGCAGCAGCAACGCCGAGAGTGGGAAGCTTGGGTGAGCCAGCTAACAGATGTAGACTCCCCCCCCCCCCGTTCTCTCCTCCTCCTAGTCCACCCCAGCCGACGGGCGCGCAGCCCACACACGACGATGGCACACGAATCAGTTGCTGCTTTGGAAAAATTTGGTCGTACCAGCCAGAAGGCTCCCTCCTCCACCGCCGTCACGAGGCGCCTGATCTCCGCTCGCCCCCATCTCTCTCCTCACCATGTCGTATTCTAATTGGTATGCACAGGTTGTGAATCCGTTGTCACGGAAGCCCGGTCCTTCAGGAGTTTCGATCAGGCTCTTTGTCGTCGCCGCCGCCTTCTCTTCCTCCTCCTCAACGCGCGCTGTTTCTTTCTTTTCGTCTTTTCTTTTCCTCTTTTGCTTTTCTTCTTTTTTTTCTGTAGACAAGCGTCCTCAGAGCCTGGAGACAAGTGGATGTCCAGAGTGCAGCGTACCCCATAGGAACGACAAGATCCAAGTCTGAAAGTTGCGCAGCGGGTGAAATTTACCTCCAGCGCTACTTCGAACGTCCCGGTTTGGTGACATCGGGCCCTGGCGTTTCGTCTCCACCTGAAGGCTTGAGAATTGAGACAAATGGTAGGCTCCGTATAGAGTCGGTTGTGCGGTGAGCCCGGCATCCACTGCTGAAGCGGGGCGCCGACAGATTATAGCGGCGATCAGAGTTTATGAACGGCGGCGCTGGGTTCGCTGGCCACTCCTGCAAACGTCGTGTGCTTCATGCACGGTGAACAGGTGACGATCTCTGTGGGCGTCTCTAGGGGGGCAAATTTTTTTCTTCTGCAACACCGCCGTCGGCCGGGCTAGTGTGTACAAGGGGCCATGGTGACGAGGCTTTTGTCCTGAGACCAACAGAAAGCCATGTCAGAATGCCAGTCATCATGAGATGGACACACACACGCATCCTGATACCATATCTGAGCTAGTATCTAGCACCAGGCCCTGTCCAAGCACCATTGCAGTGAGAAAGAAAGTGGCACAATCACGAGAAGTGCTTATGGTGCAGTGGCACATCGGGAGGGAACAATGTCAGCAGTGGTTGGTCGCTTAAATTCCCGCCGCCCAGGTAGAAAGACCACTACATGAAAGCAAGTCCCTCGCCTGCAGTCACATCCACTTCGGTAAGGTTCCAGAACAATGCGTGATTGGAAATGTTTGTTGTCCGAAATGCAGTGTGCTTGGCCCAAGGATGCATCCGGCGAGCAACTAGAGTGGGGAGGGGGGGGGTGCCATTATTGCTGCCCACGTAGTCCACGGTGCTCTTCGTATACAAGTCGTTCTGGTACCATGTTTATGGTGTACAGTAGTACCCCAACTAAAATTATGACATGGAATGCGGTGTGGGGGCAGGACACCAGGTACTGTGCCATGTAGCGAGTCTTTCGATCCCGTTAGGTCGTTGCACGATATGGATGACGGTGAGGAGGACTCATGTCGTGGTAGGTCGCAAAGAGCCTCTGCCTGCTTTAGATTGACATTCCTTTGTTTTTGTCCTTGCCTTGCGAGTCATGAGATGGTGTGCCAGACCAGCGTTGCATGAGGGTAGTATTTTGCGTATAAGCTCATGCTGTCACTGCATCGAGATTTCCTGACGACCCATCGCTGACAGGACAAGAAGGATGATTCAAGAAGATCTGCCTTTGAGGCCGTCCGTTGCTGAGCCGCAGCGGTCGATGTGATGAGGATAGGCTGTGTTGATCACCGAGGCACTGCGGGACTTTCGAGCCATGCTCACCATAGTAGGTCCTGGGTACTATAGGATCTCATCAATTGTGGAGTCTCGGCACCCTCAATACCGCACACTTGCCCGTGGGAGGGCAGGCCACCAGACGCAGAATCCTAGACTCAGGAGGAGCCACTCAAGCTTCCAGCTTACCTGGTCTTCAAGGCACTGGTAGACACTATTAGCTACTCAGCTATGATCTTGCTTGGGGACCGGGGGGGGGGGTTTGAAAGGTTGGTAAGAGGGCGCATAACTACCCTGTCAAGCCTGTGTTTCGATGATCTGGCAGCTGGTCCCTGTCGGCGCCTGGTGGAGGCGTCGAAGGACCGTTCAATGACATGGGGCTCTTTGATCTGGCCTCGAAACGGCTTTTAGGTTTGGGCCCTGGTAGTGGTCCTGCAGTGCCCTGTTCGACACATCTGCATGCAGTCTGGGGCTAGACAGGGGCCAGGGGACTCTCCTCTCAACCCGGGCTGCTCCTCGAGCCATCCTGCGGCCCGTGGCACGCCGGTGGGGTTACTCAATGGGAAATAGCCCTTGGGCGTCGTCCTCGACGTCTGTACGACACTATATGTAGTATGATAATACCACAGTATGTGTTATGTACCGTAGTACTCAAGTACCCAGCTCGTCCCCGCCCCCGAGGGGGGGGGGGGGTTGCGCAATAGTAGGTCTTAAGTACCTTTGTAGATCCACGAATGATGCATGGCTTTGACAATTTTTTCTTGAGTTGCTAAAAGGCGACTATCGCGGCATTTGCACCACGACTCGATCGTACTCAAGAGGCAGAAAACCGGAATTTCTTTCGGTGATGGGGTATGCGATGTTTGAAGTCGTCATTCTGGTAGAGTTGAGCATTCGCTTGACACAACAAGTGGCCAAGGGGCCGGAGGTCCTCACAAGCGAATGTGCCTTGAGGACAGGTACCGCCACGCCGGAGCACACCTCACGTTTCAGGGTAGTACCAGCGACAGGGGTCTAGTTAACGGGATTTCTTCGAGATTGACTTACAGATGAAATGTTCCCGCCCAAACCCCTGTCGTCAGAGCGACGTACCGCCAGTACTTCCACCTGGTAGCTAGTACGTACCCAAATAGCTCTTCGGCTTGACCTTCTGATCTTGTCCCGCGTCGAGTTGATCAAGTCCATGTTCCGCGGGAGATGGTGGTGGTGGTGGAAGAGGCGAACCAGTCCTGATGCTGCAAGTCCGGGTGCGGCAGGTGAGGGAAATTGATTACCAGCATTTTGCAGGGAGCCACCATATGGCTACCACTACTGTGAGTGCTTGGTCGCGGTACGAGCCCCGCGAAGGGCCACTGGGGAGCTACGGGTCAACCGTCACCAGCCAAGCGCCCAATGCAATACCAGAAACCTGTCCAATGGTTGGCGGCGCCGGCCCAGCCGCTGCAGTCTCGCGTTCCACTCATTCTAAGATTTGCGCCGGTGACATGCCGGCCAGACAAGCTACAGCTCCTTCCCCGCCAATATGACTCGTCTGTTCAGCGTCGACGAGAACCGCGCGCACAGCAAGGCTCTAGGGCTTGCGGCTAGGTTGGGCGGTCTATCAGTCAGTCAGCATGCGAGCGCCGATCTTCAACCACGGGTCGAAACAAGACGCATGCGCCATGCAGCGCGGGCCATATCCGTAGCGTCTGAGGTGCCAGAGTCGGAAGATCCAGGATCGAGGACCTACGCCGACACACGAGATGCACCAAAGAGACACCTCGTGTGCCCGCATCACAGACTAAAAAATGCTGATGGTTGATTTCGAAGCTTAGAATGTCCAGCTGAGGACCCGTGGCATAACCCGGGTGGCTAGCGAGCGGGACCCCACGGTCGACAAGGGCTAGAACTGGGACCTAGGCATGCGTGTGTGTGTGTGTGTGTGTGTGTGTGTGTGTGTGTGTGTGTGTGTGTGTGTGTGTGTATGTATTCCTGAAGAAGTTCAAGTCACGCAGGAATGCGAGCTGCGAGCTGAAAGACATGAACAGCAGCCAACCGCCAAATGAGCTGTTGAGATTCGACACACAACCAGGTTTTGAGGAGCTAGAAACGACGCATGGTAGGCGTTGTGATGCGTCCGTGTCTCGGTGTCATACTTTGTTCGAAAAGCTCTCCATGCGTGACAGTGGATGCATGCCCTTCGCCTTCAGGTGGAGGACCCCCTGGATGTCTCGTGAGGATGAAGGCCAGTATGCAGCAGGGACCGTAATCACGGGAGAGTGAGATTTGGGGTGTAGGTGCAGATCCAAAGCGCCTGCCTGCCCTGCCTCGCGGTTGGCTCAAGAAAAGCCCGCACGCAGCTGGACATAATGGATGGGTGGATGGGATGCCTGTGATGCTCGTCCAGGACGGGAACGAACAGGGTGCCCAGATAGAATCCTGGGCCAGCCCTGACCCAAGGTCTCGCTGGTAAGAGTATTGTGTGCCGGTGTCGTGCTGGCTTGCCTGTGAAAGAAGGCGGGTGAGGGGAGGGATTCGGGTGAGTGGGTGAGCGAGTAGGTGAAGTAGAAGGCACACGAAGTCGAGATCGGAACTGGAAGTCGCTATCCGAGCACTGGGGTAGATCCTACCCTATCACGGGAAAGCGACATCGTGGGCGATTGAAACCTGCAAGTACCAAGGTACCGAAGTAGCGCCGTACCCAGAACCTGACTACTGCCACAGTCCAAAGAATACGCTGACGTAAAGGGCCATAGTAGGCAGCTTACCACTGCTATTCCCCTTATACGACCTTACTGTACTATGGAGGTAGACTATTACTGTGATACTAATAGTGTGGAATAGTTCCATCCAGACTTATTGTGTGTTTGTAGCAACAGGATCGCAGCCCTTCATTTTTCCGAGACGGCGCACTGATCGTCAGAAATCGCATAAGCGCTTGAACCATCCAGACTCAGACACGGCAGCAGGCAGCCCGCAGCAATAGATGAAGCCGGAACTTGTGTGGTCTTGTCTAAGCCTTTGGAAGCAGGGAGGCCAACGGATTACCTCAAAGGGGCCCAGCCCGCGTACCGTAGTAGCCTTTTGGTGGCGTCCAGAAGTCTGGGATTGGAATGGCTTGAAATGGGAAACTCAAACAAGAGGGGTGCCACACTGTCTGACCCGACTGCCGTGCCAGCCTGCCAGCGTGTGCAATACTGTTTAGCGCTGTTGCATTCTGGGCCTTGTCTCGCATTAGCAACGTCGCGGGGGCCAGCCTCCCTGATCCCAACCGCCGCCCAAATCCATCATCCAGCAGGTACTCAGGAGAGGCACTGATGTTTTAGCGGGTGTGCGCACCTAAATTGGCCGTAAGATTATTCTATGATAGGTGACCTGGTGCTTTTGGCCACAGGGGGGTGAGGGAGGGGATGGTGGGGTACTGCTTGTGAGGGTGGGATTCGTCCGTCTCGCGTGATATAGCTCAAGCAAGATGTTCGTATAAAAAACCGAGTTGGGTTTGATTGACTGACTGTGCTGAAGCCAGAGGGCCAAGAATCCTGCAGGCGAGAGGAGGGGCTGTACCATAGTACTACGGTGCGTAGAAGTACTATGGTAGGGGCTGCCTGCCCAGCAGTGGCCAAGCTTGCTAGGTAGTCCAAGCAGGCTCAAGTGCTGGCACTAGCCCCCCCTCCCCTGTCCCAGGCTCAGTCTACAGCGCCTGTAAAGCCCTGCTCGGCAAGGTTCCTCAGGGTCTCAATCCTTTCTCTTGCTCCGCCAATCTCTCCTTGTGACTAGTCCCTTCCCCCTCTGGCCAGCACAATACTCCGTTACAATCCGCCCCTAAAGAGATGATCTTCTAACCCTCTCTGTTCTCGTCAGCCAATTTGGCTTCCTGCTGGCCAACATTTTCAACCTTCGGCCCCATTTACCGCGTATGGCATGCAGTCCCTGTCGCGGCGCCCCTCTCACCCCAAAAAAAGCTTGCTCTTGTGATTTTTCTTTTTGGCTCTGGATTTTCTTCATTCTCTCCTTAGCCTCCATTCCACAAACGGTGGTTTGCTTCTTGTGCCCGTCCTGCCCGGCCTGAGCTGGTACGTCTCGTTGATCAGCGACTGTGTGTGATCGCTAAAGTCTGCGCGGACGGAAATGAGACGAGTCTGTGAATCCGTACAGCCGAGACGAAACCGCCTGACGGAACTTTGGTCGTGCTGTGTTTGTGCTGACCAACTCAGTCGGAAACAATGCGGCGTGCGTCTCCCTACGCTCTGTGCATACCGCCCTTCGTCATGCGTCGTCGGCAAGGGAGACTGTTAGCACCATGGTGTGCGCTGCGAGGCAACTCGGGGAGGGTCTTGGCCTGGATCCGCCCAGCCTTCGAACGGTGTGATCGCAGGTTTCGTACTATGTAGTCGTGACCGACAAGAGCAAGCTCGGATGGCCAGCATATCATAGGACGACGCTACAGCCAGTGGCCGCTCGCCTCGCTTCTTGACTGCGTCAACCCTCCCTCCCTCAAAGGCCGAGAGCGGCATTAGGTCGACACGACGAGATACAGGATGTGTGTGCCAAGTCATCAAACCTGTCTGTCGCCTGCTGCATCATGCAGCGGGAGGCACACAGCGTTGGCGTCCGGCAACAGCGGCTTGCTCATCACTGGACGCGTAATGAAATTTGCGCACAGGGGAGACGATGCAGGCGGCTTAGTTTCGAGGGAGTAGAATGGAAGGGGGGGGGGTGCTCGGAGGAGTACAAGACAATCTGACCCCTACCCATATCGCACAGATGATCCTCTGCGCCCAGGAGAACCCCCCCCTCCCCGGTCCGTTCTTGGTCCCATCACCTCGCTTTATTGCAGCCACTATGGTGTATGGTGTGTGTGGGAGAGTGTCAGGCATTCGGCGTCAGGTGCGCTGACCTTACCTGCACCTTGTCCCAGTGTCTGAAAGGCCCAGAATGGCAGGCCCAACGGCGAAATTCTGGGGCTCGACCCCATCCTGGAACAAGCCTACAAGGTCGCCACTCGAGGGGCTGAGTTGGGCCTGTATCTTACGACAATGCAATCTTACTGCGTACGAACCGACACACTGAGCCGCGACTCTAGGCCGTACGCTGCGGGGTCTGGTCTTGAACGGGTTTCCCTGTAGCGTTGCTGGCTTAACTCTGCGGCGCTGTTCATCAATCAGGCATGTCCGTCACCAGCCAATGCAAACCAAGGGTGGTAGGTATGGGGCGAACGATGTGTGTGTGCGCTTGCACTCATGGTGCTATGCTATGCACTCTATGTGCATCAAGTAAAGCACAAGGTGTGCAGTCCAACCTGCACAGCAACGAGGTATTTTCCTTGTTACCGCTTACGGCTTGTGTTCAACAGTTTATCGAGACTGGCCTGTTTTTCCTCCCCTCTCTTCTTTGTCGCCACAACTTGATGTCACAGCACAGTAGCCCTTTTGGCTTGACTGAGGCAAGGCTCCAGCCAGATCCATCAGCATGCAGCTGGCCGGTGGAGGCTTTTGCTTGAACCTCTTTTCTGAAGGGACTGTGTCGACCCACAGTTTCACTGCTATTCGCGAGCCCGAGTGTCATCCAGTCCCGCCGCATTGGCACGCTCGGCTTTGGCCTCCTAGGTCATGGCCACGGCCGCGGACCACAGCCTGCGATATGCTAGTGCGTGGGTAAAAACAGAAACCAGTCGTCTGTCCCAATGGGATCCTTGCTCAACCATCGAATCGCCTGGGTTGGAGTTAGTGTGACCCCCCCTTGCTCTTCAGCGCACCACGCCGACCACAACTCTACTGCATCGACACCCCCACTTCTTATATCCCTCACACCTCCTATAGGAAAGCACTACCACTCGGCAGGGGGGACAGGGGTTGTCAAGTGTGCACTGACACACTGGGCTCAGGCTGGAGGCGGTTACTGCACCTGCTGGCACCATCCCGCCTCATGTTTTTCCTCTTTTTTGTTTTTCCTTCCCTTTTCTTTTTCACGAGCACGCCCCCTGCTAAGCACCCCTCCTCTCCCGACCCACCATCATGTCTCCATCTACATTTGCATCTTGAGATGCAACCCTTCTTTCTGGGGCCTGGGGCTCCTGCATCTCGACCCCTTGTCCCCGCCATTGCAGATGCACATATCCTTGCGGAATCATGTCTGCGCGTTGCAGGGAGGTGTGCCACTGTTGGGTAGAGGTTGCCTGCTCGGGCCTGTCTGATACGTCGGTCAGAAGTGCCTTGGAGCTCAGTCCGGGCTTGACCACACGCGGTCGTGACCACACTACTTTCTCCCACAGCCTGCTGACCGAACCCACAGATAGACATACATACTTTGACGCGGCTCCTGGCACTCCTCCCTGCCCGGATGCCGTGTTGGTTTTTTTTTTTGGTCGAGCGGCGGATTGTCTGGCCGGGCCTGCTAGTCCTTTTTCCAGTCGCCCCACACTTTCGTGAGGCCTTTTGCCGCGCTGGTCTTTTCTTGTCCTGGCCCAGAGAGCGGGCCACTTTCTATGAAAAACATTCCAAAATCCGGCACAGACCGGGATTCTCCATACCAAATTGCGTACTATGGTACTGTAGTTCATTCGCGTCCAAGGCACACAAGGCCGAAACTTTTGAATTGTCTGCCGCCGCCCCTCTTATCCTATGGGCATTCATTCCTCTTCGCGACTTGTGTCTTACACACTTATTTAGTGGTGGTGGTGGTGATGCTGCTTTGTTTCGTGCTGTTCCTGTACGAAGCACGGATCTTTTCTCTGTCTCCTTGGACATCAAGTCGCTGGCCTGGAAACCAGCCCTTGGACAACAAACTCCACACAGATCCCGTCTGAGCAGGCAGGGGTGTGGGGGGTTTGTGTGTGTGGACCCAGAATCGAGGGCCGGAACTCCTCAGCAGTCTGATCCTTGTCGACACACACATTCACAGATAATCCCACCTTGTGGCCCTTAGCTCATCCGCTTCCTTTTTACAACAGGTTCCAAGCAAAGAAACAGATCCTGGAGGTCAGGGCGCGACAAGGCCCGGCCTGGTCCTACCGCTGATTTCACGGTACCCTGTACTACCCTTACAATACAACAGTACATTCTCTCGTCCCGAAGCCACGACGCTTGCCAGGAGTCACTGTCTGTACCTAGTCTGCCTCTGTCCCCTCATCCCTCCTCCGTTTTTCCGTACTCATGTACGTACCGTTGGGAGCCCTGTACCCAACGGGGCCAAAGTAGCCTCCCCTCCCTCGATCCAGGGTATTCATGTACCCCATACGCAGTACTTACACGCGACGAGGAACAAGAAGTAACAGATCCTTGCAACCCCATATGACGCAGAACACCACACTACACACTCCTTCACGACATGCAAGCTCCATTCTTCTTTTGACCAGGAACCGACACATCCACACTCGATCCCATGATACCACTACTACTTCCCTACCTACTTACCTAGACACATCCACATGTCAGAAGGCCCCGTTCCATTTTCATTACTTTTTGTTCTCTCCTTGCCAATACGACAATGTCACTCCTGCTCGAACTAGCTTCGATTTATCCTTCGACCCATTCCACATGGCCCCTTTCTTCCCTGTCCCTGTCTCAACGCTTCGCTTCTCCTTTATTACCCATTCCACAACAAGAAGTTGTTGCAGTCCCTTCGGCCTGCTATATCACCTCCCATGATGACATCTGCATATAGGGTTTGACGGCTGTCTCCCTCCCCCCCCCCCAAGTCACCTACTATCCATCAATCTACCTCTCATACATATAACTACACAACACACACCCACCCACCCACCTACCCACCCACACACAATCACAACAACAATCACAAGCATAATAACGATTCTACATCACCACACCACATCGTCAAAATCCTACGTGGTCATCAATATGATGCCTTCTTTCGTTGGAGCCAGCCTCCCTTGTATACCACCGGTTTCCTACAGCAACGATGCCCTCTTTGAAGCCCTCTCCAAACAGATGTCGACCCCAGCGAGCCGGAGGCAGTCAAGGGGATCGAACGGTGCTCTTGGAAACGCCATGAGAGTCGTAAAGCCAACGAGTGCTAGCAATAGCCCGAGGAACAACCTCATGCAGCAGCGTCGACGGACCATGATGAATGATCTTGTCTTGCAGCAGAGAGCTCAGCAAATGTTGGACCAGCCGTATTTGCCTACGCCCGGCCCGGAGGTCTTTGCCAACAATTACTACGAGCCCGTCAAGAGGACAGCCCGGCCCGTCAGCTGGCACCCCTCCACACAACTACCTCAGACATATCAACTCTCGTCCTTGCCGGCTCAACAACAGCAGCAGCAGCAGCAGCAGCAGCAGCAGCAGTCTTTACAGTTTCCATTCCCAAACTACTGTGACTACGACTTCAGCGCGCCTCCCGTGCAGATGCCCCCCACACCTGCCGCCTATTCAGCATACAGCTCACCTATCTCAAACTTCTCGCCGTTGGTACTGCCGTCCTACGCTCCCTACGAGATGCCTCAGACACAGGCCTACGCCTCACCCGCCTGGGACCCTGCTGCTGCTGCGCCCGCTGCAGCCAGCATGCCATCTACGGGTCATACCCAGACACCGGCCTTCATCCCTGCCACGGTTTACACCCCAGCCTCTGTACCTGGCTATGTTGAGCCCTCATATTCTCCAGCGTCGTGGATGGACATCCCATCTACTGGTTACAGTGTCAACCTGACAACGCCGCCTACTCCGGAGGATATGCCCAATATTCAGCTCCCGGAACCGGTTGTGATGAAGCAGGCATCAGCTGTCTACCCGAAACCCGAAGTCAAGGACGATGACTACGATCAGCAGCAGCAGGATGTGGAGAATGACGGCGAGGACGGAGAGGAAGAAGAAGGAGATATCCTCATCGGGCTGGGACTTTACGATCCTCCAGAGAAGCTGGGACTTCTCGGCGCATCCTTCGAGCCCACCGGCAAGGGACTAAGGCTGGAAGATGCCTGGGAACCACCAGCGACGGATGACGAGGAAGAGGATGAAGAGGAAGATGGTGAGGGGGAGGCGGACAGCGATGATGAGTGAGGGTTCTCTTCTTGAGGACCAATCTCTATGGACACTATGATTTACGATTTTGCATCATTTGGTTTACGGAGTTCTCAAACTTGGGTAGCATACGGGTCTATGACCGGGTGGAGGGGAAGGGTTTTTTTTTTCTTCTTTATTATTTCGGTCACAAGGAAAATTGGACTCGGTATGATACCCTGGGATGGAAGGTAGAGAGGGAGCTGTATACAACTACAACAATATACCACCAGCAACACTGCTGAACGTGTAGGACTTTTTGGTGATTGAAAGAGAAATTGAGAAACATTCTGCAACATGTCACAGTACCTGCAAGAAAGGAAGAAAAAAAATCACATGAGAGTGCAAGGGAATATCTCAAATGAACAGGTCACACGTCGCCAATTAAGAGCAAAACATGTGCCCTCCCTGTCTGCAATGACTACCCAACGATGCTGTGGTGATCCAAACCGCCAGTCTACATGTTTTAGTGCTAAAAAAGTAAATAGACTCTGCAGGGGAGGGGGAAAACAGAGCGTCGTCGGGTGTCGAGTCAGCTCGAAGAATGAGGCGCTGCAAAACAAGCCGCAGACAGACCGGGGGGGGGGGGGTGGTCTTTCAGGCTTCAGCCAGCAGACCCTGATGTCACTGCCAAAACAGTAGAACGCAGCCAGCTCTTGGGGGTAAATTCTATCTTCCATACCAGGAGCGAGGGAGGGAGTCCTAGTTTTCCCATGCGGGACTTCAAAAAGGGGGGGGGGGGGTTGGTACCGGAGTCTGCCGTTATGAGCGAGACGAGGTTTGCTGTAACGATACATTTCGTAGTACCATAGTAGAGTAAGATTGATGATACACAATTTAGTATGTGGGTGGACCGCCACCTTGTGGACGCGACGGAAGATACAGCCAGACACACTAAGAGGTGCTCCGCAGGAGGGAGGGGATCGTGTGTTCTCTTTTCGGTGGGCACAGACCATCATCTATCATCCATGGTATCATGTTCCCTTTGCTGATGGGTGGATCTTGGATCTGCTCGGCCCTGGTGTTCGATGCTTCGATGCTTCGATGGGGTCTGGGTGGGGAAGGGGAGGAGAGAAGGAACGAGGGGCAGGGGTTGTTCGTCAGGGCAGGGGGTGAACACACTCATCCACTCAGCACCACCTCCTGGCCCCCCACCCCTTCATTCTTTCCCCCCCTCCTTGGCTTTTTCGCAGCCTGCAGAGCCGCTTTCGACCACCCCTGTCGGATGTTCCCTTGGCCATGCCCCAGTTTCGAAGGAGGGGCGGGGCGTTGGGGTCGCTGGGAAGGGGTTCAATCTTTTTTTCTCTCTCTCTCCCAAGGGCTGACCCCACCCTCTCCCTAGGAATGTAGCGATTAAGTAGCTTTCCCGTTATAAATAGTGCTAAAGGTACTTAAGAGAGACCTTTTGTTGGCGAGGGAGGGGGAGGTGGTAGGTAGGCTTAGCCGAACTCAGTACTTATACTATGTACTTGGCTCGGCTTTTGGGTGGCTTGTTCGTCTTCGCTCTCGGGTCTCTTCTTGTTGTTCTTTTGCCCTACCCTGGTCCGTCCCCTTTCCCTCGCTTTATACCCACCAGCGTGCTGCGCATACATAGCGCCATGTACCACAGTACCGTACCGTAATGGTGCTACAGTAGTATGATGGCGGTACCTACTGGAAGGTACGAGGCACCACTGCGTTTGGCTAGTTGCCTTCCTCTACTTTTCTCCCTCCTCTTTTCCTCCCAGTGTTTCCCTCGCTTTTTAAGCCCGTGCTCTCTTTGGCATGACTAACCCAATACCACCACCATCTGCAACCCCACCTGCCAGAGCGCCCTTTGCTCTCTCTTCACTTTCGCTTGAGACGAGGGGATTTGGGAAAGGAAGGGAGAGATAGAGGAGGGGTGACGAAGTGTTGATCTTATTGTCTGGATCGTACGAAAGGGGGCCGCTAGATCGGCAATAATGAGAGAATCCTTTCTCACGGCACGCAGTGACGGGCAAACAACTCGCCTGCGACTACGACAGTCAACAATCCTCGCCTGCCACCCTTTCCTTCTCCCTCTCTTGTCTCTCACAATTTGTCTCCCAGAGAGAGAAAATCGGGCTCCTCTGTCCCACACCCAATTAAATAAAGCAGAAGAAGAAGATCTTCTTGTCTTCTAGTTTCGTTTTCACCGGTGGAGACAGGCTACACACTTTCTCTCGAGAAATCCGAGCCGAGATGGCCATTATCCCAAACAGCACGTTTGAAGGTGGTTAGTTCAACTGCCTGACGATCTGGTCCAGCCTCTCTCGTATCACACACCTTACGGAACCACGCAATATGCAACCATGACCGCCATTGTCACCGACCCCTCCCCCCCCTCCACCCTTCTACTCCAGCTGCAGGCTCTTTCCTCGTCAGGCGGGCGTGCGTGCAGTGGTTACGTGGCTGGGCTATTAGGATAGGCTGTGTGGCTTTAGGCTTGTGGGCTTGGCTGTGGGCTCATCTGTGGTCGGATCCTCTTCCCTCTATCCCAAGCAACACCAGAAAAGAGAAAAAAAGAAAGAGTGTGCTTCGCTCATGCCCGTGCTTGGTCGCTGGTTGGCTTCTGCTGCGCGCCCCTCACTTGTCAGAACATCCTCACACGAGCACGCAACAAAAGCTCTGCATCGGCTAGCGAACACTGGACGGTCGCTACCATTGTAGTAGTTGTAGATAGTGGCTGCTGCGCCCCTCTTCCTCGCTCATCCTCCTTCCCCTCTCTTCTGCTATTTCGCCCACCCCATTCTCCCTCGCCCCACTCTTCGTCTGTCGTGCAGACCTTGCCCAGAAGAAAGTGTGGACTTGAACCCCGCCAACCTTACGACCACTCAAATAACAGCTTGCAGGGCCCTCCTCGACTCCGCCGAACAAGAAGTCCCCCCTCCCCCCTGCCAAGTACGATTTGCGTATTCCGCGATGCCGCTGCCGCCGGCCGACGAAGGAGCTTGTCATCACCCACCTGCTCCTTGACCCTAGACCCTGAAAACACCTTCCATGTCAAGGTCTTCATCAATCCAGCGTCCGCTTCGAGAAATAAGGCGTGTCGTCACCGCCATTTATATCACGCAGCCCCGCCAGGGAAAGGAGCTGAACGCCCCGAGGCCAGCGCCGGCGAGCTTCACCGTTATGGACAAGATCTTCCTCCCTCTCAGGGGAGGGCTTGTGACGGGCTTGTCTCGGCACCCCGTTACCCGGGCGTTGGTGGTGTGTATCGGGTCACCCCCGAATTGTACTCCGTCAAGACTGACAGTCGAGAAGATGGTCTACATGAAAGGCCGGCATTAAACGACCCAGAGCTTTCTATCGCGCGGCGGAGGCCCCCCCCCCCTTCCCTTCGCACCCCGAGTATACAAGGTCAGCTGGTTGTCGATCGAGGCGTTGTTGCTGGTGCCCAAGCGAATAGCAGCGAGTACTGGAGAGGGCGGCTAGGTCGTGGGACGTGGACAAAGAGCTCATGGGCCTTCCATGTGCTGCAGCAGCAGAAGGTGTCATGTTTGTCCTGACCTTCCACACGTAGTTCGCCCTACCCGACATGCAACTCTACGCCCCGTCTCAAGCAGAAGCGTACATCCTCGAAGCGATAGAAGTCCGTGGCACACTGGTTGAGTCGAGTTTCCCGGCCGAGGCACTGCAGGCCAATTGTGTCTGAGCCCGTGACCTGCAAGGAGGTGGCATGGGCTGTTGCCGCTGCCTCGTTGTCCGACCAGAGGTGTTTAGGGACTGCAGATCTTGAAGACGAGCCCAGGAGCCCATATTTGACTCATCCGAGGAGGAAGAGCTACATCTCCTAGGTATGAACTGGGGTGGATGAGCATTGTCTCGGAGACGACGCAGTACGTGGATAGAGAGCTCGTGCTATGGCGTGCTGCAGCATACAGTCAAGGTTCAGTACTGGACTGGGCAGAGGCGAAACGCCCATACCCACGCTCGTAGACGACAGGTGAGTTTGAAGGTTTCTAGGGATTTGGACAAGCTAGACGGCGGGCCTTGTAGAGGTTGTTAGTCAAGCAGGTGCCAGACGAGACAGCCGCTGAGAGGGACACAATGGCACGGTAGCAGTGGCCCTCCTGTGGCCGATGAAAGGAATAAATGAATCGAAGGATGAGTAAATACTGCATAAATGCCTGGTTGAGTAGACGGTCTATCGCCAGGGACCGCCGCATCACTGAAGCTGTGAGTACCTGTCTGAATGGCACAGCTTGAAATGGCCGTTTCTGAAGTGCAGCGGGAGATCACAGTGGGTCTCGTTGCATTCTTTTTCACCAAAAATAAATAGATAAACTGCCAGAGTTACAGATGATGACGGCGTGAGCAAGAGATATGATCGAAAGTCGCCATATATTGAAAAATAAAAGAACAATCGACTATTTACTACTCATAAATCTTGAGGAAAAAAGATTCCTGAGGGGGGAAAGGTGAGAGCCACCACATAGTAGTAGTAGCGTGACGGGTGGTAGGTATCGACAGCCTACACAAAATTTTAAGCCTAATCCGGCCGATGTCTGCCATTTTCGACCACTCTCATCCCAACTTGTACAAATGAGCACAACACAACCCAAACGGACAGTAACAGTAGGGAGAAGAGTCAACTTTGATGTAAGGTAGACTTTATTTTCCCCGCCTGATAGCTATTTGGACCCTGACAACCCTGTGGGGTGAGGAGGAGGGAATGGGCTCGTGCGTCTTCTCTGGCAGCAGCTGAGCTCGAGGGAAGACGGGGAACCATCTCATTCACTGACGACCACAGGCTTCGAATCCACGCCGGATGAGTAGCCAGTCTTTGACGGGCGGAAAAGGATGGTCCAGTTTGTCTTCACCCCATGGCGCAACCGCGCCGAGCTCCTCCGGGTGCGCTCACAGCTGTACCCGCACCCCTCCTTCACCACGCAAACGGCGGCAGCAACAACAACGACGACGACGACAACACCGCCGTTGCCGCCTCGATCGCCATGGTGGTCCGGCCCAGAGGAGCTGCGCGCCATCGAGAGCGCCATCGCGCGCGTCTTCATGTGGGTGCACCGCGGCGGGTGCCCGCACGTCGTGGAGTCGACTGCCCTCCTGATGTCGGCTATTGTCTTTGACGAGCGCGGCGGGCATGACGCCGTGTCTGGGGCAGGGGTTACGGCTGGTTATGTTGTTGGGTTCACACGGTACAAGCCTTTCCTTTTTTTCTTTCTTTCGAGTTTCAGTTTACACCTTCCGCTACCTACATCCTCGCATTTGTGTCGGCTGACCATTGGGGAGGGAAATTTTAGGTTCGTCACTGGCCTGCTGGACAGTCACCAGGACAAGGCGCGCAAGCTAAGCATGTACGGCGTGGCCAAGACCCTCGGCCTGCCGGCCAGCTTTGTCGAGCTCCGCCACCAGGGAACACACGAGCCGATGCCCTCGCTGGGCCAGCTGCGTCCCGCGGCGAGGAGGGCGCTGGTGTGGATTTGGGAGTACTACTGGAAGAACCTGCCAGAAGGGGAGGCGGAGGAGGATGAGGAAGAGGAAGAGGAGAAGGAGGCTATCACCTCTAGAGACGGCCCTACTACTACTGCCACGACTGCCAGAAATTCTACGAGGGCCACTGCCATCATCAGGAGCGGGGCAGCGGCTCTACGTGACGAAGCCTCGGTTGCTGCCAAGGGCAAGACGGTCGCGACGTCCGAGGCCATCCAGGAGAGGATGTGTCGCACTGCGCTGCTGGGGTTTCTGCAGCGGCAGGAGGGCGAGATCGGCGAGGAGGCTGGGAGGGAAGGACTGATGAGGCAGCTGGGCAGGTGGGATGAGGTCCTTGTGCTGAGGGTGCTGGCGGACATTGGAGGGTCGATCAGGGATACGGGTATGCTGCTGCGGTCCGTGAAGTTGGCTCGGGTGGTGCGAGGAGGGCTGTCGGTTGAGAGGGCTGCGGTGGAAGAGGAGCCGTCGGGTCAACAGCAGGAGGGGAACGAGGAGGAGCTCAGGGGAGAGCTGTATCGCGCGCGAGATGAGGTCCAGAGAAGAGAAGGGGTGGGGGCAGGGCCGGGTATGGTCATCACTGGCAAACGGAAGAAAGAGGACAGCGACAAGAAGCATGGTGGCGACGATAGGGCAACGAAGAGAGGCGGTTGGTTCCGGTGGGAGGGGCCATGGTCACCAAAACCCATCGGCGTCTTGTGAATAGTTTCTGTCGTCAGATTTTGCTCTGATATATGATACCCCTCTTCAACGATGATCTCGTTACTGGAATATGATCCTCTGATATGATCTTGCCTTGGAGTGTCTCTACCTCAATAATAAATACCCTACACCAGTGGATCTCGGAAGTCAACCTCGTACATTTCGCCCTCAAATTTTGTGTCTGTTGTGAAATCATTTCTTTAAGTGACGATTCTGAATGTTCGTTTTGGAGACGCACTGGGTTGCAGGTTCCCGAAGCTGCCGGTGCACCTTCCCCCCCCCCCCCCCCCACTGCGTCTTGTCCAATAACGTCATCGTGATTCGGATTATTCATCAACAAGAGAACGTCCTCACCAGGAATTCTTGATCCCAAAAAAAGAGGAGGTGTCCTGCACCGTGGTAGCGAAGCATTCTGAACGCTTCTCCTCATGCATTCAGCAACCATTCTACGTAGGCCTTTTCTGCGGAACAAACTCGGTACTCTGAACTCAGTGGTAAGAGAGAGGGGGAGAGAGCAACCTCAAACTTACCCCCTCCCCCAGCCCTCTCAATGAGTGCTTCTGAGATCTTTGATTTAACTAACGACATTGCTTACAGCTTGCCATCTCATGCGCCACCATGCATATCCAGTCGATTCCTATGTGTATGTCTGCTGGGAGGGGAGAGTCCGGGACGATGAGCTCGGTCTGCCTATTTTGACATTCGTTTATCAATTCACTAATCGTTGATGTTGCCTTGTGTAGGGGTGGGCAGTAGCAACAACTACGCCTACCTTGTCTCGGACGACAAGAGCAAAGATGCAGTCATTATCGACCCTGCCAACCCTCCTGAGTGAGTGATTAACATGGAAGGGGGGAAGCCGACTATGGCACACTGCTGGCTGGCTGGCTAACTGATGCTCCTTGGAATAGGGTCGCTCCGGTTTTGAAAGCGGCTATCGAGAGCGGCAAGATCAACCTGACAGCGATTGTGAATACTCACCAGTGAGCAAACCCCCCTTTTCTCACAAGAAAACTCATTGATTGACATGCTCTGTAGCCACTGGGACCATGCGGGCGGAAACCAGAAGCTCGTGAGTCAGATATGAAGCCTGTCCATAAACTCTTGAAGTCGAAGTCTAATTGGTCTTCTCCTCCGCCTCCTGTCCAGAAAGCCGAGCTCAACCTCCCCGACCTGCCCATCATTGCCGGCAAGGATGCCGAGGGCGTCACCCAGACACCCGCAAATGGCGCAGGCTTCCAGATCGGGAGCATCGCCGTCAAGAGTCTGTACACGCCGTGCCACACGCAGGACAGCATTTGCTGGTTCATGGAGGACGGCGGGGACAAGGTTGTCTTCACGGGCGACACGCTATTCCACGCCGGGTGCGGCAAATTCTTTGAGGGCAACGCCGAGGAGATGAACACGGCGCTGAACAAGACGCTCGCGAGCCTGCCGGACGATACCAAGGTCTTTCCTGGGCATGAGTACACCAAGAGCAATGTCAAATTTGCGGCGTCGGTGCTGCAGAACGAGGCGCTGAAGAAGTTGCAGAAGTTCTCAGATGAGAACCAGGAGACGCAGGGCAAGTTTACTATTGGGGATGAGAAGGTATGTGAAGATGGTTGTGTCCTCAGGTGGGGAAAGTCTGTGTGCATGTGTATATGTGATGGCTGACCAAGGTTTCCCAACAGCAACACAACCCGTTCATGAGAACAAGTGTAAGTGATTAGCCTTCTTTTTTGACCCTCATGACTTTGTCGCTACGACGACGGCTAATTTTTCGACCCATTAGGATCCGGACATGCAGAAGGCCACCGGCAAGACTGACCCGGTGGATGTTATGCACGCGCTGCGAGAGATGAAGAACAACTTCAAGTGAGTACAACCGAGACCAAGGAGGTCAGCTGTGCAGCCAAGCCAGTCACGGCTAAGTCGTGGCAGAGAGCCGAATGAGTCCAGGTTATGAGAAAAGGCATCACAGGCCCTGCTGTGGACTTCACAGAGCGAGCGCGTTTTCAAAATGAATGAACGAGAATGTAAATCTTGTTGCTGCTACTTGAAAAGATGACAATAGCAAATAGATGTGATGTGATGATGTCTCCATGTCAAGAGCAGTCACCAGCCTCTGGGATGAGGGTCAGGCAACATCGACCGAGTGATGGAAAGCTAGATGCTTGGGTTTTTGCTCTTGCTTCACTGTCCACACTTGTCCGTCCTGGTGTATTATATACGGAAACGGCAAGCTCTAGCATATTTTGAAGCTTTTTTTTCGAGGTACTTGTTGTCTGTATCATCACGTACATCCCATCCGTCCCAGAGATGTCCCCTCCCAAGCGCCGTCGTGACGTGATAATTGACGGACGTCCTTTTTCTTACCTTGGTCGCATGCCTGAAGAGACAGGTCAGCAATAATTTAATTGCTGGCACATGCGTGGTCCATCAAGAAGAAACCGCCACACTGGCCACACTTGGTAGACACCGGTTGCGTAGTTCGCAGTGTTCATGTTGATGTTGATGGGTGGTGAAAGTGTGAGTAAGGAAAGAAGAAGTGCAGACTTTTTGTTGCGTGCAGAGATTTTAGGCGAGATGGAAAGTCGTGGTAGTGGTAGGTAAATCTGCCGACCCGGCAACAGTCTCTGCAAGCAGCACTAAATTACAGGGGGGCAGCCCACTGTAAGCCAACCCACCCAATACCCCATCGCCCAAGCCTATCCAGAGGGCCTCCACCCTTTGACATCACCGATTTACAACGACAACCCGCAACCCCGCGACTTTGAGGGCGCGGTCTCACGATGGTAAGTCTGCGCAGAACTCACATAGAAGCACTTCCAATCTCTCCACTACTCACCCTCCTCGTCAATCCATTTTTTGTGGACCATGGCTGCCTGCTGCCCCCCTCTTCTTCGTCTCGTCTGACATATGCGACAGCCACCACGACGCAGGGCCGGGGGAGCAGCCGAGGCGGGCGCATCATCATCAACATCGGGCGCAAAAGGAGGTGGTGCGCGCCAGTCCAGGCTCGCCAAGGAGCACGACATCACTGCGCAAGAGGAGGCTGAGATCAAGGAAGCCTTTGCGCTGTTCTCAGAACCGAGCCAGGGCGAGAAAGAAGGTCTCATACCTATTGGTGATGTGAGGAGGGCCATGATGTACGTTCTTCTATTCCTCCTCCTCCGCCTTTGGCCCCTTGAACAGTCCGGTTCTCTTGCTCGCGAAACTTCCTCTACAGGCATCAATGAAAGATCATACAAGGGTAGCTGACAAACGGGACTTTCCGTGTTTTTTCCCAACCGGATTAGAGCCCTCGACATCCCGCCCAAAGACAAGCACGAGCTCGCCGAGTTCACCTCGATCCTCGACCCGGACGACGAAGGATACGCCAACTACCCCTCCTTCGTGGCGATCTGCGCCCTCAAGTTCCACGCGCGCGACCACGGTGCCGGCGCGCACGCCCGCGAGGTCGACGAGGCCTTTGGTCTGTTCACGGGCACCGACGAGGACGGGGCGCCGCTGAGCACTGCCATCACACTGGCGCACCTGCGGCGGGTCGCGGTGCTGCTGAAGGAGGAGACGGCGGACGATGATTTGCTTCGGGATATGATACTTGAGGCGAATGGGGGGTCGGGCGTGGGGAAAGGCGTGCGGAAGGGGGACTTTGAGAATGTGATGAAGAGGGCGGGGGTTTGGAGGTGATAAAAAAGATGGAAGGAGAGAGAAAGATAGTGGGCGTTAAGAGGTGTATGTATGGCCGTATAGGCCACGAGACTCAGTCGAGGATGATCGGATGACTTCTCTCGATATGGAAGACTGGGCATGACGAATTTACGGAAAACAACATGCAGACAGGTTATTCTCTGTCCATGCATTGATGCTGGACAATGCGCTTGAGTCGAAACTCGGTCTAAGCTACATTGGAGATTGGTTCTGGGTTAGTAGCCCTTAAAAATGGAGCAGATTCCTCAAAAAACATGCTCGCTTGCTCAACACAGTAAGTATCCGAGACAGTTTTCTCCTTGCACATACTACAATCTATAGTGTAAGGAACATCTACGGCTTTCAATAAATTAGTTGTTTACGAAGACTCAGTATCTTATGACAGTGTATGGCTTGCAGATGTTTTCAACGACGCATCCAGGTGGTAAACAATAGGAGAGGGCCATTACATTAATCTCAACTAGTGTATAGACCGACTCTTGAGCAGCACCGCCATGGTCTCACCGATTAAACTCTAGAGATCTTGAATCCGCCGGGAACGCGCTTCTGGAAGAACCCCTCGGGGTCATAGGCCGCCGCCACGCTCCTAATCAAATCGACATTGTCCTGCCCGTAGCCACCCAAGGGGTTCTGGGCCGGCCCTGCATAGTTCAGGTACGTCCAGTCGATGTGGGCATCCAGCGAGGCGGCGAAGGCGCTCAGCTCGGCGGACATGACAGCCAGGTACTGGTTTGCGATGGCCTCCTGCTCGACGGTGTCGACGAGGCAGTGGATCATCCAGAGGATGGAAGTGTCGGTCAGCTTCTCGTTGAGGCCGAGGACGTTGTCGCTGTTGGCGTAGGCCGCCCAGGTCGGCATCGACTGCCAGATCATCCTTGCCATGAAGGCGTCGGCCGGCATGTGGTCCTGCAGGACGGTGACGTACTCGTTGTACAGCTCGACGGCCTTGGTGAGCACGCGCTCGTCGGCCTTGAAGGTCTGGGTGAACCATGTGACGCTGAGGCGGCGGCGAATGAGGAGAACGAAATACTTGTTAGTGAACTAGTGGCCCTGGGCGGTACTAATGTATACGGAGCTGAAGCTGAATGATTGTCCTTACCGCAGGTCGCCCGCGTTCTCGCCAGCCTCCAGGTAGTCCACATAATTGTATAGCGCATACGAGGTGGTCGTGGCGTTGAGAGCGCGGAACTCGGTGAAGGCGCTCGAGTTGGCGTTGCCCTGCACGTTGGTCAGTGCCGAGATGATGATCCAGTCCTCGGTGGGCGCCAGGGTGGCGTTATGCTCGTAGATGATGATAGCCGAGTCGTCGATGGCGACCGACTGGGGCAGGTGGGCGTAGTTGACCGTGGCGGCGACGACGGCTTCGGACGTCTCCTTGGTCGAGATGATGGATCCGCCCCAGATCTCCTGCGCGGGAAAGGCGTTCATGTCGTAGCGCGTGACAATGCCGAAGTTGGCGGACCCGCCCTTGAGGGCCTTAAACAGGTCTGGGTGCGTCTGGTTGTTCACATCGATGATGCTGCCGTTGGCCAGGACCAGCTCGTAGTTGACGACATTGTCGCAGCCGAACCCATAGCGCTGGGCGTTGTAGTTGTTACCACTGTGTTTGCGTGTAAGTGGAGGAGGGTCGTCATTGTTTCGTGAAGCGGGGGCGCGATACAAGCTGACGCATGATGAAGATGAAAATAGGACTGATCGGTCTCAGGTTGGGTTCGCAGAAAGGATAGGGAAAGGAGAAGAACAGGGGGCTATGTGTCGATGTCTGGTAGTAGTCCCTAGATAAGAACTGCTGAGGACCGGGGGTGGAGGAGAGGGAAGAGGAAGAGGCTTCCGAGACATATTCACTAACCCTCCTAGCAGAAAACCACCGACCCCAACGCCACCATCACGGCCTCCATAGACAATTACATCGTCCTTTATAAGATCAGCAGCCACATCAACCCATTTCTCACCTGGGACTACAGAGGCTAATCCCGTCGTCGCGTTGTACCAGGACGTGTTGAAGTTGCCGAGATCGATCGTCACGCCATTATCGACGTTGTTGATGCCAGGCCAGCTACTGTGCCCGCCTCCTCGCACAGCAATGTGCCAGTCCCCTGCGCCATCGCCAGCGCTGTTGAGGGCTGTGAGGGCCGTCGATATCTCAGAAGCTAAATGATTACAAAGTTCCCTCAGGTTAACATGTTCTAGTCCTGGTACCGGGTGAGCAGGAAAGGGGGGGGGGGGAAGTTCCCGGCAGTTTCAAAAGCAACCTCCCTCATTGAGTCAGAAGCAAAGGCAAGGACCAGAACCTGGGGTTACATTTTCTTACTGTATGTGGTCAGTACAAATGTGGTACATGTAATTTGCCCCGACTCAGGCCTCCTCCTTCTTCCTCAGGCTCCTCTGAGCTGTATAGTATAGTTCCATGTACAGTCACTCACCCAGAGTCAGGCTGAAAGATGCACCAAGGCCGGAGCTGTGCCGAGACAGACCAGTAGCTTGAAATACGCTCATTGTACAGAGAGTCCGTGGGATACAAGAGGCGCCCGCCGAGCCCGGCAGCGACGAGAGCGTTACAAGGGACCGAGCCCGTCTGCACCGCAGTCAAGTTGGACACGACACGAGTAAACAGGCCTGCACTGGAGGCTGCGGCCGCCTGCCCTCCCAGGAACAGAAGAACTAAGGAGAGACCCTGGATCAACATCATATTAATTATGTTCGTGCGCGGCGTGATGGGCGAGTTTCGTGGCTTGTCTCAAGGGCTGCTGTAATATATGGGATGCAGCTGAAAAAAAGGAACCGAATCAGGTCTGCAAGGTCGACTCACCGGTGCATGGTGGCATTTGCAGATCAGCACTTTGTTTTATACTTTTGTATATCTAGAATGAGCCCTCGAACACCCTCCCGGCTCTCGTTCGGCCCCGGCTTGGTAGTGATTGTACGTAAAATATTAATAGTAGTAAAGACGAAGAGAAAGCAAGATCTGCACCATTTCCTAAGCATTCAATATGACAAGGTCCCTGGTCCGGGGAACACGGGGAGAGGAGTGGATTATACAAGGCACCTGGCACCGGGCCAATGACTTTTCCTCGCGTTCTGATTGTGGTGTAGCTCCCGTATAACAACATTAGTAGGCACACCTGTTGGGTGCATTGCATGAGTTGGCGGGGCTCGCGACTCGCCGTCACTTGCCAAGGGTTGAATCCTTCGGGCCTTTTCCCAAATAAAATTGCCGTCGTCAGGAGAAGGGTTGCATTATGAGTTTTCACCTTCGGCTCGACGCTCAATAACAGAGAGGTTCACAATAAGTTAAAGGCATTAAGGAACTGATGTTGTGTGAAGAGGCTGGAGTGGACTGGCTGTCTCGATATGTTATGATTAATTCGTACTGCGCCTGGCAGTGGTCGCTGGCCCATTGCCTTCCTGTGCTAGGGATCTCCCTAACGCATGTAACATGACATGGCTAAAGAAGTGGAACACCCAACGAAAGTTTACTGTAGTATCTATCATGGTGGTGGCCCACACATACCGATTTTCGTGCGAGCGATTCGTGGAAGTATGTCTGTGGCTTGTCCTCAGCTGAGATGACGCCAGACTTCTCTATGTACTTATCTATGGGTGTATTGTGACCAAGACTTGACCTGGCCATTTCGCTCTCAGGCCGTCCTGCGAGCCATACACTCGATTTGATGACAGATGTATCATCCCATCATGCTGTGCAAGGAATGGCTCCTAACGGCAGGGTGAACTGTTGTCAATCAGGAATTCAGGTGGCCTCAAAGGCATTCAAGTTCGGTTCGGATTCCTGCCAGGAATGACTTCCTTGTCTCGGCCGGCCTCCCCATGACCGAATACGCAAAGAAATGAAAGATCTGCTCAGGGGCTCTTGGATAAGGTTTGCGTGCAATGTGTTGAAAAAAAAAAAAAAAAAAAAAGGAAAAACCATCCTCGGCTCCGGGCGGGAAAAAGAACAGAAAGAAAAAGCAAGAAGTGTGTCCCAAGATATAATAACATGATCGACGATCCGTGGGACCCCAACCAACAGAATACTTAACGTAATTTCTCGAGTCTAATCACGGTTTTCGACAATGGCTTTATTGTCGGAACGAGTGGTAACAGCAGTTCCACCCCCTGCTGGCTGTGAGTCTCTCTCCCTAGTCTCTTGGTATTTCACTTGCGGTCTTTCAGTCCACTCTGGACAAACCTTTTCAGGGCGAAAAAAATGCTATGTTTTGCTGAGACTGACAGTTCGCAGATACGGTCGACTTGCAGCACCCTCGGACTCAGTATATCACAGTTTCATGGGTCGTGCAGATTGTAGGCCTCGCTATCGCCTTCTTCTTTGTCATACAGCGGCTATATGTCAAGATTCATGTGCGGCGGAGGTTTGGTTGGGATGATGGTGAGTACATTGATCGCTTTGAATGATACTGAGACCAGATGGAGCTGATTGATCAACTCTGGTAGTGCTGCTACTTCTCGGGTGGGTACGTCTCGCTGGGCGCATAATTCTATTCGAGCGATTTGATGCATAGACTCACCGTGTGTTATCGTACAGAGCACGTCGGTTGCCACCCAAGTTATCATCTTGAGTATGACCAGGCCTTCCCGGTGGATAAACTCATGCTAATACTTGTCGATTGCTAGGGTCGATAGCTGAAGGCTGGATGGTATGTTTATTCTGAACCGGAAGGTTCCTACACAGCTGGACCAATTCATTAACAGCATAATCGTATAGGGCATTCATGCATGGGAGATGCCACTCGAGTCGTTCTTGAAGTTTAGCTTTGTCAGTCACGTTGAGCATTCGTTTTCTCTACACACCACTCGCTGACTGTAACTCTCCAGTGGAACGGCTACGTCAACCTCCTCATATACTGCTGGACACCATGGGCATGCAAGACGGTGATTTTGCTCTTCTATTTGGACATCAATAGCGTGTCACAGCGTTTCCGAGCCGCCGTCTACGTCATCATGTTCATTGTCTCGGGGACCTTTGTGAGCATCTTTTTCAGCTCCATGTTTGCCTGCAATCCGATCCCAAGGGCGTACGATTCGAGCGTTCCTGGGACATGTTATAATCGGCTGGCCCAATATAATGCCTATGCTATTCTTGGGGTGATCACGGATCTTATGATCATCTTGTTACCGGTCCCCATGGTCGTTGGGTTGCATACCTCCATCAGGAGGAAGATTGGGCTGTTGGCGTTCTTTTTAATCGGCTCGCTGTATGTTAATTCTGACCCCCCGCCCCCATCAACCCTATGTGACCTCCAGGGCTGACGTACCACCGTCAGGACCTGCATCACATCCCTCGTGCGACTTATCTTACTCATAAAGGATCTCAATTTGGCGGATATCACCTGGAATGGCATCTATATCAACCTGTGGATGTGAGTACTTACTCCCCATTAATTTTGATAATTTTTATCATCGCGAACTTCAGCAACTGAAATCTGGACATCCATACACGCAGCTCTATCGAGGCCAACCTTCTCATCATCTGCTCATGCCTATCGACCCTCCGGCTCTTTTTCCATACCGTCAGCCCGGGCCTCTTCTCGACCCCCAACAACACCACCAACGCGGGGAGCGGGCCTTCGGACGTCCCGCTACAAACAATCGGCGGCAGCGGGGCAAAGATGAGACGGAAGCGCTCGGAGTACAGCCGGTTCGGCGAGCCCAGCGACCGCACGATTTTCGGAACGGCGACGGCATTCAATGTGACAATAGAGGGAGGTGGCGGCGACGGCGGGCATGAGGTGGAGGGCCACAAGGGCGGTGCAGGAGTGTCTGCGGGTTGGCCCGAGGACAGCTCGAGCGAGACGGCTATCGTGCAGACTAGAACGACGGAGATCAGTTTCTCGAAAGCGAGTTGTAAGGGAAAGGACTAAGTAGTAATAAGGCTCGGGTTTTCATGACGCGCCGTCCTCTTTATGATTGTTCACGAGCTATGACATGATCCCTAGCAGTTGGACGCTGTGCCGGGGAAAGGATTAGGGGGAAGGGACCAGGGGAAAGAGGGACAAACATCAAAGGAAGAAAATCAAGAGGGTTTTGGTGGGTAAAGAAGAAGAGTTACTTGTGCTGTGGCATTTACTATGGCGTCTTGCAGATTGTCAGAACATCGTCACCCTCAACTCACTGAACGGCTTGTTCGGCACAGACTAGAGCGCACCGGGCCGCTCTTGCTCAGATGAGCTTGTGAGCACCTACTGTATATATTCTGTTGAGGTACATTGAACTCCTACCTGAAGGAAAGGGGCAGGCCACTGCCGCTCATTGCACCTTCCTGGACAGCTTTTTACTGATCTGTATTGTTCTCTCTTGGGATAATATCCACTAGGCAAGAGCACTACTGGCCCGCTGGCGCTCTTGCAGAAAGGTGGAGCTTGACGGGTTCGTCACCACCTGGACCTGAGAGCTCCCGCTACGGCCTCGGCTGCTGAAGAGACGTCCACTTTAACGACTCCTCGTGTAAGGCAAGACCACGGCAACAGCAATCAATACCCAATTATCAGTGTTCCAATACATTCAGCAAGCTCCTCCAGCCACTCTTCGTTCGCACAGTACTTCGGATTCTGCATAACCGGAGCTCGGACTCACCAGCTCGAAGCTTTCAAGATGACTGTCGTCCACACTGTTCTCCTCCGATTCAAGGAGGATGCAGGCGCCGACCAGGTCAAGATGGTGAGTTACATGCGCAATGCGACCACGTTTGGCCACCAGCTAGCAAAGACTGGACCGAGATACTGATATCTTCCGTGAACGCAGGCCATCGCCGACTTGTTGGACCTCAAGGTGAAGTGCGTCCGCGCCGACACCAAGCAGCCGTACATGCAGGTGACCAGCGGCGGCAAGGACAACTCGGTCGAGGGCCTGTCGGTGAGTTTTGCACCTGTTTTCTTTCCCTTCTACTCATGGATGTAGCAGAGTGGCGGGCTGACAGTCGCGTGCAGCAAGGCTTCCAGTATGCCTTCGTGATGGAGTTTGAGAGTACTGCGGATCGAGACTACTACGCCAAGTCGGACCCTGCCCACCAAGCTTATGTCAAGACCTACATGCCCATCTTCGAGAAAGTCATTGTTTTTGACTACTCCAAGATGGAGTTTTAGTTCCTGCGTGATATATGCCTGGGGCCCACAGGACGTCTTGGACCGCAGGAATATAGGTAGATTCTGCGGAACAGGTCTGTGAGGGAAAGCACAGCGTATAGTACCTATTCAACTTCTTTGTATCCTGCACCGAGTTTTAGCTCAGCCTGGAATACCTAAACCGAACCATAACAACCGATTTTGCTACTACATTGTCGATACAGAATAAGGTCTATGGGGAGCACGTCTGTACCATTACTATGTACGCGTCAAGATGATGTGTCGTCGAAGGTTGCATGAATGAGCGGCTGCCAGCTTCGTAAGGGTCATTGCTCATGCCCACAACGCGAGTTGGCTGACGTCGTACTCCGTAGGCAGCGCAATACCTTGCAACGAGACGAGGCAAGTAGCAGCTCTTAAACTTGTAGGGAACACGGCCGCCATCGAGAAAATATGATAGCGTTTGCAATAGAGCGAGACCAGCAAGCACTTGCTTGACGCCCCCCCACTGTCAAAATTTGATTAGGAGGTGCGAGGTCAGAAATGTGAGCGCAGAAAAAGTCCATGTGCAGCGCTAGCGGTGACAGTGAAGGGCAGTCAATTTGATAGACGCGTGGAAGGCGTCGTAGTGGGCGAGAAGGTGAGGTCGGAAGTACTCTGTTCTGAAGGGATGCTAGGAGGTATGACACCAAACATTGGTCACAAGAGGTTCTTCTTCATGTTACCGCGCAAGGCAGCAAGCATAATGAAAAATGAAAAATGAAAAAAAAAATCAGAAAATCTGATGTAGGCAGCAAAAATTTCGCCCAGGTCGACCCCGAAGGGTAAACCAGACTGGTCAGCACCACTATGTGCAATGCAGGCCTCCCAACCTAGTCACAGTAATTCTTGATCTACCGTGACTCAGACAAGGTAAGTATGAAGAAGAGAAAAGGAGAAAGAAATCGAGGAAGAAGTTGGGAGGGAGGCCAGGTTTATATAGTTGTTGGGCTGGCAATACTGCCGCCTGCCCACGCGACTGGCCGCCTGCTTTATCAGGCTAGCGTAAAGTTGCTAGCACCAGTTGCTTGGCCCAAGCGTTAGTGGGTCCCAGGCTGGCTTGGACCCACCTGTCATCACCTTCACTGACCAAATGCAGGGAGACGTTCAGCCGCGGATCGTGATATTTATTTCATGAACATCGAGGCTCTACTTCTGGCTTTAGGGACTTTAGCTTGAACCTGGTCAAGGCAAGCACCTGTGCTTGATGACTGCCAGAGAGGTGGCCTTGCCACTGCTGTCTTCCCTCTCTTCTGCGACCACGGTCTATCAAAAGCCATCGCGCAAATCGACTCCCTCTAGACTTCATCTGCTGGTGGGCCCCATGAATCTCCTTCACGAGGAGGGTCAACACCCAAACGCCTAGCTTTTCTATTGCCAGTGCCAATATGGGCAGGTTAGGTCCCCTCACCTCCATGGCCTTGGGCCGTTCTCCCTACGACGACGTCGTCATGGGTCAAGGGGAGGGAGACCCGCGCGCACCACTACAGATGTACGACGAGCGAGGCCGACCCGTCAACCCAGAGACGAAGCGAGTCAATAAAGACATCATCCGGTCTCACAATGAGGTCATGTTGGTGATAGGCGTGGTCGAGTCCGAGAATAGCATCGAGGATATGAGGGCTGAGCAGCTGCGGCGATACGAACATGAGCGCCACGACGACAGCGTCGGCCGAGACCTGGACTCAGCGGCTCGCATATGTCAGCTTGGTGGGGTCTGGGGTCTCGCGGGATTGAGGCATCGCATCTTACTATACAAGGAGTACTCGCATATCCCGTTCTCGCGGCTCTTCCAGGTCGAACGTCAGACACAGTCGCCCACGAGTCTGTGGCTGCATGGTTTGCCCACTTTCGTGGTTTCCAACTGTGTGGACTTCCGCTGGGTCACAGAACAAATCATGCACAGCACACAGCGTATCATTACATACACCTACTTCGCAACCTCGCTAAAGCTCTGGGTCTTTCTGCAGAGGACGCATCTCTTGCCTGCGTCGGCCTCGCCTTGGGTACCAAGCTGGAAGTTCTTTGTCCCCTTCACAGACGCATCGGTCATTGCGCCATGTGCACCGCCCACCTCACTCAACCCTCGCTCCATCGTGGGATGGCTGGGCAGGATTGGCTGGGGCATGGCTCCGTTTATAGGCTATTGGGCCGTGAGCAATTTCTTCCCGATTGCGCGGAACGTACTGTACGAGGTCCTCTACGACATGATGCCCGCCCCATCCAACCCTGAGCAGTCACGACCATCCGGCACGCCCGTCGTCCTGCAACGAGTTCAGGCAGACCGGGACACGGAGTCAGCACAAGCTCAGCTGCTGCCCGGTCCCGAAGCTCCTGCAGCGCCTGCGGATGGGTTCTTGTCTGTCTGGGAAGCCCCACAGTCAGGCGATCAGCCCAATTCTGGCGCTGCGGCTGACCACACCACGGAAGTGCGTAGCGCAACACCCAGTGGCCGTCCCGATGCTACTGCTCCTGCAACTGCTACTCCTACTGCTGCCGCCGCTCCTTCCCGACCAAGAAGCCATCCGCGCCGCTCCCGCACCGCCAACACCGAAGACTTCAGCTCCGACGACGAGGCCACCGAAGAGGTCGTCAGCGCCACACTGATCAGCTTCGACGTCGAAAACAATCCCGAGAATCCGGACCCCACCAACGACAATAACATCCCACCCGGCGTGTGGTCCGCCGAGCTGCGGCCCAACCCAGGGAATGACTCTCCAACCGGCCGAGATGGCGACGACGGGCCTGGCGCGAGGCGTCGGGCATTAGCGCCTGTTTATAGGGACAACGTGCTCACACAGCTTCCTGCCAAACTCGCAACCAGTATTCTGGTACGGAGGTTGGCCTCTTTGATGTTGGCGCCCGTCGAGGCTTCTGCTTTGCGGTCGGTCGCATGGTCCTGGTGCCGGACAAGAGGCATGTCGACGGCGGGGCTCTGGGAGCCGGTTTGGCTCTGGCCGTTTGTAGCCGGCGGCGGATTCGTGGGGTTCAGGCTTGACTTCCGTGCTGGGTTCTCGCTGGGCTCATTCTGCAACTTCATGGGCGTGGAGCTTGTCCACTTCATGCTCGATGCATGTCTGTGGAGCGTTTTCTCTCTCGCTGCGTCGAGTCACATGATGTCTGGTGAGGAGTGGGAGAGGGCACTGAAGGAGACGGAGAGCACGGAGCAGCAGTAATGAAAACACCAGCAGTATAGTACCACTGGTGAGCTTGATGCTCGTCATGTGCATGATGAATTTTCTGACCAGGTAGGCAGCAAGGCTTATGGCTAGACTGTGTGCTATCTGCCTATCCCAGCGCGAACGATGACTTCAGGTCCGCAGGAGGCTGGATAACGTGTCGATGGAGGGGTCTGATACTCTACCTTGCCAGGGTACCCAAGTGCAGCCGAGCACAACAGACATTTTTGCATTCTCGTTAAATGGAAGGGTCTGGTATTAATACTACAAACTGGGGTTTTAAAAATAAAGGCTGGGAAAGTTTTCAAAGCAATAATGGTATATCAAATACAGTGTGCTATTGGTTTGAGTTTTGCGAGGGCCAGTGAGTCATTGGACCGGCCTTTGCTGTAGAGAGCTTCTATCAGGCCTGGATAGCCAGCTTATTCTTTCTGCCTTTTTTTTTCTTCTGGAGCCCGATTATATTTCTAGTGCAGCAATCGTCTTCACTTCAAAGGAACCATGCAGCACATACCCACGATACTACGAGACATTGATGACGAGACTTTAGGACGCGAAGGACTCTGACGCAGTCCCCTTGGCTGTTAAGACCAAAGGGTATATACTTCGACGGCATTGCACTCTCACATCCCTCACACCTCACTTAAACTTACAATTCAAAAGATCCCCTGAGCATCTTTACGCTGCTCAAAGCCCTTTCCCCCCTTACAGCCGCAATAACCCGCTAGCAAGCTTCTTCATCTCGACTTAACGAGTAGACCTCGGTTCTCCTGAGCTTCGTTGCCCGTAGAGATTCGTCTTCTGATCTTAGAGGGAATTCGTGCCAGAAGCATGGCGTCCGTGCTTCTTATTCAGCTGTTTGTAAGAAATGGCAGAACTTTATAGAACAAAAGAATCCACCGACTGAGAGCTTGAGCACAGGCTTCATGCCTAGAGCAACTCAACATGGAAACCACGACCATCCGTTAGAGACCTTTTTTAGCATTTCTGGGTCAATATTGAGCTTCCAAGATACACCTGTCGCGCTTATCGGCGGACATCATGGTCATATGCGCCACGACATGGTTGTATTATTCGAAATGCTATACTGAAGGTTTTTTCTGCTCTTGACACGTGGCAGCCCACAGGTGGTCTGACCATAGAGCCAAACGCCTATTTACCCAGCGAGTCGGGACGTTGGTTGGAAAACCATCATTTTGGAGACGAGTACGAAGATGATGGAGACGAGTACGAAGATGATGGAGACTTTGTGTAGCAGCAGGAGGAGGAAGAGGAAGCTATCACCAGATGGCGTGCGGCTGGGTTCATGGTCAGCAGGCCGAGGCTCCTCCTGCGTCAGCTATATTGCGACTCTGCTCCAAGCTCTGCCTCGAGCTCTTATAGGAAGAGAATCTCGGCTGGAAAGTATTATATACGAGCCATGGCGTCTTTGGCAACCCGGATGGAAGACCGTGTGCGATAAAGGGTATGTTACTACGTTATCGACCACCCCTCTACTTGCCTGTTTAATTATCTCAGCAGAACTGGCCTCTGTGATTCAGTATTCTCTGCCGAGCACGTCAGAACGGTATCTACTTAAGTACCTAAACACGTGCCATCATCTGTCACCAAAACAAGGCAAGCAGACATGTAACAAAGACCTGGCGTGGTACATGGAATTTTTTTGAATCGATCAAGTCAAGACGGTTGCCTCTCATTACTATGAATCCAGAAATAACTAGTGTGCGGTTTTATCAACTGTCATGACGATTCTGAATCACCATGCCCGCTTACCAAGTGTAATCGTCGACTCAGTGTCACTGCGGCAGATATTACGCAAAGAGGGCGACGTAATCAGTCATTCTACCTCCCTGTTCACGTCCTTCCGTTGAAACCGGCTCAGGAGAAAATGTGGTTAATGACATGTTCGAGGCACTGACTTTCATTCGGATGGCGGAAGGTGGAAGATGGGCAGTCTTGTACCTTCAAGGAAGTCGAATGTACCAAGTCAGGCTTGATACTTTAGAATCGCAATGAGTTTAATCATCCACACCAGTACCGTGGTAGGCCAGTCGCACCATGATCTGACTTTATCTCCACCAGTCGTCTGAACTTCTCGCTACCTTGGCGATATGGGTATCACTTGTGTTTGCCCGACTTCTTGGGATGACGCTCGCCCGCCCGACTGCGATGGTGGTGGGGGACTTGGGTGACCCGCACGCACTCCCTGGACGGTATGTCGCGATTACACACACAGAGAGTTGGATGGTCAGCTTCAACTCTGCATTGGGAAAGTCATTGCGGGCTGGCTTGTTATCGGCTACCTGGACCTTCTCGGTATACCCATCTTGGATACGAACCCAGGCCATCCTGTTTCACTTTTCTTTGTCTTCCTTCAGCCTGTTGTGCTTGCTGACGATGACGACCACGGGAGCAGCAACAACAGAAAGAGGCGAGTCGTGTTGAGCCGCATGCTGGTGTAAACATGTCAGCAAATGTGCATGTATTCTTTGCTCTGTATGGCTAAAAAATCTATGACAGTCAATCGCTTCAGAGTTGTCATCAGGTACGTAGACCGTGGACGCTCCCTAGGATGCCCACGTCCGCCCCCCCCCCCCCTTTCCTTCCACAATGATGACCAGCTGACAAGATTGTCCTTCACCGAAGCGAATTGGATCACTTGACCTCTCAACAATTCTGCGCCTGCTCACTCAATTACTGGAAAACGAACTCATGGGCTAATTCCGACATTATGGCACGGCTCTTCCCAGCGGCAGCCGCTCCATGGCGGTCTCTTCAGGTGCTTCTGGGGGGGGGGGGGCAACAGAAGTGTAGGAAGTATCTAGGTTCCATGTTAGACTAACATGGTCTGTGTACGTGCGTATGTCTGCCTCATACCATCGTCTGCCGTGTCGTGTCATCAGGCCGACAGCGGACGACTGCGAGGCTTCGTGACGCGGCGGTCATCGCCGTGGCCCTCGGATGAATATCCCGCGATGAATGAGGCCGATGCGTTGTCGTCCGTTGATGGAGCCATTGCCGTGTCCCAATGGCACTGTGTCTGGAAGATGTGGTTTTCATCTCGATGAGATGATCTGGACCACTAGACGACGTGTCATGAATAGGTAGGTGGATGGATGAATACTGGCCCTGGGGCGGATCCCGTCGATGTGACTTCGCCGCCGCCGTCCGTTCTCCATTGACACCCGAGTTGTATGTACTCTGGCGTGTGGGTGTGGCAATGTAGCTTTCCGTCTCAGTCCTCGCCCGTGAACACCCTCGGGATCCTGGGACTACAGGTCGGCCAGGACAGGGAAAACAAATCCAACATGACGAGAGACACGAAAGAACGCCCCCATAATACGGCGAGGAACTCAGCTTCCCACTTGCGCAGCCTGCCGAGACCGAGACCCGTCTCGATGCAGATAGATACTTGCTTGGCTGTCTTGGATAGCTCCCCAACAAGGATGGTTGGAATAACCTCTTTTCTGATCAGATGCTTTAGAAAAATCTGTTGAACCTCGTTGCGAGAGGAGAACTACCAACTTACCGCCCCCTTCTGCCCTTCATTAGCTCCCGGCTGGTTCTCGTCGGTCGAGACTCGGTCAGCAAACACGGGAGTTGTACAGGAGCGTAGCACAATGTATCCATCGGAAAAAACGCAACAAGCCGTAGTCCGGTCGGTAGGTATGGCAGGCAATCTTGAAATTCGCCATGCGGGATCGGATCACCGATGCACGCGCGGGATAAACGAAGGACCAGGCCCTGCAGGCCCACGTCCCGTGTTCGAGGGACGACGGCGGGATCTGTGGCAACGTTTGATTGGCGTCAGAAGGACGTCCACACAGCATGGTCTTTTACAATGGATAATTCCATTTTAGGAAAGTAAAACAAGGGAAAGAGAGAAAGAACAGTCAAGAAGAAAGAAAGCAAAAAAGAGGAGAGGCGGCACAGCGACACGCGGTTTGATCTTGAACATCTGCGCCTTACTTATCGATGATCATCAGATCGTCACAGGTACAGACAGCCTCGACAGCCCTCTCGTCCACTGGTATGACCCGCCCTATCTACAATCTCTAGTGGTAGTAGAATTCCATCTCCCCGCAGGAACAGATCGCCTTTGATCGGCCAGGCCCGTGTGACCTTGTGCGGCGACTAAAGAGAGAGCCCTTGGACAAGCACAGGACAAGGCAATAAGGCAATAACGTACGAACTCGCGCCAAGGGGTAACGGAGAAAGAAAGAAGAAGGAAAAGAGGGCCAGGAGGGAGGGGTGGCGAACACATAACAAATAACGTCGACAGCTATGGAAATACCCCCCAGAGTTGTTGGTTGCACAGCTGACCACAGCAGCAGACACACGAGAGCAAGCTCCAGTGCCGAGCCACGCAGAGTGCAATTGTTTTATTTCCGATATAGCTCACCTTGTAGGCCCGGTCTTTCTTTTGCCTCTGCAGATCTTTGCTTCTTCTTTCTTCTTCTTCTTTTTCTTGGGGCCTTCACCGACCAATCCTGTGAATGCACTGTTTTAGTTGTAAGGATTGCAAGGCAGGTGGGCAAGTGAAAGTAGGAAGTAGTAAAAAAACAGAAGACGGCACGGGAACGTCCAATGACCTCGATGGCTTGATGCGTTTTTCGCCCTGTACGAGAGATGTAACATAGATCTTCTCCTAGTGTAGCTTTAGATAGTACAACCGATCAGTCCAGTGCATGTGGTGTGGCACTGTCGATGAACGTGGTGGCTTTCTGATGGTGGGAATACAAAGACAAGGATAAAACCAAGGGAAAACAAATAATACACCAAAAAACACCAGCACTGACTGAAAATTCGAGAACCCGCTCACTGACGGATCCGATTTCCTGCCCAATGTCCTCATCCTGCATTATACCATCGGTTTAGGAGGCAGCTAAGGGAAAGCCACACCCATAAGCCGCAGTATCCCTCTCCCTTGCGTGCCGAGACAGTGACGTTAGGGAAAAACACTTTGAGAGCCTTCTCTACGATGGAAGAGGTGCCTCTCACAACAAGGATATAGCTTGATATGAAGCAGCCATTTCTGATTTGGCATTGCACCTCATTCTAACTAGGCAGGCAGAAAATAGGAGGAGACTGGAGGGAAAAAGCCAACCCTCTGACGATCGCCACCTTGAGCTGGTACAGGTGCAACCCTTAAGTTAAGCCCCCACCCAAACCTCTCGCAGGAGCCGAGACCAAACGCCCGGCAAGTATGTGGAAGCGAGTACAAAGGAGGGTGATGATGGTGATGATGATGGTGCGCTGCTCCACAGAACAGCATGAGCTCCCTATCTCGCTCTTTGCAGCAATGACGCGCGCTGTAAGTGCACAAAGCTAAAGGATGGATGTGAATGGTGGGTGGACTGGGTTGGGTCAGGAGGTTCGAAAGTGTTATGACCGGATTGGTCTGTCTGTCTAGAGGGGGGGACGAGAAAGTCAGCCCACGGGAGCTTTCATATGCGAGGGTCCGGCGCATAAAGTAATAGGTCGCAGGGAGACTTATGAGGAGACCTTATGGAGACCTATGAGACCTGTGATGTTGTTTGTTCTGCGGAGAGGCGAGGGAGAGGCGAGACTCGAGAGGGCCGCCAGCAGGGCCGATGGGGCTCGTCGATGGGACTTTTAGGAGGCTGGTGGTCATCGTTTTCGATGGCCTACTGCAGACCGACCAACCAACTAACCCCCCACTGTGGCTTGAAACCCCTCATGCTGATCATCGTTGGGCCCATTCTTTTGGGGACCCGCTGAAACCTTCTTCTTTTTTTCAGAGGCGGTCCCCACTGCGCCCTGGCCATATGGTGAAGGTGGTGTTGTTGTCTGAGATTTGGGCCGTTGGGCATCGTTGCAGATTGTTTCAATTTTTCCCTCGTTGGTTTCGCGCGGATAAAAGATAATAATAAGAAACTACAACTACAACTTCAAACATTGCAAATAGCGAGGGAGAAAGAGAGTGTGTGTTACCAACCAGTCTTTCGTCCAGGCCTGGAGACAATAATGTGTGAGAACATAACATGTACAATTGTCGCGTTGAGAATTTGATTAGCGTCGACTCTTAGTCGTACACCGTACATGAGGCGAAACATTCTTCTTTTTTCTTCTTTGAAAAGATGAGCAGCCTATTTTACGAGCGGCATACAAGTTCTCTATAGGATGGTGCATTTGGGTAAAAAGGCTGTGTCGCACGGCAGAGATGGGCCAATGAACCCGGTCACTAAAGTCCTTGTGGTCCCCTCCAAGTAGTACAGTACATGGTGCGTACAGTACCTGATACGCTAGAACCAACCGCGGAATATCAAGAGACTACGTGTAGAGATACGTTCTTTATTGTATTTGAACCATGAGGTGACAAACACACACACGCACTCGAGTAGACGCTACTGATATTATTATTACTACAACGACTACGTCTTTGTTGCTTTCTCTCCCGAAGGTGTGGTGATTTCTGCCCAACGTCTAATGATTTAGTTCTTTGGATGTCGTCGGTCTAGAAGCAGAGCCACGCACGGCAGAGTGCGTGCCTTAGAGTCACATCTCATCGTCCTCCTTGCTCTCTCACAATTCTCACATATAAACTGGCCGGTGACCGTGAGCGTTTTAGTCTCAGAATCCTCTCGACCTTCTTCTCTCGAGGCTTAGCTTACTTACCAAGTACACTAGAAAGACAGATACAGAAAGGAAGAGAATATCACCTACCGAGACCCAGCCAGGTCGGCCTTCCTAGCGACCCACCCCCCATCTTGAATCTGACTTGGTGTAAGAAAAGTTGACCGACCCCCTGAAGGATGATCCTCAATACCCCTGCTCCTACTGCTAAATACTACCCTTGAGTGTTTCTCCTTCCCCACCACGGCAGCTTATAATCCTTCTCGAGTCTTTCTACCCCCTCTTCCTCCAGAAATCCACCCCGTTAATACTTTTCCCCTTCCTTCCATCCTTGATCCAGGCCCATACCGTGGCATTCTTTTTTCCTTCTTCATTCGTCTGTATCTCTAGCATCTCAAGAGAGATAGGGAGAAGTTACAGATCTCAGCAGCTTTGTTTCTGCCTCAGGGCTGGTGTGTCAGCTGTCAGCTGCATTACCCCGCCACGAAGCCAGAAACGATGTCACCCCTGGACTGATTGAGAGAGAGAAAGAGTTGCGCGCTACAATAGAAGTGCCGAAAGACAGGAGGCGATATTTTATGTTTGTGGGAAAAAGAGAGAGTGTGTGAGAGAGAATTACGTTCACCATGATTGAAGATTCGGATTTCCAGAGTCTATTGAGCACTGGGACTTGGACTACACAAAGGGCTAAGAGTCCTAGACCGTGAGTGCCTTCCTGGACGGAGTTTAGGTCGAGAATCTATATGCCTGCAGGAGCGAATTGCTAACCAATGCGCTGTTTCCCATTTTATGCAGGCTCAACAGCCCACCACCACCACCTCGGGCGAACCAATCCGCCAAGCTGAACCATCTCAATGCGGCAGAGGACCTCAAGGTTACACGATCCCTCCCAAATTCCTTACACCACCGACCTGCTCGTCCTCCTCCCCCTCCCAGCGTCGAAGATGAGGAAGCCTCGGTGGCGAGGGAGCTCAATGGCTCCGTCATGAGCTCGAATGACGAGGAGCCCAAGCACAAAGGCTCCGTCGAACAAAATCCTATTCTGCTCCCTGTGCCCGAATTCAACGCCGAGCGGCGCTTCGTCCTCGTCGCACCGTTCGAGACAGACAATGACACATCCTCCGATGCTCTGCACAAGTCAGACTCCTCATCCACCAAGAATACGTCGTATTCTGCCAATACCAAGGTTCCTCTCGACGCAGCGACGACGACGACATTGCCGACACCGCCAGGACTCCGGATCCGCAGGTCGAGGACTGACTTGCCGCGCATCGAGACAGACGTCAACAACCAGTCGAGTCAGCCCAGACCTGCACCACATGCGCACAGGTCTAGGTCGGCTACCTGTGTCGACAAGAGGTACCAAGAGGAGGCAAAGGACTACTTCAGTCCCCACCCGGAGTCAGCACACCTCGCTGGTGATAGTTTCTTGTCACCAGCTATCAAGCATTCGACCAAGGGCCGTGACAAGGCGTACTGGACCTTCAACTCTCCATCGCGGCATGGCGGTAGCGGTGGGTCTCGGGATGACTCCCCCAGCCAGAGACCTCATCTGGCCGACCGAAAGAGCACACAACATGGCCACTCCTCCAGATCACCTTCTGGGCACAGGCGCCTGCACTCAGATGCAGACGTGCCGAAGAGGGCAACAGCGGAGAGACATGGCTCGCATAACAAAGATGAGGCCCACGGTCGGTCGAGGCGAGGACCACCACCCTCGTCTCCGCCACACGACCGCAGACAATCTCCACCAAGATCAGTACGAAAGGAGTCGTCCCCAGCGAGATCCCATACTGCCTCGCCGAGAACGCACACCAAGCGGTCCAGTTACCATGGTCGCTCCTCTCCGCCTAAAGAAGCAGACCTCGACTTTTCAAGCGATGACCACCGCGAGACGAACAAGACTCACCAATCTCATCGCCACCGGAGAAAATCAATGGTGACTCAGGAAGGTCGCCGCTCGGCTCTGCTGAGTCCAATTGGGCCACGACCGCCGCCGACGTCCTCGAAATCGAAGTCTCGGCTGTCCACGCCACTCCCATCTCCCAAGGTCTCCGACGAGATGCTCTACAACAACAACTGCAAATCCCAGCTTGACCCACGAACCTCTATGCCCCAGTTCCACGTGTCCAAGACCAGACGACGGCATGAGATCGAGCGGCCGGTGTCGCCCTTATCATCAAGCGGTTCTTCCTCACCACGCAGTCGCTCCGGTTGGGGAATTGATGACCGAGCTTCAGAGACGGGCCGACCTAGAGCTCCCTCCCGCCACTCGAGCACCAGGTCCAATGCCAGACCCTGCAAGCCGGTAAATACACCTCTGTCCACCACATCACTTCCCATGGCAATTTCCGTGGATGACCGCCGCAAACGGCAGACACTGCCTCCGTCCCCGACCTGGTCCCGGCAGGGCTCCCTGGAGACCATCCCTTGTCCTCCTTCTCCCGACTGGTCACCAGTTCTCCCCGCACATCCTCACCAGAATCACTACCAAAGTGTGCCCCTGACTCCTCGACACAGTGGAACTAACTTGGAACAGCCAGCGGCATCTGTGGTGTCTTACCGCCGATATTCAGAAGATGTCAATGCCGGCGCCCTGCCAGGACTGCCGGACTGCCCACGACAGCGGCCGCGAGCCGGACTTGAGGACTGGTACACGTTGCCGAAGCACGACAACTTCAACGTCTGTCCGTCTTGCTACGATCAGGTTTTCCTCCATACCGAGTTTCGCGACGATTTTGTCCCCCCTCATCCCGCCAGGGACATCAGCAAGGAGGTCGCCTGTGATCTAGGCACCTCTCCGTGGTACCGCATCGCCTGGCTGATGACGAGGAAATACCGGCGAGCAGACCTGCGCCTCCTCCAGGGCATCGCTGACGTGTCGGCCAAGCACAAGGTCCCATGCTATGGGCCAGCCAGGGTCACTCGCAACTGGTACTCTGTCATCGACCCAGCGGCGCGGCGCTGCATCCCAGACTTCACAGTTTGCAGCCCTTGCGCCGAGGCCGTGCAGGTGTTGTTCCCGAGCCTCACGGGCGTGTTTGTGCCGCAGGACCGCCAGGCCGAGCCTCGACCCGGCACTTGTAGCCTGCACTTCGCTCCGAACCGGAACCGCTTCCTGCTCTACTTTGACGTTTTGGAGAGCACACACGACCGCGCCGTCGCCCACCAGACCGCACCTAACATCCAGCGCCTCGCAGACGGCATCCGTAAGTGGTCCGAGATAGAGGAGTGCCCCGGCGAGATGATGCCGCTGCGAAACGAGCCTTGGTACATGCCGAGTAGCGTGCCTGACCTGACAGTGTGCGAGGAGTGTTATACCGAGGTGGTCGTCCCAGAGTTAGTTGCTGACGTGGAGGCGTTGGCGAACGGCGGTCTTGGTGGTGGTGTTGGGACTCATGGTAACGGTCAGGGGATGCCCATGATGAATGGGGTTGTGAGGAACTTTTACCAGCAGCCACAGGTCATCAAGTCTCCGACAATGTGCCAGATGGCGAGCCCCTGGATGAGAGAAGTGTTCCGAAACGCGTGTAGGAGGGAGGATGGGATCGAGTATCTTGACTCGAAAGTGAGGGAAAGACTGGCGCCTTTGTGATGATATAACGTGATGATACAAGTGACTCGGGGGAAGAAGGACAACATTATAATGGCAAGACGGGATGATTGAATGAAAGAATGGTATGGGCTAGAATCCGGAAAGTTGTGATTACTGGAAGCAAACGAGGGCTCAAAAGGAGCTGGGAAGGTACGCAGGCGCATTAATTCAGGGGATAAGCTATTGGCGTCATGAAAGCGAATCGTTCGCCAATGTCACCTTGGCTAATAATCAGATGGCGAGGCGCCGAAGACTTGATCATTATACGATGGAGAGGGCTTCTTTGGTATGGGGAAAATTTGCATGTTTTCAGCAAGACCACGGCCATGGATGGGGTTGGAGGGGAAGTCAGGAATAGACGAATAAGGATCAATGAAATGATGATTGTATTGAATTCTACGGCGGTTAGGATTTACTGTGAGTGTGCGATTCGCAGCGTGAGTATGATGATCATCTCATTATGGGCCTTTGCAGGTTGTGGCTTTTTACCAGTCCGCGCGCCTTTAGTTCATGTTGCTGCTATAATGGGGGGATGCGTTGTGACATGAGCTTAGAATAGCCCACCGACCCGAAGCAGGGCGAAGAGGAAAAGAATAACTCGCAGAAAGAAGGTTTCAGAAATGTTTTGAATTTTCGGTGTGCAATTCCGTCAAGCAAACATTTAAAAACAACTAGTGAGTGCCGGAGGCCTGAGGAATTGCACGCCCTACCATCGACAAGTAAAGGGACCACATACAATATCCATCTTGTGTGAAGAATCGCATACAAAGTGGGATCATGCCCCTCGACACTGATACATCCGGCTTTGCGTAGTAGTTACATGAGCTGCCGCCGCAGTCGCACAGTGCCACTGTTGGTTGCTGCCCAAGATGTCATCTTGACGAGGGAAGCGTGGGCAAGAGGCAGCGCACAAAGGTTCCTCCCAGCTCCACAGCTCAAGTGAGTAGCTGCTTCTCGTAGCCCAGGGATCCATAACTATCTAAGGTTCCACCTCGGCGCCCATCTGCGTGTCGGAAATGACAAGTCTCCCCCGGCTTGTGGTTGGTCTGGAAGGCTTGATGACGGGCACGTTCATGGGTCTCTCTCTCACAGCCTCTGACTACAAGTGGGAAAGGCACACAGCACATGGAGAAGGCACCCAGGGCAGAAGCCTGCGCGAGAAAAGCAGAATAATTATGGTCACACTGAATCATGTCAACACCAGCAGAGTCTATGGATTGTAGATATTCTCCACTAGGAAGGGGAAGGCTCACTACATATTCAAATACTCAAATGTTCACTCCTCTCTGTTTTCACATGGTCATTGCTTACTATAGGAGCGTTTGGTCCTCAGCGAACGGCCCAACTATGCTTCTTCTTTGTTCTCTTAACGGCAACATCTCAAGAATCCCCAGGCAGTACCTCACACCAACGCTCAAAATGAGGCGGCAGACCCACATTGCCCAACCTGAAGGCACTGCCGCTTTCGATCTGGAGGTCGTGCTACAGTGCCCTGCGTGTTTGTGGGCTATTTAAATCAAGCGAGTGTACGCATGATTGACCTTTAAGTTGGGAAGTACTCAACGACGCCAGCCAAACAATTTGTTAGGTTTTGATCATGGCTGGGTTATCTTAAGGGAGGTACCCCCCCTCTGGATTTCATCACCTGGAGCGCTCCAAGGTCCCCCTTCCCAAGCAACTCGTCCGAGGGCAGGTGATGATTTGGGGTGGTCTTCTGTGTTGCCATGAGACCCTTGAGGATGAGGATGGGCAGACCATCGGCGCCGCTGCGCCTACAGTTGCTCCAAGTATATAAACCAGGCCAAAAGGCATTCCACTTTCTCTCTCCATCCTACCATTTCGCTTCCTATACACCACCCGGATCAGCGGGAAAACACTACTTCCATGCAACTGACATTTCGATCCCTCTATGTGACGGGCACTTCACCCAAAGACGACCACCTTGACACCTGTGCACCAACACGTACACACGGACTTAAGTGCATCATAATAGCCCTACCGTACCATCTCTCACAGAACTGCTTCCTTTGCTTGTTGAACATTACCTCCACATCATGTCGCCCATCCCACCTGTGAACGCAACTTGGACGTCATTCAACACAACCACGCCCATGGCCCAGGGCTCCAACGAGAGTCCCTGGGCCATGGATCTGAGCACCCTGGTGCAGATTGTGTTCGGCGTGCTCGGTATTATCAAGACAGCTGTAAATTTCTTTTATAATCGCAGCAAAATCCAGGGGTAAGTCTGGAGGCTGTTTGTTCAAGATGGTTCACGAGCTGACAGAGGTGAGCATCAAACAGACGCGTCGACAACCTCTCTCTGCTGCTCACGACCCAACTTCACAGCGTCATGTTGGGTCTGGGTACTGGCAGACAGGCGCCAGACCAGAACCTCGCACACGACGAGTGCAAAATATGCAACCGGCCCGCCAGCGTAAGCACTGCCAGGAGCATCGACAGCGGAAAATATCTTTGGTCGCAGAGTAAGCCCAACCATACTATTGGAAGCTCTTCACCGTCAGAAACCGCTCGTCGAACTGCGGTGCAGAACCAGAGACCGAAAAGGTACATACTGGTAAACCCACCTGCGTTGTTTGGCCTGCGCCTGCCACTGTTTCCCTCTCAGCGGCATCAGCAGCAGCAGAAACAGGAGCAGTAGCAGTAGCAGTAGCCTCCCAACACCGCATCGTCTAGGTGAGACGAGGATTTGGGGCAGGCAAGCCTTTGAAGAGATGCAGATTTTTGGAGGCAGCCCTAAGTGAGGCGAGATGGCGAACTGGTACCACATTAATGATAAATTTTTTTTTTTTTGGAACGAACCTGTACACTAACGGGGTGCAAGCCGGGCTGATACAGACTGGATTATTATTAATTTTTTTTTTTTTTTTTTTTGGAAATTAATCTGCACCTTCTTCAAAAGACTTGACTTGCTGCCGGCCTCCAGATCAGTGACTGATTTATTTTCTTCTCTTTTCCCGTGCCATATAGAGCGAGACAGTGTCGCTCAGCCAGCCTGACCGTCATGAGGTTCAGCCGTAGTGCAGTTTTCCTCCTACTCCCAATATTGCCGGCTCAGTCGGTCAGGAACTCTTGGATATCTTTATCCTCATCGTCATCCTGGAGGTCCTGTAACCTCTTCTCCTCCGCCTCCAGAATCTTCTTGATCATGGTCCTCTGCCTCCTCCGTGCCTTCTTGCCCCACTCCGCCGAGGTCGACTGGCCAGCAGCGCCCGCCGCCGCCGCCGCCGCCTCCTCCTCCTCGTCCTCGCTGTCCTCTGGTATCTCGGCGATCTTGTGGCCGCGCAGCTCGTTGGGCGTCATCTTGGCCTTTTCCCTGGCGGCCTCCTCGGCCTCCTCGGCCTCTTTCTCGTGCTGCTTCATCTGCTGCTTGCCGCCGAACTTGAGCAGGTACGGCCGGATGAGCATGTACGTGCCCACGATGATGACCAGGCGGATCCACTTCTCGGGCGACATGCCCTCGAGCGAGGCGCGCGTGTTGGTGGCGAAGCGCTGGGCGCCTATGCCTACTAATCTGACGAGGTCGGCCATGGTTGTTTTATTCTTGAAGTGGGCGGGGTGTACGGCAGCGTTTAAGGACGAGAGGGAAAGGGGGAAGGGGGGTCGTGTAATAGTAGTAGCAGTCGTGAAATGCGCTTGGTAGTCGGTGATGATAAAATCCAGGCGGGGAGGGGGCGGTGTGTGTGGAAAGAGAGGGATAGAGTGATTTGCCTGTCGAATCCAGGGGGATTGCTCGTATATAAAGGACTGCGGGAGAGGCGGAAGAAAGGAGAAAACCTCGAGGTGGTTGAGGGAATTTTGGCTTGCTCAGGAGAGAGGTGGATTGGAGATGAGGTCGCGACATGTGCGCATTAACATAATTTTTTTTTCCTTTTCTACTATAGTACTATTTGACAGGTCGCCTTAGCGTATCTCTAGTAGGAAATTCCCCATTCCGGGACCCCCTGTGCGCCTGCGGTTGGCGGCTCTGCACGCTAGAGGCTCAGGGCTCCACAGCGGCTTAAGTCAAGACGAACCCGCTGGACGTGATTCGCCCAAGCGCTGCTAACACGGCTCAACTGGGAAAGTCGCGTCTCTCTCTCTATCTTTCTTGACATGCACGTCTTTTAACGACGACGACACACCGCAAAAGGTCTCTTGCTGGTGTCGAGACGCTCGTCTTTCTGGGCATTTTTGAGAACTCTCAGTTATCATGGCTGATCAGGTGGGAGAGGAAGAGGACATCCGCGAGGTAGGGCCAATATCAACAATACCCACCCTTGCCTTCCCTTTACGCCTCGAACGCGTCGCTGACGGGCACGTCATGCCAGCGCCTCAAAGCTGCATTGTGGTTTGCGGTCGGAAAGATGGTAGACGACGACTCCCTAAGGCGAAACAGGAACGCGACGCCTCAGTTTATCGGAGCTCTCACCGAGATGGTCTGGACTCAGATCGGTAGGTCGGGACTACCCTCCTTCTCTCTCACCTACCTATTATAGCCGGGAAAATTCGACATCCTAATGAAGACGTCTGGACACAAATTGTCTTTTCATTTAGAAAATGTGGCTCAGGATTTGGAAAGCTTCAGTCGCCATGCGGGGCGGACGACAGTCCAGACCGATGATGTGCTGCTGCTGGCGAGGCGGAATGCAGACCTGCACAGTATCATCAAGGACTTTGTGGATGAGCTGCATGCGGCGAAGGCCGGCAAGGGCAAAGGCAAGGGTCGCGCAAGGCGATGAGTGAGGGGACGGAAAATCCAGACGCCACGGCGTTATAACCTGTGGATCTGCAGAAAGGCCTACTGAGGTGCTTGCAAGTTGATAGGAGCTGTGTGTCAAGGGGGGTGAATGCCCAGCGAGGCTAGCCACGACGATGAAGAGCGGCTTTGATCTACATGATTGACCGGTCTGAGACAGAGGTTGGTCTCGAGGCGCCGTTGCCCTGATAAGGTCAACTTGATTCAAGAGGCAGTGTCCTCAAAATTTGTTTGAACAAGCTTGGGTGTGTGGGCGCTGACTCGGAGGGTACAAATGAGCATTTGGGTGTTCCATTTGCAGAATTTTTTTTTTTTCTCTTTCCACTTCAATAAACATACTCATGCAAAGGCAGCGCGACGAGGTCAGGGAGGGCGAACGTTCATTCATACTTTGAAGTCTGCTCTTCTGCTACGAGATACCCACCGAACACAGATGCAACCAGTCTTTTCTTTGTTTCTTTCTTTCACGGCTCCAGGTTGTACTCGTCAAAGATCGGGGCTACCTTGTGCTTCCACTCCGGCGGCAGCGTCTCGAAGATGCCTCGAACCTGGTTTTCGCCCGTCTTGCCGATCATCCACAGGTCATCATACGGAATCCACAGCTTGAAGAAGTGCGCCAGCGTGATCATCGCCCTGGGTCTCCTCTGGACCAAGAGCCCGTGGTACAGCTCAGGGCAGTACATGGTGAAGCCGATCAACCGGCGGCAGACGAAATAGATGGGTTCCTTGTCGGCGATGGCCTTCTGCACAGACCCAATATAACTCAATATCTTGTTGTAGATATCGAGGGCGGTCTTGTTGTTCTCGAACTCGAAGTCGCCAACATTGGTGGTCGACCCGCGGTCGTTCTCCAGTAGCCAGGTCAGGTGCGTGCGGTTCTCGGGAGCAAAAACGCTGGGCGGGTCCATCTTGGGCCCGCTCTTTATGAAGCGGGTGATGCGATCGTTGCCGGTGGCGCCGATGTAGCCGGTCGCGATGGTCAGCACCGCCCCAGCACCTTTTCCCATTCGGAGCCAGTCGACCGGAGGCTGCCACGGTGTCAGATCGAGGGTCTGGACGAGCGCAAACGAGTTCAGCAAGATAGTCAGGGCGGCCATGCAGACCATGTCCGCGTTGTCCCCACTGAGGTTGCCAACCGCGAGGCGCTGCTGCCGGAGGGCCATAGCTATGTACTTTTGCTGCAGCAGTCGGAGCTGCTCTTTCTCGTGCGGGTCCGTCGTCCGTGTCCACATCTCGAGGGCGCTGCTCGCTAGCATGTTGTACAAGATGGAATCGTTCTCGAAGGCCAGACGCGGCATATCCCGCCCCCATATGAACTGGCCAAAGACATTTTTGCTGTTGGGGTTCTTGGGATCCACGTCCTCGTCGGTCAAGGCCACACCTGGAGTAGGTTGCTGTCCATGAAACGCCGTGGCCTTGGCCTTGGCGAACTGCTGTGCCTGATTCGACAGGTAATTATGCATCAGTCTCAGCTCCCACATGCGCCTCTCCCTGGACTCTGGGATCTCCAGGACTTCTGGGTCCGTAAGCGACGACAAGTAGTCGTTGGCCTCGTGCACGGCGCTGCTGCTGTCTCCCGTGTGCGAGGAGGAGCAGTTGCTCGCTACAGATTGCGACCTGTTCGAGTCGTCACGATGGCCGCTCGGCGGCGAGTTCTCGCCCCAAACGGGCTGCGGTGATGAGGCGGGTACGGAGTGTGATTGTAGGCTGGACACTGAGGAGTGCGCCGGTGTCTGTGCCGGGGAGGCGGCACCCTGCTCTTGCGATACGCGCAAGAAGTTATTTACTGGCGTTGAGGATGAGGCATGAACCCAAGGATTGACGCCGCTGTTGGGCACCAAGCCTGTCGATGCTGCTGCTGGTGGTGGTGGTGGTGGTGGTGCTGCTGGCGCTGGGTAAGGCGAGGGATCCTGCTCGCTGGGCACAGAGGAGGATGAGTCATGGTGTGTGATCCAGAGATCGATGCTGCTGCTGCTATCGCCGACCCCAGCACCGGCATGTGTCTCAGCCGGTTGGACTTGTGGTGGTCTGGAAGCAGCTCCGCGAGGAAGGGATTGCAGGCTGCTGGCTGGGCTGGGTGGATAGACACATTCCACCTGGTGGCGACTACAACCACCACATGAGGGCTTTGCTTCATCGCACTGAAATGAGAATTGCGCATGTCAGCAAATATTGTTTTCCCCATGAAGACAAAAAGGCTGACCAACGCATAGACAGGGACAGCTTGACCTGGGTCCAGAGCCATGCGGTCAAGGTTGGGAAAGGCACCACCCCGCCCCCCCCTTTTTGTCTTGGCTGATTTGTGGTAGTAAGTAGAGTTGTTGATCAACCTACCTTGACACGTCTGGCCTTGCATCTCGCGCAGCCCATACGCGACTTTTTGTGATACAGTCGAGGTCCTGCATGGCGCGTGGGCTGTGGACGCATTCCCTGATAAGCGTCGCCCATCGCGATATCGTCGTCCGTGGCGCGCCTTCCACTGTTACCAAGAAAAACGTATGACTGCCGTCTTAGGTTAGTGATCGCTAATCCTCTAACGCTAGGCACTAACGTGCAGTGCAATTGGGATTCGATGACAATCGCTGGGATGATTGATGAAGTCGTTGGAGACTGAAATTGTCGTTCTGGCTGTTACTTATCGCGAAGGCGCTTTACTTAGGCAGTGAACACTGTGAGATTTCGCTCTCGAGGATTTCTCATGATCCTGTTGGAGAGGGGAGTTTCTACTAGCAAGAAACAGAAATCGCGACCAAGTTGCATCTCCTTTCCAGAAAGAGAGTTTTCACTTTTCTGGGACCATAAGCTCGGAAGGTTTGGGTTTGTGAGGTGCGGATCGGTGTCAAAAACTGCTTACTGTAGCCTTCACGGCTTGCAGGATTGTTGAGTCTACGAAACTAACATCCACTTATGCGGCTGTCGCCCGCAAATAATACGTCTGACACATTTGCGGCACAGCATGCCCCTTCGAACTAAGGATCAACCCTCTATTGGGGGTTTAATCAATTTGAGAAATGGAACCAGTCCCAAGTGACAGGTCGCGGGCCTTCGTTGGGACAAATTATCCTCGGCTCGATGTATATACACATGTAGATATGTACATATAATGGCTCGCGATGCTTTCTTTCAAGCTAACGAACAATAGGGTTCGAAAACGTGTGCAGCTTCGGCACCGCCTTCCCAGAACAATGACCACAACCGGGGTATACATCTCAGTCTTACAGATATTAGGATCTATTTTCGCCCAAATCGATTTCAGACCAAGGCAGAGTCTGTGTTGGCGGGTTCAAGTTTCGTCTCCAGCTTCCCTGGCGGCCGCAGCAGCCCGCCATCGACATTGCTGAGCGGTGAAAGCTCAAGATGACCACTCTTGTTGACTTGTGGTGGTATCTTTCATTTTCATATCCTCCAGAAGTATGCCATATCCTCGGCTCTCGTAGGAACCCAGCTCATCTTGCTCTTGCACGCCGGAACTCGATGGCATTATTCTCATCGCCCAGGTGGCAGAGGCTACCCTCCGCCCCCCCCCCCCCCCACCCCAAAGATGTAGGGTTACGCTTTTCCAAAGTTGGATACTATCTTTCTGCGAGGATACGGGGGGAGGGTGGTGGATCGAAAGCGGACGTGTCGAGAAGCCCGTGAGATGCGCCAAAGTCAGACACCTTGAGCCTCCTCAGCAACATCTCAACCCGGATCGTTGGAAACCACAACGCTTCTACCACAAAACCAAGAAATTAGACATGACACTGTTCCCCCAGATATAGACGCAACAGAGGACAGATAGATTGGCAAAAGCAGCAGGAAGGGGTCAGAAAGGGTTACAATATTTGGCATCAAACAAAGGGGCCGGTCAGGGCTCCCCTCTCAGCTAAGCCATGCAAAAATTGTGTTGATCATCACGTCTTCCGCCTCGTCAAGGAGAAATGAAGAGGGACAGAGAAACAAAGGTTGAACGTGTACGAGGAACAGACGCTTCCATACCGTTGTGTTGATCCTGAGCTCAGCGACTGACAGCATCACTGGAGGGGGGCGGGAGGGTTCTGTTCGATGGTCACGCGACCGACCGACCTACCATCCTCTCAAACACGCATTGTGAAGAAGGCATTCGATTCAGAAGGGGTACACATCAATGGACGAAGCCTGCATGTGCAGAGGGCTGTAGTAAAGAAAGGAACTTGTAAACAATCCATCGTCGACTCTGAAAGGCGTGTCTGAAAAGGAGGAAAAGATGGCAAGGAAGAGGTAGGACCTGTGGGGGAGTTTTGGGGGCGGCTATGTAGTGGAACACCAGCTGCAAGCAAAGCAGGTAGGTGTTCGCGCCTTGTGTGGGCTCCTCACATCAGCATATTCCCCCGCATTGCTTGTTCTGATGTGACTCCCGCAGTGGTGGGTGTCAGGTCAGCTGCATCGGGTCCGGGGTTTGGTGTCTACTACTGTATGTAACATATGCAGGTCAAGGGTACGTGCCAGGTCGTTCGTTTTGGGGGCCACCTCGCCGGGCAACGCGTCCTCAAGCCATCTTTATTGACTCCGTCAATAAGCGGATTTTGATAATCATGATGTGTTCATAGGGCAATACATGGGAGTCATCACGATGAAGTGCGCACGCCGGCGGCATAACAGCGACAAGTGATATCGACTGCCTCAGCATGCTGATGAGAGCATCTTGTCCCAAATGATGTGGACTCTATTATCATTCCATTGTCATTAGAAGGCTGATGGGTATGTCCTGCCGCGCGTTTCGCCTGTACGCAGAATCGAACCTATCTTCTTCCCAAGAGTTCCTTTAATAACGACACGCAGTTCGCTGCCAACAAGCCAACTGCCGCAAAACTCCATCGCTGTGCAAGTCCAGCAGATTATGATTCCACCGTATAGTGCTCTTCAATTTTCGACCACTCCTTGCCATGAACCCGTATGATGATGATGACTCTGGTATCCGGTCCAGCAGAGTCACCCGTTTCGGCCGCTTCTCTTTTCAAGCAAAGAACTCCCTGGGTATATTGTAGACCACCTCCGCCGCAGTCTCGAAGACGTCCCGCTTCGAACTTGTTGTCGTGTTCGTGAACGTGAAACCACTGTCACACCAATTTTTGACAGGCTACATGACACCAGTTAGTAAAGAGATTCCTTGAGGAAGCACAAACAGGGTATCATCGAGAGGCTTACCAAGCAACTCAGGTACTTGCACCAGCTGCAGGTTTTGCGATACACATAGAAGTTGTTGAGTAGTAAGATGAACCCGATGAACGCCAGCAGCAGGAATCCAGCTCGGATGAGCCACCACGCCCACCACAGTGGCTTGCGTCCCTTAAAGAAACCGACCGGATTCTTGACAAATCCTGGAGGCTTATCCCGCGCGAACGCGGAGTTCATGGTCGTGTATGGTGCGTCGTCCTCGCCAATCCTTCGCCGCAGCGCGTTGGGTGAGTGCAAGATCGACAGGCCGATCGCGATGCCCATCGCCAATCCGCCGATATGAGAAAAGTTGTCGACACCAGGCAACAGCCCGAGGACGAAGGAGATGATCATATCCAGGAGAATGAACGCGAGATCCTTGCCAGGAGAGACGCGGTCGCCCCACGAATAGAAAAGATCCAGCATGTTGAGGGCAATGATGCCGAACAGGCCACCCGAAGCTCCCGTAGAGGGACTCGTAGCAGAGGCATAGTTTCCACCCAGAACGAAACCGAAGATGGCGGCAGATACGTATACCAGGAAGAAGCGAAGCGACCCGATAGATTTCTCAATCTCCTTGCCCATCGTGAGCTGCAGCAGCATGTTGAAACCGATATGAATAATTCCGGCGTGCATGAACATGGGGAGGATGAACCGCCACCACTGGTTGGGCTCTGGCTTGTCATCCATGCTGGCAGAGGAGTCGTATTTTGGCTCCGGAACACCGCCAAAACCACACAGGTCGGAGAGAGTGCAGACCTCGGCGGAGGCGTCGGACGAGGTAGTATTGGGACAAGGCCAGGTCAATGTGTATGTAGCATCCGTGATGCTCTCCACGTTGTGCATACATGGTGTCCACCTGGCGCCGAAGTTAATCAGGACGTATGGCGAGGGACCAAGGAGATAGTTGAACGAAGGGTGAATCTCGATTGGAGATCCTGTCTTTGCCCCTATACCGAGAAATTCTGGTCAGTTTATGCAAGGTGCCTTTGACGATTTGGGGGAGCCCGAGGAGGTGTCTCTCTTCTCTTACAGTTGTCGGCCAGCTCGCCAATGAAGACAGAGATCTGCACAAAAGTGAAAATGTAGACGACCCATGGGATACGGTTAGCATAGGCACCGAACATGCCCAGCTCGCCGAACCTCACGCCCTGCTTCTTAGGTCTCTTTTTAGGTGCCTCGTAGACATGGTCTGCGTCGTCCATCTGGTCCTTGTTTGTACGATCCTGTAGCGGAATGGCCCCGGTCAGGTTCTGCCGGCTCCCGGTCGAGGTATCGTCGAAGGGGGTCTCGAAGGGATTATTCGCAGATGTGCTCGAGAGAGGTGACGCGTTCTGGAGGGGCTGCTGGGTCCCCAAATGCTGCTGGCCTGTGTATGAAGGCGGGTCAGAGTAGATGGATGCTGCTGGGGCGGGAGCTGGTGCACCATAGGCGCCACCATAAGCAGTCGACTGGCTGTGGACGGAGGATCCGTAGGTATCCTGTCGCTGTGGGTATTGTGAGCCCGAGCGAAGTGTGTTTCCCCGCTGGGAGTACTGCGAGGCGCTCCCCATCGTGTCCTGACGGAATGGTAATGTAGGCTGGCGGGTATCGTCATACATGGGTGCAGGCGAGGCACTGAGTGGTGGAGGTAGTGGTTTATTGAGGTGGTCTTCGTTGTTATAGTAGGCCATGGTGAGCAGCAGGATGAGGGTGGTCACCCCCCAGGTCGCTCAGTTCTCGTTTGAGGCAGCACAAGCGGCTCGAACCGACTCCCTCCTGTGCCAGATCCTAGGCTTGGGTGCGACCCACGGCTGCAAGCTACGCCTTAAACAGCAAAATGAGCGTACGAAATTTGGTGGTCGGAATGACAGGACGTCGCCAATAGTCGACAATGACCAGCTGAGACTGTGCAGGGTGCTGGAGCACGAGCAGTGATGAGGGCTGAGAAAAGAGAGTTGAGGTGTAAAGTAGGGGGGGAGGACGAATGAAGTCGAGCAGCCAGAACAGATTCGACTTTACTCTTCAAAGAAATGGGCTGTTTCAGGGAAAACTAAGATGGGACTTGGATGGTAGACGTCTTTTTGGGGTGGCAGCTGCATACAATACTAGTCTGGGAGAACCCTGTACACACCCTTAGTGGCCCCTGTCGTATCATTCCCAGCCAAGAAGGGAGAGGATGGCTGTGCAGACGGGCTGGCTGTACATCACTAAACCGCAGCTGGCGTACGCAATGTACTGCATAGGACTACAGTACATAGTCGATCATTCAAAAAGGTCAGTCAAGACAATCCATCCAACCACGATCCATTACTTTCGTTGGATCCGAAAATGATTTGGCACTATTACACTCTGTCCTGAGGCCAGGACGAAGTGCTACCATAGCATGGACACACGCACGGATTGAAAGAGAGAAAGAGGATGTATGAACGAGCTGCAATGAAAGACATTGGTGAGTGATCGATCGTGGATCGCAGCTACAAACAGGCACGTCCCATGTCATACCTCTCATGTCACAGTCCCAACAATTCACGCCGCTCTTCGGCCGTGGCCAAGAGCTGACGTTGCAAGATATTGTCCTGTGCGTTGTTGGTAGGCTGTGTTGTTCACGAGCGTTCCCACATTAATGAAAAATATCGCCTGGGCACAGAGCAAGACGCGAGTACATTTTCAGCAGGGTTGGTACTGCGAGAACAGCGTGGCAGCGCTGGCTGACCGCCGTTAGTTATTAGGTGTTAGTGCCTGATCTTCTCGTGCTTACATTTAGCTGTACGGTTGATAGGCATCCGCCGACCGCGTCATGTACTGCGGTACGTACCTTGGACCACATACAGTACTGTGGTACTCCAAGGTACGCCGTTCCCTTCCGTCCCGTTCCTAACTTTAGAATACCGACCCTGTCAACACGTCAAAGCCTTTTTGGGCCCATGGCTGTGCCCTGTGGGACCGGTTTCGACCTTCTGACTTAAGCGCCCAAAATTCAATGGATACTTTCACACGTTCGAGAACAATTCTCTGCGTTGAAGACCACTACCCAAGCGACTTCTTCTCAACCTGTCCAAACCTTTGGTTGGCCGATATTTCAGGTTCTTTACAAGGCTTTTAACTGCGAAGAAGGAGGGGTTGAAAAAGTGATTGTGTTCTTTTGAGAAGCGTCCCCGAAAACCTGCATAACAAGCGTCACCACAACCGCTCAGGGGGTGAACATCGGCCGAACGATGAATCTACGCTTTCGAAAAGGTCGTCAATTAGGCTTCTTAGGCATGCATATCGGGTACCGTGCGGGTTCTCTTTACGATCTTGAGACACCTTATCACCGTTCTGACCATAGTTCTCTATAATACTCGCAAGTACCTCCGTAGAGGATGAATTTGGACTGAAGCCGGTCCGCTTGCTAGGACTTGCAGTAGAGAGGAGGATCTCAGATCATAGTCTCTCGACAAGGCCAAGTCAACTATGGTTGGTATGAGGTCGGTGAGTGAACCTTTAAGGGAATCTTCTGCAAGGCCCCATGAAGTGCGCGCATCCTAATCCGGGTACGAGTCGGAGTGGCTGTGCTGTGCATAGTACATTCATTATGAACCCCTCCTTCGACTTGAGCCCTGATTCAGGCGCCTGTCATCACGTATTCATAAATTTGCTCGCTGTCATCTGTTTGAAACCCACTCACGGTCCTAACGCCTCCTCTTGACTTCCGTCATCTCTTACCCGCCAGGTCATTCCGGCCCCGGCCCTCAATTTATGGGTCCGTCAGGTCTTCTGACCAAAGCCGTCCGGAACTTTGTGTTCGGCCGCCCAGCATGAACGCTCGGCGTGCCCATACTAAATCAAAAAATGGCTGTCTCCAATGCAAGGCAGGGAAGGTGAAGGTGGGCGATATCCCCACAATGCTTCAGAAGTCATGACTGTTCTGACCTCCAAAAGTGCGATGAGAAGATTCCCTGCTCGAGGTGTGTCAGGCGAGGTGATGAATGTAGTCGTGCCCAGCCGAACAGCAGCGAGGCCTCAGTAACCTCAGCCTCGAGCACCCCCGACACCACCAGCAGCTCCCACACACGCCCAAGAGACGAGGACTCTTACACGCTCGTAGATCTCCAGCTCTTTCACCGCTTTAGCACCGTCACATGCCGCTACCTCGCCAACCCAAACAACGAATCACCATGGCTGGACAAGGTCCCCGCATTAGGGACAAAACATGCTTTCCTGATGCACGAGATGATGGCCGTCGCCGCCATCGACATCGGCATCAACGTTGCTGATACCCAAGATGCGGTCACGACCTATCTCGAGCTCGCACGACAACACCACACGCAGGCTCTAGCCGGTCTCATGCCTGCCATCGCTGCCCACCGCGCAGACCTCGTCATGCCTATCTGGTCATGCAATGCCCTCTTCGTGCCGTACTACTTCGCCACCACCGCAGACGTCGGCTCGCTTATCTTGACGGAGGACCCCCCGGGGCCGGCGGAGTGGATGCTCCCTCTGCGCGGCGCAGTGACACTGTTTAGGCAGTACGAGGAGGTGCTCCTCTCCGGCCCCATGGCGATGCACATCCGGCCCTACCAGACGAGGATCATGATTGACGGCGTGACGCCTCCTTCCTCGAACCCCTCGGAGGAACACGTTATGCGCATGACCGCGCAGCTTACGTTGCAGCTGGACGAGGTCACGGACGAGGCGACGCGGACCACCATGGCAGAGGTCCTCAGGCTACTGCGGCAGTGCTTCGAGATTTCGGACCGGGGCGACCTCATCAGCTACAAGACCGCCAGCCTCACCTTCTGCGCGGCGATGCCGGGGGCGTTTTTTGAGATGCTGGGACGAAAAGAGAGCATGGCGCTGGTGGTCATGGCGTTCTGGTGTGTCCTACTGCACCGCGCAGAAGGGGGAAACTGGTGGATGAAGTTTAGGAAGGTCAAGAACATGTTGTCTTTTATTGCTGGCCTTTTGGGGCCCAAGGACGAGATGTTGATCAAGTGGCCGCTGGAGGTAGTCTGTCCGGCGGAAGAATAAGTATAGCATGTCTATACTTACTTATGTATGATTCCTATGACTCATAGGATCCGAGTCTTGTAGCTCACACATCATCCAGTAGACCAGGGTGATGATATCAGCCAAAGTCGCAACTTATAGTATGGCAACATCACTAAAAGGGGGGGGTGTGCTTGGTGTGCTTGACATTCTAGATAAACTAGGAAAATAGAAATAGAGGCCAGAATAGAAGAAGAAGTAGAAGAAGAAAGGAAGGGGGGGACAACAGGATGATCTTCAGGAAGTGTGAAAAGGCACGAAATAATCAAGTACACTAATGATCTTTCCCTTTGGGCCACCAAAGCATGACCCCAGGAGACCCAGGGTTGATAAGGGTTGATATCAAGCGCCAGCCCCAAATCGATATCCCGGCCCGCCAAAAAAGTTGCGACAGAGTTGACCTGCAAAACCCATCGCAGCGAACACGCGCGAGACTTTTCGCGCCACACTACCCAGCCTCGAAAACGAACAAGCCATCAAGATGGGCGCCTCGAAGACCAAGACGGTCAAGAACAAGCACGCGGCCAAGAACTCGGGCATTAAGAACAGTAAATCCGCAAAACGGCCCGAGAACGACCCCGTCGTAAAGGCGAAGAGAACCAAGGATGGCCACAAGCCTGCCGTCAAGCCTGGCCAGCTTAGCAAAGAGCTGCAGAAGAAGCGCAGGAAGAGGGTGTACACTGAGAAGGAGCTGGGGATCCCGGAGCTGAACATGGTGACGCCAATCGGGGTGGAGAAGCCCAAGGGGAAGAAGAAGGGCAAGGTGTTCGTTGATGATCGGGTATGTTATGGCCTCCACTTCTAGCCCTCTGCCCAGGAAAGAGTGCGCCTCGTATAAAAGTTGCGTTGCTGATGCATGCTTTGCTTGTGTGTGTGTGCAGGAGAGCATGACCACCATCCTCTCCATGGTCCAGGCCGAGAAGGAGGGCCAGATCGAGTCCAAGATGATGAAGGCGCGCCACATGGAGGCAATTCGCGAAGCAAGGAAGGTCGAGGCCGAGAAGAAAGAGGCTGAGCGCAAGGCCAAGTTCGACGAGACGAAGGACTCGCTCCGCAAGAAGAGAAAGAGACCGGCCAGGCCTACCGACGACGATGCCGACGACAAGACGATGAAACGTGCCGAGCTCGAAGGCACCAAGGCAACCAAGGCAAAGAAGAAGAAGAAGGTCTCGTTTGCAGACTGATAGCAAAGAAGAGACACGCAAAAGGTGGAGGTGTTCTGATGCATTGCACGGCGTTCTTTGGAGTTGCGGACGGGCGGATACAAAACTAAAAAAGTACTTCACAGGTCAAAGGGTTAGAGGATTTTCCACAGACATACATTTATGCGACGAGGATGGGCACGGAGCTATATCGCAGAGGCTAAGATGCGAGTGATTCGCAGCTTTGGAATTGCTTGCACTGAACCACACCGTCCCAGGCTGGAGCATCTCATGAGGTGGCGCCGTCTTCATCGGGACCGCCCTCGGGCAAAATTGCAATCCAGGTTCTAGATGGGTGGTCACAAGCTGCACTTTCGGAGACGACTTACGCTCCGCGATTGGCCCGCGAGCAATGGGAGGATCCGCACAGAAATGTTTGCGTTCGTCGTATACCTATAATCAAATCAGATACCCAGACTCCAGTGCCCTCCCTCTCTATCTTGCTGTCTAAGGAGTCGTCTACGGTCTTTTGCTTTTTCTAGTTGTATTATCTAACGTCAAATTACTTGCCCATGCACCCAAGACTCCTGTGCGCTTAAATCTCTAACATATTGGTCAATGATCTATTCCGCAATGTCGACTTGCATCTTACGCCGTATGGGATCGAACTTCGAGTTATATTGGGGCTCTAGGACGGTGTCACCATTTGCTTGGTGGTTGATGGATTTGAGGTCGACGATATTTGCCATGTTTCTGAGAAAGTTCGCTACCTGTATCCCGAATATTAGCATTGCCTACCATGCCTGAAATAATAGATAGCATACCGGTTTGGCGTGCCATCGCCCGCCACCAGCCTCAAAATAGGCTAAATGACCTCCTAGAGAAGTTGTCAAGCAAACAGTGTAGGGGTTGACTTTGAATTCCTCGTATGGAACCGCAGCCTCGACAGCAATCTACTATCTGTCAGTGCCATTGCAGAGGAGGACATCTGGGGAACAGGGAGGGAGCATACTGGGTCATCTGCAGCCTGAATAGCAAGGTAGGGAATCCGAATGGCCAAAACAGAGTCGCTTGAGGACGCATCGCGGTAGTATGCGTTCTCGGTAGGGTAACCCCAGCAGACGGTTCTTAGTTGTTATTAGCATGCATGTTTCCCAGAGGTAGAAAAGTCGATACTTACTGAACCTCCCTGTCAAATTCGAACAGATAAGTCACCTTCTGGATGGCTTCGAAATCTAGCTTCGTGAACTTAGATATCGAGTCCTTGTGGCGGAGTACGAGCTGGTTTTCGTGTTAGCTAGAGATGGCAGCATGCGTCGGGAGAGAATCCCCCCCCCCCCCCCAATCAACAACAACAACACGAAGAAGAAAAAGAAATCTCACCTCTCGACATGATCCTCCCATGACCCTCTGGTACACCTCCTTGCCAAGTAGAGAATTCTGTAGTTGGACGTTGGCCACCTCTAGATTGAAGGGATTGCCGACAACGACTGCCGCGCTCAGGAGGCAGTCGGAGCCCTCTTCGCCTACAAACTAAGTGTATGTCAATACCAGTTCCAGATGATCATAGTCGACGATTCGCTTACGTTGGTCATGATATTGGCACCCAGCGAGAAGCCCAAGCCAAAGAGCGGTCGATTAGGAAACGTCTTCTTCGCCCACCTCACGACTTGTCTCACGTCCCATGTCGCCCGGGCATTGAACAACACTCCGCTCGTGACCTCCGAGTTGGCACATCCTCTGGCGTTCACCACGCAGGAATCCCAGCCGCCGTTGTCCAGCACTAGGGGTGCGATGCAGTGACGCAAGTAGATCTCATACGATCCACCAGAGAGTCCGTGTAAGACGATCAGCATAGGGCGGCTGTCGTCAGAGCCCATGGCCTCGAAGTGCCCATCCTTGAAATATGCCGTTCTCGGCGGCAGCTTGTCATCATGGTCTTGATGTGCCGGCATTGTGAAATCCACAGCGAAAGTTCCGGTGTAGTTGGCATGGTTTGACTCGAAGATCTGCCTCCTGTAGTAGATGTGTGGTGCAGCCTTGCCGACGGCTGTCCACATCGTTTGCAGGTGCCCGTTGAAGAGTAACGGATTGAGCTGACATGGTGGTGTCGACTTCTCGCAGACCTTCAAGAGATCAGTCTGGCTGCCGTCCTTGGACCGCAGGGACAGCGGCGAGACATGGTTGGTGAATTTTATCTTGGCGTGACCAAACCAGTCCATTGGTAACGTTCAAAGTATTGACACTGAAAGATGACGAGGGCGAGGAAAAGTGGTTAAAGAGGTCTATGAATCGAGTTTTGCATTGCCAGGCTCAAGTGGTCGGACGCTGGGGCCTCGACAAGAGAGATACCGAGGCACCGGGATTGGTTTGCTCCGGAGACTCCGACTCGACCTTTAGGGTTAGGGGCTAGCCTGAAATCATCAAGAAGTTGAGAATTCGGTCGCGAAGGCTTGAGAGTGCAACTACGGAATCTTTTTGATGCTGTATCATGGCGGCGTTGTCAGGTGCTCAACCTCTCAAGCCTATTTTGTAAATATACTGCGTCTGCGTGTTGCTAACACTGGATGTTTAAATGGGCGGAGTACATAAGCACGCAAGGACTCTGAAAAAGGCGAAAGAAAAGGAAGGTCCGTTTCGTGCTGGTATCTTATTATCTGACTACATGAACGAGGATGCAACAGGGAATATAGGCTACAAGACGTCAATGGGAAAGGAAGGAAGCTGAATTAAATCATTGCCAAGAAGCTTTACCTAAACGTCAAAAGGTTTTTGTAAGACAACGCTGGTGAGATATCCGGTAATAGATGGATATTACTCCAACTCAAAGTCCCTGCATGTCGAGTTGAGCCTCCTTAACCTTATTAAGACCCCTGCTTTGTGCACGGACCAACATCACTTGACAACCCAACGTCCCTTCAGCATTTTGCAGTGTAATGACGACGACAAGCCTGCCTACCCACTAGGTCGCATACAATAAAGACAAGATCATGACATTGGTCGAAATCCTATAATACTATATGTTTCAAATCAAAAGTTCAAATTGATCACTACGGCCCATTGTGGAGGTCTAGAGGAGATCTCGGGTGATTCTCCTCAGCGCCAAATGTCGACAACATGAACAACAACAATTGGGGCTCGCAGCCTCCGAGGCAGACCTTCAATGGCCTCCCTCAGATGTCGCAGCAGCCTGGGTACCAGCAGCAGTATGATCAGGGCAATTCGATGGCCTTCATGGGCAACCAGCAGTACCAACCCAACGGCCAGTACATGCCTCAACCCAACCACCAAATGCAGCAGATGCCTCACTATGCACATCCACAGCAGCATCAGCAGCCCGCGCACAGCTACCAACCACAACAGCAGCAGCAGCAGCAGCAGCAGCAGCAGCAGCACCAACACCACCACCACCACCACCACCAGCAACAACAGCAGCAACAACAACTTCATCAACAGCAGCAAATATATAACAACAGCCCTTATGCACACCATGTGCCTGTGCCTTCTGCTCAGTACATGGCCCCACAGAACTACCCTCGACCCAACCAGTCATACCCTCAACAGGTTACGATACCCTCACCGCAGCAGATGCAACAATCAATACCGTCTCCGAGACCAGATATGATGGCGCAAGGGAACCCACAACAACATGTGCAACGTCAACAGCCGCCTGTACCTCAGCCTCTACAGCCACGATTCCCGCTTCCGCAGCAAGCAAGGCCAACGATTCCATCACCTCAACAGCAGCAGCATCACGTCCCCCATATGATCAAGTCCCAGCAGTTTCACCAAAGCCAGCCTCACTCAATGTCACCCCAGGCCCAGAGTCGGCCTCTGCAGGCGATGAGCCCCAACCCGCTTCACCGAAGCCAGTCTCAGGCCTCGTCCCCTCAACTACAGTACCGCACCTCTCCTTCTGTCAATCCCAACCAACTTCAGCGACAGGCGTATATACCTTCACCACAGGCACAGCATACTACGAATCTCCCGATCGAGCCGAATCAGTTTCGAACCCCCCAGACTCATATATCCTCACCGCAGCTACAACACAGTGCCCAGCCCTCGATCGATCCGAACCAGCTTCGAAACCCCCAGACTCATGTGCCTTCGCCCGAAGTACAACATAACGTGCGCCCCTCGATCGATCCGAATAAGCTTCGAAACACCCAGACTCATGTGCCATCACCTGAACCACAACTTAATGCGCATCCCTCGATAAACCCAAACCAGCTTCGCAGAGTTCAGACCCACGTACCGTCTCCCGAATTACAGCGTAACGCGCATCCCTCGGTCGACCCGAACCAGCTTCGAAGGAGCCAGGCTCATCTATCATCGTCTGAGATACAGCAAACTGCATATTCCTCGATTGACCCAAACCAGCTTCAAAAGAGCCAAGCTCATGTACCGTCGCAGGAAGGACAACATCATGCGTATACTTCAGTCGATCCAAACCAGCTTCGACAAGGCCAGACCCGGGTACCGTCACCTCAATCACAACGACGTCCTTCGACCTCCATGGAAACCACACAGCTTCAAACCGACTTTTCCAGCCAATCGCCTCAGCCCCAGAACTCCGAACGCACTTCCATCGACCCTACGCAGCTTCACCACAGTAGTCAGTCGTACATGACAGCAACCGAACCACAACAATCTGTCCCTGATGCGATCAATCCTAGTTCCCTACAGCAACCGCAACCTCAGCCGCATGTACCGGCTCTGCCCGAAGCACAACCACCGGCTTTCGACGCAATTGACCCCAGCAAGTTGCAACAGACTCAGACTCCGGAGGCACCGGCACAGATGCAAAGGTCGGCATCAGACGTGATCGACCCAAGTCAGCTTATGTTGAAGATGGAAGCACCACCCAGAAAGTCGATGCCTGCAGCACCCAGTGCCACAAAGTCGCCGAGTGTATCACACGCACACAGTCCAAGTCAGCACTTCGACACACCCGCAGTCTTGACATGCGTCGCAGACGACTGTTTCCGGGCTGCTCACTCGGCTGTACAGGACCTTGCGACATCGTTAGATCAGGCGGCCATGAATGAATACTACAAGCTCATTGCGACTGGTCTGGGCTGTCTCGAGGCCGCCCTGGCGCTGAACAAACTTCCCGCGCGTGCCGAGGCGAATATTCGGTTGAGATATGCGACCATACTGAGTGAGGAGACAGACAATCTCACGGAAGCAGAGGTGGCGTTAACCAAGGGAATCGCTGTTTGTGACAAGACGCGCCTTACAGATTTGAAGTACTGTATGCAGTTCCAGCTTCTCAAGGTCCTCCACAGGAGAAATCGCAAGGCAGCACTGGTCGCGTTAGACAAAAATATATCAGAGGCAACGACATACAAAGCGGTGGACTGGGTCTACGCATTTCGCTTCCTCAGAGCGTCATTTCACCTTCAGTCTGGCAACCCAGCAGACACTCATGCCATGGAGAACCTACGCAACATCACGTCTCTTGCGACGCATCGTGGCGATCATGCCATCGCAGTTCTGACCTCCCTTCTGGAAGGTATCGATCATCTCAAGTCCCGCAAGGAAGACTCCATAGTACGCGTCCAGACATGTATTGCGCAGGCAGCGAGGCACCAGTTGGATCCGTCTGTTCATATTCCACAGATCGAGGTCTTGACCCTCCTCTTGGACATGGCCTGCAGCCTGCAGCAAAAGGCTCCGCAGGTGGCCATGCAGAAGCTCAAAGCTCTGCAATTCCGTATGGATGAGCTTGTTCAGACCTCTGACTGGGATCAGATGCGCGATGAGTTACTGCTGCCGCTGAAGAGGCAGCCGAACTCGAGTTCGACAGTCACGGATGATACCAAGACTATCATCCGACCCGGCAGCGAGTTCAACTATATTGTGATGTCTTTTGTGACCAAGGTCCATGCGTTCGTCCTAGCGTGAGTCTCACAGGCGTCCAGTGGTCATACCGCCAACTAATGTGCTTTTAAGATACGTCTTGAGCGGCCTGGCGCTTCTGTACCATGGATCCAAGAACGAAAAGCTTCTTGAGTATTGGACGGAAGCCTTGAACATGCTAGCAAGAAGTGCGTTTCCATGTCATGTGTGCTGTTTGTCCGTCTCTTTTGCTGATTATCGTACAGAGAGTGGGCTTGTCAGGCCGGCCGCTCATTCGCTGCCAATGGCAATCGAGCAGGCTAAATGGCGCTCCGAGGTTGGCTGTTACATTCATACGCTCACTGCTCTGATCTCGGCCACTCGCACCCACTGGGCCAAAGTACAAGACTGCATCCAAAAGATTGAGGCATTAAGACCGAAACCGAGAGCCGAACGCCTTAATCTGCTGGTTTTGTATGTGAAGGGGGCTTATTATCAAGGCACGGGAGACCTTGGCAAGGCAGACGAGATCTTCAGCGATGCGCGCTTCGACATCGCAGAGCCGAGCAACGCGTCACCTGGCAGCACGGGAACAGCGCCGTCCGAGATGGCACTCCTCGCAGCCCTCAACCGTATATGGATCATGCAGAAACCCTCGAGACGGGACGATCAGCAGACGACGGAGCTTCTCGAAAAGGTTCGACCTCACTGTGCAGACCATCCAGACATCGACATCCGTACCGCGTTCAACCTTGTCGCGGCCTCAATCGAAACAGACCCGCCACAGTCCATTCAGACCGTGAAGCGCCACATATCCACAGGACTCAAGTTTGCACAGGCAGCTAACAACACCCAGCTTCTGAGTGTGGCGCTGAACCTGATGCGGTCCTGCTTGTTTGAGAGTGTTGTGGGGGACCAGGCGGTCAAGTCGGCCAAGGCGGGCAAGGCGCAGGCTGCCAAAGCGGGTAATTTGCTGTGGATGAGCGTGGGCGAGGGAATGCTGGCTCAGACTGAGGAGATGCAGGGACAGGTGGAAGAGGCGGAACGACTGAGGGCTGATGGGACGGCGCACGCTAATGAGGCTTTTGTGAAGCCTCAGGGTGTTTAGAAACTCGACTTCGTTTCTTATCGGCAAGGGACCTTCTTATGTGTGGCATGGGTATCGGCGTTTTGCTCATTATGTTCAAGGTGAATGATTTTCTACGCTTGGCTTGGGTTTGGGATACCCCTTTGTTGTCGACTCTGGCACTGGCTTTGGGAATGGCGCCCGGTATATGCATTTGGTCATGATCAGGGCATGAAACTCCAGCAATGTGAATAAAGGCTGCATCGCCTACAGAAGCCTTTGGTCTAATACTGGAAATTGTTATTCCTTAATCAACAAGTTTAAGATCCACAATGCCCAGACATGCCTGGTATTTACCTCTCATAATCTAGCTAATCCTCAATGTGTCTTTCTCATTCTCCTTTGTGTCTTCTTGGATTATCAAGGGCTTTTGGGTCCCAACCTTACCTATTTGCTATAGCTTTGGGCAGGGATGGGTACCGGGTCATTTACGTGGTCGAGATGGAACCCCTGCAGTGGCGCGACCCCCAAAAATGTTTTCGTTATCTTATCGTAGCGCGTATTGTACTTGGGGGAAATTTTCCATTACATTTTTCTATGATGCAACCTGCCACACTCGAGGCTGTTCCCATGGTCTTGCTCGTCAATCGAGTGTAAAAGATGCTCGCCCTAAGACTTCATGGCTCTCGAAGCATCCGAAAGAACTGCATCTGCCTGCCGAGCTATGCTCATGTCACCCAGAGCACTCGCACTGGCTGCAGCAGGGCAACTGCCTTGGCTCGGAGCTATGCGACTAACTCTACGAACGAAGGCGACGGGGCATCTGGCGACAATGTGAATGAGGCCGAGGACACAGCTGAACCGAAGGGGTCGAAGAATAAGAATAGTGCGGGCAAAAAGGGCACCAACGACAACAAAATCACCACGAAAGTTCCTCCCAGCCCGGACGCGAAATCTGCGAGCCCTAATAAGACCAAAGCCTCCTCCGCCAAAGAGCAGAGAGCTAGCGCCCAGAATAAGAAGAAGCAAAAGAAGAAGCCAGCAAGACCGAGTCAGCGTGCGCCGCAGCACGACACTTCGATCGATGTGATGAAGGAGGCACTGGCCGTGTTGAAGGACTTCAAGGAAAACCCGCTGAGGTATTCCTTACAAGAGAAAGAAGGCCAGGCAAAAGATGACAGCGGAAAGCAGTCCCTCAGGTCACAATTCGCGCCAATGAATAGTGGCGAGCTGCAGCTCGACTCGAGACAGAGGAAGATTCTGACCGGCACACTGGACGTTCTCAAGAGTGCTCTTACCATCCAGGCCGAACATAGGGCTCAGGCAAACAAACCAAAGAAAGAGTCAGCTGAAGATATGTCCTCTGCCAAGTCTTCGGCTCCGAAGAAGGCCCCAGCCAAAGAGGCTAGGGAGGAGCAGTCAAAGAAGAAAAAGCGAGCACAAGCTGAGACAGATCCAGCAATACCGGCGTCCAAGAAGAAAGGGAAGGCGGCCTCTTCAGAGAGTCCGGATGTCCATGATGCAGTATCGCAGAACATTGCCGCCGTGGTTGCTAGCACGAAGGGTGACAGCGGTGCTGTAGTTCGCAAGGTCACCGAGAAGGAGAAAGAAACATCTAACGAGTCCAAGAAGAAGGCGGACAGCTCGACGCCCAGGACGATCGAGACACTTCACCCAGAATCAGCCAAAGCCTTACACCCCATCAAAGCAGACACCGCGCGGGTCCCGCTCATTCAATACGGTCTGGACCGGGTCCTGTTCAATGAGGGTGTTTACACTCTTCAGGATCCGAGGACGAGGGTGTGGAACTTCGATCCATATCTCGCAAAGATCATGCCCGTTGATCAGTTTGATTTCGATGCGCTGAAGGAATACATCACGTCGTCGAAGGATACGCTTCTCATGGAGATTACGAGAAAATATAAAAAGAAATACACTGGATCAACGTCCAGCATGACCTCAACTATGGCACATTTCCACTACCTTCTCTCACGTTGGCGGCGCATCGACACGTCTCGCTTGTCTAAAGAATACAATGTCCAACTTGACAACTTTGCCGCAATTCAGAGGGCACCGGCAGCGACATTTCTGAATTACAAAGATGGTGCTTATGCTATCGACGCAGACAAGCAGTGGGACTCTGATACAATACTCAGCATGCTAGGAAAGTCCATGGAAAAGCTCCTGACTGTTCCCAAGGATGAGTTCGAAAAGTACCGGCGGAGCAACTCCCACCAGCTGACCGAGGAAGAACGAGACCAGGACGAATCGTACCACTATACCACGTATGGTGATTTCATGATGCGATCTCAACTTGATGCGTACGACCCTCGTCTTCCCGGCACCGGTGTCTTTGACTTGAAGACTAGGGCTGTCGTTAGTATCCGCATGGACGCACGCAACTACACCAAAGGCGTTGGCTACGAGATCCGGCAACGCTTTGGGCAGTGGCAGTCTTTTGAACGGGAATATCACGATATGATGCGGTCTGCGTTTCTCAAGTACTCACTACAGGTTCGCATGGGTCGCATGGATGGCATTTTCGTGGCGTATCACAATACTGAGCGCATATTCGGCTTCCAGTACATCCCACTCGAGGAGATGGACCAGTCTATGCACGGAACGATGAACAAGGAACTGGGAGACAGAGAATTCACGGCAAGTCTCAAGCTGTGGAATAGGCTCCTCAATGAAGCAACGGCCAGATTTCCGGAGCAATCTCTTCGGATTTTCGTCGAGACCAGACCCTCTCAGTCAGTGCCATTCATGTACTTCTTTGCCGAGCCTGTCACCGAGGAAATGATCAAGGAGATACAAGAGAGGAAGAAGGAAGACGTTGATCAATTCCGTGAGCAAGTTCTTGGCATGCCGCCCATCAGGGAGGATGCAGAAGCTACTAGTGCAGGAGAGGAAGAGGCCGCCGCGGAGCCAGAAGATACCGTCGAAGAAGAAGCTGAAGTCCAAGAGCAGGACACTGAAGAAGATAAGGAAGCTGAGGGTGTCGAAGAGGAACACAGCGAGGAAGTGTGGGAAGATATGATGGATGTCGTTGAGAGAACTATGGACAATGATGCCCAGGGCATCTCGGCCATCCGTGAGGCCATTGAGGAAGCGCTGAACCAGAGTGGGTTATTGCGCGCCAGATCCTCTGAGGAGGCACAGCATACCGTCGAGTCCCTTCTCAATTTGATCGTGGACGTGGACGCGGAGCATGCCAAGGACGATGACTCAGGAGCGATCGAGAGGAATGATGAGCCTCTCTCAGAGTCGGTCGAGACTGAGAAGAAGGCAGCCGAGGCTTCTGAGGAGCGTGCCGATAGCGAGCCTGTACAGCAAACTACCGCTTCCGAAACACTGGCTGTCGAGCCTCCTGCACCCAAGAGGTCGGCCTTCGGCTTCCTGTCTAGCTTGTTCGGTTCATCAACGACGCAAAAAGCCGAAACCCCCACACAGGCCAGTGCTTCAACAGAACCATCATGGAGCGGCTCACTTGAACCGGCGAAGGCTGCAGATCAGGAGCCAGAACAGCTGGCCAAAACCTCGAGCGAGGATAACGTGCAATCATCAGTGGATGCCGACGTCCCGGAAGGCCCATCACCTGCAGTAGAGGACACCACTGACGCGGAAGATGCAGAAAAGGATGCCGATGTCAGACCGTCTGCCGAACTTGTCGACCTGATTGTCAAGATGACCACGCGTGTTGGGTCCAAAACTTCCACTGCAAGAGACACCCAAGAGCTATCTGAAGATTCAGCTAAACTTGACCTCTTCAGGAGCATTCTTTCCGACATGATGCCCAAGCCCGGGGAAACTTCAGTAATCCAGGACGGAGATACATCGGTCCCAAAACCAGGCGACTCAGCAGAGACTTTGACGGAAGATAAGACCCCCAAAGCAGCGGAGAAACCGCTCTTCGGCATGGTCTTGACAATCCGAAATAAAGTAAATGGCAAGCATGTGGATCGACCCGAAAAGCTCGAAGCTGACGACTCGTGGGATGTCGAATACACTATGGAGGAGGTCACCAATCCAAACCGGAAACAAGAGTTGTACAGTGCGATCCAGAATCGACGCAAGGCAGCTCATTGGAAGGATCCGAAAGGCGATAGTTTTGCTGCCTTTGGTGGGGCCCTGCGCAAGTACACGAAGAAAGGCAGGGACTTCAGATCAAAGGAGACCTTTCGTACGCGGGGCCAACCCGTCTGGATCATGGGGCAGCCAGAGCCGCTGGACAGCCAAACTGTGTTTGAGGGCGCGGGTGTGGCGATGGACTATGTCATGCCCAGATACGAGAGGCCACAGGCTCCAGGGAGACCTATTGGGGCGGCACTGAGCAAGATGGGGATCGATCCGAGACGCAAGGGGGAGAATAGGACACAAATGCTGGAAGAGGTGAGGCGTGTATCTCAGATACGCAAATCCCCCGAACAAGGCTCAGAAAGTGGTTCCCCAGAGGCAGCAGAAACGAGTGAGACAGGGTCATCGTCACCCCGGACGACCAACAGCGAGGAGGGAAAGAACACAGAGGGATACAACAGCGCTGAGGAAGAGCCCAAGGCTGGGGAATCAGTTTCGCCCTCGTTCAGGGAGTGGAGGGAGAAACAAAAGGCAGGGCAGAACCCATGATGTTGTGTGTAGAGTTGAATTGATAATGTACAATAGACATCCCAAAGATACACCATTCCTATTCAACGACCCTAACAAGTCTAAGTATTGGGCGCGCCAAGTCTTGCCACGTATTGTCCATAAATAAATCTTTGCGACGTGAGAAGCGGACATCCTTTACAAATGAAAATATGGAGCAGATTTCATTGCACGTAGTCGCGAGGGGCAATCTCCAATTTTTAGGTACAGCCTTGTATTTAGGCATCTGCTAGAGTTGAAGTGTAGACACATGTATCACAAACGTGCTCTGATAACAAATCTGCATAGCCTTTTTGTTGAGGCGGGGGGGAGCGGGCATGCATTAGCATACGTTAGTTAAAGTGAGTTGATAGAGTCCGAACAGGCAGGCATCTACACGGCGGAGTTCATCAACGCGTAGCGGCGCTGAGAAAGTGACAATGTCGAATTACGGATCAGAAATAGTCATTTCGTATCGCAAAGGGTCTATGAGGTCGTACAGAGGGACATCAAACGCCAGGGTGTTGACTCCGAAGTTAGAGGAGGGGCGGCTTTGAGCGGCTCAGGAACATGGGAGTGGTGAAGACCCGGGTGGGCACGTGATGCCCCACACTAGCCGCGCCAGGTTTGGACTAGCGTAGACACACGATTTTTTTGGTCGCTTCAATACACAATTTGCTGTGCTGCTTGAGCGCCCCGTTCCCACTTCTCGAGACCAGCAACTAACTCGGCAGCATCACCCAAAAAGCCACCGACAAACCTCCCCAGGTCAGTCAATTCCTGCTGTCCACGACTGCTCCTCATCTGCAGTCCGTTCTCTCGCTTCTAGACTTCGACCGAAACTGACATCTATCGACCTGAGGAATAGGGCAATCTTTCACAATGGCCTCCCGACCTACCGTCACGATCCTGGGTGCCGATGGCAAGGCCACCTCAGCCACCCACACGATTCCCGCCGTCTTCACCGCCCCGATCCGTCCTGATATCGTTCAGGATGTCCACAAGGGAATGGCCAAGAACAAGCGCCAGCCTTACGCCGTCAGCGAGAAGGCCGGTCACCAGACCTCTGCCGAGTCTTGGGGAACTGGTCAGTACAATCCTTTTCGACCATTTTTGCTGCAGAATTTTCAGGAACGGGAGCAAGAGCTGGGACACTACGGGAATGAGGGGGATTGAGAGATTTTCTTGGAGAACCTTGAGCGTCGAACGAGCCGGGGGACGAGAGAGAAAAAAATACTTCCTCAAGAGCATTGATTACATTGCGGGACTGGGCCAGGCCAAGAACCAGGAATAAGAAGCGAAGCTCTGCATAACGGGTAAAGGGAGGAACCTGTCGCTGACATGAACACTTTTACAGGTCGCGCTGTCGCCCGTATCCCTCGTGTCTCTGGTGGTGGTACTCACCGCGCTGGTCAGGCTGCTTTCGGTAACATGTGCCGTTCCGGTCGCATGTTCGCTCCCACCAAGGTCTGGCGCAAGTGGCACATCAAGATCAACCAGGGCCAGAAGTGAGTTATACATGAAACTGGCTTGAATGGTGGTTATTTTCTTTGCTAACGGCTGTTTTCCTCCTTCACAGGCGTTTCGCTACCGCTTCCGCTCTTGCTGCCTCCGCCGTCCCCTCTCTCCTCCTCGCCCGCGGCCACCAGATCATGTCCGTGCCCGAGGTTCCTCTGGTCATCGACTCCGCCGCCTTCGACGGTGCCGCTGCCGCCAAGACCTCCGCCGCCATCGGTCTCCTGAAGGCCGTCGGTGCTGGTCCCGATCTCGAGAAGGTGAAGGGCTCCAAGAAGCTCCGCGCCGGCAAGGGCAAGCTCCGTGGCCGCCGCCACCGCCAGCGTCGCGGACCCCTCGTCATCTACGACCCCGAGGTTGATGGCAAGGAGCTCGTCAAGGGCTTCCGCAACATTGCCGGCGTCGAGACCAGCTCCGTGTACGCCCTGAACCTGCTCCAGCTGGCCCCCGGTGGTCACCTCGGCCGCTTCGTCATCTGGACCTCGAGCGCCTTCAAGGCCCTCGACAAGGTCTACGGCTCCACCACTGAGCCCTCTGCCCTGAAGAAGGACTTCCTCCTGCCGTCCAACGTGGTCGCCCAGTCCGACCTGACCCGTCTCATCAACAGCTCCGAAATCCAGAGCGTGCTGCGCGGCCCCAAGGGCGAGGCCCGGACGAAGCGTGCTGGTGTGCAGAAGAAGAACCCTCTCAAGAACAAGCAGGTTATGCTGCGCCTGAACCCTTACGCCTCTGCCTTCCAGAAGGAGAAGCTGGGCGAGAAGAAGCTTGAGGAGGGCAAGCCCAAGGCCCCTGTCCCCGAGTTCTTCGAGATCATGAAGGAGTAAGGGATAAGGAAAGAGGTATCTAGACCTAGATGACTTTTTCTTGTTGATGGGAATGGGATTTGACATTCGGGGCTGATGACACAATTGGTTTCGGCGTTGGGTCAGGAATGTGCAAGCCATGGTAGCACACTTGACAAAAATCAAAATTATTACGGAATTTCTTTCAATGACGTCCCGAGTTTGATGCGTACATTTTGTCCTTCACTGGTAAAATGGCAGGTGTGGCAGTGGTGATGATTTGCGTCAGGAGCTGCTCGTGGAGATTGAAGGAAGGACCATTACTGCAAAGACGTACCTTTACTTCTGCTACTTTGATATGTCCCGATCATTGTCCCGTATCCTTGCCACACTTGGCATGGATAGTGTCTTTTGTTTTATATTTGGTTTTTTGTGCTGCTATCAACTTGCAAATTCCCGGTCTAGCTCGTGTATCATATCAAACGAACCCAGCCAGAAACGCCCTAGTTATCCACAGACACGATGGAAATGAAATGAAGGCGTCGTGGTCATCATCATCACCATCAAACTAGCAGCCCATATATAGTCCCAGGTTTGCAACCTCCTCATCCAGCTCGTTCCCCTCGGCCACAGGCGAATCCTTGATGATATCCTCCAGCTCCTTGACCTTCTTGATGGCCCAGTACTTCCTCACGCCTCGCACAAACCTCTGCGAGCACAAGTCCACATTCTCTTCCGACTCAGCCGCGAAACACATGCGCACGTACTGCCAGCCCACGTCCCTCCTCACCTGCTCGGTGGAGCTGAACATGGCACCAGGGCTGATGAGCACCAGATGCGGCTTACGAGTGAGGTAGAGCAACAACCCAGTCGCGAGCGCAGCACCATCGATAAGGTCGGCACCGTCAGAGCTCGGGACGCCGTAGAGCGGATGATTCTCGAAGAAGATCCTGATCCAGACAAACATGCCGCCCCTGGGCCAGGCAAAGTCGTACAGCTTCGTCTTGGTCAGGACACAGACGTCAGCGTCCTGGACCGCACGCGGCGTGCCCTGCTTGACATAGACGCTCCCCTCGTCCAGGATGCGGCACATGCGGTTCATGCGCCTCTCGTACTCGCCGCGCAGGCCCTCGAGCCAGCGCACCCAGCCGTCCGTCTGCCACCCGCTGTAGGCGGCGCGCTCCTTGTTGGTGCGCAGGGAGAGCCAGCCGGACGTGACCTCGGGCGGCTGCTTCTGCCCGATGAGGAGCTCCGAGATGACGCTCTGCACGAAGCCCGAGGGCTGTTGGGTGGTGGCCTCGCTAACGCGGACGAAGCGCTCGATGAGGCCGGGCTGCGCGGTGACCCAGCCGAGGCGGCAGCCGGGTGCAACGGTCTTGCTGAAGGTGTCGAGGCGGACGACGCGGCCGTCAACGTCGACGCTAAGGAAGGACGGGACCAGAGAGTCGAGGAATTCGTAGCCAGAGGACTTGTTGTTCTTGAGTGAGGACTCAGAGAAGGCGTCGGCGACGGGAGGTCGGTTGCGCGACTTGGACTCTTCAGACGCGGCAGAGGGGAACTGGAGGTACCAGTAAGGGTCATCCTCGACAATGATGACGTCGAATTTGGAACAGACTGCGTAGAGGGCCTTGCGGCGCTCGAGGGAAAGGAGGATGCCGGTTGGGTTGTGTCCCATACTGTGTGATTTATAATCCTAGGTCAGCAATGGGTTCTCTCTCTCTCTCTCTCTCTCCCCTACGAAGTGAGAGCACAGGACAATGACGACGGGCAGCAGAAGAAAAGACAGGACTCGACTCACGTCACGGTGTACAGCAGATGCGGCCTCCTGCCCTTGCTATAATCCCAGTTCGCCAGCACGTCGTCCAGACTCCCCGGGCCGGTGGCCACCATACCGCCCTCGTCCGCCCTGACCGAGACAATCTGCATACCCTTAGGGATTGCCTGGTTCATAGCACCGCCATACACAAAAGTCTCGCACAGCAGGCCAGGCCTATCGCGCACGTCGTCGCGGTCGGGGCTCCACGGGTCCACAAACACCTCGAGCGTCTTGGAGAAGCCATCTGTCGCGCCGACGGTCAGACACACGTCGGGGCCGCCCGCGTAGGGCACGTTGGGGTGCAGGTTGTCGCGCGAGAACTGGCGGACGAAGGAGAACAAGGGCGGGTAGCCCTGGGCGGTTCCATACTGCAGCGCGGTGGCGAGGTCAATCTTGCGGGTCGGCGAGGTGTCGGGGCTGAGAGCCTTGGGCACCACGATATGCTGTGCGGCTGCGCGATCGGTGCCATCACCAGTACTGCTGCTGCTGCTGCTGCTGTTCTTCGTCTTCGTGTCCTTGTCGAGCCGCATGGAGCCGGTCTGGGCTGCGAGGGTGTCGTCATCGTCGGATGATCCGGCTGTGGCGGGAGGTTTGTTGGGCGAGGGTGTCCATCGCTCTGGCTTGGCCGACTCGGCCTCGAGGGTGTCTAGGGGAAAGAAGCGCAGATTTGGCAGTCCTTTGGTGCCGTAGGTGTGACAAGTTAGTGGAAGGGTTTCTTTGCTTCACAACCATAAGGTTGGCATTTGATGTGTGCGCCTGACTGTCTGTCTGGGCAGGAAGGGCCACCATCCCTTTGTCTCCAACGAGGAGGAGGAGCGAGTATGGTATGTTTACACGTCACCAAGGTATGTTTGATGCATGGAGTGACGAATCACAAGAGCCAGACAGGACTTACCACCAGCCAAGTTTCCGATTCCGGGAATCTGGAAATATTTGTAAAATGACTTCACGGCATTGGGTTTCCGGTTCGCCGTGGTCACCGAATAATAATGGCTGAAGTCCTTGGGGGTAGGCTTATCGGAAGAAGAAGAGGCATTGTTGGGCGAGCCCGCGGCTGTTGTGAAACTTGCCTCCATCTCGGTCTGAAAGCAAGTAGTACCTCTTGTGGCAAACTCGCTTGTCCTTAAAAGAGGGCTGTTGTTGGGGATAACTTCTCTTTCTGTCTCTCTCACTCTTCACTCTGTAACAAAAAGTTACGACAGGAATATTAGATGCAATAATTGAAGTACCGTACGGGAGGAAGAAGAGGGCGGCGACGGTTAATCGCCGGTGAGTGAGGATCCACGTCAAGCAACATACCAACCTACAATTGCGTATACTCGGAGCTTACAAATGCGAGGCTGTAGACCGTACCCCATGACACCCAGCAACTGATAAGGAAGCTCGGGGGGGGGAGTCTGTCAGCCCCACAGGCGGCAACATCTTATCGAGGATGGATCGGATGGTCTCTCTGGTCCGGCCGGGACGCCCACCAGAAACAAGCATTGGACAGGACAGGGGGCTATAGTGTGTAGGCACATACTTGAATGGGGAGTGAGTATGGCTGCTTGCAAAAGGGCGTGGAAATGGCATCAGGGATGGGGGTGTGGGTGTTCTGCCGCTCTTTTTCTCGGCCGAGGGAGAGCGGCTCGCTGCGGCTGCTGTGCCACTGCAACGGCCGGTGATGGGGATCTGATCCAGCCGACCCGACGGATTGGTATTGACAGCCAGACTTGACGTTAAGGGCATGGTGATGGTATGAAAAATGTAGGCCGTTACAGAGACTAAATTATTCGACTGCTTAAATTGGAGTGGCAGACTTGAAATGGGGGGATCTTTTGTGTAGTAGTAGTAGTAGTATTTCCTTGTGAGGCGTGGTGGCGTTCATGAGAGGTGAGACACGTCAAAATGCGCCTTGGTGAGCCTCAACTGCAGTAGTAGCACAAATTGGAGATTAGAGTATGTATAAAGTGTCGTGTCACGGTTGTTTTTCTCTTCTCTTCTCTTCCTTTTTTCTTCTTCTTCGTTTTCGTTTTTGTTTCTCCCTCCAAATAAAAACCTGTCAAATGTGGGGCAGTGAACTCATCGGGGTGAAGGATGGGTGAAAAGCCAGGTCATCGATATCTTGCACTAATCCTTCTAACTATCCTGGGGCCAGAGGTACTGGTGCACCCGTTTCTATAGGAAAAGTACAACAAAGGGCCGGCTAGCCTGAAACCTAGTAAAAGGGCTCTGGTATCAGGGGCCTGAAAGGCCCTTTCACCCACATGAGACCAATGCCTTTATTCCGACACTCCCTCCCAGCCAGCATCATCGTGATGCTGGCTGCCGTTCTCTTCAAGGTCCTCCATCCCAGCCATTTTGAGAAGCCTCTGGTATTGGCCGGGCTCCAGCAGCTTGGTGAGGGCATCCGCAATGTTCTCCTCAGAGAGCACATAGTGGAACTTCACGTTCCCTTATGCCACCTCTTCACGAATGTAATAGTAGCGTGCTCTGATGTGCTTGATCCTATTTGTAGTTTCCAACTTCTCGATAATCTTGAGAGTAGCCTGGTTATCCGTATAGATTGGAATCGCTTGGTTCATCAGATCGTCTTGATTTATTTCGATAAGGAACTCTTGGAGCCATGCTGCTTCCCGTATAGCAGCGTTCGCAGCATAGTATTCAGATTCGGCTGTTGATTGAGGGATCGAGGTTGTCAGCTTGGAGGCCTACGAGATAGATCCTCCCGCTAGAGTGAAGACGAACGCGATCGTGAACTTGCTGGCATCTCGATCGTCGTTGTGTGAGGCGTTGCAATAGCCTTCAAGGGTCAAGCAGCCAGCCTTGTACCGGATGCCACAGTTCTTGGTTCCTTGGTAGTAATACAGAATTCTCTTTACAGCCTTCTCGTAAGCTTGCAAGGGGTTTGATATAAATCTAGCTCATACACTCGCTGCAAAAGCAGTATCAATCCTTGTAATGCACAACGGGTAGATAACCGATCTGATGATCTGTTGGTAGCGCCTACAGTTCTCAGTTGAGGCCTCTTTAGTATTGCATACAGCCTCAGCCATAGCGCTCATGGCTACAGGGGTGATCGCTAGCTTGCATTCGCCCTAGCCTCGTTCAGCAAGCATTCTGGCAATATATGCGTTCTAGCAGATGATCACATCGCTGTTGGGCTGTTGGTTGATCTTCACGCTTACAAACCATTCAGCTAGGCTTAGATCAGTGACTTCGAGCCTCTCGGACAGCCTCTCGATAAGCTGTTCGCTCAGTGCTTGCTGGTCTGGCTGTAGAGCGATCAGGAAGTTGTCAACAAACAAAGCTACAATCATCTTCGTGTTCTTGTTGAAATAGATAGCTGAATCGCTCACCAGCAGCTTGAAGCCTTCAGTCTTCAGTTCCTTCTTTGCCTTAGTCTGCCAGTCGTATCCTGCCTGCTTGAGGCCATATAGAGGCGCTATCAGCTCGATCACTTTAGCCCTTGTATATCCCATTTGTTTCGCTATTTCAGAGTATTCGAACATATAGTTAGCGAGGAGGTCGAACTGTTCGAGGAAAATGCAGTACTCAAGGTTGCTGTGCAGGTACGCTGCTACGAAATCGATCTGAAGAATCTTCCATCCTCTTGCTGCTGCCAGTGCTATAAGAATCCGCCACAAACTTGAGCGCGCTATCAATGCGAAGGTCTCGTTGTAATCAATGCCTTTGATCTGGATATATCCTTTTGCTACAACCCTCATCTTGAGCTTTGCAATGTTTCCTTCCAGATCGTGTTTGCGATATAGAATAACCTTTGCCTTAACCAGGCAGCCAGCGTGCGCTTCCTTGCATTCTCTGAACTTGATGATGCTTGTCCTGATGAGGTTCTCGATCTCCTTATAGGCAGCCTTCCTCCAGGCTATTCCCTCCTAAGGGTGGCTTACAGCTTCTTTGATGCTTTCTGGGTCTAGCTCAAACTTTATTGCGAAATCGAACAATTCATCGAACATCTGGTTAGTTGGATTGAAGGCGAGGGTGTTGAATGCTTGTGGGTGGCTAAATGCGAAATTTTCAGTATACTCTCCCTTCGCGAGCAACTCCCACGCCTTATCGATCACCTCGTTCTCACACCAGGCCAGGGCGCTATCGTTTTGAACTATTATCACAGCATCCTCGTTTTCATCAGGGACATCATCGAGGTCTGAGATCCTCCGCTGTCGCTCTTTTACTCCCTCCTTCTTGGGGCGGCGATGCGCCAGCTGTCTTCTCGCGTGAGGGGGCAAGGAGCGAAGAATCTCGAGGTCTTCTTCGTCAGGGTTGCGTTGCTATGCAGCAACATCGCCAAAGTCCTCGTAAAAGGTTACATGAGAGGTTTGGAGGACTCGTTGTTCGACAAACGAGTAAACATGGAAGTTGTGGAAGCCTGGGAGCTGTTTCTGAGCGTCAGCCATCGCAAGGAAGATGCCTGGCATGCCTTTGGCTGACAGCTTTGCTGAGCGCACTCTTCTCTGCTCAGGTACATGAATTGTCACCTTGCACCCTAGTACATAGAAGGCTGAAAGGTCTAGCTTATTATTCCTCTCCTTGTTGATGCTGTCCCAAAAGGCCTGGTACAGTGTTTTGCCTTCGAGAATCTTGATGCTTATCACGTTTAGAACCAGAACTGACTGTTCCATCAAATAGCACCAAAATACCCGTAGGACCTGGGTAAGAATGGCGAATTTTGTTGCAACGCTTATCAAGGAGAGGATTCCCCGTTCTGCAACAGGGTTCTGGTATGAATTGTATGGAGCTATATCCTTGTACTGAATACCTTCTTCTTCACAGAACTTCCTCAAAGCAGCTGGGACAAATTCCTTCCCTCCATCAAGCTTGATCCACTTCATCATCCTCTATATCTGTATGCTGAGGATTCTGATAGTTGCCTTAATGCTATTCAGAACCTCATTCTTCTTAGTTTCAAACCCAACAACCTTGTATTGCATAGTATTATCAATCATCAGATATGCATACCGATATCCTCGGATCGAGATAGGGATCACTGTGATAATATCGATGTGGATGCCTGCAGCAGCTTCTTCTTCTCGGACTATAGGATTGTAGGACTAGTATCGTAAAGCTGTTGCCTCATTGTATACGTTGCACAGCAAATACTCGATCTTCTCAGGATTGATCTGCACTCCAGTGCTCGCCTCAATAGTCTTCGCAAGCCGTTCTGAGCTTGGATGCCCTAGGCGGCGGTGCCAGAGCTTGAGATGCTTCTTTTCCTCGTTGCTCAGCATAGCTATCGTAGCCTAGATCTGTTTTTGGTGCGGGCATCGCTCTTATAGCGGATTCCCAATTACGTTCATAAAGAACCCCCATCTTAGTACGTTGAGCATCATGATCCACCCGCCTTTTCCATCGAAGAGGATGTTCTTGCTATCAGTTCTCGAGCTATATCCTCCGCTGAGGTACAGTCGTTCTCTGCTGAAGATGTTGATAGAGAAGCTATCGATCAGCATACAGTATATCAGTTCAACAACTCGTTCATCGATCTTCGAGTAGCCTGTCTTCAGAGGCAGCCGAGCCACGCCTACAGCTGTTGAGTACACTGGTCCGCCGCCCATCATAATAGCTTCCTTCCTGTCAATCTTGGTCTATCAGCTTGGAAGGTACCAGAGCTCAGTATTAACGATGTAGATATCAGAGCCTATATCATACAGCCAGCAGTTCCTCAGGGCAGGCATCAGGCTGTTGCTGCTGTATGTTTGGGCTACCATTGCTATCTCAGGGTCAGGGCCAGGCATACCATCTCCTTCAGCGGGTCTATCGATAGCCTCGAGATGGCGGTCCAGAGCCTCGCAGATGCGCTGCTAGAAGCCCTCAGGAGTCGATGCGCTTACAGCACAGCTTGTTGAGCCTCCAATAGGGTGGTTGAACGGGTGAGGAGGTGCAGCCTGGTTGCTGGTTTGAGCGCTCTATTCAGACGATGCCTGGAACGCTCCTCCTTCCTTATTTTGGTTGCTTTTCCTTCTCTTCTCTCCCTTACCATCGCTGTTATCTGGGTTGTAAGCGCCTCCGCCCTTTTTCCAGCACTCCCTCTTGATGTAGCTCTTTTTGCCACAGTTATGGCATTCTACATCCTTCTTCCAGCTATCTCGTATCTTCGAGCCTGAGATAGAGTTCATCGCCTTCTTCCCCTCCTTGCCTCCGCCCTTTCCAGCCTCTTGTACTACAAACTCATTGGTGAGATCGCTAATTAAATCTGATAGAAGGGTAGAGGGGGTTGTTCTGAGGGTCGTTCTAGCGCATGCTGCCCACTCAGAGCGGGCTTGGGAGATGCCTTGTACAAACATCAAGCATGCAAGGGTGCCTGCAAACAGCACATTCGCTCCGTAGATATTAGCAATGAGGCTTCTGAACTTTGAGCAATACTCAATAGGATCGTTTTTGAGCTTCAGGTTCATCAGCTTGCAGAATCAGAACATCTGGCTAGCAGGGCCTGTAGTGCTGTACGTATCCAGCAAGGCCTGCCAAAGCTCCATGCCAGAAGTGATGTTGGCGAATCGCTTCAGAATATCCGTTGAGATTGTCTTCCTAAGCCTCATACCCAGGCGCTGATCAGCCTTAGGCGTGAGAACTGCATCCTCAGCTTGTGGAATGCCAGCTAGATCCATTATACTGGCTACTGTAATCTTCCAGGTACGATAGTTCATCACTATCAACATCTAGGTCTTGTTCAGCTGGATCTCAGTCCAGTCGATATCTTCATCCTTGATAGCTGGGCCTATCGTGGCCTCAGCCCTGGCCTTGGCTTTCGCTGCGGCAGACCTCGTGGTCACACTCTCGGCCTGCTCTGAGTTCATGCTGTCCGGGGATCCGGCGCTGCGCTGGCGAGGCTTGCAATAGTGTGTGAGGAAACGTGTGTGTGGCTTGAGCTAAGCTGGGCTCATAACCTGTCAAATGTGGGGCAGTGAACTCATCGGGGTGAAGGATGGGTGAAAAGCCAGGTTATCGATATCTTGCACTAATCCTTCTAACTATCCTGGGGCCAGAGGTACTGGTGCACCCGTTTCTATAGGAAAAGTACAACAAAGGGCCGGCTAGCCTGAAACCTAGTGAAAGGGCTCTGGTGTCAGGGGCCTGAAAGGCCCTTTCACCCACATGAGACCAATGCCTTTATTCCGACAAAACCTAAAAAGAAAAGGCCATACTCAAGTGGAAGAAACCTGTGTGGACAAAGAACTACCCATGTACTTTTTGACTATTGGTCTTTGTCTTCTGAAAAAACCAACAGCGGCATGAATCATGACCCCCTCCCCCCTCCCACCTCTCCCAGTATACACCATGATGCCATAATGTTCGCCTATCAAGACAGTAAATCACCACAGACAGGAGATATCATGTCACCAAAAAAAAAAAAAAAAAATTACGATACTTGCTGGTGGTGCTGAGGGGAATACACAATATTACTGTCCCAGCCGGAATGGATCCCAAGCAGATGGTGGGCCCAAGTCACGCTGCGCTGTATGTTCGTATCAATGTTTGCGCTTGCAGTCCTCGAGTGCGGGGGAAGGGAGAGGATCTGCAAGTATTTGTCAAGAACAAGCTTCTATCCTCCTTCTGAGCTGTTCAACTGTGTGTGGTAGCGAAGGAAAAGAGAGCACAATCTCCATACTTATACTCTCCTAGACAAGTGGCCTCGCAACTGGAATTACAGTTCAAAAATGTCCAGCACTACTACGAATTAGGCCAAGCCATATGAAGGGTCGTATCGGACATCCAACCAAGGCAGGGTCCTCCTGATGGCCTCGAGGCCTAGGATGAGCTCGAGTAACTGACTACATGCGTTAAATTTGTCACGCGCGGCCTGACGATCAGGGTCGTTCTGTGGTTAGTGGGAACACAGAAGCTCGGCCCTCTGCTCCCAGGTTTTATACATAAGTAGGCAGAGGGAATTTGTCAACCCTTTCAAGATGTCTAGTCCCCTCCTGGTAGTTAGTGAGCTTCGTGGTGTTGGTGTGCGCGCCAACGGGAGACGATGCCTGGCGACAGCCCAAAGAGGGGGCTCCGTAACAAGACAAGACTCTGGGGGTCTCGCTGCGCACTTGAAGGACTTTTGTAGCAGCGCCACCCCGCTTCTTCCTGTTTCCCATCCCACAGGTCAAAACCGTTCTCAACGGCCGTAAGAACTCCAGGCTGGGGCTGGACGAACCTCTCTACTCTTGTGAAATTTGTTATTTCATCGTGAGGGCCTGACCTCAGCAGGAAAATGGGGGTTTCTTCATTTGGAGAACAGAGATGCTCGACCATGGGAGAATTTGGGTGATATCTCAACAGGTCTTCAAGAGACCTGCTACTGGTTTTTCTCTCTGTCTCTCTCTCTTACTCTCGCACACACACACACACACACACACAATACACGTTCCAGTATTTTCCCGGCGCCATGTCTCCAACATTGCCAATCACCACTGCCGGGCAAATCATACTGCTCGTCATCTCGACGCTGGGTGTGTGTCTGACCCTGAGCGTTGTGAGTCTTCGCTTCGTTGCCAGGTACAAACATCGGCGCAGATGGGATTATAGTGATATCTGTATTGGATTGGCCGAGGTCTGTCTCGTCATTTATTACTGTTCCGTGTGTAATTGATAAATATTATTCAAGGCGGTCGCTCCTGGCTGACTGACATTCGGGATGATACATACAGGTCTTCTTGATCTTGGTCGGTGTTGATATATGGGTAGCGGTGACCAAAGGCGGCGCAGGGCTGCACGCGGTCGACATCACCGCCAAATATGGCCAGGAGCCCATAAAAATCTTCGGCATGGTGAGCCTCTCGACTCGAATGTTCTCATCTCTCTCCTCATCATGAGTGCTCTCGTGGAAAGAGAAGAAAGGAACGATAAAAATAAAATAAAAAGAGAAAGAGAAAGGGAACAGAAAGGAGACAAGAAAAGAAAGCGAAGCTGACCTGCTTCTTCTCGGCTCTAGACGCTCTGGGCCTACCAGCTATTCCTCCAGCCGCTGTGGTGCCTCAGTAAACTCTCCGTGCTGGCGCTGTACGCATCCCTGATGCCATTCCGCGAGATGCTCCTCGCCGTCAAGACGCTGGCCGTCTTCACAGGCCTCTGGTGTCTGGGCGGGTTCTTCAGCGCCGTGTTCCTCTGCTCGCCTATCGCCTTTGGTTGGGATCGGTCCATCGCAGGCGGTCACTGCGTGCAGATGAACGCGTTCTACTTCTCCAACGCCCTCATCAATTTGGTCCTCGATGTTATCATCTTGACGATACCAATGCCTTATTTTTACAAGATGCGTCTGCCTTTGCGGCGAAAGGTGCTCGTCATGGGACTGTTTAGTCTGGGATTCATGTGAGTATACCACAACTGCAAGGACCACTTGCTGTGGTTTTCTGTGTCTGTTTGTGTGTATGTGCTGATGATATTTTCGTCTGGATATGCAGTACCGTCGGTGTGGCCATAGCCAGACAGATAATCATCCTCAAGATGGATCCCGAGGATGGGACCTACACTGTCATCTACGCAGCCTGTCTGGCGACAGTCGAGGCCATCGCGACCATCACCGTAGCCTGTCTGCCCTTCCTGAAGCCACTCTTCCGGCCCTCACCCTCGTCCACCCGCCCGACAGACCTCACGCCCATCGCAACGAGCCAGAGAGGAGGCGATACGGAGGTGGCCCCGCGAGGCTGCAGCCACTCGAGCAGGCAGGGCCCCTGGAGCAGCTGGGGCCGTTCATTTAAGGGCCTAGACTCGCTGGCCGACGACACATGGGTGGCTGGAGAGGGTGACAAGACGACACCAGGAGCCCTCGGGTCGGGCACCGTTGTTGACAACACGGCATGGGAGGCTCTGTCGGCTGTGGAACAGGGTCTTGCGTTGCCAGCCATTGCGAGGTGTGCGGAAGAGAAAAGGCAACAATGCCCTGCTTCTGTGCTCGGGGACGGCGCGGTGCAGCGTGTCTCCTAATGAGCTGGTCTACCATCAGGAGCAGTGCGTCAGGTTCAGCTGGGAAATGCCCTGTGGGCGTGTCTGAAACGAGATATGGAATTTGCGGTTCAAAAAAGCCTGTGCAGTATGGCGTTTGGTGGTTTGTCCATGGCGGCTGGTAATCAATCAAGCTGCAAAATCTACCTGAGTGGCATAATTTTAGTAGAAGAAATGCAAGCACCGACTTTGCACGGATTACAAGACATGTCCCCTAATATCCCAATTCAATTCCTCTAGAACACCTGCAATTCAGGAATTCCATCCTACTGATTGAGTATATCTGTTGAATCCCGTCTAGCCCTCTATACAATATCTACATGCCCATCGTCAACTTCGCTCGGGGGCTGGTACTCAAATCCCAACTCTTGAAGTGATTTCGCCTTCCTCCCAGTCATCTCGAACTTCAACTTGGCCTCGGCGTACGTCGCCCTCTGCCACTTCTGTTCATCAGTCCACACCGGCGGCTCCTTGCCCTTGCCGCCGGTGGACTTCATGGCCCATTCGTGGAACTCATCAAGGTAGACGCCATCGCCGCCCTTGGGGAAAACGTGAAATGCGTTGCCTCGCCTCTGGGCCTCCTCCTCCTCCCACTGTGACATCTCCTCAACCGACGGCAGGGGCAGAGTATTGGACCACACCCTAGCAAAGACGGCTGCCTGCGTCTCGGAGATGGGAAAGGGCACAACCTTGATGGGCAGGCCGGGAAAGGCCAGGGTGGGGTGGTCGATGTGGAAGAGATGCTTGTACAGGCCGTAGACTCTCCGCCCGTCCGAGACGAGGCCTGGCGACATTGACTCGAGGAACGGGAAGGTGAAGAGGTAGCCCGTGCAGTACAGGACCGCGTCCAGATCCTTCTCGACACGCCCGTCTGTGAACCGGACACCCTTCTCTGCCACTAAGAACTCCTCGATCGCGGGGACCTCCTCGGCGCCGACGTGGGCGAGGTTCTCCTCGGGGGTAGGCTCGTGTACGGACAAGAGGAGGGGTGGTCGGCACTGCCGGCTAATTTGGGATGCAATATCGAGCCCGGACGCGGCGTTGCCGACAATGAGGACCTTCTTGTCCGTGAAGGGCTCGGGGATGCGGTAGGTCTTGGCGTGGGAGAGCACGCCTGGGTGGGCCGCGTGGAAGTCTCTGATGTTTTTCACCTCGGGGATGAATGTGGTCGAGTAGTGCCCAGACGCCACGACGATAGCATCAAAGGTCTCCTCGTGGCTCTTCCCGTCGAGCAGATTCTCTGTCTGGATGTCCCAGCGGTCCCTGGCCCCTTGGCGCCTCAGCTTGACAGCCTTGACCGTAGTTGAGAACCTGATTAGGTGTCGGACGTCCTGGGCGTAGCCCACGAGGTAGTCCTGGACGCCCTGTCGAGTTGGAAAGATGAGTGAGCCCTCTGGGAAGTCCCTGTCACCGTACTTCATCAGAGTCCAGGGGATGTTGGTATTCAGAAGCTCGTACATGGGCGAGGCGAAGACGGGCGCGGTGCTGTCGTCCCCTGGGCTCACGACGGGCGGGTCAGGTGGGCAGAATGGGCTCGTCTGGGGCACATGCAGGCTCTCCGAGGGTTTCCGACTGTACATCCATACGCCACCGACTTCGGGGTTCTGCTCGTACACCACGATAGACTCGAAGGCCTGCTGCGCAACGAGGTACTTTGCGGCTGAAAGACCGCATGGCCCAGCACCTATAACTGCCACCCTCTTCACGTCGAAAGACCTCGCGTCGAGGGAGCCCATGGTGCAAAAAACTGATCGACGTAGACGGCTCCAGATATAGCAGCAGCGCCAGATGGAAGTGTAGGTGTGTAATGAAAATTGCCCAAGACTTTTGCCGGAATATCTGATTCGATGAAATCCAAAGGAAGCCAGTGTGCTCTGCTATTCAATCTAGCAGTAAATTCAAAAAAGGGGGGGGGGGAAGAAGACGAAGAAAATAAGAATTAGAGCACTGTGTAGACTGGAAATACACAAGTGTTAAAGAATAGTATAGAGAACCAAGAAGAAATAAGAAAGAAAGTATCGAGCATGAAGATAGACAGATTATCGCGTGATGGTCATCCTCAAGGTGGGGGGGCAGTTGCCCGCTGTGGAACTGTATACTGAGTAAGTCAAGTAACTAAGTACCGTGGAAGGAAATAGTATAGCTAGAGCCGCCACCAACCATCCCTGTACATACCCTCTCCTCAAGGTACTTCGGTACTTTCGACCCTCTGAACAGCTCAGTGGACCACAGCTTGTTGTTAGCGCGTCTTGTTTGTCGTCACGTCCACATGCGAAAGTCCCAACTGTATTGAATCTCTTTCATCTTTCTCCTCCTCCTCCTCCACCACCACCGACCTACCAACTTTTCAATCCCACCAACAAGATCAAGGAAAAGGAAAGGGAAACCACAGACAAATTACGTGCCTCTGGTTTTGCGAAGGCGCCAACCTAAATTTTGCCTGATGGCGAGATACCTTCCATTGCCTCTTCTCCGTCGCGAATCATGATCTAATCATTCATCCCTCGAATCACGACTGCGACTGCGACGACCCCTTTTGCGACACTACTTCATGGCGACTCCACCCGAAGACGTCGAGCAGCTGCTTGCAGCAAAGGTCGTAACGCCCATAGCACAGCTGAGCCCCGATCTGCCCGACCAGGGCAACCGCAAGCTCCACGGCGAGGTCACCATCACCTGGCCTTACAGCTCCGTGACAAAGAGCTTCGCCTTTCTCCTCGCCGAGCCCGACTTCCGCCTGCGTCGAGACCGAGGTTCGGTGCGCATACAGCTCAGTGGTCCAAGCGCCGAGGCTGTAGGCGGCTGGGAGCTTGGGAGCGGCGATGAGGTCGTGTTGGCTCTGAATGCCGTCGAGTGGGCCAAGGATGAGGAGCCCGCAAGACCGGCCGGTTCGCGCCTCGACTGGCAACTAAAATTCGCCGGCAGGCTCATGCTCAAGGCCACCCTCGGCGAGACCCAAGAGACAAAGTTCCTCAACATCGACCAGCCTTTCGCTGTCCAAAAGACAACGCCCGAGGTAGCTGCATCCCTGTCGGCCGTAGAGGTTGACACTGCTGTTTTGGTAGACGAACCTGTCGCGACACCGACCAAACCCTTCTTCCAGACTGCTCCCAATGGTGATGATGATGAGTACTCATCACCAATATTTGCGAAGAGGTCACGGTCTTCATACGGGCCGCTGTTCGAGCTCAACCTCGATGACGAACTGGAAGCGGACGGTGGTAGGCGGGGCAAGGGTCGCAAGCGACCTCGATACTCGGTTCAGAATCGCATGTGGAAATATCGCGAGGACAGCAGCAGTCCCGAGCCGGAGGCATCACAGGACTCCCCCTCAGCCGCGCAGGCGCAGAATGGCAACGTGAGCATGCAAGACACGCCGACCCGAGTCGAGATGACGGATGGAGAAGCCCAGACGAACGAGTTTGAGCTCCCACCGCCCCCTTCGAGCTCCTTCAACACGCCCGTCAAGAACTGGGGCCAGTCACAGGCATCATCGCCCTTCCCCCAGAGTGTCACGCAGGCATTCGGACCGGCGAGGACCGATACAGCGGTTCAAGCCGCTCCTTGGAAACCTGCGGCAGCTATGCCCAAGGAATACCGTGACAACACAACGGAACATGCGCAGTCATCGAACCCCTTTGATTCACGCTCTACTTTTTCACCATCTCCACGAGTCGATTCACACAACCTGGCTGGATTCGGTGTCTCGCAGGGCCACGCTGCTCCGGTCAGCCCAGAATCCGGGCAGATTTCTTCAACATTTGGGACGGTGCCGAATGACGGTATGCGCCAGGTTTCGTCTGCTCCGAACGACGCAGGATCAGCGCACGACTCCTCACCATCTTTAGAAGCAGGTCCAAACGGCTCAGCAGATCGAAGCTTTGGAGCTGCCTCATCCCTCTTTGGAATTGGGCCTGCGCCGACGCAGCCTACATTCTCCCAAGCACCAATGGCCAGCTCTGGGTTCGGTGTTACAGGTGGCTCTCTCAGGTTCGGCTTCGGTCAAGAGCCGCGACCGTCATTTGGTGGCTCTCCCTTCACAGACCCAGCGGCCGCAACAGACCACCCCGACGCCCATCCTTATCCAGAATCTTACTTGGATCAACAAAACCCTCCAGGTCCCGCATCGCTCACACCCCAAAACCCTTTCGTGAGCGTCCCGCAAGACGCTCAACCGCTCCATGGGCTCGACATATCTGCTCATCAGGATTCGATCGATACTCGTCCACGAGATCATAGTGTGCCTCTTTGGCCCTTGGGGTCCCAGAACTACGATGACCGTCACGCAGTGGCTCATGTTCATCCTCCAGAGGACCTTCGTGCCGATGACGACATTCCAGAGGTGACACCCCCCGGCATAATATCCCCAGAGGTGGATGACGGAACGCGCAATGCGGACGAGATGAGGCATGAGGGACTACTTTCGATACCAGTGTATCGGCAAGGGGTACCGCAGGAGGCTCTTCCAGACCACGAAGATGCATCGGCGGATGAGGATGAAGATGCTATGGATAGCGATGAGGAGGCAGACTACGATGAGGACCAAAAAGGTGATGACTATGACCTGAGAAACTATGATCGCCTTTCCGACGACGAGGAAGGCTTCGATGAAGACGAGCCTCTCTCTGGCGACGAGCTGCTCGAAGAAGACGAGCAGCCGTTCTACGAAGGCGATCGCGGCTTCGACCACAATGACTACGACGAAGAAGACTATGAGGATGACGAAGCAGAGAATTATTTCTCCCAGGCATCCCGACTCTCACATCAGCCTCGGCCCCCGCCGCAGCCTGCAGCTCCAAAGCAACCAGTCGTCATTGACCTCCTCTCCGACTCAGATGACGATGAACCACCAGCTAAGTCAGCTGTTCAGAGTCAGCCTCCGCAAAAACAGACACACCAGCCAGCTTCGTTGGGGTTGGTGCGTGACCAGGGCGATCGTCTCACCCAAGCAAGTCAGCCACCTGCGGTCCTTCAGCCGCAGCCGCAAGATCTAGGATCCCATCAAGAGGAAGATGCCTCCGAAGAAGAGTCTGAAGAAGACCTCGACCATGACGCTGAAGACAATAACGACCACAGCGAAGATGCAGTCGAAGAGACTGATAGTGATGAAGGCGCCACCGCAGGCTCTGACAACGGTGAGGCCGACGCCGAGAGTGATGAAATAGACGAAGACGTTGTTTCGGTCAGAGAGACAAATGTCACCACCGTTGGCACCGTCATCAGCGTTGCTGAAGTAGAAGAGGCCTCGACGCCAAGCCCGGGGCGAACTCACGGCACGGCTATCAGCGGCAGCGAGGCGTTTCTTGATCACGAGAAGCAAGACGAAATCACGACAGCAGATGTGGAACACTGGATGCGCCGGCACTCTAATGGCCCCAAAGTTGCTATGGATGTAGACGAGGAGCGCGTGGATGACGGGGCCGAGAATTTTCAGAGCCAGGTCACCGACATGGGCAATCACAGCCCAATATCTCAGGATGAGGAAATGGCTGACGATTTCGTGGAGGGCGATAATCTTCAAGGGGACATCAGCGCACCAGCGAAGGAGGAGTTAGAGCAAGGTTCAGCGTCCCCTCCGACTGATGCGACACGGCAAGACGCTGAAGAGAAGCCGACAGAAGTGCAGCAGAAGGACACAGATGAGGACGCCGGTGAGAAAACATATAAGAAAGATGTTGAGGCTGCAGCAGTAGAGCTGGTTGCAGAGTCGGAAGCCCGAGAGCCTGAGGATACTGGAGAACCTTCAGACCAGCAACAAGATGCGCCTCCCTCTCCACCTGAGTCGCAAGAACATCAAGTCGATGCTGCGGCCAAGGTTGACGTTGTGATGACTGCTGTGTCTGAATATGTTGAGACACGAGTCAGTGAGCAAGACGAGACATTAGCACTGGAGACACAGCAAACAGACTCGGTTTTTCATGGGCGTATGACCGCTGAGACGGATGGCCGCAGAGACCCGCGAGTCGAAGATGTCAAGATGGTGAACGCAGCAGAAGAGCACATAGGAGCCGAGGACATCATCAGCGAGGAGATTAAAGCTGCACAACCACGATCGACTCTAGAGAGGGAAGCAGAGGATAACGACAGCGTTGACTTACTGACTGCTGAGGTCGAGTCTGCCAAGCACGACATGTCACCAGTATCAGCACGCGATGAAGATACCGAGCTGCCACAGACCCCAGCAGCCGCCAAACAGCGGCGTTTGTCACCCCTGGTTGACGACGATGCACGCAGTGGCCAAGGCGGACATGCTCACGATGCTTCTGCTAAGCTTAATCTGCAGAAGTCATCCCCTGTTACCGCTGACGATGTGCACGCCAGCTTTGTGACTACCACCTTGCAGGTGTCTGACGCCCACGAAGAACCAGGAGAGGTCGAAACAACACCCTCGGGCAAGCCAAAGCGCGGAGGTCGAAAGACTCGCGGCTCTTCCAGTTCGAAAGCTGCGAAATCGAGCGCAGCTCCAAGGAGAGGCCAGCGGCAAGTCTCGTCCGAGCAGGCCCCAGGTAGCCAAAGAACGACTCGCAGTAAGGCGATGAGTTTTCAGAAGGCATCCAGCCCAGAGGGAGACAAAGAGGATATGAGTATCCAGCTAGCTCGTGCTGCGCTCATGTCACCGACCACGAAACCCAAGCACAAGCGCAAGGTTTCGGCGAGCTCAGCTAAGCGCGAGAAGACGAGCCTGGTCAAGCGGCTAGAAGATGACATGCCTGACTGTGCAGCGCTCAAGGACCTGCGAAAACACAACAACCATGTAATACGGCTGGATGTGGCCGTCGTCGCCACCAGTGCGCAGACGCCACCCAAGCGCACCGTGACTCGCGAGTATGCATCGTCCTTCACTGTCACCGACCCATCCGTCGCTCCTGACAGTGTCGTCGAGATCGACCTGTACAGCCTACATCGAGATCATCTGCCCATGGTGGAGCGTGGAGACTCGGTCCTCCTACGGGGCTTCACAGTGGTCTCATTGCCCGGCCGAGGATTCGGACTCAAGACGGAAAAGAACGAGTCTAGCTGGGGCGTATTCAAGGCTGGTGGCGACGATGAGCCTGAGATGAGAGCAGCGCCCGTCGAGCTCAACGACAAGGAGAAGAAGTACCTGCTGGACCTGCGCGCTTGGTATGCTGGTCTGGATGAGGGTGCCAAGGACACGCTTAACAAGGCTGTGGACGAGATAGTCGAGAATGGACGGGAGAGTCGAGTAAAAACATGAGCACTGCCTTTTGCTTGGGTGCTCCCACAAGTTCGCAGCTGCCCTGTCCATTCATCATCGTGTGTGCCTGGCGAGTGGGCTTGGTAGCGTGTCTCCTATCTGAGGCACAGCACAACAATGTTGCTATTGGACTATAAGAAAGATGCCATTAGATTAAGGGCATCTTATTGGTGGGCATTGCCTTGGGACGGAAATACAATGAAACTACACAAACAAATTATTATTCAACTTCCGAGTATTGACGCTTGTGATCCATCCACATAGAGTTTATGTGAGCCGGTATGATTTGAGAAACCGACAGAAGAAACATATCTGTAGTTCTGAAGCACCATGTGCCCCAGCTGGGCAGCCACAGCCAAGAAAAGACTTTGCCCACGAAACTGAGAGAAGAGCCCTCTTCTCTAGACTCAATCCCCTCTAATCACCTCATCATACGGCTACAAGTCCGAATCATTATAAGTGAGAATATCGTCAATCAGAAACTCCCCAATCCCGGGCCTCCTACTGTACCCCATAAAGCGGACCACGGCATCATTCGCGCCAGGCAGTCTGGCCAGCAACTCTCGAATCCTATCCCTCTCGGCCTCGTTCACCCAGCCCATGACCTCCACGACCTTGGGCGGCCGCCCCGCCCAGTCCAGCGTGGAGTAGACATGGGCCTGGTCATGCGCATCAGCCCCGCCCAGCGGCCCCGAGTCCAGGAACCTTGCCAGGACCCAGCCCACCTTCCTGCAGCAGCCGACAGGACAGTAGCAGTCGTCGAAACAGAGCTGCAGGCGGTCCAGGGTCATCCTCTTGACGGCGTCGATGCGCTCGGCCCACATGATCTCGAGGGAGACGGTCTTTTGGTCGTGCAGGGCGGCCAGGGCGTCCCTCGGGGCGATGGTCTGGTCGTCGACCTGCTCCTTGACGGCCTGGCAAAAGTGCAGCGCTTCCCAGTCCCTCATCTCGGCGTCGCGCATGTCAAAGGTGTAGCTTACATCGCGCGCGAGCAGGGCGGCGTTCAGGATCGGGGACGGGCGCGCGCCGGACGGGGCGAGGAAGGCCTGCACCGAGGCGTCGTGGGACATCCTGGCCTCGCGGAAGTCTATGGGGTGGCGCCATCGCCCGGCGGGGAGGATGATTTGGTTGTGCGCGAAGAAGATGGTTGCGGCCTCGGCGTGGATGATGGAGCTGACGCCATGGAGCAGACCGAGCGGGGTGCCCCGGGACGAGGAGGGGGAGGAGAAGGGGGAGGAAGAGTGAGACAAGGAGTTGAGGGACGGGGGATCGAGCGGCTCGCCGGCGAAGAGGCCGTGGCCGAAGAGGCTTTCGTCTTCGTAGCGGAGGAGGGGCTCGCCTGTCTCGCGGCGCCAGTAGTCGATCTTCCAGGCCTGGTGTCTCGTCTGGGCTTCCAGTGGCTCGGCGTGGCGGTTGGGCACGGCGACTTTGCCCTTTACTAGGGCATGGCGATAGATCTGGTCGCGGATCTCGCGTGGGAGGTCCAGGAAGCCGTGGAACTCGGTGCCTATTCTGAGGCGTCTGCAGGATGCCAAGGCTGACTGGAGGGTGTCTGTGGAGGAGGATGAGGACGATGACGACTTGTCGTTTGGCAGATTGTCCTGCTCCGGCAGCGAGTTGAAGTAGTCTGCGAGATGAGCTGTCCAGCTCTTGGTACGAGCCTATAGAGAATATGATACATGGTTAGCAATTGGCTGTCTCGAAGGAGATCGAATGCAGTATAAGGAGGAAGACTCTAGGCAGCTAGCTCACGTCAACAAAGTAACCTATGACAAGCTCCTCGATCTGGGGCGGAAGGTTGATGCCTTGAGTGTTGACGTAGTACATCTCTGCCCGCTCCCAACTCAGTGCAGCCTCTGCAGATACTGGCATGGTGGTAGTGGTTTTTGACTCGTTATTACGGTGTTTTCTTTTTCTCTTTCCACTTCTTTTGACTTTGCTTTCTAAATATTTGGCTTATACACCTGCTTGTTTCTGAGGTGGTCGCTTTTGGTTTGCATGAGAAGAGACATGAAAGGGCGTCAAGAGACGGGATATACGACGGGTGGGGATTCAGACCAATGCCAATGGAATAGCATCACCGTGCTGACTAACTGTGTAATCTTTCATTATGCTTCTTCATCGGATATATTTCTTGAACATGTAATATTGAAAGGTCTAAGTAATCCTGCTGGACTTGTCGGAAATAAATTTCATGGTGCATACAGTCCAGCCATCATTAGCTAGTTGCTGGGCTATTATTTTGGAGGGGCTGAAGACGTGAGTTGCCCAACACAAGGACAATGTCCGTCACATATAAATGGAATTATAATGTGAATATGTAGAAAACATTTGATGTCTTTTCATTCTTTGTTTATTTATTTTTTTCAGACCCCAAGAAGACAAGACCATTTTATAGTTTCCTTTTGCGCCTAAGTGTGCAGCCACCACTCATCATCACTCACTGACGAGGCAGGCAGAGCTGGCTAAGTACCCAACTCACTACCTCCTCAAGTCGTTCCTTCCTTCTTTCTCCTAGTCCCCACCTCACATTTTAGTCCATCGATGCCATCCCTTGACCCTTGCAGGCTTCCATCCTCTCAACCTTCCCAGTGCACAAATTAAGAAACAAGAAGCAAAAAAAAAAATCAGAAGACGACCCAAGGCGTCTGTCTTCAAAACAAAATGGGGGAATCATCATCTCTCTATGTATATCTCGAACCTGTACCCAAGCCAGATCGCTGGAGGAAATACGAGAAAAAAGGCAAAGAAAAAAAAGTAATTACTTTTTCCAAGAAAAAAGGGGGCGGTCAGCAGCTGCGGCGGCGGCGAGGCGTCCTCGTCTCCTCCAGCCGCACCAGCCAATCCGCCCAGGCGCACGAGGAAATGGTCCACCGTCTTCGAGGGGCCTTCCACCCTCAGTCGCTTGGGTCATAGATCCTGTTCTTGATGTACTTGGTCAGGGCGGCGTCGCCCCACTCCTCCCACTCGTTCCACTGCTCCTCGGGCAGGGCCGACACGCCCTCGCGCCGGGCGGCCTTCATGACCTCGCGGGCCACGATGATGGAAGCCTCACGCACCCGCTCGATGCGCGGGTAGATGAGGCCCTTCTGGATCTCGTCGGCGTTCAACGAGTTGGCCAGAGCCTCGGCAGACGTGTAGATCATGCCGTCCGTCACCTTAGTGGCCTTGGCCAGGATGGCGCCCAGGCCGATGCCAGGGAACACGTAGACGTTGTTGCCTTGGTTGGGGTGGTAGGTGATGGCCTGGTCGCCTGCCTTGACGGTGAAGGAGGCAAAGGGGGAGCCCGACGCGAAGATGACGGAGCCCTCAGTCCAGTTGACAGCCTGCTCGAACGTGCACTCGGCCTTGGTGAGCGGGTTGGACAGGGGGAACAGGATAGGACGACGGCCCAGACCACCTGCATCGACCGAGGCCTTGAGGGCGCGCACGACGCTCTCAGTGAAGACGCCAAATGTGGCCGTCAGACCCACCAGGGCGCTCGGCTTCACGTACTCGATGACCTCCTCGAGGCTGCGGAACTGGTGGCCGTTGTTGTCGACGCGGGCAAAGTACTTCTTGTGCTCGGCGAGGCGGTCACCACGGTCCTTGGTCACAAGGCCCTTGGTGTCCACGAGCCAGAACTTGTCCTTGGCCTCCTGCTCCGTCAGGCCGCGGCGGGTATAGTACTCGACCAGCTGCTTGGCCACACCCACGCCCGCAGAGCCGGCGCCCATGAAGACGAGGCGCTGCTCCTCAATGGGCACAGCCGACAGGTTGACAGCACCAATGTACCCGGCCAGGACCACGGAGCCTGTCCCCTGGATGTCGTCGTTGAAGGACTTGTGCGTGTTGCGGTACCGGTCCAGGTAGTTGAAAGCCTTCTCCGACTCAAAGTCCTCAAACTGCACCACCATGCTGGGGAAGACCTCCTTGACCGCCGCCATGAACTCGTCCATGAAGGCCTGCTGCTCGGCCACCGAGGGCCTCTTCTGCCGCAGACCCATGTAGAACTCATCCTTGAGGTTGGTCTCGTTGTTGGTGCCGCAGTCCAGCACGATGGGCATGGTCTTGGAAGGGTGGATACCGGCACAGGCAGTGTACAGGGCCAGCTTGCCGATGGGGATTCCGATACCATTAAATCCCAGGTCACCAAGACCCAGGATGCGGGATCCGTCCGTCACGACGCAGATCTCCGGGTTGGGGTAGGGCCAATTTCGCAGGATGGTCTTGATGGATTTCCTCTGCTTGATGGAGATGTACAGGGCCTCTGGGCGGGTGTACAGGGTGGAGTACTGCAGGCAGACGTCGCCGATGGTGGGCGTGTAGACGAGGGGCATGAGCTCCTTGCTGTGGTCCATGAGCAGGCGGTAAAACAGATCTACGTTCTGCTCCTTGACCGACGACAGGTACAGATACTTGTCCACGTTGGTCTGGCGGGACCGGATCACACGCAGAGACCGCTGGCACTGCTTCTGCAGATCCTCGATGGTGTGAGGCACCAGGCCCGTGAGGTTCTTGGCGACACGCTCTTCTGGCGTGAAGGAAAGACCTGTGGTGAAATTGGATTAGCATCCAACACATGCACACATGTACAAAAGCGGGACAGTGACTCAGGAACTTACCCTTGTTGAAAAGAGGTTCTCGCAGGACCTGAGGGCCGATGGCCTGCTGTCTGGCAACGTCTGTCACGTAGACATTGTCTCTGTTCTGCTTGACCTCGCCGTACGTGTCTTTCCTGTAGCCGCGGAGCTGGTCCAGCTGCTGGGCCTTCATGGCCTCCTCGAGGGCCTGAATATCAATGGAAGACATTGGGTTGAGGTGTGATATCCTTCTCGTAGAGGAGATGGACATGCGCTTGGAGTAGGAGGTGTTGGAGGAACGACCTGCTATGGAAGAGGGAGAGGATGATCTTGGTGTAGATATATCCGAATTTGATGAGCTGTAGGAAAATGGTACGGACGCCATGGATTGGATGATACGATGAGGAGAGGAAAAATTGAGAAGAAGATGAGGGAGGAGGGCGAGGAATGATATACTCGAGGAGACGAGATTCGGGGTTCGATTTGTGGCCCAAGGAGAAATAGAAGAATAAAAAGAAAAGGAGGAGGAAGGGTCCTCAGAGGTGGTGGTGGTGTGCAGGGGCGACGGGGAGGGCGAAGGGTGGTCTGGACAAATCGGGAGATTGTCGAATGTATTTCTGGTTCTGGTTCGAATGGAGGGGTCCCGGCGGCCAGCGGATGCAGGAGGGGTGACAAGGGATGAAAAAGTAGTGGATGAATAATAAGAAAGATGATTATAAGCTGAGAATGACACCACACGACAGGTTGTTGCTGCAGGAGTAGAGGGAACAATACCACCACCTCCAAATCCACAAGTCCCGCCTGAGAAGGGTAGTCGTACCCCTTTTAAGGCTGTTGTAGAGAGCACCATCCTGCGTGTGTGTTCTAGGCCTTTCCCTTTTTCTTCTCACAAGTTTTATGATCTCCCTTTCTCTGCGTTTCCCTCCGGTTTCTCCTCTGTCTGCGAATTGAGCCCGGACCAGCTCGATGCGACAGTATCGGGACAGGGTTTCGTGACAATCCTCCCCGGGGGGTGGTTTCAAGCTTTTTCGTGCGGGAGGGATCGATGTCTAGAGGCAGACCCCGAAAGCAATATGCACACCCAACAAAAAGAGGGACCAAAACAGGACGAGGGCAAGGGATAAATAAATGCCAATGGAATGGTGTCCTGTCTAATAGTCGCTGTGAACTGTGGAATGAAATTGAAGCAGCCTCTTTTTCGTTCTTTCTCTTTTCTTCTTTCTTCTCTCTCTGTGAAGAAATCTGGATTCTCTCGTTTCTTTTTGTTGAGAATATCTGCGTCAAAACGAGAGGGAGCTGTACCCTTGTCTCTGATCTGGTCGGATACACCGTGCAGGCCCTGAAATTGACAGGGGTGAGGAGGGTCCTTGTTAGAAGAAGTACGTAGTATATGATGAATGTTGGTTGAGATGCAAGGCAGTCTGCATGGAATAATACGGGGCAACAAGAAAGAAAAAAATAAAAAGGTGACGATTGATGCCCAAGGGGAACAAATCAGTTTGGGATGAACATTTACCAGGCCAGTGAAGGGGGTGGGGGGGGACTTGACGGGTAGGATGAAAGAGGAATCTCGATTGCCCCTCAATTCTGATAGCTTTTTGAGATAAACTGACAAGAAAAAAAAGAAGAAAGAGGGAAAGGCCAAGGTCCTGTAGCTCCTTCTTTTCTCGTAGCTTAAGTGTACTATGTATACAATAATAAAACTGCCGGTAGATTGCTCATCAAGGCCGATATTCGGTGCTGAATCCTGTTGATCGTGGGTCGAAGGGAATTTTCATAAGAAGGTAGTATGCCCAGCCATCGGGATCGCCTGCCTGAAAGCTTCGAAGAAGAAGAGGAGAACAAAGAAAAGGAGGGAGGAAAAAGAAAATCACGGCAACCCAGGCCGATCTACTATGTACTACTATACGTAGAGACATGACACTACAATTTACATAGTACCTGAGAGGCGGTCGGCCAGACCAGACCACCAGCCAGCTAAAAAGCAACAGCGGCAGCCAGGGGCCCACGAGTTATGGGTTTAGCAGGGGTCAGTCACCAACTAAGCTTCTTGTAAGCCCGTGCTACAGCGGTACCACAATACCAAGGCCCTATATGCTAGCCCTTTTGGCAACGGCCAGTCAGTAACTAGTGCCTCCGGGACGCGCCCGCTGTCCAGGGGTCTTTGGGCTTGGGATGAATTGTCTCGGGGCCGCCCTCAGCTTGGCTCGACTCGTTCTCCACTCTCGACTTCATCCCTTCTTTTTTCGCCGGCCACGACCTTCCAGAATGCTCAGCTGTCACCATGTTCCCAGGAGGTTCGTCCAGACTGCTGACGATCCCATCCTTTGTGTCATTCCTCAGACGGAAAGAACCTGGCAGCCAGCCTTACCAGTCTCAGAAAACCACCAACGAGAAAAGGCAGCTCCCAAAGGAGCCCCGTGGCGAAACAGGCAGATATTTTCCTTTACGCGCACGCACGGGTCCGGGGGATATTCAGCCAACAGGGATTCACCCATCCTTGATGATTTTGGTTTTCTGGTCTGGGGTCACTGTGAACCTAACATAGCATGTAGCTTGTACTATGGTTACAAATTTATCGTATATTATCGTAACCTTTAGCAAAACCCCTTCCGACTATGCCCGTCATTCCCCCACACCGTTCCAGCGCCAAATCTAACAAGGCGGGGCCAGCCCGAAGTGCGGCCGCATGTTCCAGTTGTGTGTTGCCCCCACCCATGCACGCAAGACTCTGGCCCCTCTTTTCGTTCTCAGGAGGCTCAAAAGTAAAGATGAGAGGGATTGCGAGGGGGAAAAGATAAAGCGATGAGAAAAAAGAGTTAGGAAAGAAAGGAACGTGAGACACATAACCTGATCCGAACGGGGTATGAGCAGATTTTCATATCTGCTGTCAGCAATCTTCAACTACAATCAGCTGTGTCTATATAGAGAAACATCGGAAGACCTACGCGGAACTTCTCCATAACCGCCACTTGTTGACGACTCTCATCATTTCTTGAAACACGCACGTCGACAGGCCACCATGATGTCTCCCTCAGAACATACCAATAGTATACACACCTAAGGTCGTATAGATTTCGTCTGGGGCCGGGAGGGGAAATTTATCACACGAGCTCCCTTGCAGGGATGATAAGACGAAGGCTTCTATGAGCCTCCCGACTTCTCCCGGTACGGACAAGGGTCCATAGCTGACGGATGCGCTCAGCCCCCCTCCCCTACCTCCACAGGGGCGTCCCGAACCCAGAGTTTGGGAGGCAAGGGCTAAGCTTTTCTATCGCTAGGGTCAGTCGGTTCTGGAAGCTGTCAGGCTGCACGTAACGCTCCTGCTCTCGCCAATCCCAATCATCCCGTCTCCTCAGCCACTCAAATCAATCAGGAAGTCATCCAGCTCCTCTCCTCCAACCAACCACTCACTCACTCAACCATTTGCCCTCCATATGATGCCTCGGTGTCGTATAACGTCGCAAACTCCATCCAGCCTCGGTCGAGGGTCTCACCCGTGAAACACCAATCTTCATACAAAAATTCACCCGCGTGTGATGTGCGCCGCAATATTATCCTTTGTGCCCCCTCAGGGCTCCACTTGCCTCAAACAGAAGGCTCCTGGCTCTCTTCATGCTGCTCGTATTCTTCCCGGATCATTGGATCTCAATGCACTGATAAGACATCTCTTCATACCCGGACAAGACATGAGATCTGACTATTTCCCTCCCGGGTCATCGAGCAAGCGATCTGGACCAGCTTGGGAAAGGCTTCCTTCGTCTGGGAACGCTGCACGGTATCATGGCGTCCGTGTCCTGAGGCTGATCTCTGACCGGCCTGTACTATTCACCAATGAAGACGACAGGAGGGATCTTGTCGTGCTCTCTCAGTGCTTGCATCTCGCTGGGCTCGGACTTTCTAAGCCGGCGTGCTGACAGCTCCTCAATCCAGCCGAGGCAATCAAAGTTCATACCTCTTTGAGTAGATTCACGAGTTCCTTCCCATCACGACGGGGGTCGCCTGGTCTCCCAGGTATCCCCCCTCCCCGCGGGTCGAGCTCTAGCCTTCCCGATCGGCTGTCAAACAAGAGTGTCCCGCCACGAAGACCATCAGGAAGGGCTGATACATGGCTCCAACACCCACCCTGTCAGTCTGTCTAGGGATCAAAACCCACGCGGCTGATACCGTGGTATGGCTGTCCCAACATTTTCCCCCAATAACCCTTCCCATCATCACCCTGCTGCACCCGCGTGGGGGTGGAATCCCCAGACCGATACCCAGCTACCCCAGATGTCTAGCGAGGGAGGATCATCGGCAAATACAAGCCGCCCCGGACGAGCCTGCTCCTGCTGGTTTCCTAGACCGCTCTTCTTATGCAGCCATGCAGCGCTTTAGAAGGTGACTAGGCCGGACATTGAGTGGCAGTCTCACAACGTATTCACAGTTAAGTTTGGCCAGACTGTTCTCAAGAAAATAGCTGACATGCTAAATCCCCATGGGCACGCGACACCGTCCAGCCCTGCACCCAGCCCGAATTCATCCGGGGTTGGATTCTGGGGTGCTGCGGTGCACTGCATAATGCATGCAGGCACTTGTCGGCTGCAGCATGCAGCTAACCCTTCCGCTAGGCCCGAGTGTGGTGGTCCTTGGTCCCCAACTCCATGCAGCCCGTGTGCGCACTCCAAGCTATCTTCCCACGCTTCGGAGTAAACCTCAAGCACCAAGCGGCACGGAGTATTTCAGCAAGGTCTCAACAGCTGTACGCCACTCGGTACAGGCCTTGCTATGCCAACAGACATACAGCGGGTTCCCGTTGAGGAGTGTTGTGAAATTTCGGTCACCGATTTGTCGGTTTGCGATCTTGGTGTTGCGGATGCCCCAGACTGTCTTTCTGATCGTGAAATTGTCCGAGCGGCGATTTGATCAGGTCTCAAAAAAGGCTGGCGGGAAAGTCAACTAAGGCTAGCTTTTGGAGACAGGCTTCCGAGAAGGCAGGTTGGCTGGCTCCAGTGAGTTTCAGCGCGCGATCCTCGACCCCGACGATTGTTGGGCCGCATTGATTTCGTGCTATTGCTTTTCCCTGGCGTTGTTGAACAAAGGAAACGGAGGGAGAAGGCTTGGCATCATTTTATGGACGCTATGGTAGGATCGTCGTCGTGAGTACTACAAGGCAAAATTTCGTCGGGCTCTTTTACATGGAGCCGTGAGATGATTGCCCACCAGGTCTGAGCCCTGTAACGCTGCGTGCACAAAGTTTTTCCTACGTGGGGGGTTTCTTCTTCTTTTTGGTTGATCAGACGCCTACCAAGTGGCAGCGTTTCTAGTCGTGGTAGCAACGTGTCTGTCGTGAACCTGGGTGCGCAGTAAGGTCTGGTGAGTGCGAGCTGTACCGTACCAGATCTACAAGAATTGAAACCACCAGTGTGGCATTGACGCTCAGTGTCTGGCCAAAGCAAACTTCTGTCTGAACACATAGTCTATGTGGGAAAGAGGCGGCCGAGCATAGGAAGGCCTCAGTTGGACAGAGATAATTGAGCACAACGTTGCAAGACGAACTTCTTCGTTCACAGACCAGGAGGGCAAGCAGGTTCAGAAAGAGCGACGTATCAAGAACAATGAACATATGAATATGTATATATCTACAAAGAACAACAAAACACCCACCGAACCCACCTATTCTCCCACGCACTTAGCACCCTCACGATCTCCCCCCTATTTGCTTCCCTTGTGGCAGCTCTTCTTCGTGGTGGTAGCCAGCGTCGTAGCAGCCTCAGCCGAGGTAGCAGCAGCCGTGGTCGGGGCAGCCGTTGTCAAGGCCTGAGCAGCCGAAGAGGCCTGCTGGACAACAGCGCTAGACGAGGGGGCGGCGGCCGAAGGGGCAGCAACGGACTGCGTGGCAGACGAAGCGGGAGCCACAGCACTGCTGACCGCTGCAGAGGAGATGGCAATGCTGGACTCGGCTGAGCTGCTGGCCACAGCCGTGGCGCTGGCCTCGACGCTCGTAGCTACAGCAGAGGCGCTGGCCACGGCGGTGGTGGCGGCGGCAGAGCCTCCCGTGGACACGCCGCACGAGTACGAGGAGACGGAGAGGACAGCGCTGGTGCCGGTGAAGGGCTCGGTGCCGGCGCCAATGCTCAGCAGGTACTGGCTGCTCGACACGCCCTCGTTCTCGATGAGATAGTTCAGGAAGTCCATCAGGTCGCCGTCAAAGTCCTCGACGGCCGAGGTGGCGACAAAGCTGTACACAGTCGTGTCGCCGTTGGGGCCCGTGTACAGATCCCAGGTGGTGCCGGCAATCTCGGGCGTGGCGACAGTGCTGCCGGTGGAGGAGATGGGGCCGGCACCGCCGATGGCATCGAGCCAGACCATAATCTCGTACTCATCGCTGCCGTCGGCAGAAGAAGAGGTAAACATGTCGTAGCTCACGTCGGCAACGATATCCGTGCCCGAGTAGGACCAGGACCACAAGGAGGGGATGGACGAGATGGACGCCAGGGTGGTGATGGTGAAGTTGGTCACGGTGTTGGCATAGGACTTGACCTGGCTGCTCTCGCCGGTCCAGGACCACGAGGTGGACCACGACAGCACATCGTCGGTCAGGGTGTCGACGGTCGTGCACTGCGAGCCGGTACCGGCATCCTCGTTCCAAAGGTCCTGGTAGACCGTGTACACGCCCGTGGCCACGCTGTCCCACTGTCCGCAGATGGAGGTCGCGCGGGCCTCGATGCGGGTAGGCTTATCGTGGGCGGCCGTGACGGCGCCGGCGAGGAGGGCGGTTGTGAGCAGGGCGTTCATGTTTGTTTTCTTTGTGTTGTCTTGAGGGAGGGGGGGGGGAAGAGTGTAAGGTGTAGGTGGAGGCTGGTGATCTATTGTTGCTAGCAAAAAAAAGAGTGAATGTATATGCACAGAGACAAGAATCCAAAGGAACGAGTGTGAGCCTCCAGGGCTATTGTGAAGCTGAATTTGCGAAATGTTTGTTTCAACACGAGAAGAATTGGAAAGAACTGCAAAGCAAGAAGCAAAAAGAAAGGAAGTCCTTGGTACAAACCTAGAAATGGGAATGATTGACGTTTTAAAAAGGACTCTCTCCCTCCCGGCCTCACCTTTTTGGCATATGCGGGCAGCCAGCTCAGCTCCTGATGCTGTCATCTCCGCGCCCCCTTTCATTTCATTTATACTCTCTTTTCCCTCCTTCAGGTGCACGCCGCCGCCGCGGTGGTCCTCCCTCGAGGTCTGTCTCCCCTCTCGCTTCCCCCCTGGCGCGCGGCTCCCCGGGGTTCGTGTCCCAATGCACGATAGCGTCGCCGCCGCGCCGAGATGAGCTCAGGAGACCCGCATGCGCCCGCCACTCCTCGAGGAATTTCTCCGAGTGGTTCGACGGTCAGGTTCGACGCATAATAATATGGACTGACGACAAGTTGTGTATATGCCTTTTTTTTTATGGGGGTCAACTTCTTGATTGTTCAATAGTAACTCTTCCCAGTGCTGGCTTAGACCATTGGGTCCTCATCTGGGTTTTGTTTCCTTCTTCTTTCTTCCTTCTCTTTTCAATTTCTACTTTTATTTTCATGTTTATTTTCGTTTTCCTCTCCCCTCATCTTTTTTAGCAGCCATAGAGACGCTGGTAGGAAGCTGTTGGTGCGAGCTGGGGGGTGCTGGAGGCTGGAAGCATCCACAGTTGTTTCAATGTACCCTTTCAGGCATGGGTAATAATGCCATTGAAACTAAGACCCACCTGAGGTTTCAAGACAGGATTAGGAATGGATGGAAAAGGAAGGGAGAGAAAGGGAAAAGGAGTCTGGGGAAGCAAAGAAGACAAGAGAAAGAAAAAGAAACACATCAAGCACGCCGAGAACCTTGGCGCAGATCTTTGTTTGTTTCTTTAGTTGCGGATCGGTTGGTTGGCTAGCTTATACAGCAAAAGTCTTTCCCTGTTTTGGGGCGAAGTCATTGCTTTATGAGAGGCATAGCAGAGACACGACACCGCTACGGTGGCCCCTGTACAACGAGGGCGGCGAGCACGACTGTTGTGTGGTCTTCGACACCAACGTAAATTGACACTCAGCCTTCATCTTGAAAAATTGGTTAGGTTCAGTATGGTGGGAATGAATGTTTAGCCCTGCCATAGAATCCGCTGCAAGGCTCTGGATATGTATTCGAAAGTCAACAAGGCAGTCTACGAAACACAACGAGCTTCCAATCTGTAGTGGCGGTCCCGTTGATCATCCCTTCCCTTTCGTCTTTCTCGCCCAATCTGATTGGCTCCAGTGTGTTGGGCCCGGACTTCGGCCCTGGCGTCTCGGCCCCGACATTCTGCTCACTCCACTACCTGTGCGCTTGTCTTAACTATTCGGTGCTGAGTAGATGTTCTTCCAGATGTCCTTATTGTCTTGGGTCGGAATCACACTGTCCGCCAATTTATCAGTGTCTTGAGGTGGGTTTCCACAGAAATATAAAGCGGGGCTGGGCCGGAGTCTGGGAAGGGGAGGCCAGGGCCGCACATCGTGAAGACTGACAACTCTCAGTTCAATACTTTCTACAACAGAGATCAGAATTCAACCCGTAGTCTTGAACATCGTTGGTCCGAAACAGCCGCCATCAAGTCTGTTAGACCTGAAAAGAAAAGAAGAAAAAAACATTCTTGAGATGAGGCAATTCGATCCCAATTCACCGCAGGCCCCCACAAGACCTTTCTGGTTGGTTGTCGATGAAATGCAATTACGTCCTCCTTGGGCTGCGTCGTTGATTTCGAAGGCTTGCAGCGTCACCCACTGCAAAGATAGAGAAATAGCTTCAAAGATTCAACCCGCTTGGCTGGGGAGTTTGGCCCCCTCAACTGCATTCATACCAATAGGCGCTCCAAAACGGATCTCTCGAGTATGTTCTGCTACTATTCTAAATCTAGATCCACACGTCAAGCATGTTGTTGACACGAGAAAGGCAAATTGAAGCCAGCTGATGCCATGCTCTCCATCTTTCTTTCTTGTTCTTATAAAATTCGCTGATTTTGTCTGGAACCATCTGCGTCCTCGTCTGTCCCATGCCTTTCTGGCGTAAGGTGTTCATACAATGCGATGGTACCACCTATCCAGTGGGTGACGTAGCTGACCTGTCGATCCGGAAGTCGCCGTTGGTGACGTTGCAGGGTATGCACGCGACTCCATGTTCATTGGCTGTAGCCCACCAGAAACCCACTTTTAGCCGGGCGAGCTTGCATATTTCAAGGTTAGTCAAAAACTTCCAGGGCCGAGGCTGAGACGGGGCAGTGGTTTCCTTGAACAAAGTCCAGGTCCCGTTTTTCCATTCGAAACTTGCTTTCTCCAAAGCGCTCTTCAGTTGTCGCGTGCCCCTTCTCAATTCCATCCATCTCTCGTGTCTTTTATTTCCTATGTATGTCATTGATAAATCATAACAATAGACTCTTTTCCTAGACCGTTTCTTGATTACCCTGCTGTGCACCCTCGGCTTCGCGGTTGGAATCCCTAGGCACCGTAGTTCGACCATCCCATCTGATTGGAGTGGCCACGATGACGCCCGCTTCGACCAAGGCTCAGAAGGCCGCCTACGCGGAGAGAATGTCATACTACCTAAACAAGATCAATCCTATACCGACACTTCCGGAGTATACAGGACCTTACATAGTCGGCACCATTGACGTCGAGATCCCAATCTCAGGCCTAAATGCTCCGAGCGAGGCACCCGAAAACGCGGCCGACATTCACACAATTCAGTTTCGCATCTTCTACCCAGCTCAGCCAGACTCGAGAGGCAAGAGGATCACGTGGCTCCCTGCTCCTCAGAGGAGCCATGTCTCGGCCTACACAAAGTTCCTGGGCTTTGGTGCTGTCACTTCCGAGATTCTCTCGTAGGCATTCCCTCCCTCTCCAATGTGTTTGCATCGTGACTGACATTCCTTGCCATGGCAGGTTCTTCCCTCGACACGTACACTACACCACGATTCCCGTCTTTAAGAACGCATCGATTCTCGAACCCGAACACCTTCCAAACAAGCGATGGCCCACAATGATCTTCTCCCACGGTCTGGGGGGAAACCGCAATGCATATTCGCACATCGTAGGGTCTATGGCCTCGCACGGCGTCGTCGTCATATGTCCCGAACATCGCGACGGAAGCGCGGCTGTCTCGTTTATTCGTGACCCTACGGCGCAGAACAGCCGATTTATGGGAAACACTAGGCGTGTTGTGCCCTACGTGAAGATTTCCCACGACCAGAACCGGCAGACATGGGACGCCCGGAACCAACAGCTGAAGGTGCGGCTCTGGGAACTTGGTCTGACGCATGAGGCAATACTTGATATCGATGCTGGCCTGGACATGCACAACCTGAATACGAGCACACCTGTCGCATCCCTCTCTCAGTTCACCTCGAAGCTCGACGTGCAGAAGCCTGGGTCGATCATCTTTGGCGGGCATTCGTTTGGAGCCGCAACGGCCGTTCAGCTCCTCAAGTCGACATACTACGCTGGCTCTCCCGAGCTGGAGGCCATTGAGGAGCCGCTTTATTGTCCAGCGGCCGGTAGTCGCATTCGCGCACAAATTACATCCAAGAACCCCATCATGATGCTCGATATGTGGTGCTTTCCCCTCGTCTCCCCCACCACGACAGCCCTGTACAGCCTACCCCTCCCAGCATACGCTGATAACGACCCGACGGCACCAGGCGGCGCCTCGGTATTGGCTATCGAGTCGGAGACCTTCTTCAAGTGGACTGAACACCTTCACGCCATGTGCCGCATCATCTCGCCGAGACCTAGCGCCCCCGTTGTCAGCGCGTCAGCGTTTGAGCGTCCCGGATCAGGCGTGAGGCTGCCCGAGCCGAACTTCTTTTACGTCATCAACAGCGCGCACCTGAACCAGAGCGACTTTGGGGTCTTGTTTCCGTGGTTGACGAAGAAGGTCTTTGGTGCCGAGCAGCCCGAGCGTGCACTCCGCCTGAACGTGAGGGCCATGCTGCAACTCCTCAGGAAGAACGGCGTGCCGGTTGCGAGGACGTGGTCCGGAGACCTTGTGGAGGGCGCGGAAGTTTCGGACAAGCTCGATGCCCCAGAGGCTGCCGCTGGTGGTGGCGATGACGCTGGCGGGAACGACAGCCTCGAGGACGGCCTTTTGGATGACAAGGCCATCTTCGACCGCAGCGGGCACGGGACCGTCGACTACTGGAAGTGGATCGACATCGTGGGCATGGGTGGGGAGTCCGACCACAGCGGCAAGGATGGTAAGCCGGAGGGCGTCGAGGGCGAGAGCGAGATGGAGACGGAGATAGAGGGCGCGACGAGCCCACAGCCGCCCACCGCGGTGGATGCCCGTGCTTGAAAAAAGGGCAAATAAAGGTTTTGGTATGGCGCAATTCGGTTGTGGACGTTTCAGATGGGAAGGTCAAAATTTGCTTATGATACCAGCATATAGATGGTCACGGCTTAGAATTGGTGGTTCTTTTTTTTTTTTTTTTTTTTTTTTTTTTTTCACATGAAGCCCTTGCGAGATATCACCACTTGCTGGGCGGCAAGTTCGAGTGCATAGCGACCTAAAGTAGACAACAATCTAGATATGGACATATTCCGGAATTTTGCTCCACAGCCTTTTGACAATTAATGTTTGGTAAAATAGGACAACTAACAGTATGAATTGCGTTGACAAGAGGCTATATATCTGGTCAGACAAATGGTGACTTAGTCACAAGCGAACGTATCTACCGCACCTAAGGCGCTGACTTTATATTGTGCGAGGAATCTGCTTGTCATAGTCTGCAACTCGGATGGCTCCCTAGAGCAGTCTTAGAGTGGATGCACACAAGAACAGTTCTTTCTGCTGTGTAGTGTCATGTGCTAATCCACCTGTGGACAGTTCTTACAGATTGTGCATTTAGGATAGTCCACTCTCTATCGTCCATTTTGCTTCAACACAATTTGGGAGGATGAATGATTATCACTTCATTAGCTTTGCTCTCTACATATCGAACAGCTCTAATTCCTAAGAGACAATCGTTCAGGAAGTTGACTCAAATTTGCACAAAACCAGAGTACACATATGTAGTTCCTTCAATGTTTGGTACCAAGCTAAAGCTATAAGTTTGGAGTTATTGTGTTCCCTCAACGTTTTGTTCATGGGCAAACATGATTGGGCTGACTATCACTTGCTTCGCATTGTCAATTTTCCCTGCAACTCCTGCATTTAATTCCGAAGTCTCATGAGACACCCCGTGTGGTTACTTAGCGTTACAAATACTCACAACAACCCTTTGATTGTCACAGCACTTTCATATTCACATAAATAGACTATGCGCCTGATTTCTGTACACATGCATTGGCTTTGGTTTAGGAAGACTAAGTAGACTGTCATAACATAGCTGTGTTGTTCTTTGATATTTCACTTGCCCTCTCAGCAGCGCAGAATACTCTCAAAGTACTTGTTTCATCATAAGGAACTAATATCACGATACCGAGACACAAGAACTCTGACCTCAAGTGAAGCATCGCCACACCAAAGGAGACACCATGACTCGCCAGCGATATCCTCCACGCCTAACATATCCCTACTATGCCCCAGCAGAGACACTTCCGGCTCCCCTGCCGACCGTCCCAGAGATCCTCGCATCGGAGGAAGTCTTTCCCTGTATTTTCCAGAAGCGCACTATCCGCAAGGTTGGAGACCACTTCATCGTCAAGCATGGAGACATCAAGCTAGACGAGGCCGACAACATGCACCTGGTCGCCTGGTCCTGCGGCGACCGGGTCCTTGTGCCAAAGCTATACGCCGCCTTCCACGACGAAGACACCGGTGCCAACTTCATCGTCATGGAGTATGTACACGGCAAGTCCATGGAGTCGCTGTGGACGGAGCTCGGCCCGGTAGGCAGGCACCGGGTCGCCACGAAGCTGAGAAAGCAATTCCAGAGCCTGCGCGATATGCCTGCAGAGGGTTACTACGGCAGGCACGGCCGCAGGCCCTACGATGACATCTTCCTCGGCTCCGACACGTTGCCCTGTGGCCCATTCCCAAGCGAGTTTCTGCTCAACCAGGCCTTCTTCAGACGATATGTTTTCCTGCATCCCGAGGTCGCGGAGGGCCGAGGCACCTTCTACCGCGACCGCGTGTTCCCAATGGTCATGACGGGCCACAAGCCCGTCTTCACCCACGGCGACCTGCAGGCCAAGAACATCCTGGTCCGCGACTCGGACGGCGCCCCTGTCCTCATCGACTGGGAGTGCGCGGCCTGGTACCCGGAGTACTGGGAGTACACCAACGCGCTGTGGACGAGCCGCCGCTGGGGGGATGACTGGTTCCGGTTCGTGGGCTTGTGCCTGAAGGAGTATGTGGTCGAGTTCAAGTGCATGGAGAACCTCTTGGACGACCTCCTGGATGCCCCACGGCCTGGTGACCCGGGCACGTCCTGAGTAGTCCGTATTCAGGCGAAACTATTCGCACTTATGATAAACCGGAATTTTGGAAGCTGCTACTTGATAGTTCGCGCCTTAGGTTTCTCACAGGTATCTGCATATGTTGAGGAAAGTGTAGGGTAGTGAAGCGGAAGCTATGTTGGTGCGACAAAACTGTCTTCAACACTGAATGCACCAGCGATCTGTAAAACCCAGTGATGCATGAGTCTCTTGAATGATAAACTGTTATGACCTGGCTAGCATTAACTTGCTCAGTGGTTTGTAACTTATCTTCCACGCTCTGTCTTTCTGTTTGTGCCCAGTTCTTCCTCTGCACCTTTGTTTGACTTGGTTGTCAAGTCAGTTGATGGATTGTGCGACGAGGTTTTGGCTTCAACCGCATAACACAATTGACTCCAAGAGCGATACATTAGCAGTTTAATCCCCCCTTGTGGCTTGGGGTTGACAATGCGATCGAAATCCATGCATTGTTCAGCAAGTTCGCTTGCAAAACCCACTGCTGGTAAGCGAGCGCTGGACGCAGGGTTTCTCACCGAGGCCTGCCAACTTGACTTATGCAGCAGTCACCCGAGCATTACTTGCAGCTGCCCTGGTAGGATGGTGAGACCAGGTATATATGTGGGGAGTACATATAAGCATATGTGCTATGGTAGCATCAGCAGACATGGAAGATGACCGGTCGGTTTGGTGGGGGTTGATCAATGAGCTGTCCAATTGATCTGCAAGAGTACTTACTTGTTGCTACACAGGCTACACAGGCAATCAGGGCAAAACGGACCCCGCTTCCTCCGAGCTCCCCTTCTCCGTGTTGGGTTACCATAAACAAAAAGGGTAGCAGTCAAGGTGCTCTTACGAGATAGATACTCTCCAGGTGGATCTGGTTCGATTTTGTCGGATGACCTACTGGTACCCGGGATAATCGAGAAAATGACTCTGTGGTATTCTATAGCAGGACATCCTTGACACTTTGACCAGATGTGCATCAGTCCACCGTCAGAGCTCGGCCACGTTACATGCATGGTAGCTACTGACGACGCCCGTGCAGTGAAACCTTACATTTTGAATGAATTGCCATGTCTTGGCCACTGATAAGCAACCACCTCCCCCAGAATGACCACCCTTCTCAAATAATTTGGAACCCATTGAAGCAAGTGGCGAAGAAAACTCGACTCGGTACCAAGTGGAGCGCGCGGAATACTAGAGTAGTTTGACTACTATTACGGTTCTCGCCGAGGTCCACGGCATAAATGTGGACATTTTTGCACGAAATAGCAAGGGAAAATAATAATAATAATAATAATAATAATAATAATACAAGCAAGTAAGAGAAAGAAGAAAAAAGAAGGTTGCCCAGTCAGTAGTACAAACTTTTATCAGGTGTTGTTTCATGGTCCCTGTCGCTGATCTTGTCTGTGCTAAGTAGCTCGTTTTCTTCGGTACTGTTCCGTACCCACAACGGCACTTGACTCCAAGCGTTGAAACTACTTGAACTAGGGTCTCTGCACATCTCTCTCCCCTCTTAGATTTCCTATTCACATATTCACTCACTGCCCCCCCCCCCCCCCAAAAAAAAAGTCAACCGAAGCTCTCTTCCCCTCCAACACACCTGGGAGAGAGGCAGAGACGTTGTGCCTCCCACAGCTTCAGTCCCGCATCGCCCACCATGGATCACGAGTCCAATGTTGCGGAGTGAGTTCAAACATCCCCTTGTGCATACTTTGGTGTTTCAATAAAGTATTTTCATACTTATTCACAATCGACTCTGATGTAGGCTGCACGCCACCGTGGTGGAACCTCAGTTGAAGGACCACAAGGACATGGCTGGTGGTGTCGAACCCCCGGTCGACCTTGTCATGTCGAGAGCCAGCACAGCCGATGGTGATGAGCCCACTGACGAGGAGAGGCGGACGCTGCGCAAGGTCTCTGACAAGCTGCCATGGTCTGCCTTCCTCGTCTGTGTCGTCGAGCTGTGCGAGCGTTTTACCTACTACGGTCTCTCCGGTCCCTTCCAGAACTACATCGAGAACAAGTACGGCGGCACTCTTCCTGGTGCCTTGGGCATGGGCCAGACTGCTGCCACGGGCCTCACCGACTTCTTCCAGTTCTGGTGCTATGTGACGCCTGTTCTTGGTGCCATCGTCAGTGACCAGTACCTGGGCAAGTACTGGACCATTTTCTACTCGGCCCTCATCTACATCGTCGGCTGTCTTATCCTGTTCTTGACCTCGTTGCCTGTCGCCATCGAAAACGGTGCAGCCTTGGGAGGTCTGATCACGGCCATGATCGTCATCGGATGTGGCACGGGAGGCATCAAGAGCAATGTGTCACCTCTGATTGCAGAGCAGTACGAGAACACCACTCCATTCGTCAAGACGCTCAAATCTGGCGAGAGGGTGATTGTGGACCCTGCCACAACCATCAAGAGAATCTGTAAGTTTTGTCTAGCCACCACAAGTCAAGAACATGTTGCTTTATCTCTCTTTCAATAATTATCATTTATTAACCACAAATTGTCAGACATGGTCTTCTACATGATGATCAACATCGGCAGTCTTTCCAGCATCGCCACCACAGAGCTCGAGGCCCACATTGGGTTCTGGGCTGCCTACCTGCTCCCCTTCCTCATGTTCATTGTCGGTTTTGGCGTGCTCGTCGCCGGAAAGTCTCAGTACAAGATGAGACCACCTCAAGGAAGCGTTATCCCGAAGGCCTTCAAGGTCCTGTGGATTACCGCCAGAAATAAGGGCAATTTCGACGCCGCAAAGCCCGAGTACCACGAAGAGTTGGCCAGCAGCAGCGGCACCACCCGCGCCATTACCTGGGACAGTATCTTTGTTGAGGAGGTCAAGCGGGCCATCGTTGCCTGCAAGGTCTTTTGCTTCTATCCCATCTACTGGGTTGTATACTCGCAGATGCTCAACAACTTCATCTCCCAGGCCGGCCAGATGACCCTCCACGGCATTCCCAACGACCTGATGCAGAACTGGGACCCCATCACCATCATCATCTTCATCCCCATCTGCGATTACTTCCTGTACCCCGGCCTGGCTAAGCTCGGCTTCAACATGTATCCCGTCACCCGTATCTTCTGGGGCTTCATGCTGGGCGCCGGCGCCATGGCTTACGCTGCCGGTGTACAGAAGCTCATCTACGAGTCCGGCCCTTGCTACGATGCCCCCGCGGCCTGCCCTGCTGCTCTGAAGACCGACGGGAGCTACGTGCCCAACAATGTGCACGTTGCCATCCAGGCGCCCGCCTACCTGCTGATAGGCCTCTCCGAGATCTTTGCCAGCATCACAGGCCTCGAGTATGCCTTCACCAAGGCGCCCGCCAGCATGAAGAGCTTTATCATGTCGCTCTTCCTGCTGACCAGCGCCTTCGGCTCCGCTCTATCCATCGCCCTATCGCCTACTGCTGTGGATCCTAAGCTGCTGTGGATGTATACCGGCCTGGCGGTCGCGTGCTTCGTGGCGGGTGTTGTCTTCTGGCTGCTTTATAGCAGGTACAATGATACCGAGGAGGCCATGAACGACCTGGAAAAGTACACTGAGAAGCCCAAGCATGTTGGGGAGAAGGATGAGGAGGAGGCCTAGTTGGGTTATTATTTATGAATTGTTGAGGGCCTGTAAAGTTTCGTCATTAGATCTGTACACGATTCATAGCAGACTCTTACTGGATGGTTTTAGATTAGTCGTCCTGCTACTCTATCAAATCCCGTCTTTTATTCAAGTCGCCTTTTCTCATGTCAAGTGATTTGGTTTCTTTAAGTCTATCAAGAGTCCGATGATAATTCGAGGCAGCTGGCTGCCCATTACCTAAGTAAGCAGTCTATTGCTCCGTCTCATTATGTATGCCGACGCCACTTCACTCATCCATTTCTTTCCTTCACACATACTTTTTTCTTCTTCCCTTTTTCTCTTTCGTTTGCTTTCTCCCAGCCTCTCCCCAATTACCATACAACTTAGATCCACACTTGATTTGCATTACTTTTATTTCAATACTTGGTTGGTATGTTATTATTTGAAACATTGGTTATGTGCCATTTGATAATTGACTTATCGCGATGGTAGTACACTGTATGTACTTTGTATGTATTCAAATTCATGTTACTAATCAAGCTTGTTTTTGAATGATGTGTTAGAATCACTCCTCTGCCTGATTTCCTTTCTCTTCAAAGTCAGTTCTGAGGCGCACCATAAGAATCAGCAACCTACAACCTAAATGATTAAGTACCTACTTAGTAGATCAGGTTTTCTGGTGCGACCTTACGACACATATTTTGTAGAAGCACGTGAAGGAACGCGAATCAGCCAGAGTAGCCTGTTGTCACTTTGGAATTAAATTGAACACAGCCAGAAATGACGCCCCCAATCACTATCACTCACAAAGGTACCATGCATCATGCAGATGGATACTTTTCCATCAACTACTAATTAGCAGACATAGTTACTCATTGACTTCTCAGATTTTAGTGTGTATCCATCCACATCCACAATTTCATGTGTGTAAGCGCAGCAGTCACTATCAGGTATGAATTTCTTGCAAAAAGGTAATAATTTTATGACACGGGCCCCTCTGAGTCAAGAGTGTACTATTGAATAGAAGCCAACGATTCTTGCCTGTCTCGGTAAGTTGTCACCTTGCCAAGTAGTAGTTAATGTGGACGCAACACTTCAGCTTGCATCGCCCTACTGCAGGCGCCTCCAAATGCAAGTCTGTAATTGGAGAATCTCGGCCCGTTGGTTTCAACCCGCGCATGGATGGATTGATCTTGTTCGCGTATAGATAAAATGCCGTTACTGAAGGCGATCAAGCTTCGTCACCATCCTGGCGGGTACAGTGGCCATTTCATAGAAGATTCTTATAGTTCTTGGTAACCCCTCTTCGTCTGCAAAGCTTGTGTTCCCAGCCCGTCGCCTTTCTCCATCTCCTCACTTCCTACCCCCTCAAACTTTGACCATCATGGCTTACAAGATTGATTTTACGGTAAGTCTTGCGTTTGCTTTAAGAAAATGCCTTGAAGGCCTCCTAGGTTCCAGCTCTTGACTCTTGTGTTATTCATAATTCCCAGCCGTTGTCCAGTTTCTGCGCAGTGACCTGCCTTTTCAAAACGCTCCATGACTAACATCATTAATACAGACGCCCTACTACAACGTCATCAACAATGAGCTCACCTCCACATCACAAACCTGTCACGGCGTGGATCCCTCCACAGAGGAAGCCCTGCCCGAGGTCCCCCTATCCGGCAAGGCAGAGGTCGACCGAGCTGTAACAGCCGGGAAAGCAGCGTACCCCGCGTGGCGGTCACTCTCTTGGGATGAGCGCGCCTCATACCTCCTCAAGCTGGCCGACGCGATCGAGGCGAACCATGATGGCATCCGGGACCTCGACGTCGCCGAGACGGGCAAGGCCGTACAGAACGCCAGCCTGGAACTAGTTATGGTCCTAGCGCACCTACGGGGCACGGCAGTGCTGCGCATCCTAGACGAGGTCGTGGAGGATACAGCCGAGAGGACAGCGGTGGTTAGGTACAGGCCTCTTGGGGTCGGGGCTGCGATTATTCCGTGGAATTGGCCTTTGTTGCTGGGATTGGGAAAGATTGGGCCGGCGGTGTTGGCTGGAAATACGTAAGTGAAATGCTCGTTGGTTAAACTTTTTCCAGTCATGTGCGTGGTGTGAATTTTCTAGGAAAATGGCTGACCAGAACAATTTCACAAGCGTCATCGTGAAGCCGAGCCCCTATGCCCCCTACGCCCTCCTCAGGATAGGCGAGCTCGCGGCCAAGGTGTTCCCGCCTGGCGTCGTGCAGGTGCTGAGCGGCGACGAGCGCCTCGGTCCGCTATTGACAGAGCACCCGGGCATCGCCAAGGTTAGCTTTACAGGCAGCATAACGACGGGGAGGAAAGTTGCTGAGGTCTGTGGCCGAACGCTGAAGAGGGTTACGCTAGAGCTGGGAGGCAACGATGCAGCTGTTGTCTGCGAGGATGCCGACCTTGCCAAGGTGGTGCCGGCGGTGAGTTTTTGCGAAGAATCCAGTATCCTTTTTCTATTTTTGGGTGAGTCGACTAATACGCGGTCCACGGCTGATGTTTTCCTTGTGAATTGTTAGGTCTCTTCACTGGCATTTCTCTGCTCAGGCCAGATTTGTATGAACATCAAACGGGTGTACGTGCATGACAAGATCTACGATGCATTTCTTGCTGCTATGATCACCTTTATCCGCGAAAATATGCCATATGGGGCGGCTACGGATCCAAAGACAGTAATTGGTCCTATTCAGGTACGTCGTGTCCCTTTCTTGATGCTACATTCACAATTTCAGAGTGCTAATACAAATAACAACCCTTCCGCCCTTCGAGCAGAACGCGATGCAGTATGACAAGGTCAAGGAGTTCTTTGAAGAGGCTGAGGCGCAGAAGTGGACCGTCGCCCTTGGGGGTCTTAAAGAGAAAGCAGGCATTAAGACCAAGGGCCTCTTATTTCCACCAACTCTTATCGACAACCCTAGTGATGAGTCACGCATCGTAAGAGAGGAGCCCTTTGGCCCTATCCTACCACTGCTGCGCTGGACAGAGGAGCAGGACGTGATTCATCGAGTCAATGCCGTCGAGGCAGGGCTTGGTGCCTCGGTCTGGAGCAGCAACGTCGAGAGGGCTGCTAAGATTGCTGATGCGCTGGAGGCTGGTAGTGTCTGGGTGAATGGCCATTTCCAGGTAGCCCCGAACATGCCCTTTGGTGGACATAAGGCCAGTGGGATCGGGATGGATTGGGGGGTTGTTGGACTCAAGGGCTGGTGTAATCCCCAGGGCTTCTGGACCATCAAGGCCTAGGGGCGTCAGTCTACGTATCGTATTAGTTCCGCAGACCATTCGAGAAGACAGATGGTACATGTACCCAAGGAATAACATGATTGTTGATCTTGAATCCTACAAAAAGTATTTAGTGATATGGACACGTAAATTGACTTCCTGGGTCTTGAGTCGACAAGGACAGTTTGCCTGAGGCGGGAACAGTGTGAGAGGTTGAGAAGAATATGTTCTAGGATGTGTACGCGAGGGGGGGGATGTCGTTTTGATTGGGACGAGGCGAGGGTGTGAAAGGCTTTGGTGGAGCTGGCGGATACTTACGGGTTTTCAAAGAAACACGGTGACGATGAGAAGGCAGCAGGGGATGGAGGTCATGAGCTATTATCCCAAGTTTTGGTAAATTAGAAAGGATTATCTGACTCAATACCTTTCCAGGGAATGCTACCCCTTTGATTACCGCGTAAATCAAATTACTATCTGTGATTCCAAATCAACAGCCCCAAAATATTTGCAAATATCACCGCCATCAAGATCGCGAAGACTGAAGAAGGGAGCGAGGAGGACGAAAAGCAGTGCTACCAAGGAACTTTCCCACAAAAGAGTTCTCAGAGGCCTGCCATCGTACCATGTTCATGGTTCAGCCCTCGGCACAATACCGCCACCACTCGCTCTCAGCTGCGACATCTCGATCTCTCGCGGCGACGTCTGGTAGTAGTGAACAGCCGTCGCCTGCTGAACCTCGACGTCGGTGACGCTGCTCGAGGCACTACTGGCACTCCTAACGATGCCGCCCTCGGAGAAGCTGCTCGTGGAGTGCTGTCGGTGTTGTGATGGATCATATAGAACTCCAGGAATCCAACTCCGCCGTCGTTGACGCCAGAAAGCCAGCTGTTTTCGATGCTCTGGCTGGCGTCTCAGGTAACACACCCCTCCAGCGGCAAGTAGCACTAACATCACAAGTGCTGCTACCACGGCGCCAATGATGGCTCCATCTGAAGAGGATGGTTTTGGTGGAGGTTTAGGTGAGTTCGTCGAGTTCGTAGAGGTGCTGGTGTCCGAACCACCGGCTGTTACGGCCAAGGAAGCAGCTTCTGCGGTGCTGGTGAGAGGGTGGGTGATGGCCGTCACGTCGCTGTTGTCGTGTAATGTGGATGGAAGAGCCGTTGCTGTCAGCGTGCCAGGGGCGGTGGTGGTGATGGAGGTTGCAGTTACCTGGACTGGAGGACCGACTGCCGAAGACTCTAACCATGGGAGAGTAGTAACTACCATGCACGGTTCGATATTAGCGTTAGTGATTTGAAGCATGAATAGTGTCATAGGTAAGAGAATATCCAGGAAAGGACGTGAGGGTAGTTGAAAGAGGATCTATGGTCATGCGGAATACGGGCGAGCCTTTTGCAACTTGCTAACCTGTCATTGAAGGCAGAGATCCTGGTTCTGCGCTCGAGCTACCACCACTCGAGCTATCAGCCTCTCCAGTGTTGTGTGGTCCTGAAGCAGTCGCTGCTGTCGAGGCTACGGTGCTTGGCGGTACTGTGCTGGCAACGAGAGCAGGAATGGCGCATTGTACCAAGTAGCTCTCTATAAGATCCTGGTCCATAGACAGGATGGTTGTACAGATCTCCTCCGTGCCACTGCTCAAGAAGCCTTAGTATAGCAACCAACTTGACACACAGTTATGATCGATAATTACTCACCAAGTGAAAGACACCGTTTCGAAGGCGCTGTACTGTCCGAGGCCAGGACAGCCCGTACTGCAGCCGCCGTAGTCGAAACACAGACCAACGCGATAGCAGTTTGCGAAGCCCTGGGGACAGCATCCTTCAAGATGAGGGGTCGTGGCCGCGAAGCAGTTGACAATTGATGTCACAGTTGACACAACTTGCTCCACGTACTGTGGCTTTACTTTGTTGCAGGCGCAATTGCGGATCCATAGGGCGAGTAAGAAAAGCATTGGAAGCATTACGGGTAGCTTTTGGGAACTTTCTCATCTAAAGAGAAGACCGAGAAAGAAGGAGAAAGGTAATAATAAGGGATAAATGTAGAAGAAGCCGTTCGCAGTGCAGCGGCAAGTATGCAGCTTTTGCGCTGAAGTTGTGAACAAGGCAGGTGACTCAGACCTACCCTGCTGTCAAGAAGATCTGAGACTGTGACGAGCAAGATCGCAAAGTCAGTGGACCTGCCGTTTATCGTCCAGGTCAAGAGGTTTCGAGGGTCCCAGAACGTGCAAAAAGGATGGTGAGCTAGTAACGAGGAACCTGAGGTGTCGGTGTGAGATACAAGAACAAGGAGCCTGATATTCAGCTCGTACGTTTTGAAAGGCTTTGGAAGAAAGAGACTGAAAAGGATGTGATGTGGTCATAGACTGGCGCAGCGAAAGTAATAGCTAATTGAGCCGAACGCTGGGAGGACGGTGAGAGAAGCAGAGGAGGGGAGGAGAACGCTGTTGACACCTCAGAGGTGAGAGAATCAGTGGCCTTCAGAAAATGCTTTGGTCTCCAAAAGGTTGTAGAGGAAATTGTAAGTCAAAAGCATTGAGTTTGTAGGCAGAAACGCTCTCAAAGCTTTCAGAACCTTCCTGAGGAAAGTTCAAGAATCAAGAAGTTGGAAGGCCAGTCCACTCATTGCGTTTCGTCTAATTCTTTTCCTTGGCCAGGGACAACATCAAGAAGCAGCGAGACTTTGAAATTCAGCTCATCCAGTAAATATTGGAACGGACAATGCTGAGTAGAATGTGAATAGAATCCCGAATTGTGTATGTGCATTCAGACGGACAATGGCTGTATGTATGTAGACTTTCAAGTCTATTGGTACTTGTGTGACTGACCTCAGACCCACCTCAGTTTTGTATGATAGAAAACGCTTCCCGATCTTGGTAATTGGATTCTACAAAAGTCAATATTCCCTTGTAGATATTGTTTTCAGGGTAAGGTGGCTTACTTCATACGACAGGTCCATTGTCAAATCACCTGGCCCTTCGTTGAAAACCACTGACTTGGAAAACGGTCTTCAGAAAGACAAAATCAATCCTACAAATGAACTTGGGGACATTCAGGTTCCAATGTGAAAAATGGGGCATATTTAACCCTAACCCTCTGTTTTGGTCTCCTCATAAACCATCTCAGAGCCTGGTTTAGTTACTTAGAAGATCTTCCTTTTGTATTAGATAGATTCAATCTCAACACTCATTCAGCCACTTCCACGTGCTCAGCTCATACGTTTCTCCTTAGTTATGAGCCCGGTTCGCAAGAATCGGGTTTAATCTTCCCCTTATCTATCGAAACAGACTGAGCCGTTCACTTCTTATTCTTTCAGAACACATCTTTTGTCCCAAACAGTCATACTCACGCTCCATCAAAGCCCACGATGGAGCGCGAACCTGACGACCTCACGCTCTCGGTAAAGTGCACCGACACCTACTCCTTTCCATCCTGGTACAGCATTTTGCAGTCCCAGAGCAAGGGAAAGGGTGTTTGGGAGTACCTAGACCCGGATGGCCCAGATGCGCCCTCTCTCGAACCTGAAGACTTCGACCTCGAGTTCTCCAAGTTCACTCAGGATCTTGAGGAGGAGCGCAAAAACACCATAACGGAGAACTACAAGCCACTCTCTATCCAGGAACAAGCCATCCTCTACGATCAGGAGATGAAACGCTTTCAGCTTCGTCAAAACAAGCAGTTGCGTGCTCACCAGAACGTACAGAGGATGTGGAACTGGATTCAGAAAACAGTACCTCCGTCGTTCGCCTCCAGTACCGCCATCACCTTGAGCTGGCCACCAGGCAAGGCACCGATTTCCAAAACTGGTGCCGGCAGCACCAGGATCTCCTGAACCTAGCTCGGGTTTACGGCATTGACGAAGTTGAGGGACTTCAGGGCTCTGATAACTTCCTCGCCGCTGTCGGAGTTCGCTTCCAGACAGAGTGGGCCAAAACGCAATGACATCTCCTCGCTACGGCACCTGACGATGGTCTGCCTATCAAGACTATCGAACAGCTTCAACGAAATCTCGCTTCAATCCACCGACTTCGGCCTGAGCAGAAAAAAGGCTCAATAGTGTTCGCTACTATAGGCGGAGAGAACCCACAATCCGGCAACTCAGGCACAAAATCTGGGAAGAAACAAGGTGGATCTTCCAGCCAGAGCGAAAAGGGAGATTACAAGTGCCCCTGCGAGTCGTATCAAAGGAAGCATAAATGGGGCCCCATGAGCTGCGGAAGGCTGGAGTACGCCTGTACCGGAGTCAGGCCAGACTCAATCTTCAAGGCCCCATCTGACGAGCAAAGAAAGAAGATCCTCTCTAAGCTGGCTGGCAAAAACTATCAGGAGCTCCGTTCAGACCTTATCAGGACTGGATGGCTTCCTCAAGGCTGGACAGGGGGGATCCCACAGAGGACGGAGAACAACAGGAACCTCTATCCAGGCACTGTCGAGTGCTAGAACCTCTCAACCACAACGTCAAAATGCCAGATCCGATACTCCTCAAGCCTGAAACAAGGCACCCTCAGTTCCTCCAAATAAACGCTGTCTTCAACCCTCAACTCTTCAACCAGGCAGTATTGCTACAAGCAAGCGCGGCAGTCTTCTCAACACCGTTTCAGACACCTCACATCCTTTCCCAAAGCACAGTTCTGGATAACTGCGGAGCTGTACACCTCGTCAACAGCGTCGATCTCCTGGAGCCAAACACCTTTTCTCCCTCAAGGGATGCGGAAGTTGTGGAAGCAGGGAGCTCATCGTTGCTAATACGGGGATTCGGGAGACGACGCTTCAAAAATGCACTGAACGGGAGGCGAGGGGAATACACTGAGGACCTAGTCCTCAACCGTGTGGCGGTTGTAGATGGCTTCCATGTCAACATAATCGCTGAGGCTCTCTTATACGAGAAAGGGATCTGGTACTGTGGCAAAGATAGCACACTGCGCTCAGGAACGCTTGAACAGAGCGCGGTGATTGCGAATCTACACAGAGAGTTCAACTTAGTCTTCTTCGAATACATTCCTTTTGCAAACTCTTCCTACTCTCGAGCTCCAGCCACGCTGCTATACAGCTGGGCTGGCGTTCTCGTGTTCTCAACTCTAAAAAGAAACAGGCATCCTCGTCCTTCATATGATGAGGCGCCTGAAAGAAGTGATTCAGAGCATCTTTGGCATCTAAGGTCGGGACACCTGGGTGCCAATGCCCTGAAGGAGCTCGTCTACTCAGTTCGTGGTGTCAGAATCAACGGAACCAGACGAATTGACTGTGAACACTGTGCTCTAGGGCGCATCACAAAGGTCATTCGATGCGCAAGATCTGAACACCACAGCCCTCGACCGTTCTGGTGCATTAGTTGGGATCTCCTCGACTATAATGAAGCGCAGGATAGCTCAAAATGGGCTCTCATACTCAAAGACGAGTACAGTGGCAAGTTGTTTGCCTTTCCGATACCTAACAAGGCACAATCCACAGTGTTCGATGTGCTCAGGTTATTCGAGACCTGGGTACAACGCCAATATCGCCTCTTCGTCTGCAAAATCAGACAGGACGCAGACTCCTCAGTCATAAGGAGGCCATACGAAACGGTATACACACAATGGTGCGCTGACAACGGCATCGACCTGGAGGTTACTCCACCGCGCACGAAAGAGTCAAATGGCGCTGCTGAGCGAGCTGGGCGTGAAATTCAGGAGCGTGCGCTAGTCCTCCTGTTGTCAGCCAAACTACCGAAAGACCTATGGCCAGAGTGTGTGAAAGCAGCCACCTGGCTGTTCAACATCTCTCCATCCATGCTCAAGCACTCCGAAACGCCAAATTCACTTCTGGATGGCTGGTTCAGGCAGTACTTTCGTTGGTACGCGCCGGAAATAGTCAGAACAGCAGTCTCGGACCTACGGCCCAACTGGGCCAGGATCTACGCATATGGATGCCGGGCATACGTCCTGCGAGAAGAGCGCGAACTTGGCTCTCATAGACGGGATATGAAAACAGAACCAAGGGCACACAAGGGCTATCTTGTGGGATACGTTGCAAGCAACCTGTACCGCGTGTGGCTTCCAGCGCTTGCGAGAGTCGCAACCGTGCGCAATGTTCTGTTCGATGAGAGCCAATTCTACGACCCAAACAGCAGTGAGGCGTCAGAAGCACTATCTCGTGCTCAGCCAGCACCAATCGTTCCAGAGGTCGGAAACGACGAGGAAATCATGGATACAATCGTTGTTGGAGGCGTATGGGACCCAGTTCCCTGGCCTGATGCCACAAATCGAAACCAAGGACCTCATCCGCTGTCCGACGAGGACAGTGGCCCATCCTCAGAGTCTCCCTCGGGAGGCATCCCGAGTTGGAACTCGGGGGTGAGAGCACCTGAGACTGGCAATGGAGCGCTCTTGCAAAGCAACCCATCCCAGGGAAGAAGCTCAGGGGATAAGGTGCAAGGACTTCCAACTCCTGAAAAATCTCCCGAGGCACCGGAACGAACGGATCAGCCAGAAAGGAGCGCTGCTGCAAGCAGCGAGGATGTTTCAGCAACTGAACAGGCGTCTTCAAGTACTGAACAACAAGCCACCAGCGCATCTACTGCTCAGGATACGAGCCAGCCTGCAGCGCGAGGGTACGAGCCTGGTCAGGCCTCAACCAGACGTCGTCGAACAAGGAACGAGATCTATGGATCTCAACCCACACGGCGTTCAGACAGAGCACGGAAACCAATCGATAAAGCTCGCCAATACCAAGGGTCATTCGCCACGGCCTTTGTAACGAGCCAAACAGCTCTGGTAAACCTCATGGCTACCTTTTTGCCTGATCAGCTAAAGGAAGCAACCAGAACATGGGATAGGCGTTTTCAGACCATACACAGTGTGGTCGCAGCCGCTGTACTTGAGGCAAACTCTACACGCAGAGGAGCCTCGCACTCGCAGCGAAAGCACTTTGATGCTCCTCAGCAAGTCACAGAGCTGGCGACGGCTGAAAAGAAGCATCATAAACAACTACCACCCGAACCTGGGACCTGGAAAGAAGCACGAAACGGTCCTTTCCACACCGAGTGGTGGAAAGCGATGCAATCAGAAATCCAGGGACTGGTCAACAAAAGGGTGTGGCAGACTCTCGAGCGTGGGAAAGCCAAAGAGAAGCCACTGCCACTCAAATGGGTATACAGATACAAACTTGATGAGGACAGTTACTTAACCTCATTCAAAGCCCGAATCTGTGTGCGAGGAGACCTGCAAAAAGCAAGCAACCTTCAAGACACGTATGCAGCAACGCTGGCTGCGCGCTCCTTTCGCACACTTATAGCTGTGGCAGCATATTTCGACCTAGAGATCAACCAGATGGACGTCACCGGAGCGTTCCTGAATGCCAGCAGGGAAAGCCAGGAAAGCGTTTTCTGTGAGCTGCCTGATGGATTCAAGGAGGAAGGGAAAATCGTGCTCCTGGAAAAGGCACTGTACGGCCTGAGGGACTCGCCAGCACTCTGGTACAGGCACTTCTGCTCAACTCTGCGAAATCTCGGCCTTACGCCCTCAACTGAAGAGCCCTGCATGTTCACCAACAAAGCAAACAAGCTGATCGTCCTGTTCTATGTGGACGATATCCTGCTGTTCTATCCGCAGGACCAGGCATCAAAGGCACGCAGAGTGAAGGAAGGCATCTTCGAGGCATATGAGGTAAAGGATCAGGGAGCGGCGGAATGGTTCTTGGGAGTTCGAATCGTCAGAGACAGAGCCAACCGCACGATCAGCCTGGTCCACGATGCGTACATCGAGAAAATAGCCAACAAGTTTGGCCTTGCAGCCAACACAGCTTTAACACCCCCAACGCCTCTGGACCTTGGGGAGCTTGTCAAATGGAAAGGGGAAGCATCAAAAGACCAAATCAAGGAGTACCAGGAGAAGATTGGATCGATCCTGTACACCGCTATCATGATAAGACCAGATGTGGCTTTTGCATGCGCTCTTCTCTCCAGGTTTTTGACAAACCCAGGGCCAAAGCACCTGGAACAGGCAGACAGAGTAATCTGTTACCTGTACGGGACGAGGTTTCTGGCAATCCAGTACGGAGGAAGCCACCCTGAGGCTCAAGCCCTGCTAATCGCCGGAGATGCTTCCTTTGCCGACGATGCGGAGGACCGAAAATCCTCACAAGGATATATCTTCAGCCTATTCGGAGGTCCTATACAATGGAAAGCAACAAAGCAAAGCCTGGTAACCACCTCAACCACAGAGGCTGAACTGTACGCCCTCTCAGCCACAGCTAAGGAAACGATCGCCTTACAACGCCTCTTTCGAGACCTCACCTTGAACCTCGGCGAGCCCTGGAATATCTTCTGTGATAATCAACAAGCCATACGGCTGGTAGTCACAGAGCGTGAAAGGATAAACACAAAGCTCCGCCATGTGGATATACACCAAATGTGGCTCAAGCAGGAGTTCCAAAAGGGCAAATTCCAGGTCTCATATATGCCAACACAGAGCATGCCAGCTGATGGACTGACCAAGAACCTCAATCGAGCGCAGTTCGAACACTTCAGAGCGCTCCTCAACCTTCAGGATGTCAGCCATGCCTTGAATCAGAGGACCAAGAAGGAACCTAAAGGGACACAGATGGGCAACTCGATCTCACATTAGCCCCTTTTGGATGCTCTCAATCACTGAATTTCATTTGTCAAAATCAAAAACGAGGGCCTATAGCCCAGGGGTATCATCCAGAAACACGCAAACCAAGCGCGCAGCCTTCATCAAACGACGAACCAAAGGACTTAACCACAAAAAAAACAAAAAAAACCCAATCATCCACCAAAGCCTAGAGCACACCTAAGCCTGAACAGGGCTCACTCCTTAGGTGGGGGGTGAAGGGTAGCCAGCACTGCCTCGATATCAGCTTTGGCTTTCTCGTGCTTCAGATGCCATTCACGGTAAGACTCGACAGGATGATCATCGACAGAGCGCGAGACAGACTGAACGGCAGCTTGTTTTCCCTTCTTCTTAGCCGAAACCACGGCCTTCCCCTCCTTGGCAGAGCGTGAAACTGCCTCCTTACGATCAGCCTCCTGCTCAGCAAGGAGCACATCACGCTCTTCCGTGAGCGCCTCAATCTGCTTCTGCAGCTCGTCAACCTCCGAGAACTTGCCCGCCTCAAAATGCTCAAGAGCAGCTTTCTAAGCCCACACAGCATGCTTGGATCGGGTCCCCAGAGGAGCAAGGTTGAGAGTGGAGTTTTCCTTCTCCACTCCAGCGCGCGTCCTTTTCTTCGAGGGCGTAGGAGCATCCATCTCCTCAGCAGAAGCAAGCGCACGCTTGGCCATATAAAGCTCGTCCACAAAAGGCATGAGGTAGAAAGGGACCGGAATACACTTGTGACCCTTCGAACACCGAGCACAGCGAGCAGCAGATGAGTCCTTCTGGTCGTGACAGGAACCATCAGAGCCGCTCGCAGCCAGACTCTTGATACAGCCAATGCATGGAACATCGCGAACAGCACCCCAGGAAGCATCGTCTTGGCTCTTCGAGGAACCTGCAGCGGGAGTACTGGAAGGGGTGGCCACTGGAAAAGTCTTTTTGGCTCGCGACCGAGGAGTCCTCAACTTGGCGGCGTCTCCAGCAGCCACATCGAGGCGCTCCTGCTGAAGCTCCTGCATCAACGCATCCTGGGACCTCAAACGAGCCATACCCTGCTCGGTGACAGCCTTGTTGCGACTGGCCCAGAACTTGAAAGGCTACCGGAAGCCTGAAAAAGGGTCAGCCAGGTAAACATTGGAAGAAAAAGCGGTGCGAACCTACAGTCTTGGGCGCCTCCTGAAGGAGCACAGAGCCGTCTTCATCATCATCGTCGTCGTCATCGATAAACGGGCTAGAAATCCCCGTAGAACCAGCACCAGAGCGCTTGGAAAGACCAACACCGACTGAATCGGAGGCACCATCGACCGAAGGACGCAAAATCAGGGTATCAGCACGAGCGGCAGACGACTCGACCGGAGCTTGAGGACTTGAAGCAGGCAGGCCAGACCGCCGTCCCTGGAAACAAGAACAATCAGTTCAGCCCATACCAATCCCCAGGCAGCTCTTTCTATACTCACATCAGGAAGAGGGTGCCGACCAGCGGTTGGAATCAAGACAGGCTGAACAGGGCTCGCGCTCTTCTCTGTGGCCATCGAGGGACCACCATGCGACTCAGACACACTGGCAGGGGAGCTGGGGTTTGCACCCAAGGGATCCTCATCAGTCTCCACATCGGGAGAAGGACCAGAAGAGGCCACATGGATCTCGCCCTCAGCAGAGTCGCTGTCATCGGAAACAGCCATACTGAGCTCGCTGAGAGGGACAGAAACGTCAGACTCGCCTGACGAGAAATCTGGAGTGACTAGAAGAGGCATATTGACGCGCGGAGGCTTTCAAAAACCTTGAAAACAGATGGAAAAAGAGCTGGTTGAAAAAGAAAGAGGACTGGAAGGAGGCAAGGCGACTGTAAAACGCGCCCACATAAGCTTAAACGCGTCTGCGGGGACCCCACAAAAGACCCACTTTTCTGGCACATCTGACCAGTCAGATGGGGGGTGTGTGAAAAATGGGGCATATTTAACCCTAACCCTCTGTTTTGGTCTCCTCATAAACCATCTCAGAGCCTGGTTTAGTTACTTAGAAGATCTTCCTTTTGTATTAGATAGATTCAATCTCAACACTCATTCAGCCACTTCCACGTGCTCAGCTCATACGTTTCTCCTTATCCAAGGATCCCCTTTGCCTTGCACATGTTATTTTGCCTGTCAAAAACGTCTACAATGTAGATATCAGACCATGGTAGGTGTGCAAGTGGACAACCAAGGCTAGGAAACAATTGAAAGCTTGAGGCCCAGGAAATCACTACATATGAGGGAGTTGGTTGACAATCATGAATTACTGCTGACTCTTCATGGTTGGGCTTTTCTCTTTGACAATTCAATCTACAGGGGTCGATGTCCTCACATACACTTGTTGATGCACTGGAACCGTCTATGCTGGCCTGGCGTGCACTTCCAGCAATAGATAGACAAGAACAAGGAGAATATCGGGTACCCATATTACAGTTTTCCCACTGCAAAGTCTTATAATCTATGATAGTAATCCTGGCCTCCCTAATTGAAATAGTGACCAGAACCTTAGCCCCTAACCCAAAGACGCCTTGAAGCCAACGGGTGACGTGCGAGCGGTCAGGCTGACACCAACTGGGGTTATTCTCGGAAATCGTGGCAGTTCACCAGCATCTCACGACGCAATAGCGCCTCGGGCTGACTGGGTGTTGGGGGGGGGGGGCGGATCATTTTCAAACACGTCGTCGTCATCCCCAATCTCCCCCTACCGGTGCTGTAAGGCGTGGCGTGGATTAACAAAGTGCTGAACCCACCTTGACGAGCCTGCTTGCGCTGCGGTGGTCTGGAGGGGATGCTTTATCCTGTAGACATACGGCTTCATGTTCACCATGGTACGTCAACGGATTATAATTGGTGGGCAGATTGCGTTCGTCGCGCTCATCGTGTTAATGGTCTTCTGGTATCGCGACTTGCTTTCGGAAAGACTAGCACCAGTGCGCGTGCTCTTGAATGCGCCAGGTACGTAACGTTATACTGGGACAGATTTCTTTTTCTTGAGGAGGATGCCAGAAATTCGACTGACCATACAGGAGCAGGCAAAACCATTTCAGGTGCCAATGATGGCGAGAAACCACTTTCAGAAATCCCAGGTGAGGGAGGGGGAGGAGATGGAAATGGAAATGGAAAAGGAGCGGACGTGCCTGTCTTGAATGAGTCGTTGCTAGCGCGCTACGTCCAGGCGGTTTTAGACCCTGAGGATCAGACCGTGGAGAGGCTCGAGTGCCCTGAACCGGCAGGCCTGGCCCGCTACGCACCCCTGAAAGCACCTGCAGACAAGCCTGGTGACTACGTCAAATTCTTCTTCGCTCTCGACCTCACCCAGTGCGTCGACCTGCTTCCTCGACTCCTCGGCAGCATCATCGAGGCCATTAACTTTCTCGGCCCGGACAACTGCGCGCTGTCGATTGTCGAGGGCAATTCTGACGATGGCACCCCAGAAGTGCTCGCTGCCATTCGCCAGGGGGTGGAGACGCTCGGTATCGAGTACTTCTTCACGACGAGCAGCGTGAACCCAAAGGGCGAAGCGAATCGGATCTATGGTCTGGCCAAGCTGCGGAACCTAGCCCTGCAGCCAATGCTAGACGATACGCGCCGATACGGCACAGATACGATAGTTATCTTCCTTAACGATGTCGCCGTCTGTATGGAGGATATTCTGGAGCTCGTCTACCAGAAAGCGCTATTGGGGGCTGACATGACGTGTGCCATGGACTGGACCTATGTCGGGGCCAACCCGACCTTTTACGACGTCTGGGTGGCAAGGACTATCTCTGGGGAGGCGTTCTTCAATATTCCCGAGGACAGGAGCTGGAACTTTGTGAGCGGCCCCGAACATATTGAGCAAGGGAGTCGTTGCTGATGCCCATCACACAGGCTTGGAACTTGTTCTGGAAGGACACAGACACGAAAAAAAGATACCAAGCTCATCTACCCTTCCAGGTCTTCAGCTGCTGGAACGGCGCCGTTGCCTTCACGGCCCAGCCCATCCTCGACAGAGAGGTGTCCTTTCGCAGCAACAAACCGGGAGAGTGCTTCCAAGGCGAACCGCAGCTCTTCTGCAAGGACCTGTGGCATGCTGGCTACGGCAAGATTGCCGTGGTTCCAAGTGTCAACCTCGAGTACTCGGATGAACGGGGCAAGGATATCAAGGTCCTCAAAGGATACACCTCCAGGTGGGTTGGGCCGGAACAGGATTCGCGGTCCATATTTGACTGGAGATCCAGTCCACCCGAGCTAGTCAAGTGCATGGAGGCTATGGAAACGTCCGAATGGCGACCCTGGAACGAGACTCTAGCGTGACAACGGGAATTCCATCAAGCTTTCCGGAGGCTACCCAGCGCGGAGACCATATCCAGAACCGTGGTGGCGACCAAGCTGAAGCTTGCCGTCGGCTGTGTTCAGTTCTCGGCGAGCCAGAGGACGCCAGCTTTTACGAAGAGGCAGTGCGATATGCATGCACCGAAAAGGGTGTCGTTGCGAGAGTGCGCAAAACCATTGGGAGGAGGACACGTGCAGGCTACCGGGCACGACTTCAAGCCGCCTCAAATGAGAACTGATATAATCTCGGTACGGCCACACGGGTTTTTAGACCGCGACGAAGCCAGTGGCTGCCAGTGTCGCATTGGACAGGGCGTCCCTGGGGAGGTTGGGCTATTGTCAAGCCTGCAGCAGAGATGGTTCCATTGGGCACGATGGCACTGGTAAGGCAGCAACACTTGATCATTTCGGTTGTCTACTTGGATCGACAAAACTCAAAAAACCAGCTGCCCTTCCAAACTTGATGCCTAATGGCGCAATGCAGTCTCCATTTAAGATACTAGTCCTGGCAGTAATTCACCTGACGGCTACATGCGGTTGCTTAGTTGCAGGCAAAAGTGCACAAACCCACGGACCAGGCCTTCTGCAAATGGAGACTTGGAGCAATCAGAGCTCTGTTCGAATTAACCAACAAACGCAACCTGACTTTAGACAGAAATGAGCTGTAAAAGGAAACCCAACAGAATTCACTACCATTGATCCCACAGATATCTTCTTGCAGCATTGAAACCCCAAGGATTTGAACCAGAGTGTCATGAATCTTATGGTCACACAAAACGTGCTATTTAAAAACCCGGTCAGCCCTGCGGTATCTCGTGCCAGCTTTTTCCCGGTCAGCTCCTTCAAGGAAGGGTTTTCGCAATATCCTGGCCAGGGAGGTGCCCTGATACCCTCAAATCTATATGTCCGTTACTATCAAAAACGTCGATCATCTGCTCGCATGCTAAACTTAAGACCCCCGGAGCTATATTAGAACAGCCTCAAGATCCTCCTTGTTTTTCCCACAAATTATCCCGCGGCCTCGTACTACCTCGAACAAACCCCCCCCCCCCCTCTTCCGATCGACCACCGGGGGTATTTAATACACAACGCCCTCATCAGGTCATTAAATCATGGTCCCAAATTCCATTTCATCCGTAACCATGTCGACCGAAATGACTTCATATGAAGTGGTCAAATATGAGTCACCAAAGAACCAGGTGCCATCAAAGGTTCATCGTTATCCAGTCTACCGGAGGGCCGCCCGGAAGGCTCTTTCACCTCCTTCACCACCGCCACCGGTCCCAGCACCTGCACCTGCACCTGCACCTGCACCGGAATGGTCACAATGGGAGCGGGTCGAGGGGTCTAAGTGGGATGGATGGTGGCGAGCAAGGCCTCAAGAGGATGGTGGGTCTTACGATTACTTCTGTGCGATCCAGACGACGAGTGAACGAACATCTCTTTGCTGACCTTGTGAGACATAGGTGGATGGTTCTACCAGTTCACCAAAGACGGCTCGACAATATGGCAGCAGAAGCCTGTTCCATCTGAGACACCAGAGCCGTCAACAGCATCGGCCAACACTGCGGGTGAGGACGTGATGTTTGGAGAGATCGCTGCTACTGCTCTTGCTCTTGACCCCGCCACCATCACCACCACCATCACCACCACCTCTACAGCCAGCAATGCCATGAGCTACGCATCAGGTCCTGCTGTTGCGTTCACTGCTTTAGGTCTGCCCTACGAATTCTCCGCCCTGACTCTGAGAGGAAATAGTGAAGCCTACGGCCAAGCCTCCCCCAGCACCTACGCCCAAGAAGAAGAGCCCGTGCCCACCAACGCCACCGAAACATCAAAGCAAAGGCAAGCTGCCAGCTCCCCCCGCCAAAAAAGAAACCACCGGCACAGTGTCAGAAGTACCATCATATACGGTGATCAAACCACAGCCCCCGTCGCCGCCACCACCAAAGGTGAAGACAAGCATAACGCTGTCCGAAGAGGAGGAGGGAAAACACATCATACTCGACATTCTAAATCTCGAAAAACCGATCGTCATCAGAAGAATCTCGGAGCAGTAGTCAACGCAGAGAAGGACAAGAGATTCGATTCGAGATCTATCGTAGAGAGTTGGCAGTGTGAATAGTGCCCAAAGTGGCATGATTACGGAAACGATTTGCAAGAGGGGACTTCTTGCTCTCCTCAGCGACATGTCTGGACGATGATTTAGCAAGGCTTCGTTTACGACGAAGTCTCGGAGTTCTGTTACCATGAAAGCGTTTTCTTTTTCTTTCATTTTGTTTTTTTTTAGTCCTATTTATTTTTATACCATCTTCTCATGTGGTACTTTTGTGGCTTTTAACCTCCGCCAGGTCTGCGCAGCTCATATTGTGCAACCGTCTCACAATCAATCTGCACGCTGGCGCCGGCTTCCCGCAGTGCATTTTCTTTATTCCAACCATATCCACCTCGTCAAAGCCTTGTGTTTCGTCTTCTGCCAAAATCCGTCGCTATGGAGCCTGTCGCCGGCATTGAAAAGGAACGAACCAACCCCGTGGGAGGTGGATTTGAGGACAAGAAAGAGGTATCGAAATCACAGATGCAGTTCTCTCAGGCTGGCAACATATCATTTTTCATTCTTGATAATTGATTTATTCTTGCTTTTTGCCTCCCCTTCAAACGAGTGCATCTTCTAGTGTGATACACTTTTAATCACTATCAACATGTTGTCTTCTTTTCCCGGTCCTGTGTTTGCCGTCGCCCTTGTGCAGCTGCTGAGGGCAGTTCTGCATAACTTGGCAAGGCGTCGGTATCAAGATCACAATTATTGATCGACTTTTTCGTTTTCATCTCTTCTTAATTCATGGTTCCTGAGAGGAAGCTGAAAGGAAATCGGGAATGTCCACATAATCGTTTGCGCTTGACAACAACAGCAACAACAACACCCCCAACAAGCGCGCTCTCGACACACGCTCCTCCCACCAGAAATGTCTACGATCTTAGCATTTGTTGTCCGCCGTAGCACAGTATCACCGCCCTTCTTCTCGACCAGGTGGCTTGCCTCCTCGGATCCGACACCTCCACACCAGCTCCAGAGGAGGCTGACAGCCGTCAACACCACGCACTTGATCATCGGTGTTGTCCTCGGCGGAACAACCCTCGTCCTGATCGCCGTCTTGTTGCTCCTCCTCTATCTGATCCGCCAGCGCCGCCACCGTGCATCATCCGATCCCACCCCCAAACGAGCCCAGAACCACCTCTCGACATCCTTCGCGTCGCCCATAACTCTAGGCGACGTTGTCGGCGATCTTACCATCCGCCCCGTCACCCCGTCCCCGCGCCGTCTAGGCATTGACGCCCCGTCCTCGACCCGATGGGCTCACACGCTCGGTACAACCAGCATGGGCGGCTGGGACCTAGAAGAAAAAGGCGCAGTGAATAACACGCCGCTGTCGCTGCCGTCGCGAGGTGAAGGCTTGGATGGTGGTGTAGGCAGAAGCCGCGGCAGTACTGGCAGCGGAGGTGCGGGGGGGCGGCAGCAACAGCAGCAGCAGCTTCAGCAGCCCTCCATCTCGAGCATCTTTGCTGCCGAGATGTCGAGTTTGCTTGAGAGTATCTCAATCAAGTCAAGCTACAGCTCGCTACGGTCTGGGGGGCTGGGAGCGCCGCCACGGCGGGTGCAGAGATGGGCGCAAGCCGTGGCGGTGGATGGGGGAATGGAGGGGGCCTCGAGGTCTGCGAGTGCTTCTGGACCGGAAGAGGAGGACGGGTCTGGTGCTGGTGGTGCTGGTGTGGCCGTGTCATCTAGTCCGAAGGAGGATCTGGTGGTAGAGGAGAGCAGTGGGACGGCAAATGATGAGGGCGGTATGGACCTTGCTTGAGGCGGGAGCATCTCATGGGTGCATAATTGCTCTCTGCCAAGGGTTCCATATATATCGCGTCCTGTACGATCTATTACATCGTATTGATTCGCTTGCAACCAATATCTAGACATTATCTTGTATCTAAGTCATTAAATTTAACCAGTCCGTCGGAAAATCCGCCCAACACCCAGCGCTAATACTGCCCTCAAACAAACAAACAAAACAAAAATTGAGAACCCCTTTCATTGTGGACCCATCCTCTCATCCTCTTCCACCTATCGAGCTGCTGCAGCCAAGGCTGGTGCGGTAGACGACGCCGGGGTGACTGCTCCCTCCACGCCCGCCCGCTCAATATCCTCGCTCATCTCCGAGACCTCGTCGCCTTCGCGATGCTCATCACGTAGCCCATAAGGAGGTGATGATCCAGCGGACGATGGTCTCGCCAGGTCCTCAGACCCCACAAGCCTCGAACTCTGCTCCCCTTCTTCTCCCGATTCATGCCCTCGAGGTGAATATGCCGGCAAGAACTCGGCCATCTCCATATCACCACCACCCCTCCCCGCTGCAGGCCGCTCGGGGGGTGATTCCAGCACGACAGACGTATCGATGAGCCCGTCCATCTCCCACAACTCTGCAAGCCTGTCGTCGCGGACGACACCAATGCCTAAGATTTCAGGGCTGTACTCGGCCCAGTCGAAGGCGGCGTGCCTCGACAGCTGGGCGCCGATCCTGGCCATCGCGAAGGCGTTCAGGGTCGTAGTCCACACTTTGGTACTGTATATGTACGCCAGCAGGAGTGCTATGGCGATGACCTGGAGGCCGATGAGAGTGGTGATGGCGATCAGGGCGCCCAGAGTAACGACAGGTATGGTCGAGGGTGTCTGGACGCCGTCGTACTTGTAAACCCCGTAGGACATGTTTGAGTAATCGTAGTAGATATTGTTATCGTTAATGGCTGCGGAGAGGAGGTCGGAGTTGGCAAAAAATGCGCCTGTGTTGAGGGCAGCGCGGGCCGTCCAGGGGGAGTCGAAAATACTGAAGAAATCGTACGTGAGGGTCTCAATGCCTTGCGACAAGCCACCGGGAGAGTCCGCCAACCAATCCAGATAGCTTTGTATCTCCGAACAGCCGGCCGAGTCACCTCTGAAGTAGGCAGCATTGTTCAACGGCATGATTTCACAGGCAAGCGTCACCAAGTTGGCTATTGTCTGGTTGTCAAGGTTCGCAGACTGCATCTCGCCGAGCATGTTGAACCAGCTGCCGTTACCAAATAATGCCTGAGCTGTTGACATAAGCGGTCCTGTCGCCCCTCCAGACACGGTGCCTTTGGGAATTTGAAAAGAGGGAGGAGTGCTGTTCAGGAAACGACTCGGTACGCCCTCGGAAGATATGCTTCCCAGCTGAACATAGCCCAGTGTGGTGTTCATTTGGCAGTGCACGTAGAGGCCTGATTCGGTCCCCAAGCAATCACCGCCTTCACAATACCAATCAGTAGAACTTTCCTCGTCTAGGATTAGGTGGCTTATATACACATCCTCGGTGAACGTGTAAGGCTTCCCATCGGCCCCGACGGTAGACTGCCAGGTCCCGCCGGCATTAACAATGGGAACACAGACGTTGGCCTGCAGGTAGCCCTCGACGTAGAGGCTCGTTTCCCAGCCCGAGTTCGCACTGCTTCCAGCTGTGGCGCACTGGGATGTGACCTCGTCCGAGGACACTGACGAGCATATTGCGCCGCTCTTCAAAGCCAAGACATATTGATCAGGCACAAATCCGGTGCTGGACCCGGCTTGCACCGTGGTCGCGAACATCAAGGCTGTTCCATCTGCTCGTTGTCAGTATGCGTGATCTGAGACCTCATAAAGGAACAGTGACTTACTCGTCGTGTATTCTCCATAAGCTCCCGGCTCATCGTAAGAATCTCCCGGTTCCCAGTAGTTGCTCAAGGCGCTCTGGCTCAGATCATATGGGTTGTAGTCGATGCCGCACGTACTGGCAGGGTCCGTAGAGTCGCTGCACAAGGGCCACAGGCTTGTCTCAATCCCTCCAGACGTCGCTAGTAGTCTCGCTCGTGTGCTTGAAATGATATCGGACTCTTGCACGCCTGCCAGCACCCCCGGGCCTGGACTTGTCCCTATATGGTCGGCCCACCATTCGTAGTCGTCATCGGTCTTCAATTTGATCGCAGTGCTGTGATAGCTGAGGAGTACAGACCGCACGATGGGGAGCGCGAGCGCCACGGCCAACAGTATCGAACCAAATAATTGGAGCCGGGACGATCTTGACCTGCGCAGCGCCTTGAAAGGATTCCACCAGCCGCGGTCTGCAAGCGCGAACAATTGTCGCACGGTCAACCTTTGTTTGGCGCCGTGGCGCTGGCTGGAAACGACCGCGGCTCGCGCTAGCAGTATGCTTAGCAAGGGCAGCGAGAGCGCCGCGGTGATGGCGTTGAGCGCATTGATCAGTCTGAGGGTCGAGTAGTTGACCCAGAGGAAGGAGTCGCTGTCGATGTCAAAATGCACCCGCTCCTGGACCAAAAACCGTGGGTTTCGAGAAATCACACAGGTCAAAACCCACGGGATGATGAGAATGGCGAGATAGACAGCCGCTAGGAACAGCGGCAGGATCGATTGTCGGAAAAGAACCTGCCGCACTGGACTCTGAACGGCGCTGACCATTGTCAACAAAGTACAATATCACAACCTTAAGTGTCGTGGTTTGCAGCCCGTGAAGGGTGCCGGAGAGGGACGCGTGTGATTCCACCAGAACCATGGCGGCACGAAGAAGAATGTGTGCAGCCTCATGATCTCCTTCTTTTTGAATGATCCCATCCTCCTCGTCCGTCTGCGCTCGAGTGGCTGTGGGCGCCTAGCCTCGTTCATTGACCGTCTGACCTGAAGGAAATCGTATAGAAATTTCAAGTCGGGGGCTTAAATAGTAAGACGACATCCCTGTATTAGGCCTAGCTGTGCCACCTGCCCTGCATCCAAGAGCCTATCTGCGATAGACCCGTGGAATCACTCTAACCTGAGCTGGGCATGTCAGGTTACAAAAGTAGGTTGAACCCCGGCGACGTCGCTATTCAGCTACAACCTCCTGGTGGCGCCCCCTCGAATGATTTGTCGAGTGATCTTACACTTGTGCAGACTGTGGGTCGGTTCGGAGTACACGCCCCCCTTTCGTCAGATACTGCATGATTATCGTACCAAAGATATTCTCAGCATCGTGAAGGAGATAAGAGGGCAGCTGAGAGCATTAAAGGAAAGAGAGAAGAAAGAAGAAAGAAATCAAAGGAGAACGAGGAGGCAGGAAAAAAAGAAGAAAAAGAAAGAGAGGCAGTGAGAACTCTTTGCGAGGGAAGCAGCCGACGCCCTGGCCTGCAGAGAGCGAGCGGGGCCATCGGCTGACACTGCACATACACAATGAAAATCCTTCGATTGACTGCAGTTTAGACCCTTTCTCGTATACTATAGCATAGGTCCGTATTTGAGGCATAGCACGTGCTCTTACTGCTTCCTCTGATTTGCGATGTGTCCAAGGACCTCATTCTGTGATGTGATGATGGGCTGAACCTTTTTTGATGCCTGGAAGGTGACCATCGCTGACACCTTTGGGGGCGAAGGGAGCAGAAGAAGGTGTCAAGAGGGAGGGATAAACAGGACATGGGCACGGACAGGTCATTTGTACGTTTCTCTGGTTTTTGCTTCTTCTTCTTCTTCTTCTTCTTCTTCTTCTTCTTCTTCTTCTTCTTCTTCTTCTTCTTCTTTTCTCCCTGTCCTTCTACATCAAGTAGAAATTTCGACTGGCTTGTTGTTGGACGGCGGTCCCTTCCCTACTTGGTTTCTACTTGTTGCGTGATTGTTGTGCTTGTTCAGCAGTCAGCCAGTCCACCCCAGCCCTAGCTACTCCCTGACTTAGCGAGGAAACCTTTCTTTCCCTATCTTTCCCCTCTCAAAATCATCTTACCATACTACGTCTGGATGGATGATTCCATGACTATACCACATAGTAAGTATGTTTGGTCCTCCCGGGCCACAAAAGAACTCCGATGTATCATGTCATATGGTTTGCAGGGTTTTCTGTTTGGGATGTGCCCAATTCTCTGCCTTCGGTAACGTATGCAGAATGCACCCCTTCCTGCATCATCCATGACAACCTTGAATGCTCGCTCTATTGTGTGTGTATGTTTCTATCTGGAATGAATTTTTCTTCTTCTTTATTTTCTTTTATCCGCCAAGAAAAATCAGCGCTGACCCATAGTAGTGAGCTTAATGCCCCCATTATTGCATCCGCCAAGACCAGCTGGCTCAACATGGTGCTTCCTGAACCAAAGTATCAATTCATCACCTACTAGAGGAAGAAGGAGACAAGAGGGGGGGCAGTGAATCGAGCAACAAGGCGAAGTACCTCCTGGGGCTTAGCACGAACTCGCTTAATTGACACCCGAGACCTGAAAGGTTGGCACGGTGCACTGATAGCGATATTTCAGAAGGGAAAGGCCCCTAGCCAGGGATCGCGGGGTCGAACCGTGTAAGACAATTGGCTATCCTAAGGTCTGCGGCAATTGGGACACGTCCCACATTAGTGTCACCATCCGCTGCTTGTGCAAACTACTATAGAATTGATGAAACCGCTATAACGCACGCTGGGTATTACTATAGTATACTATAGTGCTGTAAAGGCGAGACCCAGGGGGGGGTGCAGCCTGGCAGGATCTTTTCTCTAGATCCTGTCATGGATCCCTCGCACAACCAGCTCTTCCCCCAAAGGAACCAATTCCCTGTCCCGTTGGCTGAGACATGGGTTGTACCGTTACCACCCGTCATATTTCCAGTGACAAGCCGCAGGCCTCAACATGCTGGCGGCACTCTGGAAAAAAGGTGGAAAAATCGGAGGAGAGGAAGGGCGGGGAATGAGTGATCAAGTGGACCAGCCTTGCTATCCAGTCAAGACGAAACAGTGGGTCCGAGAGGCGGGACTGCCCACCTCTCTTGCTCTCCCTCTCTCTCCACAACTTCAAACGGCCGAGCGGTCACGGCCGAGATAGCCGTCCGCTACCCTGCAAATCATCAGGTATGCAAGTGACATCAAAATCCACCATGGTCCACTTTGTATTCACCGCATGGAGCTGTGACCTGGAGAATGTTCTGCAAGCCTGGAGAGGTAGCTAGAAACATGTTGCGTCGTCAGCCCATCGGCGGATCCAGATCAGCAGATCCGCGTATCGCCGTCCGTCGCGCGGACATGATGAAATGCTGAATAATTTTTTAGATATGCTCCAAACTCATCACATTCCCAAGCAGGGTGCGTCGGTGGAGAAATCAGACATGTCAATAATACCCGAATTAAGGGCCGGTCGGCAAGTTGCTGCCATGAGGGGTATACTGGGTAAATCATACTGACTAGACCAGTCAACTACTATGTAGTATGTGTGTATATGTTTGTGTATTTGTATTTAAAGGAAAGCCAGCCTCCGTTTGAACATGATTCATGGTGTATTATCAACATTAGCGGGAACACACAAACAACTCAAGCCTCCAAGTTCAGAGCACCCCCTTCTCCAAGCCAACCCAACTACTGTGAGCTCAAGCCCTTCCAACCTCCCCCTCCCTTCAACAACACATAAGTCATCAACTCACACTGGCACAGATCAAAGATGCAGCCCATCATTACCACAATTCTGGCTCTTGCCTCAGCTGTCGTTGTGTCAGCCAACAACTACACATTCTACTGCGGCTCGTCGTGCACAGACGGCACTGCCGTCAACACAGGCAGCGACTACTCCGGCGCATCCTGCACGAACCTCGAGACTGCCTACCCTTACTGCTATCTCGAGGCAGACGAGGCCTTCTATAAGGCGGTGGTGTCTGAGGGTTCGAATTGTTTAGAGACCGGAGAACAGGTGATTTGGCCTGGTGACTGCTTCGAGGGACCATGGGAATCCTTTCAAATAGCTGTGAACCTGTAAAGGGCTTCCAGTGGTGACGAAAAAAAAAAGGAAGTTCGCGACGCGGTGGACACCTCTTGGGAACTCCGATGTTGGGTTCCTCTCATTTCGCATCCACACACACTTTCTCTCGCTCTCCGTCTCTCATCTCTTGTATTCGGGCAGTCAGCATTTCCTTCTGAGATTTTCTGGAGTTGGGTTTTTCGCAGTTTCTTTGGTACAGAATGAAGCAATGACAAGGTTTCTCCATCGGCCAAGTCCCAAGTTTGGGTTCGGAGCCCGATATACCTTCTTCTCCCTGTCTCTCTCGTCTTGCTTACGTGCAGGCCTGACGCTCAAGGATGTGAAGTAGTATTTCCTTCCTTCCTTCTATTTTTCTAGGTATGGTTGCAGATCTGGTAGTCTAGACCCTTGGTGTATACTTTCCAGGCTAAGTAAAAGACGGCATTGTCGTGCGCTCGTGGTTGATTGCCAAGCCTCGTTAAACATCTGAGTCCCATGGTTCCGGATCGGTAACGTCAACGCAGGCGCACAGACAAGATCGGCAACTCAAAAAGCAAGCTTGAATTCTTGAGAGAATGGGTTACGTAGCGGTGAAGTTCGTGCCAAGCAATTTCGGTATCGTTGCGATTTTCCTTATTCTTTCTTTTTCTTTTTGCTTCTCTTGTTTTTGCAAGTTGTGGCGATGAAAGGTGTCCGCGGACCAGTATCAGCAGGGTTTCAACGTTGCCTTTGCAATGCCAAGGGTTGATCGGCCATTATTCTCCTTGACTACGGGTGGACCTAATCTTGCCTCCCACATCCCGATGCTCCAGTGGGATAACCTCAAGCCTTATACTTGATGGCAAAACATTGCAGACAGGTTCACCCAGTCACTTCAATACGCCATAGGCAGATACGCGTCAGACACATCAATTCCCATGTATGCACTATAGCGGGAGAGAGAAGACTGCGAAATTGAAGTGGATCTCTTCGAAATGAGCATATGCCCTTCACATAGTCAGCTCCACATCCAGAAAACCCCTTCCTTAGGTAAACAGCCCGGATTGGTGTTGCTTGCGAAACTCTTCTGTGATTGGATCTGTAGCAGACATGCAGCATCATCCAATAGCAATGCAGATGAGTGAGAACAGAGTACTTCCTAGACTTCGAGGTGCATCGCTCGTTGTATGGTGGCCAGTCGTCAGTATCGAACCGATTCAGCTGTAAACCACACGATGACCTCCAGACAGACGACTTGTGTTCAGACAATATAATCTACATATGCCGGGCAATAGTGGATCGAGTCAAATTGTCGAGCAGCACCGCCAACCCTAGTCACTCGCTCCAGACAGGCCAGCGACGAGCCTGGTCAGATTAGATTGAATGACGATATACTTCGTAGACCAGCATTGTTGAGAGTCAAGGTTTGCTGGATCCGCTATACGGACCCAGGCCACCGTGTCAGCTGCCCCTCACAATGTACGCGCTCGAGCTTAACGAGTTGCTCCGTTCCAAGGGACTTGGTCCACTCGCCGTACAGTGGTCCATATTCTGGTGAATAAACCCCTCAGAACGAGACTTCATTATACTAGGCTGAAGAGACCCCTTGGGTGTTTCAATCTCAGAACTTGTTCCCTGCCACGTCAGCCCTATACACCGCTATGGGGAAGTTGGCCTTGCAAAGCGCCCAGTAGTATGCATGGAGACGATAGCCTACAGTTACTATTTCTTAATATAAATGCGAGGAAAGCCGCATGAGATCAAAACAGCTGATTTCTTGTTTGTTGGGTCCATAAATGCGACGAGGCGATGCTAGAGCATCTTCAATTGTAATGCCGTGATCTCAACCAAATTGTAAATTCGAAGCTTTCCCGTATCAATTTTTGGAACAGAATTATGTGTAAGATAGTGTGTTGGAAGGGGAGGCGGTGAGAAGCGAAATGCAGTTCCCGACTCTTGCCTATCTATTAAGCAAAGAGTAGCATGGGAGCGGCAAGTGATGAACATGAGAGGGAACAAAAAATGGGCGGGGAAAGCGGAATAATGGGAAAGAGACTGCTAGAAACTCTCCATGGTCTCTTGCTACATTGATCATTGAGCAATGGTGGCACACGACACCAAAGACAAGAAGCAAACGATTTCCGTCAAGACTTTTCACCAATTTCATTGAGTTGCTCTGCAAATTAAGTACTTACTTATGCTTGAACCTAGGAGGTTGGCTCGCAGTGACTCCCGGCCCTCTAACCTTGGACGTCGGATCGGAGAAAATTGCCGTGCCGTCTAGCTTAGTCAGCAGCAAGCCCGGCGCGCCCGACCTGGCTTGGTCGCGACTTCGACCTCTAGAAAGCTCGCCGTCCAGCGTAAACGTTCAGCTCACCCCGACCGCGCCATCCCAGTCCTCACCGCCAGCAACCATGACCTCGACGATCGGAATCCCCATCAAGCTCCTCAACGAGGCCCAGGGCCACATCGTGACCCTGGAGCTCGATAGCGGCACCACCTACCGCGGCAAGCTGATCGAAGGTGTGTTACAACTTCGTCGTCCTTGTCTCCCAGCCCTTCCCCATCTGTGACCTCTTCCAGATATTTTCTGTTCGCGTCGTCACGCACTATATGGCCTTTGCTAAGTTTCCAATCGCACAGCTGAGGACAACATGAACGTCCAGCTCAAGGACATCACAGTGACCGCGCGGGACGGGCGCGTGAGCCATCTGGAGCAAGTGTACATCAGAGGCAGCCACGTGCGATTCTTCATCGTGCCCGACATGTTGAGGTAAGTGATTACATGACAGGCCTTTAGCTCCTACTCCTCCTCTTCTCCGACGCTTGCATTTTGCTGACGATGAGTGTGTGTATGCGAACAGGAACGCACCTATGTTCAAATCTCGAAACGTCCGCGGGCGTGGTGTCGGTCTGGCAAGAGGTCGTGCGACAGTCAGCAGAGCGCGGGCGGGCGGTCGCGGAGGCGGCAGGTAGAACTGGGCTGCTTCGGAGACGGGCTCTCAGCGTGGAATCGGGCCAGCGCCTCGAGTTCGTGGTTGAGAGTTTGAGTTTGAAAGGAAAAGAAAGGGACAAGACAAGCATGCGAAGCCACGAGATACTGTGTTCAGCGATGCACTCCGGACCGAGAGAGAGAGGCAGTAAAGGACCCAATGCAAAGAAGAGGAAAGGTACGCGCACATCGCGAGGTCCTCGCATAAGTCTGGAGGATGACGAGAGGAGGAAACCCGCGTGTCATGATTAGGGACATCTGCATGGCGTTGGGGAGGGGTTCAAAACACGGATGATCCGGACAGAACACATGCTGTGGGATCGTCAACCAAGATAAAAAAAAGATATCTGGACTTAGACTGGCGACAACTACGTCCGTCCGTACGTACAGCCAAATCCAAAACAAAGATAAGTGCTGACACAAGTGGATTTCCAAAGTTGAGGATTCATTGAATATTAGGTTCAGTTCTAGTAGTATGTACACAAGATTCTGTTGTACATGAGGTCCGCTATGTTCACCGGCCTGCTTCTCATCGGAATCATTGGAGTCGTTCCAACGCCTCCTCCGCCTTCTGGATGAGCTCTGTGGCCGCTCTCAGATCCTTCAAATGTGCTTCATCAACCCCCTCGCCACCCTTCCTCGTTGCCTTGTCCAACGCTTCGCCCACACTGATCTCCACAGCTCGTACTGCCTTGCGTCCTTCCTCCCGGACCTCACTCTGCCAGTACTCGCGTGCAGCCTCCCACTTCTTTTGTAGACGTCGAAGGCTCCAGACAATGCCAAACGCTGCTACCGCACCTGACTCGGAGAGGCCGAAAGAGGACAGATACATGAGTGCGCCGAGGGCGGTGGTTAGTCCCGAAAAGCTGGCAGACTGGAAGACGAGCTTCTGGGCGAGCGCCTGGAGGGCAGGGATAGTCTCCAACTGAAGATAGTTGCGCGTGAACGTGATGTGGGTAGGCCACTTTGTGCCTGTTGGAAGACTAGGCGGCGTAGCCTGTGCTATGGTAGTAGAGTCACTCGGTGGCGATGTTGGCAAGGGTGCCGACACGAGGGAAGGCAAGGAATACACCGCCTTGCCATTGTCGGGACCCAACAATTCCGACCCATCTATTTGGCCGGCAAGGTAGATGACGTTGCGCTCTGCGCGAGGCAGGAATCGCTGCGACAGCATCTCGGAAGAGAGCACGCCGACATCGTCCACCCGCCAGAATAGCTTCCACCAGTTCAGCTTGCTCCACCGCCGACTGCTGAAGGCCCTGTCCAACTCTCCTTGTAACTCAGCGTGAGCCTTCTCAGACCAGTCTGCAAGTGCATTGTTCAAGGAAACGACCGCTCTAGGCGAGACTATTGACGAAGATGCCGCAGATAAGCGCCGAACCTCTTCTTGTCCTATGGCGTCCCGTGTACTCCTCAAAACTGATGCGATCAAATTGCGGACCACGCTTTTGGTTGTGCTATTGTCTGTTGTAGTAGCACCTTCCTTGAGCCACTTTATGATGGCTGGCATGTTGCTCTTAAACCACAGCTTTTCGTATCCGAAAGCCTTGTCAACACTCTGACGGATGTCGTGGACGCCTTGCTCCGCAGCCGTGACATCAACTCGGATAAATGGCAAGCCCGCTTCGTCCTGGGCCACGAAGCCCGGAAGGTTCACTGCGCCCATGATCGCTTCGTCATGATGCAGAACTGGCGAATTTATCAAAGAGGCGGCTCCCATAAGTCCGTCACCGACTAACAACGCCTTATGCACTGGCGTGGTGACAGGTGTAAACCTCCCAGTACTGGACGTCGGTATTTCCACGGTCGGTACCAGCGCAGCCTCTTCGAACCTCTGAACGGCAAATTCCGACGCGTCGGCGAGAGGATTGCTCGTCATTAGCAGGAACTCGAGCCTGTTACCATCGAGTCCCGGCGAAGACACGTTCAGTTCCTTCAACAAGCCACCTTTGGCGTAGGTGAGGTTCCCTTCTTCGGTGTCGCTTCCTTGTTCGAGGTGTTGAGCTGCCCCCACTCGCACGATCAGAGGTTTATTGATATCATGTCCCAGCAGTTCCCCCTCCCACTCTTGTTGGGGCGATAACGGATCTGCTAACAGCAGACGCAAGATTTCCTTCGCAGTGGGCCCTGAATCTGAGCCGTTGGCCAAACCGAGGATGGCCACCCGCACGGTCTCGTCTCCGGCCTCTTGTCGCAGGGCATTGAGTGCCAGTTGCACCCGCGATAGGTTCACATAGTTGACAGCATGTTTTTGCAGGCTTCGTAGCGCCTCCTGGAGGTCCTTTCGCGCATCTGAGGTTCGGACGGAGGTGGAAGTGGACGCGGTTGTGGACGTGGACTGGTTCCGTCGCGTCGAGAGAGACTTGCGCCGAGTTCTCCTTGGAAGACTTCGCTCCGAGAGGGAGCAGAACAGACAGATACTCGGCGTCGTCGGAGTGGCAGTATATCCGTGCAGCGAGTGACCGCGACCCGTCAAGGATCGCAGACTCAATCGTGGTGGCATCGTTCGCCGTAGAAGGTTGATTCTGGCTGCGTGACAAAGGTGAGCAGGTCAGAGCTAAGCTTCCAGAAGCTTTAAACGCTAGAAATTCCCACGGCGCGCCGGAACTACAGCAGTAGCCTGCCCCACCCAAGGAACCCCCCACTATCACCTCCACCTTGGCCCCGACGCACTCGCCTGTAACGCAGCGCTCTACTACCCTATCGTAGTGATGTACGTAGTACGTAGTCAAAGACATCTTCGTCGTGAATACAACCCACTTCATCCCAAGTACACCAACCAATTCACACCTCAGCAACCTAACAGCCTCGAAGCCTACCCAGCACCGGTAGCCCACTATTTTTTGCGACACGTTCTACCTATCCCTCTTGTCCACTCGTGGGGCTTTACATTGCCGTGCCTCTGCGGCTAAGACTTCCACAATGACATCAACCGCTCAACGCCGGCTCCTCCAGGAGTACCGCATGCTCACCAACAACCCACCCGATGGCATCACCGCGGGTCCTGTTTCCGAAGAAGACCTACTGAACTGGCAAGCCCTGATTCAAGGCCCAGAAGGCACGCCGTTCGAGGGGGGCGTCTTCCCAGCCGAGCTGAAGTTCCCCAGCGACTATCCGCTATCGCCGCCGACCATGAAGTTCTTGGGCGAGATGTGGCACCCAAATGGTATGTCTGCCTTGACAAACAAAAGGAGACCAAAGGCTGACAAGGCGAGACATACACAGTATACCCGACAGGCCTGGTATGCATATCTATCCTCCACCCAGCCGGCGACGATCCCAACCACTACGAGCACGCATCCGAGCGGTGGTCACCCATCCAGTCCGTCGAGAAGATCCTGCTCTCTGTCATGAACCTCCTGGCCGAGCCCAATGATGAGAGCCCCGCCAATGTCGATGCCGCCAAGATGTGGCGCGACCGCAGGGAGGAATACGACAAGAAAGTTCGGGACAGCGTCAGACGATCGTTAGGACTATAGTTGGTTGGGATTATGCTCTATCTGTATGGGGAAGGAGTTCGGGCCTCCCAGGAAAACGCAGGCGCTGTGAAGACATCCACTGCGACCACCCAAAACACCCGTCCTACCTACAGACATTAGGGGTTGGAATCTCAGCAAGGTGTGCTCTCGGAGCGTCGGAAACCTGGGGAATGGCACATGAAATTTGTGTACACCACGCATGCAGAGCGCGGAGTTTTGCGGTGGAAATGCCATGGCATAGCCTCTGGCTATTCAAAGCACCAGGGACGAGCAATTCAACGGTAAGGATGTGCCCATCAATGGAAATCATTCTTATTCTCCTCAGACATCCATTCATCCTGTGGACAAGTCCCCCCGCCGTGTGAAGCTCCGAGCCTAGAAGTATCCCGGCTCAATCGCGATGGATCTACACGCTCAGTGCATCCATCAACATACTGAAGAGGAAATGAATATCAAGCGAATTCGATTTCAAAGAACTCAAAAGTGGAATCGAGTTACAATCTTTCACATACACCGTCGCCGCCCTCTTTGGTGCAGCAGAACATCCAGCGTGCACACTGTCACTATTGTTCGCCACTTGTCGCGACAAGGGGAGTGTTCTTACTCTCTATTTCTTTCTTTCTCCCTTTCCCTGTGCGTGGGGTGAACAATGAAAACATGAGAAATGACAAACGAAGCAGCCGTTATCAGATCTTGGCCACGCTTACGATAGCCGGCTTCAGTTCGGGTCTGTAAGGTCGATCAACTTACGCCCAAGGTCGAACTGGGCCGCCGTTTCACAGAGAGTACGGTATAATACTGTACCCACTCCAACGGACTCAGCTGCACCTATTTCCGGTGTTAGGGCCTGTTCTCGTCCCAAAAATGCAACTCAGCAACACAGAGCCTAGAATCATTTGCGACGACAGTATTGAACTAGGAATGTATGCCAGGACCCCTGTTTTCTTCTTCCTCGGTGTATAGGAGCAAGTTCGTCTCGCCTTACCATGATAAGCCAGCAACAGCCCCAGCCTGAGTTCGTTTGGCCCAGTGAGCGAGCCCTTTGAACTGTCGTCGGGTCGTCACATAAATTTGATACTGCGGAAAATCCCTAGATTTTGGAAGGCTCCATGACCATGTGCAGACCTGTAGATTGTGAGAATCATACACTGGGTGGAATCCACAGAGGCCAGCCCTTTACCATCGTCAGATCTCCTTTGCGGGCCTACTAATGGCGTGGTGCGGTCTTGAGCTGACCGTCTTACTCAATCTCAACTACTCCGTCACGTAAGACTGACGAACTGCTCAGGTCTCCTCTTCTTGCTGATTTACGATATGGACGCAGAAAGCCGGAATTGTGCGTGTCCGAGTAAGGAAAGGACTCTGATATAAGGCAGGGACTCATCCTCAGCATCGTCCACTGAGTGTCTTTATTTTTCAACGTCTCCCTCCGCCTTCTTTCCACCTCAAAGCTCCTACTCTGGTAGTAGTGATTTCTTTTCGTCTTTTATCTTGTGTCTTTTTCCTTTGGTGTTCCGGCTCTGTTTTTGGTTTGCTTTATTGCTGGCTCGTTTCTTTTTTTTCTTCTTTTTTTATGCTTCTTTCTTAAGCAACGGCTGTGTCGTCGAAACACTCTCCCTTAGTATCAAAGCGAAGTACTCCAGTAGTACTTACATCCCTTGCCCTGTATTCCTCACGACCAATCTACAACACCTCAAAGGAACTTTCTGAGCCTGTCTCAGACGCAGACACGCCTCTTCCGCACATCCACACCACCTTGAAGAGCCTATCACCAAACTAAGATGCGTACCACCAACGTGACCGGCAACATGCTCGTTGCCTTCCTCTTGGCGCACGTGGCGCTGGCCGCCCCGCACAACATGATGTCTGACAGCTCTCCCGAGAACTCCATGAAGGACATGTCGTTTGGTGCAGCAAGTGAAGGCTCGGGACACCACGGATCTCAGCATTCGGCTGCTGGAGGCGCGTCACTCTCTTTCTCGCATGGCGGGTCAGGCATGGAGCATGGCGGAATGGGGTCTGGGCCGGAGATGGCCTCTGGCGCTCACATGGGCTCTGGCTCACATACGGGCTCTGAAGTGCATGAGGAACTTGGCTCGCACATAAAGTCTGAATCGCACATGGGCTCTAGGCCGAGCATGGGTTCTGGCTCGCATGTGAGCTCTAGCTCGCACATAGGCTCTAGTTCAGAAGGAAAGTCTACTGGTTCCAGTATACACGTTGAATTGAGTAACCAAGCACCCGGCTTCAGCCAAGGTTCTTCTCCTCAGGGCTCGGCTTCACATGCTCAAGCACGCACCGACAAATCAGGTGATAACCACCACCATCACCAGCAAGACTCATCTCACAAGAGCCAGGGTCAAGCGGTAATCCACCATGCAAACGAGAAGTCAGCCGGTAAGCAGCAGCACGGGGCTGCTCCCAGCCACAGCCAATACGAGGGCGGCGGCAGCAGCGGCAGCAGCAGCAAGGCTCATGGTGGCAACAAGAGCAAGCCTGGGACCAGTAAGATTGGCGGTGATAAGAGCGAGGGTGCTGCTGGCAAGATTGGAGAGGCCAAGACTGGTGACGATGTGTCTCATGCTGGAGCTGAAAAGAATGGCAAGCCTAAGAATGGTGGTAGTAATGGTGGTCGTGGTGCTGCTGCTTCTAGCGGATCTGACAAGAATGGTCAGGGCAAGACTGGTGATGACAAGTCTGCACCTGGAGCTGGGGGGGCTGGCAAGACCAAGGGCAGTGCGTCTGTCAAGACTGGACAGACGAAGAAGACCGGAGGTACGAGCGACAGCCAGCACAACGATAAGAACAGCACCAAGGGACAAAAGCCGAGCGACACCCAACATCAAGATCAAGGCGCCAGCAACGGCAAGGATAAAGCAGCTGGTCACGACGAACGCAAGGGATCGTCCAACAGCCAATACTCAGGAGCGTCCAGCAGCCAGAACAAGGACATGGGCGATGTGAAGCACCAGTGAGCGCGTCAGAACCAGGAGGCAACAGTGTCTGTTAATGCAAAGTGGCTTGGAATTGTCGACAAACTCATGTGTCTGCATAATTTGGCTATTTATAAGGGCATAGTCGCCCATAGTATCACTTTCTTTCCGTTTTTTGAAACAATAAAAGTAAAATTATGTGTTATTGCTACTCAAAAGAAGAGAAAGAGAAAAAGAAGAACCAACATGTTAAGCTTGCTTTCTTGAAATCGCCATTACATCTGCCTATTACACTGTTTCCATAGGAAAGAAATAATGGGCAGAGTGACAAGAGACAAGGAAATTGAGAGAAGATATTAGATATATGGTTATTCATCAAAAGGCTCCTTCAAAGCCCTGCTAAGCAAGACCTCGAAGGCCGAAGATAATTCTACGAACTTGTCTGGTACCAGCGTACTCAAGTATCAGGGGAATTCCGCCACACATGAGCGTACTGTATCAGAACTTTCATTTTCCCACAAAAACCTCCCAGAAGGATCTTTTTTTTCTTTTTCTTTTTTTGGCCGAGAGAGAGGGGGGGGGGGGGAGGGTGTCGAATATGCGGTCTACCGATATCGACCATCCTCAGGATCTACTTGTGTGCGCGCTTTAGTATTAGGTCTTCCAACAGAGCAGATCAAGACTGGCAATACTAAACTTTTTAAAGATTAAAGATTAGGGTTATGGTCCCAGCTTACAACAGAGGTAGTCATATATGTTAAGGGGGCTCAAACCTCTTACGTACGTCTTTGAATACCATTATAGTCATTATGTTTATAAAAAAGAGAATTAAGTATCCTTTTCAACATTTCTGAGGGCCACATCCCTTGCGCTTCTTGAAACTTCCAATACCCACATGTACTATAGACCCAGTGTTGTATCGTTAAAGTCGCCCCTTAAGATCCAGAACACCCAAGTTTGTTGGACGTAAGCCACTATTCAGGCCGCTCCGTGTTCCACTATCCAGCCGTCTTGAAGACTTTAACAGGGCATATACGACCCTCGTCAACGCATAGAGCAGATAGACTAAGCTTCAATAGACGTTCGTTTCAACAAAGATCCATGTGCACTCATTTGGTAACTAATTCCTTACATGTACTGATCTACTCATAAGCCTTTGTCAGTTATGTCAAAATCAGCAAGGAATGTATGATAGAAGCAGGCACAGGCATGCAGGACTATGGCAGGAGGGCCTCATAAGTAGGATGTGTGACAAAAGCCAGACTTTCCAAAAAGATGCATCTTCATGATCGCCAGGTACCAACCTTTATTCAGCTGATAGATGATACCAGTGCCAGCACCCCAAGATTGAGCCAAGCAACACACATCAAAGCTCGTCCACACATGACCAAGATACACGAGAAGTAAACGCTCAATCGTGGTTCTCCTCAAGAGCCCGTAAGGTCGATCCAGCCTCGCGACAAGTAACTTGCTCTATTCAAGAAGCCAGTTTGCAGGCCTGCGCATATCAGCGATACATACGCACAGATATAAGTACTAAGCATGAATAAAATGCATGGCCCTCTCCCTTTTCCTATACCGTATTTACCAGCTGCACCAGAACGCCATGCCCGGCCTCTGAGGGCCGTCGTGATGATGATGATGGTGATGATAATGATAATGATAGCCAGCCCCATTGCAACCGTCCCTTTTGCTCTGAACTTTAATGTTCATTTCCTTTTCCTTTCCTTGTTCACAACCCGACTTGATATATTCCCGACAGCCTCAAGGCAACGGGCCCCGGCCGTGCCCACCACCCCTCGCCGGATAGCTCAGCCCTTGAGATACATTCGACTCCTCAGGAGTAATGGGTGCCTCGCTCCGCCAGTTCGCCCTGCCAGGATGTGCCGCCCTCGCCGGCCCCTCGATGATTAGCACGCTCTCGCTGCTGCTGTCGGTTTGCACGGCCGGTCGTGGCCTTATCCTCGGTCCAGGAGAGACGGGTGAGATCGCGTATTCGTCGTCTTCTCCGTCGTTGTCATCGTCGTCGTCAATCTCCTTGCCCTCATGCACAGTGACAGCCACACCGATGTCCCAGTGCTGGACGGTGGAGTTGGCGGCCGGGCTCTGCCCCAGATCTCTGTCATGATTTGACGTCCTCGATGACAGCGTCGTGTCAAGACTCGAGATGCCCTTCACTGCCATCGTATTCTTCATTCTTCTCGACCCGGCGCCACCCTCTAGATCGTGGAGCTTCAGGTCCCCCGGCATCGCGAATCCGGCCTCGGTGGCAACAGCAGCAGCAGCAGTCCTGTCCCGTTTCGCGTCAAAATCGCCCTCGGGGATCTCGCTGATGCCTCGATTCCGGCCGTACCGACGAAAGATGCTCCGGCTCCGGCTGCGGCTCCGCTCGGAGGACTCGAAGCCGCGGAGGCGCATCTGGCGGAGTAAAGGTCGTATGGTGACGAGGGAGGACGCGACGATTGCGACGCCTGGCTCGACAAGGGTCCACACCATGGCGTCTGTGCCGGCATCTGTGCCGGGTTAGCGATGAGTGGGATGGTGGCTTATGCATATCAGATGTGACATGTTTTGTGGTGAGACTGGTATGTGTGGCACAAGCCACGCCAGCCAGCGTCACAGCCACTGCATCTGGTCCAACGTTGGGTGGTGGGGGCTTTCTTACAGAGAATATCATCGACGTCTGTTAGGTTTGCCAAGAACTTGACTCTGATGAGGGTGGCAACGGAAGCACTTGTGCGCTCGCACGTTAGCAGGCGGGTTGACAAGGTTTCAGTCACACGAGGCTGGTAAGGAAGTAAATCGAACTCACAAGACCCCCAAGCCCAAGATCAAAGCAACCGTGATCTTGGTCTGCACAGTCATTTTGGCCTTCCATATCATCGGAATGGGAAGCAGGGCATACAGCCAGTCGGTGACGATGTTCAGGACCGAAAGGGCGTACGCGGCATTCACCACCTGGGTCGCTGAGACGCACGTGTAGTTGGGTATGGTCGTATCCCACTGGGCGGCGACGGGCTGGCACTGGAAAACGTCCCAGAAGAAGAGGGCGGTGGACCATAACAAGACGATGGCCATGCTGACCCAGATGATCCACTTGAAACGCCTCTGGGTGGCGAGCCTCAAGAGAAAGAAGCCTATGCTGAGCTTGATGAACATCATGTTTGTGATGTATGTGGCTGTTGCGACGGCTTGTGTCTGTAGGTGTGTATGACGATCAGCCGTGTGTATTCACTCAGACTGGGCACCAGAGGATACATTTGACATACTTTTGCGCCTGCAATCTGCTTCCACTGGGGCAGGGTCGAGTTATGCCTCCCAAGCGCTTTGGTGATAGTGACACCAGCTAATATAAAGCCACAGGACACAGTAAAGTTTGCCTATCAGGACACACAAACGTTAATTCAACCTGATCCCAATCCTTCTCGGGCGAGGGTCCAAAGCAAAGTGTGTATAGATATCAATGCATTTACCTGTGCTGCTAACATGAGCCAGTCGTCAAGCTCAAAGGCTTTTGTCATGAAGGCTCGCACATAAGTGCGGAGGGCTACAGACAGCCATGTCAAGACGAGGAAGAGCACAGCAGTGACCACCAGGGACCCGCCGTTGTATTGATCGGTATAAGCAGTGTCATCGGCCATTAGAACCGCTCACGGTCATGAAGCAGGTCCAAGAACACTTAGACAACGAGTCTGTTGTATCGATGGAGGGGATGTTCGTGCTCGTGATGATGTGGAACCACCTGCGTAGGACTATAATACATTCAAGCACGCATGGGGGCTTGCTGGGACGATGAATGTACTATGGTACCGTGTACATGGGAGTTTCGAGAAGCAACAAAAATACTAATAATAAAGACACAATGGACGAAAACAGGAAGAAGAGAAACCAAGACGAGGTTGTCTAATGCAACTCTGCATGGGACAGTACGGATCAAATACGTAGGGCCAGATAGACAAGACAGACAGATAAGCCGAGGGAGAGAAGGGAGCCTTCTACTAGAGACCAAGCAGGAGATCCGCATAACCATGTGCGTTTCGCTCCGAATCCTTCCTACCAATCTCGGCTCAAGGATGTGTCTAAGAGGTTACAAAAAAGTGTGGCTAGCTCGGCCCTGCGAGACGCCGTTGGCTTCGAGAAAATAGCTAAACCCCCGGGATTCATGCGTTGTCGAGAGGTCTTGTCTAGCTTGCGTGGGTAGGCATGGATGGGTACCATAGTATTTAGGCAAATGGGTTGATGAATGCTGTGGATGGATGGATGGATGGATGATGGATGCAGCATGGTGGGCCGCCAGGTGCTGAGAATCTCGTGCGTGCATGCATATTCAGGGGTGGACCGATCCCCTCGTGGAAGCAGGCGAGCCTGACGAACAAACAAGATGAGAGAGAAAGTGAGTGTGTGAGACAGACAGACAAAGTGAGAAGGAGAGAATACACACAGTAGAGACCAAAACAAGCATAGTCATGGAAGAAAGTGTGTGTGCCATGTGTGAAATCCCTGTCCTAAAGGTCCACGGGCCATCCCAGGACGAGGCTGAGCGAAGATGAAAAGCCCGATCCTGGTAACAAGGACGGACCCCGAGGCATAGAGCATCGAGTCGACACTTGTGGCGGCATCGCACATGCTCATGACAGGACGAGTTACGCCATGGCATGAATGGTTCCCTAAGCTATCGACAATCAGGTCATGGCAGGTAGGTGGTATTGATTAAAGGGCCTTTTGACTGGCCGGCTGCTACACACACTCTTTGGAAGAAGAGCCAACGCAGGAACGGCTTGGATACCCAATGAGGATATATGTAAGAGAGAAGAGAGTTTTGCGAGGGTGGGCAGCCTTTCCGAACATTGGCTTGTGTTGGGGCGGATCAAGCCGCGGGTACGGGCGGTCGGCTTATTGTTCGAGGAAATAGTACCATAGAAGACCTCCCTCATCAAGGTCAGGGTAGCATGGGACTTGGCAAGCTGCTGCTACCCAGCAACCAAGAATAGGACAGCAACGAAGATGACAGAAGGGAATGATGACCAGTCTCGAAATCCAAGATGGGTATCACGCCCGCAGCACTTAGTATGTAGGCATGTCCTATCGAGTCAAGCTGATGATGCCAATCGAGAATCTACACACAGGGGGGCGGAGGGGTAAGGAAGATGTACTCCACTGTCTATTAGGAAGGCGCATTCAGGGTCTCGGAACATTAGTCGACGACTGCTCACTTCCTTTTGCCCTCGCAATGAACCGAGGCAGGGCTAGACAGGTGGTACGGAGCAAGCCAGTCTCGAAACTCTAGCAGACAATCAACTGATATCAACGAGAAAAGACCCCGCCCCCCCAGGTGTCGTCATGGGATCAAAGATGGCACCAGCTTCCCTTTTCTGACAAAGGGAGGGAAAAAAGAGATGAGAGCAATACGTGAGAAAGTGTGGGCGCAAGAAAGGCGAAGAAAAAGAAGAAAGATAAGAAAGAAGAAAGATGAGAAGCACGCAGAGCCTGTGAGGTGACGACACGGCTCGGTGCTGTGTGCGCACCTCCAACCCCGGCCTTATAATGGCGAGCTAGGATCCATTCAAGGGTTTCGAAGTGTGGACTGGCGGGCTTAAGGCTGATTATACCATGTACACACACTAAGGGAAGTGCAGGGGATGTTGGATCGACCGGCTCGCCCTTCCGGCTTGTACAAATTGAGTATAGACGCAATCCGTTGGGGGCAGGTATAGGTGGTTCCTGCATGAAGGTGGCGTCGCGCTTCTGAGGAAACCAAAACACGCCGGCCCCGTCGCGTGGCTTGTCATACGAAACTCAATAAGAAATTGTATATAAAGAATGAGAAGAGTAGCACATCATCTTCGACGAGATGACGGGCCCGAGATGAAAAAGACAAGGATGAGGGAGGAATTCTGTGGAGATTATTGAAAAGATGACGGCAGGGTAGGCAGGTGAGACCAGAGGAAAGAGGAGGGCGGCGGGCCAGATATCTGTTTCCAGTAGGAGGGCGTTCTTGTTGGGCCAATCGAGCATCCGTCCAGAGTCCAGCCCCCCACACACCCACCCGCGACGGTCCAGAACCTTCAACCCAGACTACTTGTCCGATTCGTCCGATTCTCTTGGGGGACTGTTGATTTGCCTGATATCCCTATTGATGAGTATGCACAACGACCGGTGAGAGTGTACAACCCCAGATCCCCTTCCTGGGCCGTTACGCGTACATAGTCCCAACTCGACACGACGAGCCAGCCCCCCACGCGTCACCGTTTCTCTCTTCTTTCCTCTCTCTGGGTCGCACTTCTCATGATGTACTATAGTATATACCATGATAGTAATGTGGAACCCTCATTGCCTAATTGATTGCTTGGTGCCCGCAGTGTCTATATCCTGATCCGAGAGTTTCCTTACTATAACTTGCTGTAGAATGCACTCACATGGGCTATCGCAGAAGAATGGCGCCCCCTGTCATGGTATGGGACTTGAGCAACGACTGTGATCTTCTTCAAGTGCAGTGTGATTATTAAGTACTGTGTAAGAGGGAAAAAGACAGGACTGGGCCCCGGAAGCTGCCGAGGGGAAGAAAAAGGAAGCGATCCGAAGTACCTGGCATTTGCAATTTGCTATAATATGCGAGTATTATGAATGGATCCGGAACTAAGGGATCGGGAGCTGTGAAACCAGACGGTCGGTGAGAGTTGTGGAATGAGGGTGCCCGCTTCTTTTAGCCAGAGGATCCGTTGGCTCAGTAGAAAAATCATGAGAGAAGTGAGGGATACATTTCCACTTGAAACAGTTTTTCTGGATAAATTGAAGGATGGAAGCTAAGCCGGCCTTCATCTCTAGGCAACCTTGAAAAAGCCAATCATTAGACTCCATTCTCACATACTCACTCGATCTGTATTATCCTTGACCTGTTTTGAGTTTTGTTAGCTGGAACGACCAGGTAATAATTTGTTGTACATGAGAACAGAACAAGGCATTACGAACAGTACGGTAATACTAATCAGCGGGTACCTGTTGGGCAGAGAGGATTACTTGGCAGAGTAGAAAGACCAGTCCAGTCACTCAGTATCTGATGCGCTAAGCGTACCCTGGACAAGACACAACAATCACGAGCTACTCCATAACGTCACCTCGATTCGGACCAAGAACAAACCATATCCAGGATCGTCTCCACCTACCTCAAGCTCATTACTGTGGATCTATCATCTACAACAGCCGCCAACCAATCAACCAATCGCAGATTTACAGAAGAAAGGAAAGAAGATAAAAGACGAAGAAGAAAATGTCATCGGAATCTCAAATCCCCTCCATCTACCGCCTATGGCACCTCTACATCGAGCCCGCCGCCGCCTGCCAAGGCGCCGTCATGGCCGCCCGCTCTCCTCTCCTCTACCTCGGCGTCATGTCCCCCGCCGCCAACCGCTCCCACTACCACCCGGAGCTCCAGGTCGTCTTCGACCAGCTCGCGGCCACCTACTTCCTCTTCGCCTTCAACCAGGCCGTCGTCCTGCGCGTCGTCGGCGCCAACCTTGCCGTGTGGAGGACCATGATCACCGGCATGCTGTTGTGTGATGTGTTCCACGTGGCTGCCACCGTGAAGGCGCTGGGCTGGGAGCGCGTGCTCGATCCGTCTGTGTGGCGGCTGTTCGACTGGGTGAACATCCTCATGCTGTTGGCCTCGCTGGCCATCAGGACGGCGTTTCTGGCGGGTGTGGGCGTGAGAGAAGAGGGGGACGCGCTGAGGTTGCAGAGGCAGGTGATGGCGGCGGGCCCGACCACGAGGTCCAAGACCAAGACTGGCTGAGGGGGAAGATGTGACGTGCGGAACAGATGATGTAAAAGTTGATGACCTGGATGATTTTTGAAAAACAGGTGTGTGAGAGGTTCAAAAGATGCAAGACTGCGCTGTTTATGACCTTCGTGTTTGTCTATCGTATCTGAAGGGGGCCCAAAGAAAATGATGGCTCTAGATGCTCAACGTCTTCAAATAGAAGCTTCTCAAAAGTCTCGTAATTGATCCAAGCAGACTCTGCAGGGACACGATCAAGCACCCTTTCCTCTTCAGTCTAATCTCCCATGTGCCTCCCTCCCATCCTCAAGTAGCGCCTCCCTCTCGTCCGTCTTCCCCTCGCTGCCCCTGTACAGCACATAATGCTGCGCGAAGAAAACCAGATCATAAATCATCGACACTTGCCCCAGCGCAAACTTGACCGGGTTGCCCGTGACGCCACTCCAGTCTCCGCCGAGCGAGCTGTCGATCAGCAGCTGCGAGACGCTCAGCACGCCGCCGACAAAATCCAGCAGGATCTGCCAGATGCTCCAGCCAGCCGTGCTCTTGTTGCGAAAGTTGGCCAGGATCTGCGGCGTGAACTTGATGAGCGTGATCCACAGCTTGACGTAGCCCACCGCGTACACCGCGTCGAGCCAGCACCAGTCCTCCCGCGGGTCGACACCGTGCCCCGGGCCGCCTCCGCCGCGGGCCGCGATGAGCACGATGACCACGAGCACGCCGGCGATGCAGCCAAAGAAGGTCCCGAGGATGAAGCGGGAGGGCCGGTTGATGACCTGGAGGTTGAAGCCCCAGGGCGCCGGGAAGAAGTACTGCGAGGCGGTGATGAGCGAGAGGAGCAGGGCGTGCGCGGCAAAGGCGATGTCGTTGAAGGCGACGGCCGGGGTGTGGCCGCCGTTGCGGGCGGCGTACTGCTCGCGCACGACGGGCGACCAGTAGAAGGCGGCGTTGGAGATGAGGTAGGCCAGGAAGCCCAGGCAGTTGATCAGGGGGAAGTCGATGGTGGTGCCCGACGTCGACCTGCGCCTGAAGTTGAGGATCGGCTGCGGGTAAAACGATAGCGACCAGCTAAGCGTGTACACCCAGCCGAACAGGGCCGACAGGAACTCGAGGAACCCAAATACCATCTTTTTTTTTTTTTGTTTTTTGTTGTCTGTACTATATATACAAGGGGAGGCTGCCCATTTGCAACAGGTGATGAGGGTAAAAAGGGGTGGTGGTTCTTGTTGTCGTTTGTGGGCTGTGAATGCGATGAAAATTGGCACACACAAGAGACAGAAGGCGCGAGTCTTAGTCTCCATCTTTGGATCGCGTCATCCCAGCGCCTCGGCTCCGATCCGGCGGGTGACTTTTGGGGTGAGCCGTACTGTTTCCTGACTCTACCTACAATCCTCACTAAGCCCCAACGGGTCGTGTTATCTCTCTCTGTCTGTCTATTTGTTCACCATCATGAAGCAAACTTCTCTCTCATCCTAGTCTCGACCATTGAGAGAGTGAGTGAGCGGATTAGATGAAGAAGACTCACTGTCCCAAATGATCAAGTGTTTGCAACCCCCCGGCCTCACAACTCTAGACTCTCTTCCTATCACGATAACAACGAATAATCACTACTTCACAACCATAATTGCATCCTGCACTGCAGAAAGCCTCCCTTCTCCCCCCTTTAGAAATGGTCAATTTTCTCGATCTACCTCTAGAGATTCGACAACAAATCTACACCTACCTCCTTATCTACCCCCCACCAGACCCTCACAGCCTTCTCCGTCATCCCCAGAACACCTCCTCCTCCCTCCACCCAGCCATCCTCTCCGTCAGCCGCCAGATACACATCGAAGCCCTCCCCTACCTATACGCCCACAACGCCTTCGACTGCCACCCCTCCCTCCTGACCATCTTCCCGCGCCTCTACGACCCAGGCCGCAGGACCTACCCCCGCGTCAGCGAGGGCACCTGTCCCGGCGTGCGGCTGATTAGGCGGTGGTACCTGACCGCGCGCCTGGACTGCGGGCCCTTCTGGGACGCGGAGACGATCGCGGGCGCCTTTAGCCGTGCCGAGGAGCTGACTGTCGAGGTCAGGCAGAACATCTTCCTGGGGTGTGGGGGAGATGTGCTCAGGTTGTTTGACGGGGTGAGGGGGGTGAGGCGGGTCAAGATCTGGGGGAGCACTACGGGTCTGGAGGGGTATGTGAGGTGGCTTGAGGCGGCCATGATGAGCCCGATCGGGACAGAGATAGTGCCCTTTATAGAGGAGGAGGAGGGGAAGCAAGAGGAGGCGAATGAAAGAGGTTGATCAGGACGGAGACTCAAGATGGTAGGCTAAGCATTGTGTGAGGCATCAACATAGAGGCAGGCATGAAAATGCAAAGTAGTCGATGCAAGTAAGTCATCACATTGTCCAGATCTCACACATATACACTTGCTCGCACGAACAATATGTATCATTTCTTCCATCACCTCACGTCCTAGTCTAGCTGTGTAGTCTGGAGAAAAAGAAAAAATCCATCTATGATGCCATATGCCGCTGGTCATCTATATCAGGCTGAGCTTCAATGGAGGTCCAAGACCATCCTCTAGGTAAAGCAAGTCTGTCCTGTCCCGTTATTCTTTTTTGTCTTCCTCTCCACCTGATCTTACACATAACACCATACATGCAGACAAGCTGTGCTGATTCATCCACAAAAAAGCGGATGGTGGGGTATAGAGACCTGGAGTTCAGTGTCTCTCTGCTCAAGTGTGAGGGGGAAAAACCAGAAGCAGAATCATGCCGCCTCGATTGAAATTGAACGCGAACAGGGAAGATATAAGGCAGAAGGGCCAAGGAGGAAAGAAGCGGGGTCGAATGATCCGCTCGAAAAGGACTCAAAGCAAGAAAAGAAGAGAAATAGGGCACCCGGGGGGGGGGGGGGGTTCAATTCAGAAGCCCAGGCCTTCCTCATTGATTGCAATCCTGAAAAAGAAAAAAAGAAAACAAACCCAAAAAAAAAAAAAAAAAAAAAAAAAAAAAAAAAAAAAAAAACGCCGTGATACAATGTCCATGCAAACCATGTGCTCGTTCAGATCTTTGCAATTCTTCAGTGTTGTGGTTGTTCTTCTTCTCACCCTCATGATTCTTCTTTCTGGTTGGTTTGCTTTCTTTGGTTGTTGACCGTTTTAAGGGCGTTCGTTGTGCAGGTGTAATTGTGCAACCACCATCCAATTTGGTCGAGGTCGAGGTTGAGTGCAGATCCCCAAATGATGCATGCGGAGAAAGGGTGGGAGGCTAGAACCGAGAACAAATTCGAGCACATGTGGAGGGTAACATCCGAATGTTTTTGTGGCCTGACCTCTCCACCTCCTCCACCTTCTGATCGTGTCGACCATCAGTTCATTTCCCTCTTTCCCCTCAATCACTTATGCCTTTGTAGCACTTCCCTGCATGAAGCCAGGCAGGTCTTTCCAGCCCTTCTGGTTGGGCAGGCGAACACGGCCGAAATCCTCATCGACATCGAGGATGATCTTCAAGGCATTTCGACTCCTACCAAAGGGGCTCGTATCGATTTTCTCTCGAAGAGTCGATAGGGCCTCGGAAACACCTGTCGCAGTAGGGCCCGTCTTATTCTTGCCTGGGAACGGGACCACGCTCTGAAGCACCTCATACGCTGCCAGCGTGAAGCCAAACTGCGGAGACGATCGGAGGATACGAGCTGGACCTCCCTTAAAGAAGGCGCGAGGGCCCTCCTCCTTGAGGATCGTCTTCGCGGCGTGCGTCAGGCCATTGTAGCTGGTCTCGCCCTTGCGGGCCTCGACCTGCAGGCGCGTCTTGATCACATCGAACGGCGTGGTCAGGTATGCGGCGGGCATCCCGGCGATGGCACCAGCCATTAGCAGCTGGAAGATGCCGAGCTTCTTGGTGGGCGACTCGCCGAACAAGTCCTTCTTGAGGTGGCTGTACGTGGGGAAGTAGATGGCCGAGAACGGGACATCACGGGCCAGGCAAGCTGTCGCTCCCTTGTAAAGACCGACGAGACCAAGGTTACGAATAATCCACATGGCAGATCTCTTCGGGGCAGCGCCTTTGGCTCCCTTCTTGGCAGCTTCTCCCTGAACCTGGAGACGGATTTTGACGATCTCGAGAGGATTGGTAAAAACCTACGATCACCACCAGATGGAAATATTAGTAAGTATATCGGCAGCATACGAGGATTTGGGGATACTGACCACTTGACAACCTCCAGCACTACCACCGGCAAGGATCTCGGCCCAGAGGGCAATGTGGCCGGTGGTCTTGTCGGTTGACCAACCACGGACGAGATCGTTCACGGTCAGCTTGATGGCCTTCTCAGGCGCCACACCGATGAGCTGCGGCAGCACACCCGAGTACAGGCCGAGAGCACCCTCGTTCCGCACGACCTTCCTGAAACAGTCAATTGAGTTGTTATACAATGCCTGTCCGACTTGTGCGCTTCGCTGGTTTTGCATGCGCGTCTTGACCAGATCGATTGGGTAGACCATGAAGGCACCGAAAGCGCCTGCCACACTGCCGAGCACGAAGTTGTACCCAGACTCGAGGATCTGAGAAAAGACTGCGGCTGTCTTGGACTTGGCCTGGGTCAACGCGAGCCTGCCGACGCCGTCTTCATCAGCTGGGTTTCTCCAGGACGGGTCGAGCACCTTGGCGAAGTCCCGAAGGCCCAGACGGCCCGAGGGCTCATCCATACTGGCGAAGTGGAACAAGATGTCGGCCTCCATGGGCGTGAACAGCGAGAAGCGCGTGATCTTGGCGGCCTGGTTCAGGAACTCGGCGCGCGTGATCCTGCCGTCTGTGCTCTTGGTGCAGGCCTTGCGGACGATGAGCTCGACCAGATCCATCTCCTTAATCATGTTTTGGAAAGCCCGCACGTTCGCGTACGACACCTTGCTGCCTTGAGTGATGTTGCACAGGGTGCTCAGGTTCTCGAGGACATGGTCGGACAGCTTGTGTTTCGAGGTCTCCAGGATGATGCGCTCAAAGTCCTCGGGCTCGATGAAGCCGTCGCCGTTCTTGTCGAACTGGAGGAACGCCTGTCGTATGCGCTCTCCCTGCAGGCCGCGCAACATCTGCGAGAACTGCTGGTAGTCCATATGATGGCGCCGCTTGCTGCCGCCGATGTAGAGCTTGGCCCACTCGCAGTTCCAGTCGAAACCGAGGCTGTCTGGGCCCTTGTTCTGCTCATAGAGGCGCTTGAAATCCTCATACTTGACGTATCCGAGGCGATCGATGTCGAAGAGACGGAATGCGATCTCATACTCGGCGTCGGGCTTGTTCAGGATGTTCTCGAAGTAAATCCAATCTGCCATGGTCACCTTGCCCTTGCCTTGTCGGTCGGCTACTCGGAACAGGAGGGAGTACTGGTCTCGCTTGATCTTGTGCTATTTGAAAGCGCAGGCTGTCAGTTGTTTGGCTCCTGACAACTACGCGACAACGACAACGCGGGGTTCCTAGGAGGGGTAATAGAGATGGGAAGCAGAAAACTCACATAGTCCTCATTTATTGGCGCGACAGCATTAATGAACTCCTCAGGGCCCATCACCAACTCGCCAGACTCAGGGTCCTTGACAGCATTCGCATTGAAGCGCATCTTTGTCTGGACTGACACCTGCACTGGCTCCTCAGAGCCTATGAGGGTCTCCTTGACAGCCTCCTTCACTGCGACTACCTTTGACATGGTGGATGGTAGTATGCGACGACAACAATGAGAGGGAGGATGATGTTTAGGAGAGTGTGAGGGGTTGGTGGAGGGGGGACTGTAGAGGATGTTTGACAGTTCCTATTACTGCAAGTACATGGGAGAACCTGTGAAGAGAAGTGGATGCTCCGATGAGCTGCCGAAGGAAAGGGTTTGTAGTGTTGTTCAATATGTATTGACTCGAGGAGCAGTCGTGGTGGATACGATTCCCTGTCAGCTCCAGCTTTTCCCGATTTTCTGGTTGATAAGTAGCCTCTGCAGACAAGTCCACTCAGGATGCAATAGTTGTAACAGGAGAGAAGAAGGCAAGATCAAGAATTAATGTGAGTGTTCTGAAAAGAGAATCTTGTGCGATTTCAAAGAACGTCCTAATGCTGGCAAACAACACAGCGTTGTAGAAATCGCCGAATGAGGAGGCGATTGGTAGTGGTTGCGTGAAATAGGGCGCAATCAATAATTTTTTACTTCCTCCTCTATTTTTTGGAGCGCGGCGCAAAACAAGTCCACTTGGAGAAGGAACAACTGGAGTAACGCTCTGCCTGCCCATGGGGTTGGTTGGCTCGGGGCTTCCCGCTAGCCGCTAGCCGGCTTGGGGGAACAAAAATCGGTATTTCGTTCCTCCGACATTCCGAGATGACCTCAGACCAGAACAACCTCTATTCTATGTATATAATACAGTTGTTCACGGGCACATGCCCTCAGAACAGGCCTTCGATATAGGCCATATCTGACACTTTGTGAGGAAGTGACCAACCTCTCGACGATTCAACAAAGACGTTATCGATGCTTCCTCGACCTCGAGGCCCTGAGAGTCCTTCGGCAATTCCTCCCGGTCTTTTCCGAAGAAATTGACTCGTCCAGGGCGGCTGTCGACCCTGCCTGCTACTGATGCCAGCCGGTTGCAATGAGAGATAGAGTTAAGGTCAAGGTCCGGAGTGGATCCCCGGTGCAAGATGACCTACAACCTGAAATACTGAGGCCGAGACTGGTGCGCTTAGCGGGGGTTTGAGAGGGTGGGTAACACGGTAGGAAATGCCTTGCCTGGGAGCTGTATTGCGGGGGGGAGGGGGGGAGGGGGGCAGTCTCTAGCATATCTAGACAGGCGAGACCGGAGCTCTCGAACTTTCCAAGAGGATGCTCTAGGAATTTCCCCCAAAACAGAAGTCAACGCCATGGAGAGCCTTGGTAGGAATGGTGACCCCTTCGTAAGTCATCTTGACCCACAGTAGTCGTCTCACAGACTCCTCCCTCGAGTCTTAAGACGCTTGTACTCTTTTGGGAGAAAGTCATCATGAGAAGTTCGCAGATGATTGTAGCAGTACCTGACGCCGTGGAAAGATTGTGCAGGCAGGATTGAATCGCAAGACCTCATCCGAGTCGGCTGTTCTATGCAGACTCATGCAGCATGAACATGATTATCAATAAGAAGAAAGCTTCCTTAGACTTCTAAATTCAAGTATAATTCATACACGATCATCACCATCGGCTAGCTAGCCCTCGCCGGAGCTACTTCTCTTCCGAGGCCAATGTTGAATGTACTTCCGAGACGTCAAACGAAAAAAAAAGATTAAAGAAAAAAAAAAAAAGGGGGGGGGGGGGGGTCAGCCACCACTGTGGATTCCAGTCCGCATATCCGTGCGTGGGTATTGGTTTCATCACACTCAGGCTGGCCACATCCGTCCGCCCGTTTGGTATCCCTTTCCTCTGCCTTTACCTCCTTCCGGCCGGCGTCCTTGCCTGGCAATATGTCCCAGTGCCACCTTGCCTGCACCCCCAAACGCCATGCAAAAGCCCGCCCGCTCACCTCCTGTGCGGCCTCAAGATTAATGTATAGGGAAAAAAAAGGACAATCGCCGCAAAATGCACCGGAAAGCCGTGCAAGATGAAGGGAAGCTTAATAGCCGCAGGTCGTCCGTCGTGAGTCGTAGGTATCGTCAAGTTTAGTGGTATCTTGGAAAAGGAAGTGTGTCAAAGAGAAAAGGAGAGCGCAGGATGTTTGTCATCCGCGGATTTGTTGAGCTTCATCAGCATTTAGTGTAGTGGTAAGGAGAAGCCGCTCGATGATCGGGCGGGCGGTCGTAGAGGCCAGAAGATAATAATCACAGGCAACAGTATTCCATCGGGTCTGGCCAATATGGGGGTTGGTGACAGGAATGTTGATAGCGCTGTCTTTGGGGCACCTTACTGGAAGGCTGCCCATGCAGAGCAATTTCCGTGAGCCGTGTTTCTTCAGGCTGAATATATCGACATGGCAGCTGAATGAGCAGCAAGTCCGACCTGTGCAGGGAGACATGTCTTGCGGATCTGTCTTTTTAAGCATGTACAAAGAAGATGCAAAGGTGCCGGAATGGACCCCGACGGCCGGATGGCCGCTCAGCCCTCAATGGGAATAAGTATATGAGTGCTCTCAGCAGGAGGGAAACGATTCGGAGGGGAGTGCTCATCGGCGGAATCGCACAGAGAGGCCCGGGGAATGTTGTTGTAGTAGGCAAGGGTAAAACCCTTGGCGAGCTCATCCCGGACAAATGTAGAGGACTTCTTGAACCGGCGGTCGCGGTATTTCTCGTACACGGCTTTGTGGTGTCTGTCTGGTGTCTGGCAACAGTCCAGGATCACGGCAACCAGGGGCCTGAGTTGAGCCCAGGTGTAGCCCGAGAAGTGGACGTGTGGGAGTGACTATGGGGACATTAGTTTAAGATTGCCAAAATATTGACTGAAGAGATTGTCAAACTCACCCAATCGCCCTTGTTGAGGATCAGCCGCGCCAGGCAGTGGGCACCGGCTGCAATGTAGCTGGGCGTGCAGCCCACGAACCGCTCGTCCATGATAGTCACCTCCAGGAAGTACTTGGCAAGCGTCCGAGTCTCCAGGTCGTAATCATCCGCCTTGCTGATGCGACGGAGGAAGCTCATTGGGCCAGGCCAACCCAGCTCAAATTGGAGCATGCTCAACATGAAGCGCTCTGCCTTGAGGATCTCGTCCATGGTGTAACCATTGTCAACCATATAGACGATTTCCTGTACGGAGGGGCAGTTGATCTCCTCGTACTTGGCCGCAATAAATATGGCAGTGGCACCAACAAGCTGGAGCTTACCCAGAGAGACCATCTTGCACGAGAGGAAACGATCAATGTAGTTCACGGTGAGGAAGAGTGTTTCAGGGAGAAGCGAGAATCGACTGTGGACCTGAACGAGCCAGTCCATCAGGATAGACCGCATCGACCACTGGATCTCGAGCTGTACCTGCTCCATGTAGTGAGGGTTCGGACGCATCCGATCCTAAGACTAGAGGTCAGCTTTCTGTTTCCCCGAGAGAAGCGAGCACTTTGTGGCTGATTGCTTACCTCCAGCTCCCGCATGTACTCAAAAATCTCCTCGCCGTACTCGGCCACCATACTGACGTCCCAGTTCTCCTCATCAGCTTCGTCCCTTGGCCTTATGGACTCCACATATGCTCTAGCCTCGTCCAGCTCTCTCTGGTCCTTGACTGTCTTCCTTGGAATAACCAGGCTGGTGGCAGACGTGGTATTGTCGCCGTACGATTTGTAGGAATGGGCGGTCGTATATCCCTGCTCGTCGTACTCATCATCCTCCTCGTCCCAGTACTCCTCAGACTCTGGCATGACCAGGCCAGATGGCAGCAGGTCCGAAGGAGCTGCAGCGGGCTCAGGTTGGAGAGGCTCCATCTCAGCGGTGATCAGCGGCCCGACTGGGCCTGGCACGGGCATCCACGAGCCTTGAAGGGCCTGCTCGTCGCACGGCAACTCCTCCATAGCATTCTCGTAAGGCATCGCGTCGATGTCATCGTCTGCGCCGCTGTAATCGATATTCTGGAGGACGTGCTTGCTCGCCGATCGTCGGATGACTGGGGCTTCTGTTGACTTCAGCTGAGGCTGGCTCCGGTAGTGGCGGTTGAGGCTTCGGGGCTTTTGCTGGTACTCGTCGTGGTAGACCATTGTCGTCTTCCTGGCCCCAGTCTGCTTTGGCACGGGCTGAGCCCGAGTGTCAGCCACCGCGGGCAAGCCTTGGGCAGCCATCGAGGGTTTCAGGCTGGTGGAAGGGCGTTGTGCCGGACGGAGCAAGGCTTCCTTGTTCTTAACGGCATTCTCCTTGTTGGCGTCCTTGTACACCTTGGTCGTCGGCATGGCTGCAGAGAGGGCGTGCTTGCCGAGGCCGTTACCGGCGACCGCGTGCTGGTTGGCGGCTCCTGCGGTGTTGCTGAGGTCTCCAAACGCAGTACGCTTGGCGGTTCCCTTAAGGCCACCGGCGACCGTGCTCGGGGGAAAAATAAACTGCGAGTCGAGGTTCTTGGCCTTGAAAACGGTCGGGTTCATTGGCGCGTTCTCATTGCGGAGAGGCTGCGCTGCGAAAGACCGCAGCGGTCGATGAGGCTGCCGGAAGAAGTGGAAAGAGTTAGTGTCTCTTGTGCAAGGCATGGGTGGGGCTGCGACCGGCTCGATCAAGGCTGATAATCGAGGGAAAGAAGGTTGGACAGATTAGTAGTAGAGATGAGCATCCAGACCTGACTCACTTTGGCATCCATCGCGGTTCCTCAGGGCAGGGGAAGGGAAGCGTCTTTTGCTGTAGGAGATGTTGATTGTTGCTGCTGTGGTGCAATAGGTTCTACGAGATGGTAATGTTGACGGAGGATCAAGAGAGGCCTGATGTCCACGAGGCTGTCGAACACGACGTGGCACACAGACAAACAGTCACCAAGAGACGCGACAGAGGCTGCGGCGTAATGGGTGAAGTGGTCTTCCTCGTTGGTCGAAGGTCACAGAGAGGACGGCGCCCGCGAAAGGTTGTGTGCTCTTTGATGTTGTAGTGCAACGCGGTAGTAGAGAGAAAGAACTGGTAGCCGAATGTGTCGTCCAGGGTTGAGGAATGGTTGGTTGTCTAGGTGATCAAGTCGAAACCCCGAATATGGAAATTCGATGATCCTGGAGGCCGGAGGGGTCAATGTCCGAGCCTGTGGAGTGAGAAGGGAGGGGGGAGAAAAAAAGAAGAAGGAAAAACAAAACAAGAGGTTAACACTGGAGAGAGAGGCCGTCAAGTGAGACGGGAGATTTTGCGCAATAAACAGAACTATCCGTCCGCTTATGGGTTCAATGTTGAGTTGCGCGCGCGCGTGTGTATGTGCGTGATGGGGAACACAAGGCAATGAGAGTTCTGGGAGAGGGGGACTGGTCGGGCTGCGAAGATTTGGCGCGGCATATGAAAGTATGGGAAAGGTGCACCCGACCGCAAGTACCTATTGAAGATAGCCTGGTCGGGGCTGGCCTGGTTTGGTATGTGGGAGTGTTAGGCTCTACGTAATAACAAAGCTGACGTACCTTGCAAATATTGGACCGCGTTGTAGTGGTAAGGAGCGTGAGTAAAGACTGGATAGATGGATGAAAGGAACGGGAAGGAGAGTAAGCAAGCCAGAGCCCAGCGAGTGTGTTGTACCTGACCAGAGATGAATGGATACTCATGAGGGTCGTTCCTGAGGCCTGGCGGGGACCGATCTGTCAAAATATGGATCTCGAGGCACGATCTGGCTGAGCTTGGACCCGAGGGGAGGCGTGGGGCAGGAGGAAGACCCAGGCGGACGGAGTGTGTTTTTTTTTTTCTCTTCTTTTTCCTTCTTTTTCTCCTGTTCTTTTTTTCTCTCCTTCCTTGGAGGGGTAAGCAGAGATGCCCAAGCGGCAGCAGTGTATGATTTGTTTACCTGTGCAGGGGTCCGGATTGGGCGGACGACAGAACGCGCTAGTAACAGAGCACGGACCATGTTGGTTGCGTTGGTGACCAGCCATCCCCTGTCCCCTGTCACGGCCCGAGTCGTTACCCCATCTCAAAGCAGATGACGTGCAGGGCGGCGCGTCACCCACGTCAACACTGACCTCGACAACATCTTGATAAAAAGCGTACAATAGCATCTTGCATATAAAAAAGTAGATTCAGGCGCGGTGTATTTCTATAGGACTTGAAGAAGTGTTTCAAGAAGTCAAACCTTTCGTGTTGGGGGTGGTATTGGCTGTCAGCCTGTTCGCATCGACTGACGCGACAGATCAAAAGTACCCGGCGCGAGGACAACCCGCGGTCACATGACTCTCACCTGGCCTACCTACCAAGCCGGTCCATTTTCTTGTCGCAAAGTGGCATTTCTCGACATCATCTTGTCGCACTTACATCAAACTATTTCTAAAGTATGCCGCTATCAATTTTAACAGCAGTTTTCACTGGAATGGATTTGCGCATCGCCTTGGCGTCCCAAAAAGGAGGGCTTCGATTCGGCAAAAGCACAATGATTCAAAGGGCCCTGGCGCAGCAATCTGGCTGTGGTGGGTCGCCAGGTCTGGTTTTTGGATGCCAAAGGGCCTGTTCTGGCCAGTAGGATCGCTGTCGCATTCCCGTCCTGAAGCACCTTCGTTCTGGGCCTCTCTCTTTCCCTACAAGCCGCGGGCCCATTTGCATGTGTTCGCGAACAACGCAGTGCTGCATCTCAGAATTTTTTTCGCCCCCCTCTTTTCGCAACATTGAGCTGGCAGGAATTAGCAGGGTGCAAATGCATGCGATTAAGGAAAAAGTGGGCGCAAGAATAGCTTAAACCCCACTGCTGCATCTTGCCCCTCTAGACCCTTCGAGGTCTCCAGCCAGGGTGAGGTTCAAGCTGATCATGCGTATGCCGCTTTTGTAATGATGACCATGATTGCTTGGCTACGACCTTGCACGGCCGCGAAATAAAGGCTGGCGCTTAATCTTTTGCAAGACATGATGCTTGTGATAAGAGATGGTTGTCACCAGCCTCTTAGGTTGAGGCGAAGAGGAGGAGAAGAAGAAGACAAGGAAGAAGAAAGGAAGAGGGGAGAGAGAGGGGAAAAGGGATAAAGAAAGGGAAAATGGAAGAACAAAAAGCCCCGTCAAAAGTGCCCCAAAAACAGCACAGCGAGAGGCGTGAAGCGCTGGATGCGACCGGATTGCTGTGCTGCTGCTGAATGAAGCAAGAGGGATGTCAGGGGGGCTTTGTCTAGCCAGCCCAGGCCCAGCCACAGCGGCCGCGACACTGGCCAACCAGGCGGATCCCTGCTCCTCAACATCCGCGAGACCCGTGGCTCCATAAGTAGCGAACAGATGAATGGGCGATTGTCTGATGATGCGTCGCGCAACCAAATCAATTCGCCCTCGGGTCCTAGAAGGCCAGCGGGCTCATGCTGCCACTTCAGCAACCTTGTAGCGGGCACTTGTCCTGCATGCGCACGAGGACCCACACGCAGGCGCAAAAGAAGAAGGGAAGGGAGAAAAAAGCATCATTAACTGCAGCGGCAGTTGCACCAACAGTGTCGATTACCAAGACGCTTTTCTAGGGGCGAGAAAACGGGATGCGACCAGGAGAAACTGTTCGCCTACTAACTCACTCACATGAAGACAAAACGGCGATCATGTCAGTTTCCTGCCTGGCGCACATCTGCGTCAGTCCGGTCGTGCGCCTGTAGCGCAGAGTAGGCCAAGTCCTGGGTCCCAGATGTGTCCCTCCCTCCTTAGCAGGAATGGTACAATCTATGTGTTACGTTTGCGCATCTCTACCTGCCAAAGCTAGAGCTGCGAACCGCGAGTAGTGAATGAGGGAAGATGGTGTAAAATATCGCTCATCAATGACATGCCGGCCGCGCAGTAGCGCTGCAGGAAGAAGAGAGTGCACAAGGCGCATATGCGCGGTGTGCAGACCTCGCATAGCATCGCAACGCATGGCGCAGAAACCTGCCTCTGTCCACACACACATCCATCCCATTGCCGACCATGCGATCGGTGACTTGAGTCTGTTGAACAAGGAATGCCCAAGACTAGATCCAGACTATCGTATCGGGAAGCTAGCTTTACTCAGGAACGGGGTTGCGCCATCAAAGTGTGAATGCATGCGACGCACCCTTTTTCTCCTCTCGCTCTGGGGCCTGCCTCCTGAAGCGGATGCCTTTTTTGCTCTTTCGACCAACACAACCATATGCAGTATTTCCACTTTATACTTTGGCAGGAGCAGAGATGAGCGACAACACAAAGTTACTGGACCCAGCGACCCAGTCTGCACGTCTCACGCCCAGGAATCTGGCCCCAGAGTCACCGCCGCCGCGAGGAACATGAGTCGACGAACCCTTTTCCGGCGAATCACGAGGCGGGTGACCGTGCAACCGCGCCGAAGCTTCTTTCTGCCGGCCAGACCACCTCGCGCGTCACCATAAAAGCGAAGAAGAGGCTGCTTCGTTTCAAACGACAGGAGGGCAGACGGGACGGTAATAGAATATACAAAGTCTTTTCTTGCTGCCTGTTTATGACTCTTAAAAGTTTGCGCGACATCGTACCCGGTTTCTTTCTGTCTTCCAAGTTCTGGCGGGGAAGGAAGACTGGAGAGACTGGGGCGCATTACGTATTCATGCAGACCACTCTCCACTATAGCCCGCATGAGACAGTGAAACGGCTCAAATCGTAATGGGCGACGGGCAGACTACCACACACGCACCACCCTCAGAACAACAGGGATTGCTCATTAGATGATGGCCCTTGTTTCGAGGACAGCTCATGGCATGGCGCTTTGCTACCGCCTGCAGCCGGCTTTATTGTTCCGCTGCACACTGTTACTACTATACCTGATGCATTGGTAGCCCAGATCGATGCAAGAATCCACCTCGCCCGCAGAAAGCCTGCCGCTGGGGTGGGAGGGGGGAAGGACCCGGCCGGGGGGGGGGGGCTCTTGCGCCCCTCTGACCTCCTCCTTACTCACACGATCTACTAATGCACTCTCTACCTCTCTCAGTTGCCTACGAAACTGAATGCACTCATACTTAGCTTCGAATGACGGCTGATAGACAGCCAGTACAGAAGGGGGAAGGGGCATTGACTGGGTGACTGACGGGACTCCTTAGTAGCTTTTCCATCCGCCGCCGCCGACAAAATGGTGGGCCGTGCGACAAGATTACGACCAGGTTGCGAATGCAGCTGTGCTGGCCCTTCCCGACCCTCCTCCTCTGGGAAAGGGCATGGGATCGCAGATCCCTCTCGTGGGCTTCTCGACGTTTCGGCGCATTGCTATTTCTAGAGTCGATGGAGGGCGGCGCTTGCTCTGATCACCTGCTGCCAGTGTCTGCTTATCTTGCTTGTCTTTAACACTAGGTCGAAATGAATGCGCTACCGCAGCCGCCGGTTGTGCCTACGTTTCTATGTGCCTCTCTTTCCTCAGTCTCTCTCCCGTGTCTTTGGGACACCAACAGAACGGTATCATTCGCCTCGTCGCATCGACAGCAAG